ACATTTTGTTTATATATTATTATAGAACCATTCAAATCATTTATGTAGCAATAAGTTTTTAATACGCTTTTATTAGCTTCAGACGTATGTATGTTTGTAACGGAATCTTTGAACATGATTTTAATCCCCTTCAAAACTTTTTTTTTTATTGCCATTGTAGGCAGACGAGCATACGGCCCACCTGATGGTAAGTGGTCGGATTAACTCGAAATTTGATATACTTATTACGGACCGATGACAATTCAAAATTAAAAAAAAATTGAAAAAAAATTTAAATTCAACTAAAAAATGAAAAGTAAATAATAGTTTAAAAAAACTAACAAAATACACTTTTATAGAAAATTCAACTAAAAAATAGAAAATAAATTTTAATAAATTTCAATTAAAAATAACGTAAAAAAAAAATTATAAAAAAAGCGTGGAGTGGGTGGTATCAGTAGTGATAAATATTTTATGAACAGATATGAGTAGAAGGGTTATTTTGACAATATCCTGAAAAGCACCCCACGCATTTTTTAGTTGGATTTTCTATGAAAGAGTATTTTGTTAGTTTTTTCAAACTATTATTTATTTACTTTAGGCAGTGCAAAAAAAACAAACAGAAAATCTCATTAAATTAAATTGATTTCAAGTCTTAAGGTAACTAGGATTAGGGTGACATTTTGATTATTTAGCGTTAGGTACCTTAGTGAGAATGTGAAAATGACGTGACAGCTCGGTGACAGGTGTCAAACTAAGTGAAGCGTCATCGCCATGTTGAAACCGTTAATGCGTCATGTTTGTATTGTTGTTTTAATGTAATGAAATATCAGTATCGGAAGTTTTTGGATCAGGGCAACTGTCAGGTGGTGTTAGAAATAACAGATGTTTTCTTTACCATTTATTTGTGTCGCTTCCACTGATTACGGCTGGCGACTATTTTCGTTTAATAAAATTATTTATGTTTTATGGCATAACGCGTTATTGTGTATCTATCTTTTTTTTTATTGCTTAGATGGGTGGACGAGCTCACAGCCCACCTGATGTTAAGTGGTTACTGGAACCCATAGACATCTACAACGTAAATGCGCCACCCACCTTGAGATATAAGTTCTAAGGTCTCAGTATAGTTATCTATGTCGAGGACGTCTTTATGTGGCTTTAAGATCTCATTTCTTTTCTTTGTATTATCTGAGTTAAAAAAAAACACTGAAGTAATGTCAAGTGCAAATCACATGTTAGACTTTTAGGGCGGGAAACCAGCAGGATATATCACCCAAGAGGGTGGCAGGTGGAAGTTAAATGCCGCTTCTTTTTAGAGGGCTTTTGTCAGGGCGAACTCAGAGCACGTAGCGAGAATTGATGTGTGATTGAAAAACTATCCAAACCTATCTTCTCCTTCGTCGCTTTCTTAATTACTGAAGGTCGTGTCCTTGAAACTTGACCCTGGCTTGCCTTATGAGCTGTTTCCACCTCGTCCGGTCCTCAGCTTCTCGTAGGGCGGTTGCGACCGACAACCCAGTTAGGGTTTTGGCCACACCAGCGGCTAGGTGATCGGCCGCGGAGTCTCTTTTCTTCCGTCTTGCCCGTCACAATCACTTTGTCTAAGTTATCCAGCTGTTGGCGGGCTGTGACCGAAGTAGCCAAGCCTATATCTTATACCTATTTCTTACAAAGAGCAAAGGCAAGGCACTTGCTTTGAGCTTTAATATCACAAAAGCCTTCAAACAGAGTCCGGCATTTCTCTCGAAGATACTTACGGAATATCCAAAGTATTGTTTGTTACTGATGCAAATGGATTGCTAGTTTTTTGGATGGTCAGAAGATCCTAATCACCCCCTGAGCTGCTAGCCGGATCTTCTCAGTGGGTTGCGATTCCGATCCGGTAGTAGATTCAGCGAAGCACTGCTCTTGCTAGAGCTAGTGTTAGCAAATTCTCTCAGGTTGAGCCCGTGAGCTCACCTACCGGTCTGCGCGATGTTGGAGCAGCTCTTTACGCTACCAACGATTAGATAGGAAATAAGAAAATATAGTTACAAGTCGCGTCGCGTCGGTTGATTTTTCGGTATCATGACCCATCAAGGCTGGCGTTCCAATAGGTTCGATGCTCTTCCCCACGGCTTTCATCCTGTATATCAGTTAAATTATAGATAACAGCATGAGGAGTGCGCGGTATATTATCTATATAGCCGTTTTTTTATATTTATTGCTTAAATGGGTGGACGAGCTCACAGCCCACCTGGTGTTAAGTGTAGCCCATAGACATCTACAATGCAAATGCGCCACTCCTCCTCCTTCATATAAGTTTTAAGGTCTCAGTATAGTTACAACGGCTGCCCCACCCTTCAAACTGAAACGCATTACAGCTTCACGGCAGAAATAGACAGGGTGGTAGTACCTACCCGTGCGGACTCACAAGAGGTCCTACCACCAGCAAAAGTTGTATGCATTGCAATACAGATAACAGCATGAGGAATGCGCGGTATATTATCTATATAGACGATATTTCTAACTTCGCATTTTCTTTTCATCGCAATTCACAAATCACTGGAGCATTTATTACTAGTTAATAGTGTTTGAGGCATTTTCGGTTGAAAATCATTCAACTGAATATTAAATAATAAAACGGATAATTAATCTTATTTTTTTTATTGTTCATTTAATTTTATGACCGGAAATCAATTTATTCATCACTGAAAAACTTATTCAGTACATATCAATATTATTAATTTGAATTAGTTTTAATGTTGTTAATTATGAAAACCTGTTATTAAATTTGAGTTTTTATCCAAAGGACAATGCCCATTTTCTATGGGCGTTTGGGCCCCTAAAAAAAGTTGTCCTGTCATGATGGTTTTAACTTAATTTGATAGACAAAGAAATATCGTTTCATATTCAGAAAACGATTTTTATATTCTCACCCAGGCTTAAGAGAAATCTGTTTTTTTCTGCAGCTAAAATTAAGTTGTTAATTGTTTTCTTCGAAATCAATAATCGCTCTCATTATTATTTACAGTATTAAATAAGTTAATTGTGGTTAATGTTGCTAGAAATAAGCCCTTACGTACATTTTATTATTATTATATCCTCATAATAATAATAAAATGAAATGAAAATCCGGAAGCCGGCAACGATATTGTTGTTGTTGTTTTTAAATTCACCAATAAGCAGGCAAAGAGCGTAGCCTATACAGCCTAGTCTGTCGAAGTTATATATTTTTTATGTCAATAAAAAGCCGGTGTATCTCTTTTTATTGCTTTTTGGGAGTTTTGACGTCAACTCGACGAATACCACATTGACTGAGCATGAGTTTACGCAGACCTTTTATACACAATATTACAAATACAAATAATACAAATTACACAATAAACTATTAAAAAAACATTAAAATAAAAATTCAAGTGACGCTTCACTCGGGTTGCTGCCAAAACTCTCTGATCATATATAATAAGAATAGAGTAATGGTAGGCCATTGATATTTTTACTAATGGAATCATTAATATCTAAAAAATTAAATAATTAATGGTTTTAAGTAATAATTATTATTACAATAAATATTTAATTGAACAAAAATAAACTAAGAAGCCTGTGAATTATAAGCATTAGCTAATTTTTTTTAATTTGTTGTTCAAGTCACAAACAACTCTTTCGTTTGACAGCATATAGGTTTGCTATAGGGCTGTATGGGCTAAGCCCTTTGCTTATTGGCGAATTTAAAAACTATGGCATGGATAGTTTTGGGATGTTATCAATTAAGTAATTAATTTTTGGAAAACAATGCCAGGTTGAAAGAAATGTTGATACATAAACTAAACAACGTGAAAAAATAAGGCATAGTTTTTCAAGTACAAATAGTTTTGACATAAATTTGTCCCACTTTTGGGCATTGTCCTTTGTACATATTAAGCTCATGAATTTCTTAAAAGCAGTTGGTCTTTTAAGCCGGTGTCCTAATTTAATTTCCTAACAAATGAAAAATAAGTATATCGATAATATGTCAAAGATCAAATCTGTGATCGTAATCACAATGTCGAAAACGAATCGGCTGAATAGTTTCGTTTAACTTCAAAATTTCAAATATTTTATACACAAAATGAAAGAATTTACTAGAGTGAGTTTTACCTACAAGAACTCTTTGATACAAAAAAAAAAACAAGCTACATTTGGCGCCAACACCGAAATTCCGAATTCAAATTAAACAGCAAAGGGCGGACACGCACACTGCAAGGACGTTCTAAGCTCAAAAGGTAACATGTACAAACTACGTCATAGTTAAATCACCTTTAATTCCAAAGAGACAAAAGCGTTAGTTTTATGAAAGACGTCTATGAATGGTAAAACGTCACAACTTCAATTGATTTCAAGGAAAAACAATTTTTATTGCAAAGGGGTAGAGGATAGATTCCAGAGAAACAAGCTCTTCATGTATTTTTAAACAATAGAAGCGTGTTATGTCAAAGGTCGAACGACTAAGGCCTTTTAAACGCGCGATTTATTAAGAAATTGTGTTTTTCGTTTTTTTTTTCTTCTTTGTATTATAAAGATTACTGTTTAAATCGTTTTAACACGCCAAAATATGTTTCGTATTTTGAAGGGTAAAGAACTTATTTAAGTAAATGCGTGTGTGGGGTCATAGTATCATATCGGGCCAGTACTCACTAAACCCTTGCTTATTGAAATTTAAAATTAAAACTTATTTAGCATCGTTGTGATTTGAAAGTCGATGAAACGGAAAAAGCGAAGGTAAAAAGAGATAGACACACAAACACAAATTCCTAGTTTTTGAATTGTTAAAACTTTGTTCTTTTTTTCTATCATATTTGTACATAACGCGTTATATGGGGTCATACAAGCGCGTTATGCGAGAATACTTCTACAACGCGTTTCCTATAACGCGGAACCAATCTACCGTGTTATAGGCGGATTAATGTAATATTTTGTAATATGTTGTAATGCAGTAATTGTTGGGTGTGCACACTTACAAAACGCTATCAAAGTCAGCAAATAAAACTCACGAAAATCTTAGCATAAATACAATTTATTTAATTAATAATATCACATTTTGTTTGAGTACAGATAAAGGATCGCGGCGGCCATGATGAATAGGCTTCCCGCCATTTTTGACGCGGATGACGCTGAAAAATTTAATGTCAATTAATTTTTTTTTTCTCTTGATTTTACTCTCGGGTTATTCAGTGACAAGAGCCTATCTACTGTCTATTGACGAAACACTCTGCGATCCACCAATGACCTTTCTTGATATTTAATGAAACAGTGTAGTTCAGTATACAAATAAGTAGCATATTTTCTTTTATTAAAAAGATTAAAATAAACCTGAAATTATATAATAAAAGAGAACTATTGTGTAGAAGGATAAATAATGTGACGTAATGATTATTATGTAACAAATGATACAAGATGAAGATGATGCGTGCAGCAATTGGTAATTTTTTGTGTTGCCACGATCGACTAAACTAATAGCCACGATCGACCGGTCGATTGCGATCTACCTACCTTTTTTTTCTTACCTAAGCTGAGAGCCTTGAGAGGCTATTTCAGCGCAACCTTAACTAGTAGGTGAGCTCACGGGGCTCAAACCTGACGACGTTGCTAACACGAACCCTAGCAAGAGCCGTGCTTCGCAGAATCTACCACCGGATCGGAAACGCGACCCACTGAGAAGATCCGGCGAGAAACTCAGTGGGCTGTGTCTGAGGGTTAATTTACTCGTCGAGCCCTTCGTCGTACGTAAGCGACGGATTCGACGAGAACGATGACCGGTGCTCGGGGTACCTAAAAGCACCATTATTGGATCGGAAGGATCCGAAATGACGTGTTAGAGACCGGTTAGCCACCCCTACTATAAACATTACAGTGTGTGTGTTCGAGGACTAGTGTTTAAAGGGAATCAGTGTGGAAACCTATCTTCAAAATGGCGCACGGTTTCTTTTCTTTTTTTTGAATTACGGCCATTGGTAATTCGATATTTTACCCTGTCTTAGTGTTTTTGGTTCGAAAGACAGTGCGAAAAGATTTTGTGACGAAAATGCGAGGATTGAAATTACATTTAAAAGTTTTTTTTATTGCTTATTTAGGCAGACGAATATACGTCCGAACGTGATGGTGAGTGGTTACCGTCACCCGTGGACTTCAGCAGAGCCAAGCCGCTACCGTAAAATTCACAGCCTCTTCCTTTAAGTTACCGCTCCTACGCCACAGTGTAGCCGATTCAGCCGTTTAGGTTAAGATGAATGTACTCACTGCAAGTGTGCAGTTCCTCAGAGTAAGGATAGCTAAAGTCGCATTGGCACAAGCTGTTCCTGCAGACCACCCTCTCGGTCAAATCGCCCAGGAAACACTGGCTGTCCCGATTGCAGACCTCAAATAATCCTGAAAATCAGACCTTTAGTTAATAAAACGAATCTATTTAGACTGTACGTTTGGTTACCTAGATGATGTTATAATAATCGCTGGTAAAGTAATTGGCTGAACACCACTAAGGATAGAAGGCAGTGGTTTACCTTAGAAGTTTTTACAAATAGGTATACTTATTAAATAATCCTACTATTATAATAATAAAAATGTGAAAGTTTGTAAGAATGTATGGATGTATGTGTGTTACTGTTTCACGCAAAAACTATTAGATAGATTTTTATGAAACTCTACAATTATATAGCACATATCTATTTGTTAAGTGTAAATTACAGTTCCCGAAGCGAAGCGAGTCGGGTCGGGTCACTAGTTATATAAATTTCATATCAAAAACTAATTTTAATCAATCAAGGAATGTTCAAATTATGCTTCTTTATTGCATGCTAAATTCTAATAAAGCTATCAATTATTAAATATTTTTGGAACGAAGTTCCTTATGGGACGATGTGGAGGGGTACCCTAACCGTGAAAAAACGTTCGTAACGTAAGATTTTTATTAGTAATGCACACAGTGTACGACTTAACTTTGTAATAACGTACAAAAAATAACATTCTTTATCAATAAAAAAATCATAATAAAAAATGTATACCCGAATGATTATTTTCTTTATACCTCGAACAGAACTTAAAATTAATACTTTTATAATAAGGAACTTCGTTCCTATCCGGTGTCCCACGACACCACACGTTTTTAATTTATTTGTATAGGAAAATATATAATAGTATGTAATTAATTATTACGTTTAGAAAAATGTTCAAGGGTATCCTCCACTTTATTAATAGGTAGGTTAATGTAATTAAAAAAAAAAAAAAAAAAGGTTAATGTAATTGTTTAATGTATTATATTGTGAATAATTTTTTTTTCCCTTACATTATTCGTTAGATTAGTTTTTGTTATTGTGTTGTTTTGTCATAATTGTAAGGAACATTGTTATACAAATTCAGCACTATATGTCTTGTTTTGTCGTGCGCACATAACTTATGTTGCAAGCCAGATTTTGTTTCTTTTTATTTGTGTTTTTTATGTATCTTTAGCTTGTGATGTGTATTGTGAGCCTAATAAAATANTACATTATTCGTTAGATTAGTTTTTGTTATTGTGTTGTTTTGTCATAATTGTAAGGAACATTGTTATACAAATTCAGCACTATATGTCTTGTTTTGTCGTGCGCACATAACTTATGTTGCAAGCCAGATTTTGTTTCTTTTTATTTGTGTTTTTTATGTATCTTTAGCTTGTGATGTGTATTGTGAGCCTAATAAAATAAATAAAATAAAAATAAATAAATAAAATATTATTATTATCGTATGAAACAAAGAAATATTTATTTAAAAAAAATATTGAAATGATTACTGTATGTTTAAGGAATCATTTGCCGTATTGAAAACAAATTGCGGTACTGGTGATGATTCTGAATTAAAACTACGGTTTATCTGTCTAAAGTTGAAAGGCGGCATGTGTGTTGTAGATGTCTACGGGCTCCGGTAGCCGCTTAACACCAGGTGGGCTGTGAGCTCGTCCACGCATCTAACCACTAAAAGAACATACAAAGGTTTGACAAAAAAATCTAACTTTGACAAAACTGAAGTATGAGTACATCATCGAGGTAGTCCGAGTCAACTAAGCACACTTTGAGAGCTGTCTTTTTTAAAGTCGGCCAACAATATCAGTCCATTGAATCTCATTACGTGAGAGCCAAATACAGTTGTTGATTACCACTGGGCTTAGGTAAACTCGATCATCAGGAGAATAAACAGCGCGCAATGAAAATGAAACTGAGCGAGACAGACACAGCCCACTGAGTTTCTCGCCTGATCTTCTCGGTGGATCGCGTTTCCGATCGGGTGGTATATTCTGCGAAGCAGTGCTCTTTCTAGGGCCAGTGTTAGCACCACTCCGGTTTGAGGCCCGTGAGCTCCCTTACACGTTAGGGTGAAGCTGAAATAGTCTCTCAAAGCTAGCAGCATAGGTAGGGAAAAAAAAAGGAAAAAAAAGAGGCCATTCGTTGACCCCGTCAGTTGAGATTCGTAAATAAATCTACAACTCACCCGTGATCGGCCAGCATCTGCCACCTCTGTGGTGGAACCCTTCCACGCATGCGCAGGCTCCCTCGAGACACACACCCTCGTTTCCTAAAGCTTGAGTACATTGCGCGGTCACGTTACAAGCCGACTGGAAGCCGTCCACATCTAAAAAAAAACAATTTGTTGTCTGTAGAATCGGTATACGGACGATAGTCTTACGTGATGACGTCAGTAGCGGAACTATTCGAACTGCCAGCTCTGACGTCACGCGAGAAGAGAGAGATTTTTTTTTATTGCTTGGTTGGGTGGACGTGCTCACAGTTACCGGAGCCCATGGATATCTACAACGTAAATCCCGCCACCCACCTTGAGATATGGGTTCTATGGTCTCAGTTACAACGGCTGCCCCGCCCTTCAAACCGAAACGCATTACTGCTTCATGGTAGAAATAGGCAGGGCGGTGGTACCTACCCGCGCGGACTCACAAGTCCTGCCATCAGTAAAAATTCCTGAATAACTCACTAGGCCAGCATTCGTCGTCGTACGCCACGAAACGCTCCTTGCATTGACATGTCATTGAGTTGTCAATCTCGAAGCACGCCGTGTTCGGGATAACGCAGTCCGAATCCACAGAACAGGTTCCGCCAATAACTGAAAATACACATACAAAGAATAACGTATGGAGATCATCTCTTTTTTTGCTTTCCTGTCGATACTGAACATGACATTAGAGCGATATTAAAGACCGTTTTTTTTTATTGCTTAGATGTGTGGACAAGCTCACAGCCCATGGTGTTAAGCGGTTACTGAAGCCCATAGACATCTACAACGTAAATGCGCCACCCACCTTGAGATGTAAGTTCTAAAGTCTCAGTATAATTACAACGGCTGCCCCGCCCTTCAAACTGAAACGCGTTACTGCTTCACGGCAGCAATAGATGGGCTGGTGTTACCTACCCGTGCGGACTCACAAGAGGTCCGACCACCAGTAAGATCCGGCTGTAGCTACTGTAATCAGCTTAATACTCACCGGGAGCGCAGAAGTCGTCGACCTGTTGGTAACCGGTGTTGCAGGAGCACACGCCATCCGTGCAGACAGCGTTCTCCGTACCGGAACATTCCAGGGAAACTTGACAAGCCTCGCCGAGAACTGAGGAGGAATCCGGAGAACGAAACTGAGTGCAATAGAGTGGAGTACCTTTCTTTTTAATACGCTTTTATTAGCTTCAGACGTATCTATGCTAGTCTGTATGTAACGGAATCTTTGAACATGATTTTGATCCCCTTCAAAACGTCGAATTAACTCGAAATTTGATATACTTATTAAGGACCCATGACAACTCAATATAAAAAAAAAAAAAATTAAAAAGTTGAAATTCAACTAAAAAATGAAAAATAAATTATAGTTTAAAAAAACTAACAAAATACGCTTTTATAAAAAATCCAACTAAAAAATAGAAAATAAACTTTAATAAATTTGAATTAAAAATAGTGTAAGAAAAAATGATTTTATTGTAAAAAAAACGTGGGGTGCATGCATGGTATCTCAGTGGTTATAAATATTTTATGAACAGATATGAGTAGAAAGGCTATTTTGATAATATCCTGAATCCGGAGAACAAAACTGAGTGAAGTAGTTAGTGTACAGTAGCTTTCTTTTTTTTTAAACAATAACTCTTTATAGGCGGGTAAGTTGCTTCGCTACGTAACGCGTTACGTTACGGCGCCAGGCTGTCTGGCGTCCCTTTCTCTCGCGTACACGGCACAGCGGTACCGCGAACGTATGTGACACATAACTATTCATATATCTTTTTCAATTTATATTACAATTTTATTATCATATTAGTATACATTACATGTAATAAACTAAGCTTTGTCTCGAGTTAAACAATTTCAATATTAAACAGTTCAACTTTGATTAGTTTAAGTTATCATTTCTTCTTCTTTTTTTTCTCCATCTTATCCCACTAGGTGGGTTCGGCATAGCAATTTTTTCTTCTTCTATCTTCTGTCAGCAGTCATCTCAACCCTCACTCCTCTCTCTCCCTCTCTCTCATATTATCATTCACACACTCCATCCATGTCTTCTTCGGTCGATCTCTACCCCCTTTACCTTGCATTACCATTTTCATACATATCCTAGTCACATGCAAGATCACTTCTGTCCGGCGAAATTTCAAACTTTAAATGGCTCGTCTGTTGCCAAAATGTCGCTTAAGCTGAACACCTTTTGACCCCTCGTTATGCAGGAGAATGGCGTCTGACTTCGCTTCGAACAAAGTACATTGAACCCGACTTTTGGTCGCGGATACCTACTTCGAACACAATGTAAGCTTATCAAGAGACATTCCAATCGCTGGAACATTCTTATCAGAGACTTAAGGACGAAACGTTTCATACTAAAATTTCGAAATTATCAATCGATCGATAATGTCTTTAATGTCGTTAGTAATAATTATCGCTTGTCTGGTTTTTAATCCGGCGAAGTTCCGCTGTAACTGGTCGAGCCCTTCGCAAGCGACGGAATCGGTGAGGACGGTGACCGGTGCTTGAGGTACCTAAAAACATCGTTAATGGATCGGGAGGATCCGTAATGACGTGTTTAGGGTGCCGCCGACTGTTTATCATTCGGTCCGCAGGATCGGGAATTGTGTCGTGAAAATAGAGATGCGGTAGTGGTATTGCGAAAACGAACCTAATCCGCTGGTGACGCAGAGTCCATCCACGGCGATCAGATCTTCGGGACAGGTGCAGTAACCCTGGCCGGCTTCGTCCTTGACGCACTGGATCTCCAGCTCACCGGCCAGACAGTCGCTATCCACTTCGCAGGTCTCACCGATACCTGGGGGTGTAGATAAGATTAGGAAGATCCTTGCACTGGTGGTAGGGAGTCTTGTGAACCAGTACGAGTAGATACCACTGCTTATTTCTGCCGTGAACCAGCAGTGCTTTACAATTGCGGGGCAGCCGTTGTAAGTAATTGAACTTAGAACTCGTGTGTCAAGGTGACGGAATTTACGTTGCTGATGCCTATGGGCTCCGGTAATGGCTTAACGCCAAATGGTGGTGGTAAGACGTCTTGTGAGTCCGCATGGCGCCTATTTCTGCCGTGAAGCAGAAATGCGTTTCGGTTTGAAGAGTGGGGTGGTACTATTGTACTGTAAAAACTGAGATCTTAGAAGTTATATCTCAAGGAGGAAGGCGGCATTTATGTTGTAGATGTCTATGGGCTCCGGTGACCACTTAACATCAAGTAGGCCGGGAGCTCGTCCACCCACCTAAGCATTTTAAAAACATCAGCGGCTTTTACTTCAAGGAGTATTTCATAGGTCATGTGTTCATTCTTCGGACTCAGGGTTTTTAAACCTTACATTAATCTATATTAACTTGAAATTCAATTTTATAAATTTCAATTTTTTTCATTTAAAATAAAGGTTAGAATATATTTTTTGTATTGTTCTTTCAAAATTAACAAAAATACAAAAGAAAACGCAAAGAATACATATCAATTAGATGTCTTCAAGTTATTAATAAAATTGAATTTGAAGTTAAAAACTTAAATAGGTACATAATAGGTACATAATAGGTTATTTATTTAAAATTATAAATTATTTATTTAAATACTGACATAGTTCGTAAGTTCTTTGTAATACTAACACAATATGAGACTGATGTCTTGAAATAAAAGGTTTTTATTATTATTTATAATATATCAAGCCAAAATGAGTCTACAGCTTAAAGGAATGTAGTTCACGTTAAAAATGCTAAAAATAATAATAATCTAATTCCTAATTAGTAGTTTCATAGAAAAATTAATTAATTTATTAACAATTGACGGTCCTGAATTTAGAAAACATAAGCACCGTCAACTTTATTAACATTCAGTTCAATTTTTATACTATCACACGCTCAATTATAGAGATACTTTTTGTACGATTTGCGCGTTTTTTTATAAGCTATTGCGTAGCTTTTATCGCGGGCTTTGAGCGCGGCGACCGAATCAAGAAATTCCGTAACGAAAATAAATGCTTAGGGCGAGTTTTTAACGTTCTCGATAGCGTAAAAGTTAACTCGAATTTGTATGGAGTTGTACGCTATCGAGAACGCTAAATAACTAACAGTAAACAGACAGAAATTTAATGTCATTTATTTATTTATTGTTAACATAGAAGTTTATTGTTAAAATGCGACCGGGCACATGTAGCTGTCAAGTTGCTTACCAGCGAAGAATCTGCAAATGTTCCTGTCGGCGTCCCACACCGCCAGCTCGGGGATGCACTCGCAGCTCCTCAGGGGCCAGGGCTGCTGCGGCGGACCGCATCTCGCCGCAGAGCCGAACGTGAAGCAGTTCATGTCGGACACGCAAGAATCCGTGATCCTTCTCGTCACTGCAACGATCAAATCAAATCAAATCAAAAAAATTGTTCAACATAAATGAAAGTACACACTTGTTGAACGTCAAAAGAACTACCGCCAATTCACAAGAACTAGTCTCCGTCCTGAGAAGAATGGGCAAGAAATTCAGCGGGCATGTCTTTTTTTTTAAAATATATATTAGTTTTTTTTTTTAATATTAGATTTTTTTTTAATATTCATTTTTACAATGAGTATTATAACGTATATACGATATTATGAATGCGACGTTAGCCCGCCGAGTTTCTCGCCGGATCATCTCAGCGGGTCGCGTTTCCGATCCGCTGGTAGATTCAGCGAAGCACGGCTCTTGCTAGGGTTAGTGTTAGCAACACTCCGGTTTGAGCCCCGTGAGCTCACCTATATGTTAGGGTGAAGCTGAAATAGCCACACGAGGCTATCAGCGTAGGTAAAAAAAAAATATGAACGTGATCAAGCAGTGCCAGACTTAGATCACGCTGGGGCTTGGAATCGCTGCTCACTGAAGTACAAATTAAAACTCTATTAAACACTTAGAATGCTTTACAATTCGCAATTCACTTCTTCCGCTTCGCTTCAGGCGATCCGTTCGCGGTTTCGCTTCGAGTAGTTCCGATTACTAACTGTCTTCATGTCATTTCTACAACGCTTTCATAGTCGACACGACAACTCTACAATTATCGAGAACATTCTCGATAAGTCAAGTCGTTTCGATATGTGTTTCCGCTATTTGATAATAGATGACGTTACAATTCTCGAGAGTTTTCGACATTACTAGTTCTTTATATATCAGTTTCTGCTATTCGACGATAGATGGCATCACTCTTACCAACGTAACAATATCTATATGTCGGAAACGGTCATTAGTTTGGTAGCTAAACGAAACGCAGCACGATTCCCGAGAGATGGCAGCACGATCGCGGTATCGTCGGAACTCGGCTAACTTCGTGCTACGACAGAGCCTAGCCGATGGAGGCGCGTAGACGCCATCACACTTACCAACCAGCCTTCTTGAGGAGCGGTGTCTCCGTCCTAAGAACCGTCATCCGTTTTCGTTTGCTAACGTTATGAGAAGATTTCTAAATTGTTCTAACAGAACAAACGTGATTGGTGTACTAAATATTTCTCTTAACTCGATCACCCTATTCGCCCCTACGATGTCTGACGATGGTGTTAATAATTTTGGCTTCTCCGACATACATTTCCCTCACGGTCTCCGTTTAATTAGCTCCAGTCGCTGGCGGCATTACGGAAATAAAAACGCGCTAATGAACCATTAATTAATTGTGCTCACAGCGCGCGAAAATCGATAATAGCCCTAAACTGCAACTCACCTTTAACGCAATCCCTCATGTTCTCATCGAAGAAGAAGTTGGCGGGGCAGGTGCAAACGCCGTCTCTTACTTCGGCGAGCAGTCCCACACACTGCTCTGACGTAGACGGCGAACCAAGTTCTGGTGGAATAGTTAAGATCTAGTGAATTAGGCCAGTGGCTCTCAACCGCCGAGTCGCAGGTGCCCCCAGCCAGATTTACCTGTCTTTTATGTACCAAAACCTAGGTGTGGCATAATACTAGGATAACAATCTAGCTCAATAAGGCTAAGAAGTAATTTTAATGTAACATTTCAGCCGTGAAGTAATAATGCGTTTCGGTTTGAAGAGTGAGCCAGCCGTTGTGCTGAAAAAACTGAGACCTTAAACCTATTATCTCAAGGCAGGTGGTGACATTTACGTTGTAGATGTCTATGGGCTCCGGTAACCACTTAACACCAGGTGGGCTGTAAACTCGTTCACTCATCTATACAATAAATAAATAATAAACTACTATTTTAACTGTCTCTAAGAATAAAGATCTTACTCAGTGTCTATTAAGGTTAAACACTTTCTTCATGTGTTCTTTAGTTATGTCACAATAATTATAACTTCTCTTCTCCATCATTCCCACACTGCTGAGGGTTGCGACCACATGTTACTTTCCTCCACAGTGTTTGATCATGGATGGTATCGACCGCATGGTGTATACCACCAACCGCTCCCTTACTTAACCAGATCTGACCATCCAGCTGGTGTTCAGCCCACGGCGCCCTTGCTATGCGGCCCATCTCTAATTCACGTCTGGGTGACCGCATGATGTAACCAATTAAGCTGATAACGCGTTCTTGGTAGATGGCAAAGAGCTTTTTTGGATGCATAGTTCAATTAAAAAGGACTAAAATGCTATTTCGATTATGAAAAAACACTGTTAGATGGCCTATAAGAAATTTCTTAGTGTCGGTTCCGTGTATTCCAACATTGGGTATGTTATAAGGTACGACCACCTATGACTACCTTCTTCTTTGAATGTTGAGGCACCCGTTGCATTATAGATCACAGATTCAGAAGGGTGGTGGTGGAAATTTGTGACCGAAAACCGTATTCTCATAAAGGGGGAGTAGAAAGAAAATCTCACCAGCTAAGCACAATGTACCAGCTTCATTCCCGTAATAACCGACGGGACAAACGCAGGAGCTAAATTTAGAGCACTGGTAAGGACTAGGGCAGGGATTGTTAAGGTCACAGAATTGTCCTTCGACGACTATTATTTCGGGTTCCTCGGTGGTGGGCCGGTCGCCCGGCTCTGCAGTTGTTGGCTCTGTGATGGGCTCAGTGACCGGAGGCGCTGGCGGAGGCTCCGTAGGTGCTGGAATATCAAAACGATTTTCGTTACGTTTGAAATAAGTCATCGTGGCCTAAAGGATAAGACGTCCGGTGCATTCGTATTGAACGATGCACCGGTGTTCGAATCCCGCAGGAGGCTACCAATTTTTCTAATGAAATACGTACTTAACAAATGCTCACGATTGACTTCCACGGTAAAGGAATAACATCGATGTGATAAAAATCAAACCCGCAAAATTATAATTTGCGTAAACGCTGGTGCTAGGACGTCTTGTGAGTCCGCACGGGTAGGTACCACCACCCTGCCTATTTCTGCCGTGAAGCAGTAACGCGTTTCGGTTTGAAGGGTGGGGCAGCCGTTATAACTATACTGAGATTGAAGGTGAATGATTACTGGTGGCCCGGAGGCCTTTCCCGTTTCACCAGAACAGGTGGGCGAGCAAAGGCTCACCCAGGAGGGGTGGGATTTTTTAACAGCTGCCCGAGACCTAACAACTCCAGAGCAACTGCTTCGCGAATGAATTTACTATCGGATCGGAATCGCGACCCGCTGAGAAGATCCGGTGCGAAATTCAGCGGGCTGATAATTCTAAACGTGCGAATTGTAGATGAATTGTGTGTTAAAATCGTAAAACATGATCAGAGATACTCACGAGCGTTCACGTCGTAGCATCTGAACGTGTTAACGTTGCAAGCTCCGCCCGGGAACTGACAGTCTTCGTCCAGGACGCATCCTTCACCCACAGCTACAAAAAAAATAATGTGACAACTTGCGAAATCCACTACGGTTTTTGAAGTGATGACTTTTTATGAGAGGGTAAGTCGTTTCGTTACGTAACGCGTTACGGCGCCAGTCTGTCTGGCGTCCCTTTCTCTCTTTTATCCCTACCTAAGCTGGTGGTAGCCTTTAGAGGCTATGCCAGCTTAGCCGAGCGTGAGATCACAGGGCTCTGACGTTGCTAACACTAGTTTTACCAACAGTCGTGCTTCGCAGAATCTACCACCCGATCGGAAACGCGACCCTCTGAGAAGATCCGGCGAGAAACTCAGTGGGCTGTGTCTGTGGGTTAATTTACTCGCCGAACCCTTCGTCGGAAGCGACGGGTTCGACGAGAACGATGACTGGTGCTTGAGGTGCGCTACATTAAGTTGAAGTAACAACCTAAGCCCTGGAGGATTTTTGAACTGTTGTGAGTGCTGAAAGTGGGACACTTTTTCAAGCTTCTCCCATATGAGACTGCTCTCCATACCTATACCCTCCATAGGATATATTTAAAGGATTCTAGGGACAGGTTCAATTTTTTTTTTTTTTGCAAACCATAATTTGTAGCAAACGGAGCATTAGAATGTGTGACAGATCGAACTTATATATAACCGTCTTAAGAATGCGATTGAAACTCCCCCCCTCCCTTACCCGCGGCTATCTTTCTGCACTCCCCCCTCTGCCTGCTGTAATATCCTGTAGCACAGACGCAGGTGCCGTCACATCGAAGACTAAACGGATCCCGCATCACGCTTAAGCACTCCTCGTGGCGCGTACAAGTCGCTCCGTACTCGGCTATTGGCCAGCAACGACCGCGGAAGTAGTGGTGGTCTTCTTGACAAAAACATTTGCCGTCTGCGGAGGAAAAAAAAAAAAACAACTGTCAAATCAATGTCATTAGTTGCGTGCGTTGGCGATGGTTTATTAACTGTTTAAAATCTGTGAAAGTGCACGAATGTGGGGAAATGAAACAAAGCCGCCGAACGTAGCTTCTCGGGAACTTCTAAAAAGTCCACTGAATAAGTTTCAGTAAATAACCACAATTTTACTGAGATTATATTATTTCATCCCATATCATCTATCTCGTTTCATTTGATTTCATGCCAATCAATTAATGTTTCAAATTAATCAACTTCATTTTATTGCGGTACATATCATTTTTCATAAAAATAAAAATAAAAAAAACACAAAAGATTATATGGTATGATACCTATGCCTTTAAAGATGAGAAAATAGAACTAGTACTGTCATTAACTGCCACTGTCAGATGTTCTGTGATTTTTTGGCGGGAACGCAACGACGAAGTGGCTTGAATCGTTTTGTTTTTTAATTTCGTATTACTTCAGGTTTAAATGTAAAGTGTATAAGTATGGGAAATAGAAACAGTTGCTGGCTTCTAAAAACTCCACTGCAGTCTTAGTAAATATAATATTACTGGTGGTAGGACCACTTGTGAGTCCGCACGGGTAGGTACCACCGCCCTGCTTATTTCTGCCGTGAAGCAATAATTCGTTTCGGTTTGAAGGGTGGGGCAGTCGTTGTAGCTATGCTGAGATCTTAGAACTGATATCTCAAGGTGGGGGCGCATTTGCGTTGTAAATGTCTATGGGCCCCAGTAACCACTTAACACCAGGTGGGCTGTGAGCTCGTCCAATTAACTAAGCATTCAAAAAAAAAAAAAAGTGTGTGTGTCCGCTCCGACGCACGACTGGAGTTTACTGGATATAAAAAATTAAACGAAACAATACGAGAAATAGTTCTATATTACGACAACACGATACACTACAGATTATTAACAAATTAACGAGACACAAAACAAACGACTAACAAATATATGAAAATACAATAATGAGAGAAACGCGCGATCAGTACGAGGCTTTGTGGCGGACTGCCGGCGCAGCAGCCCGGCGTCACCTGCGATAACGCGGCCGCGCGTTGGCTCCTGATTGGCGCGCGCACGCATCACGCAATCAGGAGCCAATCAGGCGCATAACGCATTTCGTGTGACATGCTATACTCTCTAGTACGATTTTGGTCCCCATAATTTTCATACCCCGGGCCTATATATGTAAATCGATTCTTAAGGAGTAAACTCCAAAAATTGGATTTCACTGTATTGCGTTTACTACGAAACAAATCTCACTTATACTATAGCGTCAGCAACACGGTGCCAATAAATTGTAGCTTATGTGAAGCGTTGGTATTTTGAACACAGCGCCATCTATGAGATATTAATGTCAAACGGTATTACAATTGTCTGTAAAAACTGATTTAAGTCGTCATCTGTTTTAGACTTACGAAACTTACAATTAATAACAATAATCAACATAAGAAATCATTTTATTGTTAACTAGCTGACCCGGCGAAACAAACTCAGCGGGCTTTTATTTTGTTTTTTGTCAAATATATTTTTTTGTAAGTAAAAATATTAACAATAACGGAAAAAAAAGGCAAAAAATACAATTTAAAAAAAAAAAAAAAAATGAAAAGGCCAGGAGCGAACGCCTCATCGAAATAAAAACCATCCTATGGTACAAGTTGGAACGAAACACATATTTCAAAAAATATATGTTAAAATCGGTTCAGTAGTTTAGGTGTCCATCGCGGACAAACAACGTGATACGTAATTTATATTTATTAAGAATTAATTTTTTTTTTTTCTTTTTTTGACTGAATGTTCGCCCGCAATCTATAGAAACATAATTACCTCGTTCATTGCCGCTTCGTCTGCACTCAAATGACGTGAACAGTCTTGAGCACTGATGACTTTCTACGCAAGCTGAAGTATGATACGGAGCCACTGCGAACAAAATATTTTATTATTTTCCTACCTATGCTGATAGCCTTGAGAGGCTATTTCAGCTTCACCCTAACGTGTGTAGGTGGGCTCGCAGGGCTCAAACCGGGTGTGTTGCTAACACTGACCCTAGCAAGAGCAGTGCTTCGCAGAATCTACCACTGGATCGGAAACGCGACCCGAGAAGATCCGGCGAGAAACTCAGTGGGCTGTGTCTGTGGGTTAATTCGCTCGTCGAGCCCTTCGTCGCAAGCGACGGGTACGACGAGGACGGTGACAGGTAAAACAATAAGACATACCATAAACTATAAACTATATTTCTTTTTTAAAGGCACAAGTGTACGACGTTACAGCCTAACAGGTGTAAAATAGTTGCCAGCCCAAAAAAAATGTCTTTATAGGCAGACGAGCATATGGCCCACCTGATGGTAAGTGGTCACCGTCGCTCATGGACATCAGCAATGCCAGGGGCAGAGCCAAGCCGCTGTCTACCATTAAGTACCCTCCGCAAGCCTCGTTTGAATATATGAATATGGACGTTTCGCTAATTAGATATTTTATTCTCATAACATCGATTTGTCGATTTGATCGGAACCAAAACATCGATGTTTTCCAGCTAAATATCGAATATCGATCATCCCTAGATAGAACGCTCGGTGTGCTATCACTTAGCGATGCGTTAATAACATTATCAGTTAGTCTCACCGGTGGCGCATAAGCTTCCTCCCAATACGGATTGGTGTCCGTGCGGACAGGCGCAACTTCCGCTCCTGCAGACACTTCCGGCGAGGCTCGAACAATCATCATCCTCGGAGCACGACCACAGAGCTAAAACCGCGCTCAAATGAAGCGAGCACGCTGAAGGGAAAATTATACAGTAATATTATTAAAATAATGATGCACGTGTAAGTTGATTCACATGAAAGAAGTAAAACTTCTTTTGCTGTGTGCAGTATTGTGGTTTTCTTCATTGTTCAAAAAAAAAAAATCCTACCTGTGTTGATAGCCTTGAGAGGCTATATCAGCGTTACCCTACTAGCGTGTAGGTGAGCTCACGGAGCTCAAATCGGAGTGTTGCTAACTCTGATCCTAGCAAGAGCAGTGCTTCGCAGAATCCATAGATAATACACATAAATTTGTTATAGTTAAGCAACTCAAGTACTCAACAAAAATGCTTACGGGCGTTGGCCACTAACATATTAACGATCCTATATTTTGTTTTTAATGAAGGATTTTGTAAATTTTCAGAAACCACTAATTGATAACATTTAATCAATTTGTCTATAACAATTAAAGACTTGTATGATTTTTTTTTTCTGTGTTTAGTTATACAATAATGGAATGCCTTAACTTTAACAACATATAAGTTTAGGGGCATCCGCTACAAAATGTCGCTAAGTAGATTCCTTACAACAATTTTTTTGATTTAAAGTATCACAGGTTCAGGGCCCTGCCAGAATCTACTACCGGATCGAAAACGCGACCCACTGAGAAGATCCGGCGTGAAACTCAGTGGGCTGTGTCTGAGGGTTAATTTACTCGTCGAGCCCTTCGTCGCAAGCGACGGGTTCGACGAGAACGATGACCGGTGCTTGAGGTACCTAAAAACACCGTTAACGGTTCATTCTTAAATAAAATTTCTCTTGTAATAGGGAATGCTGTGTATAAGAGAAACGACCTATTTCGCTTTCTCCCTCTCTCCATGGTCGAGTGGTTTGCGAGACGCTTTGATGACAAAAATATTTGTTATCACGATTGGCGTATAGGTCACCAGTGCCCTACGCGGCGCATTTAGTCATAAAATTAAAATTCCCAAAATTATAATTGTGGTAGGACCTCTTGTGTGTCCGCACGGATAGGTACCACCACCTCGCCTGTTTCTGCCGTGAAGCAGTAACGCGTTTCGGTTTGAAAGGTTATGCAGCCGTTGTAACTATACTGAGACCTTAGAACTTATATCTCAAGGTGGGTGGCATTTACGTTGTAGATGTATATGGGCTCCAGTAACCACTTAACACTAGGTGGGCTGTGAGCTCAAGCATCAATCTAAGCAATAAAAAATAAACAAAAAAATGGCGTGTAATTTTTCTATAAACAATTCGCTTCCGATGGTAGATTCTGCAAGGCACTGCTCTTGCTAGGGCTAGTGTTTGCAAATTCTCTCAGGATGAGCCCGTGCGCTCACCCACCCGTCCGGGCGTGACTGGAATAGCCTCTTAGACTATAAACAAAAAGGTAGGGATTTTTTTTGTAGCATATTCTCGAATTAAAACTTACCGAAAATGAAAAGGAAGTTGTTCGACCACATTTTGCTTTTTGGAGTTCCCTATTTAGAGCTATTTATTTACGGCTAATTAATTTTGAAATTACATTGAACGCGTCCAGTACAGTTAAGCTATGATTCGATACCGAATGATTTTTTTTTTGATTCATTATCACGTAATCTAGAACTTAGCTAATGCGCTGTGATAACGCAGACCAACGAATCATTTAGACACGAATTTAAATAAAATACAATCGGTTTTTAATCACAATCGCAACTAGTAAGTAGTGACCGATGTTTTTTTTTATCGCTTGGATGGATGGACGAGCTCATAGCCCACCTGGTGTTAAGTGGTTACTGCAGCCCATAGACATCTACAACGTAAATGCGCCACTCACCTTGAGGCATAAGTTCTAAGGTCTCAGTATAGTTACAACGGCTGCCCCACCCTTCAAACCGAAACGCATTACTGTTTCACGGCAGAAATAGGCAGGGTGGTGGTAACATCCCGTGCGGACTAACAAGAGGTCCTACCACCAGTATATCAAAATACATGTTCTTGTACAGTCGAACCTTCACCGTGGAAGTCAATCGTGAACATTTGTTGAGTACGTATTTCATTAGAAAAATTGGTACCCGCCTGCGGGATTCGAAAACCGTTACATCACTACATACGAATGCACCGGACGTCTTATCCTCTAGGCTACGACGACTACATTAGGCAGCTTATCATGGTGCACAGGAAATAGCATAAGTCGTACGCCTTTTTTTGCTTCCCTACTTATTTGTTGGCAGCCTAAGGGCTATTCCAGTCGCTAAAGCTATCCCTAGCAAGAGCAGTGCTTCGCTGAATCTACCACCGGATCAGAATCGCTACTGGTGGTAGGACCTCTTGAGAGTCTCCGCGGGTTGGTACCACCACCCCGCCTATTTCTGCCGTGAAGCAGTAATGCGTTTCAGTTTGAAGGGCGGGGCAGCCGTTGTAACTATACTGAGATCTTAGAACTGATATTTCTCAAGGTGGGTGGCGCATTTACGTTGTAGATGTCTATGGGCTCCAGTAACCACTTAACACCAAGTGGGCTGTGAGCTCGTCAACCCATCTATGCAATAAAAAAATAAAAATAAAAAACCTTTTGACATGATCCGAAAGGACTTTTCTTCTTATATATGTATCTGTAACCAGTTCTATGATTTGCATTTTATTATTACGAACATTTACACGAAAATTTTGTTTGGCAAATACCAATATGGTCACATTACAACGCTTCATTCGATTATCGTGTTAATGTTAAATGCTTTTGACGCTTAAATATCTATTCATACGACATTTTTTTCCAATAGAAAGACCTATATACTTTTCTACGTCAGTTTGTGGTAAAAACATCAATGTTTTATTTATTTATTTATATTGCTTATGTGTGTGGATGACCTCACAGCCCACCTGTTGTTAAGTGGTTACTGGAGCCCATAGACATCTGCAACGTAAATGCGCCACACACCTTGAGATATAAGTTCTAAGGTCTCAGTATAGTCACAACGGCTGCCCAACCCTTCAAACCGAAACGCATTACTGCTTCACGGCAGAAATAGACGGGGCGGTGGTACCTACCCGTGCGGATTCACAAGAGGTCCTACCACCAGTGATTACGCAAATTATAATTTTTGCGGGTTTGATTTTTATTACACGATGTTATTCCTTCGCCGTGGAAGTCAATCGTGAACATTTGTTAAGTACGTATTTCATGAGAAAAATTGGTACCTGCCGGCGGGATTCGAAGACTGGTGCATCGCTAGATACGAATGCACCGGACGTCTTATCCTAAAGGCCTAAAGGCCACGACGACTTCACGACGACTTTTATTTAATATACTTTTGTTTATATCCTTCTATTCGTATATCAGTGGATCCCAAATTTATTTTGTCTAAGTACTGCCCAATTTGAGAATAAATAATATTTTTGACGCCCCATTTTTTCGCTTACTTAAAAACCACTATAGCGAGAGCTCAGTCCGTGTCTTAAGAGTTCTGATAGATGAAATTACAAATCGCCTCCCGAGCCTCTACACAACGCCCCCATTTGTTTTCTGGGTCTCTTATTGGCCTTTTAGGCCTGCACGTCCATATGGGGGCGTTATCGTCCACTTTGGGAAAGGCTGTTCTATATGTATTCTCAGGTTCTTCTAAGTCGTTTGCAATGTTGCCAGGGTGATTGTGGTCATCTGTTCTGGAGGTGGCATGCTTCACAAGACGTCAACATTCCTCGCACACCGCGGCCCTTCTTGAGCGCTCATTGACGGGACCTTAAAAGGTCCCGTCAATGAGCCCCTAAAGGGCTGCCTTGATTATTTCGGTCCATAGTAACGGTTACTAGCCCACAGACACAGCCTACTGAGCTTCTCGCCGGATCTTCTCAGTGGGTCGCAATCCGGTAGTAGATACAGCGAAGCAATGCTCTTGCTAGGGCCAGTGTTAGCAACGCCTCCTTGTTTGAGCCCCGAGAGCTCATCTAAATGCTAGGGTAACGCTGATATATAGCCTCTCAAGGCTATCAACTTAGGTAGACAAAAAAAAATGGTGTACCCTCAATCATGCTCTGCACCACAAGGCACTCCACTAAATCATCGCACATATCCGACATTGCCAGACATTGTCCTATATTGTAAGATGGAAAGAAACAGATGGTAGTGGTACAGCCCAATGCGTTGCTTCGACCAAATTCGCACCACCCTTGATTCCACCAGTTACAATGATCTTCAAGAGTACCACAGGTAGCCACCACTGCCCAGCCTATTTCTGCCGTGAAGCAGTAATGCGTTTCGAAGAGTGAGGTAGGCTTTGTACCTACTATTAAAAACCTTACAACTCATCTCGAAGATAGAGCGCGGCATTTGCGTGTCGATGGACTCGGTCAACCACTTACTATCAGATGGGCCGTGTGCTCGTTCACCTGTATACACAATTTAAAAAAAACTTATAAAAAGCGTTCTATTTTCATTCAGCTATCACAGCTGGCAGGCGGCCGGTAGGCAGCGGCTTGGCTCTGTCCCTGGCATTGCTGAAGGCCATGGGCGACGGTAACCACTCACCATCAGGTGGGCCGTATGCTCGTCTGCCCACAAGGGCAACAAAAAAAAAACAACAGTTTGTCATATCTGGATATCATTAGGACAATTTTAAAAAATCTACTAAAAAGCGTTCTATTTTCATTCAATTATCATAGCCGTTTGTCATATCTGGACATTACTAGCTCTACGAGTTTTAACATTGAACGAGCTATCCTGCAGGTGTTCGGAATCATAAACTCGCAATCAGCGGCTTATCGAATGTTTTCGTGATAAATAATAATAATAATGTAGCTTCGATCGCAGCTGAGCGACATAGGCCGCCCTGTAGAATTAGAAGTAGATTACTATTATATTAGAATATACATTAGAATACGTCTCCACGAATACTGTAAGGTATCTTCTTATAAATCGATGAACGCCGACTGCGCGCACGAAAAAGTATCACGTTCCGCCCGATCCTAAGCGTGCGAGCGAGAGCGCGGAACGATAGAGAGGCACGATCGACCCAAGCATTGGCTTGTGACACATTGTGACACGTTTATGTCTCTTCTCGCGTGACGTCAGAGCTAGCTATTCGAATAGTTCCGCTACTGACGTCATCACGTAAGACTATCGTCCGTAAATCGACTTTACAGACAACCATAATTAGAACTCAGACAGACAGAAATCAACAGCGTAAATGCTACCACCCACCTTGAGACAACAGTTCTAAGGTCTCAGTATAGTTACAACAGCTGCCCTGCCCATCAAACCGAAACGCATTGCTGCTTCACGGCAGAAATAGGCAGGGTGGTGGTACCTACCCGCGCGGAATGACAAGAGGCCCTATCACTAGTAGATGAAATAAAATGAACGGTGTTTCAATGGTGCTCCCTGAGTGATGTGTCGTATCCTGGTCGGAGGCAGAAACTTGGCTGTCAATAGCATTGTCAACCAGGTGTCCGCGTGATCTACCATTGACGATACAAAATTAGTAAAACGATCATTTGGTAAGCCTCTTTGCGTTATGGACATATAAAAATAATATATTCCACTGGTGGTAGGACCTCTTGTGAGTCCGCACGAGTAGGTACCACCACCCCGCCTATTTTTGCCGTGAAGCAATAATGCGTTTCGGTTTGAAGGGTGGGGCAGCTGTTGTAACTATACTGAGACCTTAGAACTTATATCTCAAGGTGGGCGGCGCATTTACGTTGTAGATGTCTATGGGCTCCAGTAACCACTTAACCCCAGATGGGCTGTGAGCTCGTCCGCCCATCTAAGCTATGAAAATAAAAAAATCTAAATAATATATCATATTATAACCCTATGGTAAGAATGGTCAGGCAGTATAATGATTTGGCTAAATGTCACGGTGACCTTGATATCTTTGAACCTAGACTCAGGGGATTTGTCAGATGTGTAAAGGATATGGCTAGTTATCTATATTTGTAATTTCAATTGTGTTTTCAATAGCCAAATACATTAATATGGATTGCTAAGTGCACATACTATTTAGATTGCAATCTAGATTAGATCTAGGTACTGCTTGTACGATTTAGCTAATATGTACCGTAATGATTGTAATTAGTTTTGTGGATCAATCAATTAAAAAAAAAATTGTCTAACTATGAAGCCAGTCTGAATATTCCTTTAACTCAGATTTGAATTTAATATGCTTATTAGAGTAGCAACATGTAACTTATTGTTTGACTGTGTGTCATATTTGAGTTTGTGATTTGTTTTTGGTTATCCTTTAAAATTAAAAGTAGGAAAGACGATCGAAAAAATATATATTTGTGTATGTCATACATAATAAATTTATAAATTTTGTTGTTTTTTATTTATTCAGCTAGTTAATTTATTTCATACTAGCGGCCCGTTCCGGTTTCGCTCGGGTCCTTAACAAAAATTTTTGGTAATTTTTTTACACCTTGGGTTACATTATTGGAGTTTTAGTAAGAATCCCTAATTTTTGTTAAAAAATAATACAGCCTATGTCACTCGGGGATAGCGTAGCTTCCAAACAGTGAATGAATTTTTCAAATCGGTTCAGTAGTTTCCGAGCCTATTCATTACAAATAAACAAATCTTTCCTCTTTATAATATTAGTATAGATATAGATATAAGAAAACAGTTACACTTATTGAATTATTTTCGTTCCAAAACAAATTTTGATAACGTTTTTCTTTCTAGGTCCTACGTACCTACATACCTACACTGCTTTGAAGATTGTTAGTGAAATTCAAGAATTTTAATTTAAATAATAGAAATGCCTGCAATTATTTTTTATTTTAAGTTAACATCCAATTCTTATCATAAAAGAAACCTCCACTTGACAGATCACTAATTTCAGAACGTTTCAGTGACATTATCTCAAATGGTGACATTTCAAAAATAAACAAGCGTCAGCCTGTGGTCGCTGTAATTTGTCATGTAAACATTAAATTGATAAAACAAAATTATTAATAAATACGGTACGCTGTTATAAAAATACAGTAAAATGACCTAAAAATGGTATAAGCAGCCTAAAACTAGGCTAAAGTTTTTTAAAAAATTCAATAATATTAAAACATGGATTAACCTCCATTAACAATGAGATTTAAAAATTTTTTATTCAACTTTTTACTCGTTAATACAACAATTATTGGAGATTACGTAGTTTTCAATTCAAAATATTCTGATAGCCAATTATTCCGAGCAATAGCGGACAGCATAGTGCATGCATCAATAGGATTTCTGTCATCATTGATTTATTTTACATATAACCACAATACGAGCGTTCCTATTCACATAAACGTTTTCATTTGCACTTTTGTATCTTCATTTATCGACGTCGACCATTTTATTGCCGCCAAATCAATTTACTTAAAGGTATGTTTGTGTTTCAATAATTTTTTTTTCTATAAGAATTACGATCTTCTCTTAAGCTATCCGATTTACGCGCCATGGTTAAATCTAGTAGGATAGCTACTTGGGCCCTTCATGCGGCCAATGATCGGAGGCGCTGGCGGGACATCACAAGGAGTAAAATCATGTCGAATTATAATGGTCACGACCCTCAGCAGTGAGGTAACGACGCGAGGAGGAGGAGCTACTTGGGGACCTTGTTTTACATCATGCACCTAGCAACTTCGGTCTCATGAATACTCATCCGGTTCTAGGTTGATTCCCTGTCAGTATTTTATGACTATGACTCTAGATAAAACTATCTAAAATGACTCTTAAAAAATCTACCAAAATTTTAAGCGAAGCATAAGTATTTGTGTGCTGTTGAAAATATTCACAATACTAGCCAACTTCAGCTTTACTATTTTAGTTTTAATCATTATTCCTTATTGTTACTTAAGCAACATAAATAATATGTATTGAATAATTCCAGGATGCTCTGAATTTGAACCGCCGAGGTACCTTGCACTGTACCACCCTGTGGATACTCATTACACTACCCTTGCTTCTGTACAGCATCATAATGAGACATCTGAATATCTACACGACAACATTAATGTTAATACTGGCATACTCATCACATCACATTCGAGACGGCAGCAGACGAGGCCTATGGATGTATCCGTTAGGTCACACGGAACCTTTGAACAAAACGGTATATTTATTTTTAACCATCACGATACCTAATGTATTGGGTTATGTTACTAATTGTTACAGTATTAATTTAATGAGAAACAGCGGTGGGGTTATACATTTGTGATCTAGTGTTTATCTGTTCGGTATATTGAGAATTAATAAAAAAAAAGGAAGGTTGCTAATTTTATATCACGCGATTTTAGTTCCTCGTATAACATTGGTATTCCCCCGTGTAACACAAGGATTTCATATCGACGCTTGAAAGGCAAACGTGACTAAGCGACAATGCGTGAACTTTACAATAGACTAATTTAAAGTTGAAATACCTGAAAACAAAATTTATTTTAACGAATCTAGCTGTAGTAGAATCTAGCTAGTAGCTGTAGGATTGAAATGATTTTAATAGACCTAGAAATAATTTTTTTTTTGCGCATCGAATATGGTTATTGCCTATTATTTATGTACAAATCAGTTATTGTCGCTTAGTCACGTTTACCTTTCATGCGTCGATATGCTACACATATATTGCTGTAGTACTCTGAAGTTTATTATTTGTACAGTTCATAATTAATTTCACATACTTTTACAAATTGTGTTCTTATAAAACTAAATTAAATTAATTTATTAAATTTGTATTATATTTGTACATAACGCATTATAAGTGGTCATGCAAGTAAATTATGCGAGAATAATCTTACCGACACGGTTCGTATAATACATAACCAATCTACCTTGTTATACTATATTATATTACTGTATTATTGTTATATTCTATAGACATAAATCATTTAAACCAGTTGTTGATAAATCTTTACTATAAAAATAATTAAAAAAATATTGACTAAAAATATTGGACTGCATCTGAATCGTATAAAGCTATATATTCCTAAGTTTATGACACTGATATCTGTATAAACAAAAATTAATGTCTGTATTTTCATTGTTATATGTTCCTATACTCTTTGAGGAAATTTGATACAGTTTCGAGGAAACAGTTTTTCTCACTTCAGAGTAGGTTTCTGGTGTAGTAAGATCAACTGGGGAGACGCATGTGTTTTGTTTAAAAAAAATACGTATTCTTCAAGCTTAAGTTAAACGGCCGTCTGGTGTAGTGGTAAGGGACATGGTCACTACAAATGGGGGTCGCGGGTTCGAATCCCGCCAAGGGAAGATATTTGTATGATAAATATAAATGTCTTTTCCAGGGTTATGGATGTATATTAAATATATGTATGTGTATAATAAAAATCTTATATTTATTTCCGTTATCTGGTACCTGTAACACAAGTTCTTTACGAACTTATCACGGAACCAGTTAACGTGGCGTGATTGTTAGTAAATATTTATTTATTTAATTCCAAATATCTGTAATGAGTGTTGACAAGTTGAATTTTTTTTTTATTATTTATTTTTTACTTTTTATTGAATCATGTTTAAATATGGGAAAACACCAGTTTTAAGAAATAATTTACTATACAATTAACATGAATAGATTACAGGCGATGGCATTTATTACCTTAACATACCACTCTTAGGATGTAATTTTTCATGTTGCCGCACCAATAAAACAATTGAAACTTATTCATTTACTAATGATAGGGCAATTTGTGTGTTCGCAAGGGCTGGTTCTCAGAACCATGAGTAACTCTGCCGTTGTTATGGGTCCTGGTTTAAAGGATGAGGCAGCTATTGTAGTATGAAACTGAAACTTAGAAATCATATCTCAAGGTGGGTGGTGGCATTTACTTTGTTGATGTCTATGGACTCCTGTAAACACTTACAAATGGACCGCGAGGTCGTCCATCCATCTAAGCAATGAAAAAAAATAATACAAAATGTGTGCAATTCACACGTGGTAGAAGTGAAACCTTCCAAAATTAAAATACAATTATCCTAAACGTCTTAAGTATATGTAAAATTTTGTCATTAGTAAATAATTGTAAGGTAGCGCCCTCTGTGAATTGATATTTTAATTTCACGTATAATCCTAAATTAAAATTCACTACAAGAGCTTTCATACACACGTTAGTATTAAAAATCTCACAGATGGCGCTGTATTAAATAGTATGTATATTTCTGTCTCATTCTTTGCTGGCTTCATCCTACACATTTTTGTATTTGTGTCTCTTACCTGTCGTTTTTTCCGTTGCATCCGGTTTGAAATCACAACGATTCTAAAGAAGTTTTCACTTCAATTAAAGTATTCGAAACATGGCCATTAACATAGTAATTGAAGTTGATAAAAAAAATACTATGCAATAGCTTTACCACGGCAGTCCCCGAGTGCCACACGTGTTTTTTTTTCTTTTTTTTTCAACACATCTATAGTTTAAATTTTTTTTAGTTCAACTTTTTGTACACGTACCTTGTATCCAAAGAAATGTGATAGTTTTTTTTTTTAATTGACATTGCTTTTTTTTTTTGGGGCGGGTTATGAAATAAAGGTGCCTTATATGTTAAATATTGTTTTATTTATTACGTACACATTCTGTCGCTCAAGTTGAGCGCATTGAGCGAAACTGACCAAAGCTTATATGGCGGATGATGTTTAAAGTAAGATTTTCAAGATAGTATTTTCCACTGTTAGTAAACCCGACTTTGTAGGGCTGAATATTTGTTAACCCTTTGACTGGCGTGTAGGTCACCGGTGTCCTACGCGGCGCACTGAATCATGTCGATTTCTATTACTAAAGCCCCGGAATATCTAGTAGACTCTGGGATAAAGGAATCCGAACGATACTAAGAATGAATTGGGTGGACGAGCTCACAGCCCACCTGGTGTTAAGTGGTTACTGGAGCCCAGACATCTACAACGTAAATGCCGCCACCCACCTTGAGATATAAGTTCTAAGGTCTCAGTATAGTTACAATGGCGGCCCCACCCCTCAAACCGAAACGCATTACTGCTTCACGGCAGAAATAGGCGGAGTGGTGGTACCTACCCGTGCGGACTCACAAGAGGTCCTACCACCAGTAAAATCGACGTAATCACTTGATGCACATTTAGTGATATACATGCCCGTCAACGGGTTAAACTTTCGCGCACAAAATACTAATCTGATTTCGATAAAGTTTCACTCAAAGGTATTTATTTTACATAAGCCCAAAATAAATTTGCAGAAAACTGTAAAAATATTTTTATTCTCCCGGCCACACTACGCTCTCGATCCAGTCTATGAAGCTGGCAACCCTCGTGTAGATCGCCGGGTAACCGCTCTCGGCGCATCGACGTCCGAACGACGTCACTCCAACAACGTGGAAGATACACTGGTTATCCTTCGAAGCCACTTGAAGGGGAGATCCAGAGTCGCCCTACAAAAAATAATAATTTTTGAAGTGATAGCCTCCGTAAATGATATAATATTGTTACGCCGGTAAGAGCAACGCCATCTGTCGCCGAATGGCGGAACCGAACATCAAAACCCTAGAACGATCGGGAAGTATAACACCATCTTTTTTTTATTTTTTTTTATTGCCCTTTTAGGCAGACGAGCATACGGCCCACCTGATGGTGAGTGGTTACCGTCGCCCATGGACTTCAGCAATGCCAGGGGCAGAGCCAAGCCGCTGCCTACCGGATATTGTCGGATAGCGTAAACACATATCGAAACTACTCGACTCGTCAGGAATGTTCTCGATAATTCTAAGGCTGTCGTATCGACTGTAAAAGCGTTGTAGAGATGGCACGCACGCAGTCAGTAATCGGAACTACTCGAAGCGAAACAGCGAACGGATTACCTGAGTGCGGTTGTGTGGTTACCGGAATGCCGCCACCCACCTTGAGATATGATATGAGATATATTACCTGACATGTATCCTTGCCTCCCCTCAGCTCGCCAGCGCACATCTGCGTCGCCGCGAACCCTTGCCACCTCCTGTTCCTAATCGCTTCCAGTATACCATCACAGTATTCATTCTGCAGCAGCGATAATGACACCTTCTGTAACTCCTTAGCGGTTTCTCTCGTCTCTGAAAACCCAAAAGGCTTGCAAGACTGGTGGTAGGACGTCTTGTGAGTCCGCGCGGGTAGGCACCACCACCTATTTCTGCCGTGAAGCAGTAATGCGTTTCGGTTTGAAGGGTGAGGCAGCCGTTGTAACTATACTTGAAACCTTAGAACTTATATCTCAAGGTGTGTGGCGCATTTACGTTGTAAATGTCTATGGGCTCCTGTAGCCACTTAATATCAGTTAGGGTGTGAGCTCGTCCATCCATATAATAAATAAAAAAAACGTCAAACTCTCTGTACCGTGCTTTGAAGCAAGCCTTGTGGCTAAAAGATCGCAAAGACAAAAGCATAATTGCTTATGTGGTTAAATTGACACTTAAGCAAACTATTTTTTTTATTTATTTATTGTTTAGATGAGCGGATGAGCTCACAGCCTACCTTGAGATAGAACTTTAAGGTCTCAGTATATTTACAACGGCTGCCCCGCCCTTCAAACTGAAACGCATTACTGCTTCACGGCAGAAATAGGTGGGGCGGTAGTACCTACCCGTGCGGACTCACCAGACTTTTTACCACCAATATATTAAAACAACTTGAATGTTTGTTTTAGCGTTCTAGATTCCTTACTGGTTTCACTGAGCGATTGGAGTTACCTGTGTTAGTGACTCCCCAGCCCGTGGCCAGAGCCTTGTCGTGGTCTCCGAAGTCCTGCCGCGTCCACAGGCAAGCTGGTCGTATGGCTGCCGAGAACTCCACGTCAGTAGCGAGCTCCAGGAGTGCTATGTCGTTGTAGACCATCGGTGGAGCGTATTCCGGGTGCTTGTTGATCTTCCGTATCGGTACCTAATAGACAGAAATAAAATTTATCAGCCACTCATAGACATCAAATCAATCTGCGCTTGAGTGCTTCACAATAGAAATAAACAGGATCGCGGTTCCTACTAGTTTTCTTTTTATGATTGAAGGATTACTGGTGGTCCTGAGGCCTTTCCAGTCAACAGAACATATGGGCGGAAAAGGCTCAGCCAAGAGGGGTGGAATTCCCTAACAGCTGCCCGAGCGCCTCCGAAGGAGACCAAACAACTCAAGAGCAACTGCTTCGCGTCCGGATCCGCGTCGGATCGGTAAGGACGTGGGTTCGTATTAGTGTGGACTCACAATACGGTTCTTTTTAGTTTTTTGCGAATATCGAAGGATCTAGTAGCATCTAGAGCGCTCGAGAAGTACAACGCCATCTATTGTCGGATAGCGGAAACACAATACTAGACTTTTTTCAAGACCAAAATTAGCCAAATCGGTCCAGCCATTCTCGAGTTTTAGCGAGACTAACGAACAGCAATTCATTTTTATATATATAGATAGATACTAGTTGGCCCAGCAGACTTGGTAGTGCCTCAATCGATAAATAAAAGACACATCAAGGGGACACATCAAAGGAAAAACAAAATTGTTTGTTTTTACACAATTCCGAGCTTTTTTATGTTTTCTCACCTTTTAAACCTTCCCTGGACTTCCACGAATAATTCAAGATCAAAATTAGCCAAATCGGTCCAGCCGTTCTCGAGTTTTAGCGAGACTAACGAACAGCAATTCATTTTTATATATATAGATAGAATAGATGACTCACATCAATGGGGCTGGCTCCGTCATCGACGGTGGGGTCTATATTTTGGTCCCCCAGCCTCACGATCACGGGTTCCGGGTCCTTGGCCTCTGGGTTGCTGGAGCAGTGTCCGGCCGTCAGCACGAATCGGGGACTGATGAGGCTGCCCCCGCAGGAGAAGGTGTAGGAGCCTTCGAAATTAGTCCAACCTATGGCGGCCTGAAAATATTAGGGTGCTATTGACTCACGGGTGCTCAGTTAAGGTCACGGCTGCTCAAGGAAGGTCACGGGTGCTCAAGTAAGGTCACCTGTGCTCAAGAAAGGTCACGGGTGCTCGAGTAACTTCACAGGTGGTCAATCAAGGTCACAGGTGCTCAAGTAAGGTAACGGGTGCTCAAGTAAGGTAACAGGTGCTCAAGAAAGGTCGTGAGCACTTGCGGCGATGCGTCTTCTACGATCGACAAGTTTCACTATCTCACACAAAATATACCCGTCCCCTCAAACCCAAAATGCTCTCATAGAATTCTCAGATACAAATGTCTGATTACCACATCCTGCAGCATCAGTTGAGCCACCTTGTGTCTATTATCTTTTATTAATCTAGAAACATCTAAGAGCGAAAGGCAATAAATGATTTTATTATCATCTTCACCATATGCGGGAATTCCCCGTTATTAGCGTTCTCTCCGCCGACAATAAGTTTGATTCCGGTGTAATCGCATTTCGCCGCCGATATGGACAGGATATCCGGGTCGGGCAGAAGCGGAAGGTAGTCCACCTTCTCGACCACGCCACGGCTGTACTCCTCGCACTCTGAAAGCCATTAAAACCCGAAAAGTCACCAAGTAGCGTATAGTAGTACCATGGTCTATCGGATCCTCCCGATCGTCGCTGCTTCACCAAGGGTCCCCATGGTCCTTGAGCAAGAGCGGCAGGCCACCAGTAACGTCAGGATGTACATACGAGAACACTGCCACTCTTGTCCTTTAACCTTGTCGCGGCGAGGCGCTCAGCGAGTCTTTTAACTTTCTCGATAGCGTAAAAGTTAACTCGGATTTGTATGCAGTTTCAACGTTAGCCTACGTTTGCCGCTAGAGGCGCTGTTCCAGCCCAGTATAACCCCTCGAGGCTACTTTTGAAGTGAAACTTCTTTAGGCGCGTTGAGAGTAAAATTGAACTCGCCACAGATTCGTTACGGCTAGAGAGAAAAGATACAGCTTAGGACGAACGAGAGTGAGAGAATAGACAGAGCGTCTCGCGAATCACTCGACCGCGGAGAGAGGGAGAGAACAAAGTGAGCTAGGTCGTCTCTCTTATACACAGCATTCCCTATTACGAGAGAAATTTGATTTAAGGATGAGAAATGAAGAAAACCACAACCTCAAAACACATATACGTGCACCATTTTGTTTTTACTATCTAAGCTGGTAAACTATGTCTAAACTATTACTGGTGGTAGGACCTCTTGTGAGTCCGTACTGGTAGGTACCACCGCCCTATCTATTTCTGCCGTGAAGCAGTAATACGTTTCGGTTTGAAGGGCGGGGCAGCCGTTGTAACTATACTTAAGACCTTAGAACTTATATCTCAAGGTGGGTGGCGCATTTACGTTGTAGATGTATATGGGCTCCAGTAACCACTTAACACCAGGACCGGTTGTGAGCTACACCTAAGCATCTAAGCAATAAATAAATAAAATAGTTATGCTAGCGTCAATCTTTTACATCATTCTAACAAAACTTACTTCTTTCACTGGTCCTTTTTGTATTGCCCGTCGTATCCCAAACATTAGGAGCACTGAAACACAGAGAATCGATTAATTATCCTGACTGCTTTGTGTAAAGTTAATTTGCAATTGATTTCTTCATAGGCGGACGCTATGTAATGAAAACTGTCCTTAAGGGTAAGGCTGTGGATACCTCATTGCTTTGTATAAAGTTAATTTGCAATTGATTTCTTCATAGGCAGACGCTATGTAATGAGAACAGTCTTCAAGGGTAAGGCTGTGGGTATTAGAGTTGATAGTATAGAAACTCCTAATGAAAAGAAAACATATACATAGAAAGCAGTGACAAGAGGTGTCATAAGAATAAGTAAAAAAATGTCTGTCACTTCGTGAAGTAAAAAAAAATACATGTGTGCAATTCACACGTGGTAGAAGTGAAACCTTCCAAAATTAAAATACAATTATCCTAAACGTCTTAAGTATATGTAAAATTTTGTCATTAGTAAATAATTGTAAGGTAGCGCCCTCTGTGAATTGATATTTTAATTTCACGTATAATCCTAAATTAAAATTCACTACAAGAGCTTTCATACACACGTTAGTATTAAAAAATCTCACAGATGGCGCTGTATTAAATAGTATGTATATTTCTGTCTCATTCTTTGCTGGCTTCATCCTACACATTGTTGTATTTGTGTCTCTTACCTGTCGTTTTTTCCGTTGCATCCGGTTTGAAATCACAACGATTCTAAAGAAGTTTTCACTTCAAAAAAATAAGAAAACTGTGATTTCGATAATAAATTCTAAAACATCGACGTAACTAATACTAATATATAAAAGTGTTTTAGTATATTATTTCGTAACTGCCTGCACTCTGCGATTTAAACAACCACGCTCTGCTATGAAGAACTTTAAATTATATCAGTGGGTATCTGATTGCTTTGTATAAAGTTAATTTGCAATTGATTTCTTCATAGGTGGACGCTATGTAATGAAAACTGTCTTTAAGGGTAAGGGTGTGGGTAGCAAGTTATAGCTCAAACAGCTTTTGTCCGCGACTCCGTCCGCGTGGAATAATTACTTTAGCATAATGCTTTTACCCGCCTCTTTATTTACGTAGAAAGTGAAACGATTTATGAATTTTGAATGATCTTTTAAAGGGGAACAATTCTCTCATACATTACTTTAGTGAAATTTTAACGGTTTCCGCAGCGCACGCAGCGGAAGCTCTCAAAAGGGATTAAAACCCCGATTTTGAAACATTCTTTATTGATGCTCCGCTTGTATTGATCTTAGCGTGATTTTATATAGCCTATAGCCTTCCCCGATAAATGGGCTATCGAACACTGAAAGAATTTTTCAAATCGGACCAGTAGTTCCTGAGATTAGCGCGTTCAAACAAACAAACTCTTCAGCTTTATAATATTAGTATAGATAACTTTCGGCGCCATCTTTGACATAACGCCACTCGTTGCGGCGACATCGATTAGTGTGCTTATTGTGTGAGCTTTTTAACGTTCTCGATATCGAAAAAGTTAACTCGAATTTGTAATGGAGTTGGAACAGCGCTCTTAACGGTAAATATAACGCAAACGTTCCAACTCCATACAAATTTGAGTTAACTTTTACATTAACGAGAACGTTAAAAAACTTGTACTAGGCACACTGACAACGTGCATACGAAATTTAATGGCGGTCGACTCAGTAGTCATGACCTCAACATCGACGCAAGCAAACTAACTTTCACAGATAAACTAGACACATAAATTAATAATAGATAAGCAATTCAGCACTCAACAAAAATGTTTAAGAGCGTCGGCCACTAGATGGCTTCACTTCGATTAGTTTCTCATAGCTCCTGCAGATGGTAGTAACAAGTTATCTATCCTGTATTTTATTTTTAATGAAGGCTTTTGTATATTTTTAGAAACCACTAATTGATAAAATTCAATCAATTTGTCTATAACAAATAAAAACTTGTATGATTTATAATTTTTTTTATTTTCTGTGTATAGTTGCACAGTAATTAATTATCTTCACTTTAACAACATATATGTTTAGGGGCATCCGCCACAAGATGTCGATAGTTTCCATACAAAAGAATAATATTTGCCTTAAAGTATCGCAGTTCAAGGACCCTGCTCACTTTCTCCTTTTCATTGCAATAATACGACTTGAGTTAATAGATTGCGAATCGCGCCCTCTATTGTCGGATAGGAATACTAAAAGCACGACCGAAAAACTCGCATTAAGCAAACTGATCGATCTCTTTTCGACATACCCTTCTCACACAAAGAGACTGTGCTTCTATCTCTATCATCCATGTCCTATACCTTTATATATACCTTTCTAATCTCGAAGGCGGCGTTTGAAGTATACTGCTTCCATCACGACAGCAAACTAGAGCTATTCCGAAGGTAGCATAGGCGCAAAACGTTGGTCTAATGCCGTTCTGACTGAAAAAAAACAACATTAGGTTTTATCTGTGGATATAATGGCGACTTTTCGGCGGGAAGGCACTGGTGGTAGAACCTCTTGTGAGTCTGCACGGGTAGGCAGAAAGAAGAATGGTGGTGATGAAGAAGTTTCACTTCTATCACGCGCACCATTTTTTTCATCTCACCTCATCTTGTTTCATATAATTTCATTACAATGTATAGGTTTTTAAATTCAAATTCAATATTATAAACATCAAACTAAATTTTGTAAAAACCGAATTCAATTCAAAATCAAATTTAACAAAACTAAAAACTAAAGAAATTGTGTTTTAATTGATCAAACCGGTAAACGAGCTAACGGCCCTCCTAATGCTAAGTGGCAGTATGATCAAGTGGCACTTATCATATTTAAGCTTACACCCTTAATTCTATTCCGGAAACTTCATTGATGAAATAAAAATAAATAAATATTCGAGAGTCTGTGGTGACTACAATTTAAAGTTTAACACACAAATATTAATTTGGCTAGAAATTAAATAATAACTTACACAAAATCCTCTTTAGCTGATCGACATGTATCCGCCGGTGTGCATTTCCCGGCTGAGTTTGTGTAGGCCTCCGTGCAGACGTCGCCCTCTAGAGTCGAGTAGAAGAACTATTTTTATTATTTTATTTCAATCAAAATTTCAATTTCAACATTAGTAGGAAGACTGAACATAAAATACCAAGACTCATGCATATCATACCGAAAATAATTTTCATGCTCTTGGATTATAGATTACAAATTATGAATTCACGTCAATATACTGAGTAGTGCTACAAAATGAATTTCAAAACTGAAAAGGGAGAATTGCGAACAGCGCCATCTAGCTGTAGCTCTCTGTATTTTTCCTCATGAAGAATTAAAAAAACGCAAATCAAACTTCACCTACCGTTTATTTGACATCCTGTTTCTCTTATTAAATATACAAGGAAAAGTAATTGGAATCCGTAAGGCAACATTTTGTTTTTGCGCTACAAATTCTTAGAACATAAATTTAATTGCGCACAAACAGTTTGTCCTTGTTACGCTTAGCGAAACTCGCCTACAAGCGACAGTGATAGACTGAGTTTTGAGGCCACGTTTTTTCTTTTCTTCTTTTATTACTTAACTGAAAAACAAAACAGGTTTTAGGTTATGTTTACGTAAATTTTAACAAGTATTCGGAAATTAAGTGACTATTTTTGCCTTAAACGAACAGAACTCAAAAACGAAGCTTGTATCGAGAGAAAAATATTTGTTGTCTCTTTAACTTCGATGTAGGTCACCGGTGCATTACGCGACGCACTGAATTATATATAGATTTCTGTTACTAAGGCGCCAGAATATCCAGTAGACTCTGGGAAAGACGAATCTGAACGATACTGAGAATGAATCTATTTCTAAAAGTCTTTTAAGACTAAAACACTTTTCTTTTTTTTTTTCGGATTCGTACTGGCTAAAACCTCCTGTCGCTCAACAACCCGCGTCCGAACCAGCATGAGACAGAACCCATGAAAAGGCAAAGGGGGGAAAGTGAAGCGCTTAGTGCGGAGCACATCTCTCCCATCATCCTCCCCCTCGGGACGCCGGACCGGCGGTCGTCGGCGCCACGACCACCAGCCCTCTCGGTCGGCAGGCTATCCGGAGCCCGCCTAGATGGCGCCGGTTAGAATGGCGGAATAGAATCCTACGGATTAAAACACACATTAACGAACAAAAGAAGGCAATCCAAGCGCCTAGTAAATCGGAAATCGACATAATTCAGTGCGCCGCGTAGGGTATGGGTGACCTACAGGGCAGTCAAAGAGCTATTTACAGCAAATTTTTTTTATTTATTGCTTAGATGCGTGGACGAGCTCACAGCCCACTTGGTGTTAAGTGGTTACTGGAGCCCATAGACATCTACGACGTAAATGCGCCACCCACCTTGAGATATAAGTTCTAAGGTCTTAGTATAGTTACCACGGCTGCCCTTCAAACCGAAACGCATTACTGTTTCACGGCAGAAATAGGCGGGGTGGTGATACCCACCCGCGCGGACTCACAAGAGGTCTTACCACCAGTTAAATTGAACTGTCAAAATCATTATAAATTTCACAGTACTACAGATATATAACGTGTAAAATCTCCGCGTTATATGGGTGAATACCCGTGTTATAAGACGCACTGAAATCGCGTAATAAGAGATTCTAAGAGTAATAAGACAGAATAAGAAATCGCAAATTATAATTTTGCGGGTTTGATTTTTAACCAACAATTCCAATGATTTTGTTTCCATAAATATTTCACGAACGTAAAAAAGATGGCGTTCTATCAATCTGTCAACAAAATTGGCGCGAATTTAATGAAAGCTAGATTGTTTTTTTTGCCCGTGTAGGCAGACGTGCATACAGCCTGGCGAGATGCTACCGTCGCCCGTGGACCGCTACAGCTAAGTACTCTCCACAAGCTCCGTTTGAAGAAGTTGTTTACATTCTAATTATCTATTTCTGCCGTGAAGCAGTAATGCGTTTCGGTTTGAAGAGCGGGGCATTTGCGTTGTAGATGTCTATGGACTCCGGTGACCACTTAACACCAGGTGGGCCGTGAGCTCGTCAAGCCATCTAAACAATAAATAAAAAACACGTGTGGCACTCGGTGACTGTCGCGGTAAAGCTATTGCATAGCATTTTTTATCAACTTATGCAATTATAATTAGACAATAATAATTCAATATCAAAACAATGATAAAATAAGACCACGCTATATTTATAAACATTAACAAAAGCAAAACATTAACTGTCCCCTTCACACTCATAAGCTAGACCGCGCGAGAGAGAGATGGGCAGACTTTTCATGATGCGCATGCAGTGCGACGTCACGCCGCGCGCTAATTCACAAACACTATACAGAAACGAATGTTAAAAGAACTCTTAAAATCGAGAACGCTCGACAAGTACAACGCCATCTGTTGTCAAATAGCGGAAGCACATATCGAAACTACTCGACTTGTCAGGAATGTTTTCGATAATTCTAGGGATATTGTATGGACTATAAAAGCGGCTTAGCATTTCTTCATTCAAATTTTCTTTTTTCCTTACCCATTCATCAGTAGCTTGAGGAGCTTTTGGAATTACTCTATGACTGGTAGGTGAGCTCACGGGCTCAACCTAAGGGAATTTGCTAACACTGGCTCTAGCAAAAGCCGTGCTTCGCAGAATCTACCACCGGATCGGAAACGCGACCCACTGAGAAGATCCGACGAGAAACTCAAAGGCGGTGGTTGTGCTTAAGTTATCTTATAACTTACTAACTTATAGCTTAGTTACTTTATCATACATTAGTGAGGTAGCAATTTACCCAGCCATTACGAAGTAAAGCAATATAACATTTTCTTCGTGAAGAAATATAGTCCCATTAAATATTTTACTGCCATTAATAAAGATTAAAACAAAATTGATTTAGATTTATCTCTCAAACTCAAAAGTAAATAAAGTATCTAATAACAAATAAATCTACATATTAATACGTGAAGCAAAAACTTTGTATCCCTTTTTACGAACATTGCGCGGACGGAGGAGTATGAAATTTTCCACACTTATAGAGAATATAGAGAAGAAATGCAGAGTGTTAATATTTTTTTAAAATTATGCCTAAAAAATACATTAAATCAATAAAAAAAACAGTACACACACCACCATGTATTTGACGCACACACGCATGCATACTATTTATTTATTGTGAAACTTTTGTTCTTGACGTCTGTGGTCAAATTGAGATTAAATTAAATATTGTTTGTTTCTATTAACATTTTTCTATAGTGTATTCTTGGCGAAATTTGTGATCATAATAGTGTACAAACTTACAATTTCAATTAATTATAGTCGAATTTCGACTACTGCGGGACCTCTAGTATCTATAAAGTTACTCTGACATACACAATAATATAATAATAAAAAACACATAGCTAAAGCTGTGAAATGTCAGAGATATTTCTCCTGACAAAAGACAAAATAGGTGACAAAACTCAAACACGCCAGAAAATGTTACCGGTGACTTTCAAGGTGACGACTATTTGCCCTCTGATGTCCATAGACACTTGTGAGCAATTAATTAGAACAGGTTCTAAATTATTAATTATTATTCCGAGACGCAATCGGTAATTCCGGTTCTGCTTATCTAAATAGTCTAATTTTATTCATAATTTACCTGAAAATATTAGACACATCTTAATACGCTTCAGCCATGTCAATAACACTGTCGATACTAAGTTGAAAGAGAGCTAACTTCACGACCTGGTATTGACGCATCGGTTTTCGCACTGCGTATTTTTAGCAGACATTAAAATCAACTTTTTTAATTCTCTTAAGACAATGTTGTACCAATAACAATTAAGTATGATATCGATTACTGTGGTATTTTATTTCCAAATTGTTTAATAGATGGACGAGCTCACGGCCCACCTGGTTTTAAGCGATTATCGAAGCCTAAAAACATCAGCGTCGTAAAAACCACCATCCATCTTGAAATACAAAGCTTATTCCTTAAATAAATAGTTATTCGGGTATACATTTTTATTATGATTTTTTTATTGATAAAAGTAAAATAAAACTACTTTACAAAGTTATCAACTTTATTTTATTTATAAAGAATATATAATAATAAACTACAAAGAAACAGCTATTTATATGAATAATAATAATAGCCGTCATCACGTAGACACTGACATTAGACACTGTATAGCCATCATATAGATTACACATAAATTAAAAAAAAAAAAAAAAACACTTACGTTACGGACGTTGTCCTGATTAGGGTACCCCTCCGCATCGTCCCCTAAGGAACTTCTTTCCAAAAATTTATTGTGAATTCTTCGACCTAATTATGCACGAATTAAATATATACATAAATATTATTTATCCGTCGTTTTAAATATTGATAAATACTGATGTGTCAAATAACATTAATGGGTTAAAATTTAACCCACTGAGTTTCTCGCCGGATCTTCTCAGCGGGTCGCGTTTCCGATCCGGTAGTAGATTCTGCGAGGCACTGCTCTGGCTAGGGCCAGTGTTGTCAAGTCCTCTCAGGTTGAGCCCGTGAGCTCACCTACCCATCCTGGCGTAGCTGGAATAGCCTCTTAGACCACCAGTCACGTCCTCACGGATTCATCAGATCCAATAACCTATGCATTAGACGCCTTCAGCTCTAACACTAGGAGCAGGCTGAGGAACCCCGGTAACCGTACTCGTCGAACTCGACAACGTGCAACCTAACCCATGCATCAGCCTGTTGAGTTTCTCGCCGGATCTTCTTAGCGTAATAGATTCATTCGCGAAGCAGTTGCTCTTGAGTTGTTAGGTCTGCTTCGGAGGCGCTCGGGCAGCTGTTAGCAAATCTCTCCCTTCCTGGCTGAGCCTTTGCTCGCCCACCTGTTCTAGTGAAACTGGAAAGGACCACCAGTAATCATTTAATCTTAAAAAAAATACTATCAGCGTATAGGTAGGGAAAAAAAATATGAAATGAAACAATTAGCACGTAAGAAAAGAAATTCTGAAAGGCGCATTAGTGACGTAGAGAATAAATAGTGGAATTTTATTGTGGTTTGGTATAGGAAGGGCGTGGGAAGAAAATTTGATTATTTTATGAAGTGATAACATGTTATGGCAGTCCTTGGTTTGTCCAAACCGCTTCGTTACGTAACTAATAACAAGCCATCTAGTGGCCGACGCCTGTAAACAGAATGTGTATAAGAGAAACGATCTATCTCGCTTTCTCCCTCTCTCCACGGTCGAGTGGTTCGCGAGACGCTCTGTTTATTATCTCACTCTAGCTCTTCCCAAATTGTATCTTTTCTCTCTAGCCGTAGCGAATCTGTCGCGATTTAAATTTTACTCTAAAGAAGTTTCACTTCATAAGATAAATAAATATACAGCATCAATTATCAGCATATCTCTCGACTGTAATGTGATGTTAAATGTATTTTAAAAATCGATATCGCTTCTAACCTCTAGACGTCACTAGGAACTGGTCTAACGGGTTTATTACGCGCGCACTCAGGATCTGACTTGCCTATATCTGATGACGCTGAACATAAATAAACAATTTCCTTAACATTTAGCGTTGTATGTAGATTTAGTTTAGCTTTAGATTATTTCTCACCTTTAGAATTCAAGAGACTTAATTAAGGTTTTTAAAGAAAATAAGTATTATATTACTTTGAACAACTTTTAAACATGTATTCTCATGAGTTTATTAAAATTTAACAGTCTCTTTTAGACAAGAAAATGACAAACGTGTCTATCCGTTTTTTTTTTAAATCAAGCGCATACCTTATAATATTCAAAGCGAAGAAAAAAAATTCTTCAATAAAATTTTAGGATAAACAAGATTTTCCAATTCTAATTTCTTAATTTAATAATTAGAATTGGAATATTTATTCCAATTCTAATTATTAAATTAGTTAATTTTTTTTTTTTTTTTTTAAGTAAAATTAAAGAAATTATCACGAGGGAAACATTATCGATTCTTTATTTCATTATTTACTTAACTAAAATATATAAAAGCAAGCATCTCTAAGCAAATTAAATTTTTTTTTATAGCTTAGATGGGTAGACTAGCTTACAGTCCACCTGGTGTTAAGTGGCTACTGGAGCTCATAGACGTCTACAACGTAAATGCGCCACCCACTTTGAGATATAAGTTCTAAGGTCTCAAGTATAGTTACAATGGTAGTATGCAGGCGCCTAAAACTAATCTTCTTTTTCTTATCAGCCCACAGATATCCACTACCTAGGCCTCCCCCAAGCCTCGCCTCAAGGACTGGTTCTGCGCTGCTTGCATCCAGCGTATCCCCGCGAACCTCAATAGATCGTCGCTCCATCTTGTGGGAGACCTACCCACGTTACATCTTCCGGTATAATTACTATAATAATATAATAAATATAATAACACACGGTAACATCATCACGAAAGTCTTGGGGGATACGGTCTTCGTAGGAGGGGAAACTGAGCCACCCTTTCCCTGAGGGTCTCGGGGCGGGAGCTCAGTAAACCTAGCCTAGAGCTCGAGTAGAGGAACAATATAATAATATAATTATTCAAAACTAATATCATTAAATTTTATAACTTCGATGTCTTCAATAGCCTCGTCAGGGCTTTGTGATAAAACTTAAAATTTTAATTCGGTACGTTGGCTTGAGTGTTAGTTTTTTTTTATTGCCCTTCTAGGCAGACGAGCATACGGCCCACCTGATGGTGAGTGGTTACCGTCGCCCTTGGACTTCAGCAATGCCAGGGACAGAGCCAAGCCGCTGCCTACTGCCTAATATTCTCCACAAGCCTCGTTTGAAGAAGGACATGTCATAGCGCTCGGGAAACACCGTGGAGGGGAGCTCATTCCATAGCCGGATGGTACGTGGCAAAATAGATCTCTGGAAACGCACTGTGGATGACCGCAGTGGCTCCAGATAGTGTGGATATAATTTAGTGTCATAACTATATTTTGAGGGGTCAAAAGCTGTTTGATTGTAGCGACATCAATATTTGTAACTAGCGCCCTTGCTTCGCTTCGGAAACATTAAATTTTATTGTTGAATAGCTGAGTCCCGCGATGTTACCCGCGGTTATTGCCGAACCGCGGGTGAGGCCGCGGGGTGAAGCTAGTCTAAAAAAATATAATTGTAAATAGACATGCTTTAACAAAAACCGACTTCAAATAGAAAAAAAAGATATTCCAAAACAATAATCATCGGATAAATCGGTTGGCGTGATATTGAGTTATTGAGTTATTCATCTATTTGTCGCGCACGTACTTAAGGCTAATTTAAGACATACATATATGGTTTTCTCATTGATACCATTATCAGAACTGGACTAAATTACAATAGAACCACACGGGAAGCGTCAGCTTTCTAATAAAAAAAGAATCGTCAAAATCGATTCACCCAGTCAAAAGCTATGAGGTAATAAACATAAAAAAAAACATACAGCTGAATTGAGATCCTCCTCCTTTTTTGAAGTCGGTTAAAAGCCTAAGTTACTCCTTATATCATCAGCTACCTATCAGTGAAAGTTCCGTCAAAATCGGTCCAACCGTTCCAGAGATTAGCCGAAACAAACAAACAGACAGAACAACAAAAATTGTAAAAAATGTTATTTTGGTGTATGTACCATATATGTTATATTCGCATTTAGTAAGCAGCGGTTATTACAAACTTACTGGTGGTAGGATCTCTTGTGAGTCCGCGCGGGTAGGTACCACCGCCCTGCCTATTTCTGCTGTGAAGCAGTAATGCGTTTCGGTTTGAAGGGTGGGGCAGCCGTTGTAACTATACTGCGACCTTAGAACTTATATCTCAAGGTGGGTCGCGCATCTACGTTGTAAATGTCTATGGGCTCCAGTAACCACTTAACACCAGGTGGGCTGTGAGCTCGTCCGCCCATCAAAGCAATAAAAAAAACATACACTCCAATTTTATTTATATGTATAGATTGAAGATGCTATTTATTTGGTATCAGCATCAAAAGTTCGATGTTTTTAATTGAACTACTTATCTGAAGAAGTATTTTTTTTGTTATGATATATCTTTTCAAATTTCAAATTTTAAATTGCTCTCCTGTTTTTTTTTTGTCCTACCTAAGCTGATAGCCCTAGCGGCTATTTCAGCGTAACCCTAACTTTAGTAGGTGAGCTCACGGGGCTCAAACCTGACGATGTTGCTAACACGAACCCTAGCAAGAGCCGGGCTTCGCAGAATCTACCACCGGATCGGAAACGCGACCCACTGAGAAGATCCGGCGAGAAACTCAGTGGGCTGTGTCTGAGAGTTAATTTACTCGTCGAGCCCTTCGTCGCAAGCGACGGGTTCGACGAGAACGGTGACCGGTGCTTGAAGTACCTAAAAGCACCGTTAGTGGATCGGGAGGATCCGAGATGACGTGTTTAGGGCGACGTCGACTGCTTTCCATTCTGTCCGCAGGATCGGGAATGTAGTTACCGGCGGCCACGATGAGAGGGTTCTCGTGTCGTGCCGCTTTATCGAAGTGGCGCATGGACGCCGACTGAAGATACTTACTGATGGACTCTAAGTCCAGGTCGTCATGGAGGTCGACGTTCCTGACGAACCACAGCTCTCCTGTAAAATATCGCTTAACCCAAAAGCCTTTTTAGTTGGAAAATAACTAAAAAAAGCACGTGATTCCGGCCAGGATCGAACTGGCGGCCTTCTGCGTGTAAAGCAGATGTGATAACCACTACACCACGGAACCAGCCGATGTGTTTGTTAAAATAATGAGTATATTACTTTAACTAATTTTTTATTAGTTTTAAAAATAGAATTAATTGATTTCTAATGGATGTTACAATTTTCGTAAATTTGTTTAAAATATTATGAGCTTAGAAAGTGAAATTACAAAATTTTCTGACAAATTCATTCGGTGTAAAATTTTCCTTACATTTATAATAATAGTAACGAGTAATTTAGGGTAATGGTAGAATTGAGAAGTATTTTTATGTTTATTTTTTTTATTTATTTATTATTTTACTTTAAAATTTAGTTAAATAAAAAATTAATTACAGTTGTCTGGAAGAGATCGCTTTTAGCGATAAAACCGCCTATTGTACTAATTGACTGTTTTTTGTTAATGTTATTTATTTATTTATTTATTTATTATTTGTGGTCATAGGTTAACAAAGATTAATAAGTTAATATTAATAAATGTATCACTATGTCCTGCTAGTAAAGCGTACAAATATTAGGTGTAAGTATAATCTACATAAAAATAAAAATAACTTAAATTATAATTTTTGAACTCTATTCTACTTTATTATCTAAATTATCTAAAGTTATCGTCTAAATATTCTGACATACTATAGTAAGCCTTATCTAATAAAAATACTTGCAATTTTTGCTTAAAATCTTGTAAATCTATTGTCTTCAAAAATTTTATAGGTAGTTTTAGTTTAGTAGTTTAGTAGTATTTATTTAGCTAAAGCTCTGTCTTTCGGTTTTAGCGCTTTCTTTTGGAAGAAAAATACTTTCTGCACACCTGTGTCTTCTTAGTGCGAGCTTTTTAACGTTTTCGATAGCGTAAAAGTTAACTCAAATTTATATGCAGTTGGAACAGCGCCCCTAGCGGCAAACGTAGGAAAACGTTCCTACTCCATACAAATTTGAGTTCAATTTTACGCTATAGAGAACATTAAAAAACTTGTACTAAGCACACTGACCACGTACAAAATTTAATGGCGGTCGACTCATCAGTCATGACCTCAAAAGCGAAGCAAGCAAACTTACTTTCTCCTTTTTATTATAATAATCGGATCGCTCCCTCTATTGTCGGATAGCAGTACTAAAAGCACGACTGAAACTATTCTTTTAATGCACCACAACACAGAGGGCGCTAGCATTTAAAACTGCGCAGTTTTTGCTTGAAAAAAAAACCCAATTCCCATACTATTCAATAACTTATACGATGTACTTTCGGATCACAATAAATGCATATCTTCATTATTGATTTACTAAATGCTCAATAACTATTTTGCAATATATAACGATCGGATAAAAGGTGTTTTAATGTCAAATTAAGAAAATAATAATTTGCAAGCTGAGAAAATAACAATTAATTTACCTTCAATATTACAAAAGAAAATGAACTAGTGTATTACAGAATTACGATTCTTATCGTTACATTTACTATCAGTGGTGCATTACATATCAGTGTTTCCAAGAAAAAAGGCGATAAGTTCCGATAACATTGATTACATCATCGGATTTAGAATTGTTCACCTTATTCCCAGTTAGGTTGTGAAGGCGTGTGTGAATATTGTGTTAGAAATGCGTGAAATAGTCCACGTGCAAGCCGGCCAATGCGGGAATCAGATAGGATCGAAGGTAAATACATAATTTAATATCAAACAGACAGCGTTATACAATATCTACACATCCGTGTTTTCAATCTTAAGCCCTTTAATGTGGCGACAAGCATTTAATGATTATAAGAAAAAGGGCTCACAAAAGAAATTTAGACCAAATAAAACAGATTCCTCACGTAATTAATGTGTAATTTAAGTTTAATTACATACGTCTTTAGTTTAACCGGCATCAAATTTCATAAAAAAAAATTAAACATAATTTTTTGTCACGTAATTTGAGCCAATACAATTATGTATAAATAAGTATAAATTAATGAACTATATAAATGAATTTACTCTATAGATGCCAAATCAGTTCTCTTATAGTTGGAATAGCAAGAAAAATATCAGCATGTGATGAAAACATTTCTCAGAGCTAGTCGCTTTGAAAGTTTTAAATAGACATTATTAATGATACTATCGCGTATCGTATCGAAATATTAAGACAAAATAAATGTGTCGAACAACGTATTGGATTGATCTGCTGATGTTAGGGTGTTTTTCAAGGCCACATTGATAGGCACATCCACTCTGCCTATCTCGACCGTAATGCAGTAATGAGTTTCGGTATGAATGGCGTGGTAGCCGTTATCTGTAAAACTGTGACTTAGAAGTCATATTTTAAGGCAGCGGAATTTAAGTTGTCGATGTCCATGGGCCCCGGTAGCCGGTTAAGATTAGCCGTGCCGCGATATCGTCCCGTCCCATTGAGTCACAAAACAAATTCATTATTCATAAAACCATTCCAGTAAGCACCACGTGTGGAATGAGACAAACAAAAAAAAATGTTTGTAGAAAAAAACTATGAATTCTCCGAAATTTTGCATAAAGAAATAACAGTAATAACAGAATGAGTAACAGCTCAAAAAAAAATTTTTTTTTTTCCTACCTAAGCTGATAGCCTTTAGAGGCTATTTCAGCGTAACCGTGGTTAGTAGGTGAGCTCACGGGGCTCAAACCTGATGACGATGCTAACACTAGACCTAGCAAGAGCCGTGCTTCGCAGAATCTACCACCGGATCGGAAACGCGACCCACTGAGAAGATCCGGCGAGAAACTCAGTGGGCTGTGTCTGAGAGTTAATTTACTTGTCGAGCCCTTCGTCACAAGCGACGGGTTCGACGAGAACGGTAACCGGTGCTTGAAGTACCTAAAAGCACCGTTAGTGGATCGGCAGGAGCTCAACAATTATGTAATAGTAAAAAGAGCTTTTACTATAAGAGTTTTTACTAATAACATCATTGCAGGTCAATAACCACGGAATAGATAAATACCTTATTTATCTATTCCGTGTCAATAACAGAATGAGTATGATAATGAGTTAATTTGTAAGAAAAAAAAAAATCCGTTAAAAATATACATTAGAATAGATTAGAGATGAAACGTATATCTGGTAACTATCCGGTATTTTCACTATCCGGCCGGATACCGGATAGTAAATCAGTATCCGGTCGTATTTCGGATAGTAAAATTTAAGAAAATCTCATGGTTTATACAACAGGCAAATACCACAATAGGTTATGGACAACTTTTATTTTTATAATCGCAAGTCAATTAGTTTGTTTAATACTCAAAATTAGCAAGTGACATTCGTGTGACATTCTCGCCGGATCTTCTCAGCGGGTCGCGATTCAATTCCATTCCATTCGCGAAGCAGCTGCTCTTGAATTGTTAGGTCTCCTTCCGACGCGCTCGGGCAGCTGTTAGCAAATCCCACCCTTCTGGCTGAGCCTTTGCTCGCTCACCTGTCCTGGTGAAACTGGAAAGGCCTCCGGGCCACCAGTAATACTTCAATCATAAAAAAGATCGATCTATAGACAGCTCACGTTCAAAGGTTTGATATTTGTTCTAATATTCACTATTTAGCGTTGAAATATATGAATAGGTTTGGATAAATGAAGCATTTTCTGATTTAAAAACATTTTTTACGGATTAATATAGCATTTTACTGACGTTATTATTATTATTATTATATGTTTTTGATTGAACTTCTATTAAGTGTTCTCCTTTCGAGAATAGCTTAAGAAGCTTCTTTTTTTTTGTTAAATAAAATAGTGGTTAAAGTATGATATTGCCGTTCTATTGTAACTAGTGGTCCCGCAGTAGTCGAAATTCGACTATACTGGGCTGCACTAAAAGTATCGGGAATGGAATATTTCCACTGTTCCTGTCATATTAAAATCTTTTTAATTGAAAACTCCTTGGTTTTAAAAATCGAATACCATTTATTTATTTAAAAAAATATTCTCGGTCTTGTCACGAGGTTTTGTCAAACTTGTTTAGTCGTTGAGAAAATGGAATTGACTCGAGAAAATTCAAGAGCGATGATTTNACTGTTCCTGTCATATTAAAATCTTTTTAATTGAAAACTCCTTGGTTTTAAAAATCGAATACCATTTATTTATTTAAAAAAATATTCTCGGTCTTGTCACGAGGTTTTGTCAAACTTGTTTAGTCGTTGAGAAAATGGAATTGACTCGAGAAAATTCAAGAGCGATGATTTATTATGACTTTCGAAGTGGTTTAACACAATAACAGTGTGTGGTCAACACACTGTTTCTGCATTTGCTGATGAAGCCCCATCCAAAACCACAATTTATCGCTGGTTTGCTGAGTTTCAACGTGGCCGTGTCAAGCTCAGTGATGATCCCCGTCAAGGTCGTCCAAAAACTGCAGTCACCCAAGAAAACGTTGATGCTGTGCGTAAGCTGACTGAGGAAGTTCGACATGTGACATACCGCGAAATTCAAGCAACTTTAGACATTGGCATGAGTCAAATACAAATAATCTTGCATGAACAATTAGGTGTAAAAAAGTTGTTTTCCCGATGGATACCGCATTCGCTCTGTGAAGAGCAAAAAGCGGCTCGCGTTACTTGGTGCGTCAGAACTCTCGAAAGATTCCACGCAGGATCCTCAAATGCTGTATACAACATAGTATCAGGTGACGAATCTTGGATATACGCGTACGAACCCGAAACAAAAAACCAGTCACGAGTTTGGGTGTTCGAAAATGAGTTAAAGCCAACAAAAATTGTTCGTTCACGGAGTGTTGCAAAAAAATGGTGGCCACGTTTGTCTCCAAAACCGGCCATGTTACGACTATTCCTCTTGAAGGACAAAGAACGGTTAATGCAGAATGGTATGCTAGCATTTGTTTGCCACAAGTCGTTTCTGAACTCCGTAAACAGAACTGCAACCGCCGCATCATCCTCCATCACGACAATGCGAGTTCTGACACCGCGCACAGAACAAAAGAGTTTTTAGAGCAAGAAAACATAGAATTATTAGACCATCCGCCGTACAGCCCCGACCTAAGCCCTAATGATTTCTATACTTTCCCTAAAATAAAGAATAAATTGCGTGGACAGAGATTTTCATCACCTGAAGAAGCTGTGGACGCCTACAAAACGGCCGTTTTGGAGACCCCAACTTCCGAATAGAATGGTTGCTTCCACGGAATAGATAAATAAGGTTTACCTTAATATATAAAATAAATAATAATATAAGATAAATAACCTTATTTATCTATTCCGTGGTTGCTTCAATGATTGGTTCCATTGTATGGAAAAATGTGTCAAATTTCGCCGAGAATACTTCGAAAAGCAATAAATACATTTTTTACAATAGTAATGTTGTGTCACTTCGTTAATTCCCGAAATTTTCAGTGTCGCCCTCGTAATTAATTGAAATTATAAGTTTGAACATTATTATGATTCTATTGTCAAAGACTATTTTACTTCTATAATCACAGATTTCTCCAAGACTACACTTTAGACAAATATTAATAAAGACAAACAATAATTTTGCATAATTTAAGAAAATATTAACATTCCGCACTCCTTCTCTATATTCTCTGTAGGTGTGGGAAATTTCATACTCCTCCGTCCGCGCAATTTTCGTAAAAAGGATACAAAGTTTTTGCTTCACGTATTAATATATAGGTATGTACTTCGAATTGACATAGAACCTTCATGGTTTGAGATTTTTGAGTGAAACTTATTTATTCCAAATGTTAAACTTTAAATGGCTCTCCTGTGAACTTGCAAAAATGTCGCTTAACCTTTCAACCTTCGATATAATTCAATAGAAAAATTTAATTAGTGCGCCTGCACCGAACACATAGCAAGGGTGTAGCTAATAAATTAATTATAAGAAGTCGAAATTTTATTAACTGACTGTTCCATGGGGAGTGCTCTGAGGAAATTATTCTAGATGATTCCTCATCTCTTTTTTATCATCGCACCTCCCGCCGTCGGAGCAGAGTTCATCCTTATTAGAAGTTGTCGTGGCCTAAAGGATAAGACATCTGGTGTATATACACGTACTACATAATACTTAATACACGTAATACACGTACTTAACAAATGTTCACGATTGACTTCCACGGTGAAGGAATGACATAACGTGTAATAAAAATGAAACCCGCAAAATTATAATTTGCATAATTACTGGTGGTAGGACCTCTCGTGAGTCCGTGCGGGTAGTTACAACAACCACCCTGCCTATTTCTGCCGTGAAGCAGTAATGCGTTTCGGTTTGAAGTGCGAGGCAGCCGTTGTAACTATACTGCCTCGAATCAATCCGGAAATACACGAAGTCAGCGTCGGAACGGTACTTCGATATGCGTCATGATAATCGCCTTATCGTTGCCGCCGCTCACTTCTTCCCGAATCTTGATCACGCAGAAGTCAGTCACCGTCGACTCCCTAGACACGTCCTTACGGATCCTTCAGATCCAATAAACTTTGCATTAGACGCCTTCAGCTCTAACACTAGGAGCAGGCTTAGGGACCTCGGTAACCGTACTCGTCGAACTCGACAAAGAGTTCGCCGTGCAACCTAACCCATGAATCAGCTCGCTGAGTTTCTCGCCGGATCTTCTCAGCGGGTCGCGATTCCGATCCGGTAGTAGATTCATTCGCGAAGCAGCTGCTCTTGAGCTGTTAGGTCTCCTTCGGAGGCGCTCNGCTTAGGGACCTCGGTAACCGTACTCGTCGAACTCGACAAAGAGTTCGCCGTGCAACCTAACCCATGAATCAGCTCGCTGAGTTTCTCGCCGGATCTTCTCAGCGGGTCGCGATTCCGATCCGGTAGTAGATTCATTCGCGAAGCAGCTGCTCTTGAGCTGTTAGGTCTCCTTCGGAGGCGCTCGGGTAGCTGTTAGCAAATCTCATCCCTCTCGGCTGAGCCTTTGCTCGCCCACCTGTCCTGGTGAAACTGGAAAGGCCTCCGGGCCGCCAGTAATCCTTCAATCATAAAAAAAAAAACAATATAACTATACTGAGACCTTAGAACTCATATCTCAAGGTGGGTGGTGCATTTACGTTGTAGATGTCTATGAGCTCCGGTCACCACTCAACACCAGGCGAGCTGTGAGCTCGTCTACTCACGTAAGCAAAAAAAACCTTGGACTAGTGTATCGGGTGGATTTTTAAGGTATTCGTCTGGGCTACAACATATCGGTCTCAGACCTTAATTATCCAGAAAGAATACTCTAAATTAAGGGCGTGGCACAATGAATCAGTTCCGTCTGCTATCTACTGATAAATAAAATCGCTTCGTGTTAAATCGGCTATTTTAAATCTATAACTAAAACCATTCTAAAGATATCAGTAATTGATTCACATTCATTCTATTTCGTTTCTCGTTCGAGTCTTATTTACTTCGAGTCATACTCAAACACGATTAAAACTCATTTGGATAATAATAATAATAATAAATACGTGAAGCAAATAAATATTTGAAATGAATATTGAATGAACAAGTGAAATGAATATTTTACACTTCACAGCCCACCGAGTTTCTCGCCGGATCTTCTCAGTGGGTCGCGTTTCCGATCCGGTGGTAGATTCTGCACGGCTCTTGCTAGGGCCAGTGTTAGCAAATTCTGTCAGATTAAGCCCCTGAGGCTACCTACCGGTCCATACACCAGCAAATAAGTAGAATGAAAAAGTACATTTTACAGCGCTATAAAAATTTAGGAGCTCATTAAATATGCGGAAAACATTGAATGCGTTTTGAACACGATTCCAGGGTCCTGAAACTGCGATACTTTAAGACAAATATTTTTTTTGTATAGAAACTAGCGACATCTTGTAGCGGATGCCCCTAAACTTATAGGTTGTAAAATTAAGGCATTTAATTATTGCAAAACTAAACACAGAAAATAAAATAAAAATACATAAAAGCCTTTATTTGTTATAGACAAATTGATTAAATTTTATCAATTTGTGGTTTTTGAAAATTTACAAAATCCTTCATTAAAAATAAAATATAGGATAGTCAATATGCTACTGTCATCTACAGGAGCAATGAGAAACTTATCGAAGCGAAGCCACCTAGTGGCCGACGTCCGTAATCAATTTTGTTTAGTGCTCGTGTTGCTTATCTATAACTAATTTATGTGTAATATCTATGGACGATTCAAGAGCAATGATGGATTAAATTTCTTTTTCAGTTTTGGGAGATAATCTCGGACGAGCATGGCGTCGACACGACCGGAGTTTACAAAGGGGAGAGCGACCTGCAGCTCGACAGGATAAACGTTTACTACAATGAGGCATCTAGTGGTGAATAGTTTTATACCATATTCAGCTTCAGCTTTTCGCCCTTAGATGGCGTTGTTTTCAATTATATTTGGAAAGAAATATGTACCTAGAAGTAATATCTAGGATTTATTTATGTGTGAATTGGCTAATTAAATAGGTGATGCTATCAATAGAAGATTGATAAAACAGTATTATAGTTTTTGATAGAGTGGCTGTCATTGAAGTGGTCAAAGTATTAGAAACATTATTTAGTTTGACTATTAAACAATAGATAGACAAATAATAAAATTTAAATGCCGCTTTTTGATCTTACATGTAATGGAACTTTACGACAGCGTGTTTGATGTTTTATTACTGAAAATGGAAAAATAAAATAAATCTTTGTTTAATTTGTTATCGCCTAGACTACTAAATAACAAATGGACCTATTGTCATATATTCTTTTAAATGCTTTAGGTAAATACGTCCCCCGTGCCGTTCTCGTGGATCTGGAGCCGGGCACAATGGACGCGGTCAGATCAGGACCCTACGGAATGCTGTTCCGGCCCGATAACTTTGTCTTCGGTCAGAGCGGCGCTGGTGAGTAGCGACATCTGTTGATCGTGTTCTGGAACTTAGACAAATCTTCCGTTAAAGTGGCGTTTGTGGGTAGCGACATCTGTTGATCATGTTATCGAATTTAGACCTTAGAATTCATATCTCAAGGTGGGTAGCGGCATTTACGTTGTAGATAAGATAAGCAATAAAAAAGTGTGTGTGTGTGTGTGTGCAAGTCACACACGGTAAAAGTGAAACTTATAAATAAGATATAGATATACTGACTATCCCACTACACAGGAGCATACATATGGACAATGTTTAGTAGACGGTAGTGGGGATGTTACGAAGAGGATGCTCACAAAGAGGAGACCGAGAACGTCTAATGTGTTCTATCTCATTCTCTCGGCGGCTGAATCCTATACATTTATGTGTTTCTGTCTCTCAGGGCCCCTTTTTTTTGTTTCATCGAGTTTGAAATCACAACGATTCTAAAGAAGTTTCACATCAAAAATTCAGTTCGCTTAAAAAAATTGCTTACAGGCAACAATTGGGCCAAAGGACATTATACAGAGGGCGCTGAGCTAGTCGATTCTGTACTGGACGTGATCAGGAAAGAAGCTGAAAGCTGTGATTGTCTCCAAGGTAATAATATCTTATTATAACAAATATTAAACATATTGGTACTGTAAATTTGTAATTAAAATTTTATTGTATTTATGAATTAAATATTATGTAATGGTATGTAAAATTATATGTTAGAGGAAGTCTGAAAGTGGCACCTGTGACCGAGAAGTTGAGAAGTGCGCGTTTGGGATGGTATGGACATGTGATGAGACGAAATGAAAATGAGGTTGGTAAGAGAGTGTTAGCTATGAATGTGGAAGGATATAGAAGAAGAGGTAGACCTAAGAAGAAATGGATGGGTTGTGTGAAAGACAATATGTGTAAGGGGAGAATGAGTGAAGAAATAGTACATGATAGAGGAGTATGGAAGGAGAAAACATGTTGCGCCGACCCCAGGTGACTGGGAGAAAGGCGGGATAATGAATGATGATGATGTATGTGAAATTTTATGGGCTTAAGTTGCCTGAAATAAACGCATTTCATTTCATTTCATTGTCAGCATGCACGGGTAGACTACTGCTATACAATGCCGCGAGGAAATCATTATTTTGAAGGGCATAATTAGTTCGACCTCAAACCTCACCTTTTGAAGTCTACGTGCGTCAATTAGTTCGATTACCTTATTCCCTTTCTCAGGATTCCAGCTGACCCACTCGCTGGGTGGCGGCACTGGATCCGGCATGGGCACTCTGCTGCTCAGCAAGATCCGGGAGGAATACCCGGACAGAATCATGAATACGTTCAGCGTTGTACCCTCGCCTAAGGTGAGGAATGTTGCCTTAATAAAAAATATTGTTTTAATTAACGCCATCTGTCGTTAAAGAGCAAAACAACTAAATAGTAGTAACGTCGAGAACGTTCTAGAAAATTGGTAGACGCTGTCGACGCATCTGGAAAATTGCGTCTAAAAAATACAATTGTGACACTGAGGTCTACTCTAAGTGATAATTATATACAGTTTTATAATAATTTGTATTACGGTGAAAGTTTGTTTGTAATGAAACTTGTTGAGAATAAAATTGAACTCGCGACAGATTCGTTATGGCTAGAGACGAGCGAAAATGAGAGAATAGACAGAGCGTCTCGCGAACCACTCGACCGCGGAGAGAAGGAGAAAGCGAACTAGATCGTTTCTCTTATACACATTCAGTTTACGGGCGCCGATCACTAGATGGCTTATTTTTAAGTCTTAATCCACCGTCAGCTCTTGATAATGTTACAATAAAACTAAGTTTATTTGAGAGAACACCCTAATACAAACCGTCCTCCCAGAGATCTTTTCTGCCACGTACCATCCGGCTATGGAATGAGCTCCCCTCCACGGCGTTTCCCGAGCGCTATGACATGTCCTTCTTCAAAAGAGGCTTGTGGAGAGTACTTAACGGTAGGCAGCGGTTTCGCTTTGCCCCTGGCATTGCTGACGTGCATGGGCGATGGTTACTTCGATGCGATGGTAATTTAGGAGTCCCTGTGTTATACCAGGGATACCAGAGACTGATATAATATATACTTATATTCGTTTAAATATATACGTGTTTAAATAATACAACCTATTCATCACACAATGCTACCGCTAATTAGAGAGCTCTTTAGAGTACCAGTCCGCAATCCTAAGCCTTGCGTTAGCACCAGCCCGTAACCTTCAGCCTTACGTTAGTACCAGTCTGTAACCCTAAGCCTTGCGTTCCTTAATACGGTCCACACGACCAGGTGAGCGAAGTCGTTTTGGAGCCCTACAACGCAACGCTGTCCGTGCACCAGCTGGTCGAGAACACGGACATGTCCTTCTGCATCGACAACGAAGCGTTATACAACATCTGCTTCAAGACACTGAGACTCAGCAGTCCGAGTTACGGCGATCTTAACCACCTCATATCTGTAAGTATAATTGCTCTTCAATCCATTCCCCGTTTATATAGTAGTAACATTAAAATTCGTCGTCGTGGCCTAAAAGATAAGACGTCCGGTGCATTCATATCGAGCGATGCAACGATGTTCGAATCCCGCAGGCGGGTACCAATTTTTGTAATGAAATACGTACTCAACAATTGCTCACGATTGACTTCCACAGTGAAGGAGGAATAACATCGTGTAATAAAAATCAAACCCGCACAATTATAATTTGCGTAATCACTACTGGTAGGACGTCTTGTGAGTCCGAACGGGTAGGTACCATCACCCTGCCTATTTCTGCCGTGAAGCAGTAATGCGTTTCGGTTTGAAGGGCGGGGCAGCCGTTGTAACTATACTGAGACCTTACAACTTATATCTCAAGGTGGGTGGCGCATTTACGTTGTCGATGTCTATGGGCTCCAGTATCCACTTAACACCAGGTGGGCTGTGAGCTCGTCCACCGATCTAAGAAATAAAAAAAGCTGGTGCTATGATGACCGGTTTTTTCGTGGGGTTCGCATTACAGCTGACCATGTCCGGGGTGACGACCTGCCTCCGGTTCCCGGGACAGCTGAACGCGGACCTGAGGAAGCTGGCCGTCAACATGGTGCCATTCCCGAGGCTCCACTTCTTCATGCCGGGTCAGTAGAATCTCCCCCACTAAAGGTCATCATCAGCTAAGAATTTATCCTTCGTCGAAAGCGGAATTTCATTAAGTCCACCTGTATGCGCTGCCGAATGTGGCGTATACAACTGAAGATTTAGATAGGAAGAAATCACTGATAGCCAAAGAATATCCGTTTATTAAATGAATATACAATTTCATATTTATAGCTATTGACACCATGCACCCACGTTTTTTTTGTAAGAAATTACTTTAACCTTGAAACAGCAAGAAGTTTACAACAACTAGTAATTAATATATTTTCTCTTTCTACCCCAGGCTTCGCACCGCTGACCGCGCGAAATTCATTCAACTATCGCCCTCAGACTGTCTCCGAGCTCATGAGTCAAGTGAGTATTCGCATTTTTTTTTATTGCTTAGGATGGTGGATGAGCTCACGGCCCACCTGATGTTAAGTGGTTACCGGAGCCCATAGACATGTAAAACATAAATGCCGCCATCCACCTTGAGATATAAGTTCTAAGGTCTAGGGATGATCGATATTAGAAAAACACCGATGTTGACATCAATCTTAACATCGATTTATAAGTATCGATGTACGATAAACATCGATAGCAAAACATCGATGTTTTTGGTACGAAATAATACTGTCTATTTAATTTATTATACGTGTTTATTAATTAAAGCTACGTTTTACGGATTATAAGCGGACTTGACTCCGACATGACACTTCACAATTTACATTTTCTTAATTTCACACACATGTAGAACGGCTTACTTCGATTACGTTAATCAGTGGCATCTAGCTTAAAATAATTGTACTACCTAGGGACTCACTAGCTAGAAAGTACATCCACCGTTATATGGCCCTAAAAGATACATGGAAGTTTCGCTGGAGCAGACGGGCTTTCGAGTGGAGATGGCGCAGCGGAAGACAACGTGGAACGCCTGGCTAGGTGGTGCGATGACCTCCGAACGGTGGCCGGCAAGAAGTGGATGAGGAGAGCGTAGACCGGGCTCAGTGGTGTAGATTGGGAGAGGCCTATGTCCAGCAGTGGACGACTGTGGACTGTTGATGATGATGATGATGATGATGATGAAAATGGTGGTTCTTTACTACTGAGACCTTCTCAGTGGACTTTTTGGAGTACCCCAAGAAGTTACGTCCGGTGGCTGTTTCATTTTCCCACATTTGTGCACTTTTACAGATGTTAAACAGTTAATAAACCACCGTTATTGCACAATTAAACCTGAAGAAACACTATAATATAGACAAAATAAAACAAATCACACAACTTCACTCGTCGCGTTCCCGCCAAAAAGTCTCACGTATTCGTTTATACAACTCCTTTACTATAGATGGCGCTGTTTTCAATTTATCCTTCAGATGTTCAACTCCGGTAACATGATGACCGCCGCCGACCCTCGCCACGGAAGATACCTGACCGTGGCCACCATATTCAGAGGCCGCATGTCCATGAGGGAGGTCGACGACCAGATCCTCGCCATACAGAACAAGAACTCGAGGTAAACAAACAGACACGCATCTCGCTTCGTTAATAAGGATTGTGTCCACGTCGTTACGGATCCTCTCGATCCATTAACACGTTGACTGCATTCATCATCATCATCATTCTCCTGCCCTTCTCCCAGTTACCTGGAGTCGGCGCAACATGTTTTCTCCTTCCATCATATAACATTTCTTCGTTCACTCTCCTCTTACCCATATCGTCTTTCACGCAATCCATCCATTTCTTCTTAGGTCTACCTCTTCCTCTATATCCATCCACATTCATAGTTAGCATTTTCTTACCACCCTCATTTTTATTTCGTCTCATCACATATCCATACCATCTCAAACGCGCACTTCTCAGCTTCTCTGTCACAGGTGCCACTTTCTGACTTCCTCTAACATATTCATTCCGTATTTTATCCATTCTTGTTACTCCACACATCCATCGCAACATTCGCATCTCTGCTGCATGCAATCGCCTTTCATCAACATGTTGACTGCATTATGCTGCTTAAAAAGCCCCATGCGCCACTGTCTACTAGTGATGCAGTCAAAATCGCGTCCCTTCTCACGGTGCGAGAGGCGACGATATCCACATTTCTATCAGTATGTGCATATTCAATAACGATCCTTTGTAAGGCCTATCAGCACTCATACGCACTGTGAAGAAGCGTGTGTGTGATCTTGCCTAGGAATGATCTCATGCGCGCTGGCCTAAAGTCCTTCAAAAATGTTGCTGCAGTCAACGTGTAAACGGTACTTTTAGGTACCTCAAGCACCGGTCACCGTCCTCGTCAAACCTGGCACCTGCGACGAAGGGCTCGACGAGTGAATTAACCCACAGACACAGCCCATTAAGTTTCTCGCCGGATCTTCTCAGCGGGTCGCGTTTTCGATCCGGTGGCTGTGTCTGTGGGTTAATTTACTCGCCGAGCCCTTCGTCAGAAGCGACGGTTCGACGACTCCATAGCACCTCCCAAGCATGTCCTTCTTCAGACGAGGCTTGTGGAGAGTACTTAACAGCGGCTTGGCTCTGACCCTGATATCGCTGACGTCCATGACGGCAACCCCTCCCCATCAGAGTGAGGCTTATTAACAAACCCTATCTCTTCATCGCAGCTACTTCGTAGAGTGGATCCCGAACAACCTGAAGGTGGCCGTGTGCGACATCCCGCCGCGTGGCCTCAAGATGTCCGCCACGTTCATCGGTAACTCGACGGCCATACAGGAGATCTTCAAGCGCATCTCCGAGCAGTTCACCGCCATGTTCCGGAGGAGGGTAAGCTCTTGTGGAGCCACACGCGTCCGCTAACACAAAACCCATTTTATTTTATTGTTTATTACTTAAATGAAACTCGCAAAAATTTGATATGCATAATTACTAGCGGTAGGACGTCTTGTGAGTCCGTACGTATGTAGCACACCCTGTCTATTTCTGCCGTTAAGCAATAATGCATTTCGGTTTGAAGGGTGGGGCAGCCGTTGTAACTATACTTGAAACCTTAAAACTCATATCTCAAGGTGGGTGGCGGCATTTACCTTATAGACGTCTATAGGCTCCGGTAATCACTTAGAATCAGATGGGCTGTGCGCACACGCCGTCACCCGTCTGAGCGATTAAAGTGATAATTGAGATCGTCAGCGCAAAAGTGGTCTAACCCAAAAATTTTCATATATTATTATGCTTTTTTATATTGCAATTTATTTTGCAATTTATTTAAAACTTAATAAACTTTGACGCAACATCAGCCAATCCCTAGTTTCGCCCATAGATAACAGATGGCTTTGTAAACATTATTTTTGCGCGTACTGTTTTTGCACGAAGCAAAGTAAATTCAAGCTTAATTATCTCCGAACTAACTATGGTAAGCTTAGGTCACTTTTGCGCTCTCAATTTAAACAGAATATTGACTGAATTTTAAAAAAAATTCCAGGCCTTCCTCCACTGGTATACGGGTGAAGGAATGGATGAGATGGAGTTCACTGAAGCGGCCAGTAACATGGCCGACCTCATCTCAGAATATCAGCAGTATCAGGTGAGAACTTACAGATAAAAGATTCTACTATCGAACGACAGATGGCGCTGATTGACATTAATGTTTCTTAGTTATCGTCATTAGGTGTGTAATGTTTTTTTATTGATTTAATGAATTTTTTATGGATAATTTAAAAAAAATCTGCACTCTATAATATGAAAATATAATTGAGGGAAATTTCATGCTCCTCCGTTCGCGCAATTTTCGTAAAAAGGGATACAAAGTTTTTGCTTCACGTATTAGTTTAAAGATTAAGGTTTAAGGTCTCGTTTAAGCCCACTGAGTTTCTCGCCGGATCTTCTCAGTGGGTCGCGTTTCCGATCCGGTGGTAGATTCTGCGAAGCACTGCTCTTGCTAGGGTCAGTGTTGGCAACATCGTCAGACTTGAGCCCCGTAAGCTCACCTACACACGTTAGGGTGAAGCTGAAATAGCTTCTCAAGGCTGTCAGCATAGGTTGACTTAATATTCTTTCTGACATTTCGAATAGTTTACTGCTTCACCACGAAAAGTTTTAAAGATTAAAACTTAAAATTTATTTTAATTGCGTCTAAGCTCTTTATATCGCTTTTTTTTTCCTACTTAAGCTGAGAGCCTTGAGAGGCTGTTTCAGCGTAACCTTAATTAGTGGCTGAGCTCACGGGGCTCAAACCTGACGACGATGCTAACACGAACCCTAGCAAGAGCCGTGCTTCACAGAATCTACCACCGGATCGGAAACGCGACCCACTGAGAAGATCCGGCGAGAAACTCAGTGGGCTGTGTCTATGGGTTAATTTACTCGTCGAGTCCTTCGTCTCAAGCGACGGGTTCGACGAGAACAGTGACCGGTGCTTGAGGTACCTAAAAGCACCGTTAGTGGATCGGGAGGATCCGAAATAACGTGCGCATATCGCACGTAACATTGTAAACTTTATTTATATACAGGAGGCAACTCTGGAAGACGATGATGCAGTGTTCGACGAAGAAGAGGAATTGGCGCAGGAGGAGGACCCGCCGGTTCAAATACAAATGTATTGAACGACACAGATTTAGGTTAAACAACGCAGAACGCTAAAATACATACATACACAGGACTGAAATGCTATTTGGTTCAAGCGATATTTATCTTTGTAATTAAAGGCCCGTTTTATTTGGTATCAGATCAGCATTAACAGTTCGTAGTTTTTAATTCTTCTTTAGGTATGTCTACCTTATCCCACTAGGTGGGGTCGGTACAGCGAATTTTTCTATTCCATTCACTTTTATCAGCCGTCATCTCAACACTCACTCCTCTCTCTCTCATATCGTCATTCACACACTCCATCCATGTCTTCTTCGGTCGACCTCTTCCCCCTCTACCTTGCACTACCATTTCCATACATCTCCTAGTCAGATGCATCTCCTCTCTACGCATCACATGTCCATACCACGCTAACCGTCCGCTCTTTGATTTGTTAATCACCGGGGCTACTTTCACACTTCCTCTGATCGATGTTTTTAATTGAACTTCAATTAAGCTTACCCCGTTCGAGAGAGAGAGAGATATATATATATATATATAATATACTCTATTACGCACCAAAATACAATTAACATTAAAATAACAGTCAAAAAACAGATACATATTTTGAACAATAGTTTGAATAGCTGAAGAAGTTTTTGTTTTTAAGCTATTGCATAGCTTTTATCCCGGCTTTTAGCGCGGCCACCGAATCAAGAAATCCCGTAACGAAAATAAAACCTAACACTCCGCCTACCATGTAGCTCGCGTTCAACACATTCACACGTTGCGCTTGTGTGTGTTTGTGAATAAGCGCGCGGCGTGATGTCGCACTGCATGCGCATCATCAAAAGTCTGCCCATCTCTCTCTCGCGCGGTCTAGCTTATGAGTCTGAAGGTGACATGTTTTGCTTTTGTTAATGTTTATAAATATAGCGTGGTCTTATTTTAATATTGTTTTAATATTAAATTATTATTGTCTAATTATAATTGCATAAGTTGATAAAAAATGCCATGCAATAGCTTTACCGCGGCAGTCGCCCAGTGCCATTTGTGTTTTTTTACTGATATTTTTTCCACATTTCAAACTTTAAATGGCCCTCCTGTGAAGTTGCAAAAATGTCGCTTGAATCACACAGCTTTTCATCCCAACATACTTAAGGAATGTTTCAAAAACAAAATATTCCCTATAGTTATGATAAGTACAATGTGTCATAGCGTGCGTTAATTTTAAGTTAAAAAAACTTTTTTTTATATTAAAAATGAACTGTAGGTGCCTTAGTATAACACAACATGTTTGCATTTTCTTATTTTTAATAAAATGATTAAAGTTCTTATTGAATTTTGTTTTATTTAATGATCAAATCTTTCCCTAAAAATTTAAACTAAAGCTGGTAAATATGGCTATAATGTACCCACCTGTTGTTAAGTGGTTACTGGAGCCTATAGACATCTACAACGTAAATGCGCCACCCACCTTGAGATATAAGCTCTAAGTGGTGAAGTATAGTTACAACGGCTGTCCTACCCTTCAAACCGAAACGCATTACTGCTTCACGACAGAAATAGGCGGGGTGGTGGTACCTACAAGTGCGGACTCACAAGAGGTCCTACCACCAGTAAATGGGTTAATTTATAATGGGTTAATATTTATTTATTAAGTTGCACCAAGTGATCATCAATACAAAACATTGAACAATTGACAAAAGTTCATGGCAGATGTCACCTCAATTATAGGTGCAATCGACAGTGCATTAACATCAAAAATAAAAAAAAAATACAGCTAAGATTTGATTACATTTCATTCATTGCTTAATATTAATAATAATTTTTATTTAATTTGGAGATGATCCGCGACAGATTTTTCCTGTAAGTTGTGATTAAGATTGTATATAACACAATCCACTAAGAAACAGGTTGGGCGCTGAGAAGGCTGCAATATTGCTATTTATTAAATATAAGTAATTCACCAATCTTTAAGTTTAATTATTAAACAAATATTTTTTATTATGAAACTCGGAACTTAAAATTCTGTTATGTCATAAGTAGAACTAAAAACTTGTGTAATTTTGTTTTAAAAATATGATTAAATAAGTAAAAAGTTAAAATTACATAGATTCAGTTATTTATGCATGGATTTTGGGATTTTAAAAGGTTTTTTTTTTTTTTTTAATAACATTATATCCTTTTCAAATCCCAAAATCCGCATCCGCGGATGTGAACTTCTAATAATCCGCATCCGCATCTGCATCCGCGGATGTCTAAATTTTTGCATCCGTAACAACCCTGGTCTGGTTGTAGTGTTGACCGCGGGAACCCCCTACTGTGACCGGGTTTTGACCCCGGACGGAGATCGGACGTCGGGTGTAAGAGTGTAGGGGAGTCATTTAGTGTGGTAGGGCCCTATAACTCTTTAGGCCCGCGGTCTGCTCCCAACATCAGCAGATCGTCAAGTCCCACATACCCCGCGCGCCCCCTAGGTGCGGGAATCAAGCAGAAGGTTGACCCCTGGTCCCGAAAAAAAAACAAATAAATGGCGTTGTAACATCAGCTACCTTTGTCCCTGAAAGAAAATCTTATACCCACAGTAAGCCCTTGACTTTATGGGAGAAGCCACTGCTATAAAATAAAATAATAACACAATTCATTATCATTAATTTATATTTTAATATTATAATACATAGGTTTGTCTTCGATTAGATTCATTTCATTTAGTTTTTGTTCGCAATTCGGCCATATCGGCTGCCCCATGTCCAGTTCCGGGGGGTCCGTAGCTTGCAGTGTGGCCTGTTCACAAAAACACACCAAAAAATTAAGGATTTTTTATAAAATTTAATACCAGACTCCATAATTTTACTGGGAGATCGGACTTCATACTATTACTCGCAGATCGGACTTCATACTATTAGTTTTACTAGAAGATCGGACACTTCACAGATTTACGAGAGGATCGAACACTTCAGTTTTATTAGAAGATCGGACTTCATACTTTTACTAGGAAATCGGGCTTCATTGTTTTACTAGAAGATCGAACTTCATAGTTTTACTAGAAGATCAGACTTCATAGTTTTACTAGAAGATCGAACTTCACAGTTTTACTAGAAGATCGGACTACATTGTTTTACTAGAAAATCGGGCACTTCATAGTTTTACCAGAAGATCGGACTGGACAGCTGCTGGAAGCTGTTAGCAAATCTTAACCCTCGTGTCCTGGTGAAACTGGAAAGGCCTTCGGGCCATCGGTGATAATTCAATCATAAATATTAATAATATATATATTTAAATCTACATACGGTCCTGTTGTCCGTCCGCCGCTTGCTCCGGCTGCGCTTCGGCCAGGGCTTCTTGAGGTGCACGTACGTGATGTGGGCGCGCTTCTCGCTCGTGTGCTTGAAGCCCTTGCCGCACATCTCGCACTTGTACGGCTTGAGGCCGGTGTGGATCTGTCCAGGGACCGCAGCGATCAGTCGCGAACCAATAACCGACCGTAGCCTGTACTGGGTGTTAGGAGATAGCTTCCGAAAATGGCAAGACAGACGACAATACTAATGGCGCATTAACATTACTGGTGGTAGGACCTAATGAATCCGCACGGGTAGTTACCGTAAATAAAACAATATTTTCATAAAAAATACATTACTTTACTGACAAAAAAAACCCAGCAATGTAACACAAAATCAAAAACAGCTGATGCTCGGGTGAACGACCGCCCGCGCGCGTATGAATGTACTTTATTTACTACCGTCTGTCTTCGTTTTCAGAAGCGGTCTCCTAACACCCAGTTTAACTTTAGGACCGTATCTCTAGCGTTGCTAGGTTTTTTTATTAATGCCCTTATGAGCAGACGAGCATACGGCCCGCCCGATCGTGAGCGGTTACCGTCGCCCGTGGACTTCTGCAATGCCAGGGCTACAGCCAAGCCGCTGCCTACGTACCGTTATAAAATGAAACAGTCTCTTTTTTTGGACAAGAATTTTGGACAAACATTCTCTTTTATATCAAACGTTCACCTTAAGAGTGTTAAAATTACAATTTGTTCTATTACACTTTTGGAATTTGCAATAACAAAAACAAAAAAAAAATTAGCTAGAATTTGCGATTAAGCCACTATCAATTCTAAAGGTGCTTTATGGTTTGAGCGTGTGACAGCGGGATATTAAGATATAGTGCCGAGAGAAAGAGAGAAAAAGTGGAGAGAGAAAGGGGGAGAAAGAGAGAAAAAGTGGAGAGAGAAAGGGGGAGAAAGAGAGAAAAAGGCAGAGACAGTAGGAGTAGAGAGATAGAGAGAAAGGGGGAGAGAGATAGAGAAAGAGGGAGAGATATAGAGAGAGAAAGAGGGAGAGATATAGAGAGATTGAGAGAGAGAGAGACAGAGAAAGAGAGAGATACTCACGAACATGTGCCTCTGCCTGTTGCTCTGCGAGGAGAAGTGCTTCCCGCAGAGCGCGCAGCCGTAGCTGGCGCGGTCGCGGCTGTGCACGCGGCGGTGCGTCATGAGCCGCTGCCGCATGCGGAACGTCTTGTCGCAGACCTCGCACTTGAACGGCTTCTCGCCGGTGTGCACCCAGCGGTGGTCGTTCAGCAGCGCCTGGCTCTGTCGTGTGTCAATGTCATTTTATTTTTTAACAGGCAAAGGGAACGATGACCATACAGCCAACTCTTTTGTGTTGTGAGACTGAAGCAATGTCTTTTTGATTATAAAATACAGAATACTTTAAAAAACTCTGCCTACTTTTTTTTTAGACGTCCCTAAGCGCGATGGCAACCACTCGCCATCAGGCGAGCTGTATGCTAGTTCATACCTGGAACATCCGCCCGCACACCTCGCACATGCACGGCGTCTTCATCGACGGGTAGTTGGTCCGGTTCTTGTCCGGGTGCATCCGCCTGAAGTGCTTGTGGTAGGCCCGCGGGTCGTCCAGCTGGAGGCCGCACTGGAGGCCAAACGAATTAACATCGAATGAGAGGTCCGCGAACACTGGTCTACCAGTTACTTAGAGTAATGCGTAATTATGTACAGGGCGTTTAAAAAATAAAAATAACACGTTTCTATATATACGTATTCTATGACGCGACGATTGTAGTGAGACGTGACGTTATTGTGGTATGACGTGGATGATTGTAGTGTGGCATGACGATTGTAATATGACGTGACAGTTGTAATACAGGTTGACAGTTCTAATATGGCTTGACGGTTGTGGTATGGCTTTACATTTATAATATGGCGTGACAGTTGTAATATGGCGTGACTGTTGTGATATGGCTTGACAGTTGTAATTAGGCGTGACAGTTGTAATATGGCGTGACTGTTGTATATAGGCGTGACAGTTGTAATATGGCGTGACAGTTGTAATATGGCGTGACTGTTGTAATATGGCGTGACAGTTGTAATATGGCGTGACTGTTGTAATATGGCATGACTGTTGTAATATGGCGTGACTGTTGTAATATGGCGTGACTGTTGTGGTATGGCTTTACAGTTGTAATATGGTTTGACGGTTGTGATATGAAGTGACGTGACCATTGTGTGTTATTTACGATATAGACAGCCAGGGAAGTTTAAGTCATACAGTTTTCAGAGAACCTGTTCGCAGGGTATGGGTCCGTCGGGCCTGGCGCCGGGCGCGGGGGGCGGGCGGCGGGCGCGCGGGGCCGCGTCGTTCGGCCGCCGGCTCTTCGCCTTGTTGGCGGCGCGCTTCGTATCTGCGCGACGGAACCGGACCGGTTTAGTGGCTGTTGAACCTAACCGCCTAAAGTGTTCCCAATTTTAAACTGATAGTAACAAGATTGTTAGTGACGTTTCGAACGCCTAACCCACCATCAGTGTGTTTAGTTTGCGAGTATTTTAACGTTCTCGATAGCGTAAAAGTTAACTCGAATTTGTATGCAGTCGGAACTGATGGTAGGTTTTACTGGTGGTAGGACCTCTTATGAGTCCGCACGGGTAGGTACCACCACCCCGTCTATTTCTACCGTGAAGCAGCAATGCATTTCGGCTTCAAGGGTGGGGTAGCCGTTGTAACTATACTGAGACCTTAGAACTTATATTTCGAGGTGGGTGGCGGCATTTACGTTGTAGATGTCTATGGGCTCCAGTAACCACTTAATGCCGGGTGGGCTGTGAGCTCGTCCACCCATGTAAGCAATAAAAATAAAATAAAAAACAGCGCCCCTAGCGGCGAACGTAGGCAAACGTTCCACCTTCATACAAATTTGAGTTAACTTTTACGTTATCGAGAACGTTAAAAAACTCGCACTAACACACACAGTTGAAGTGTTAACAAACGACTACCGTCAAAATTTAGTACGAACAATGTTTACTAGACTTTTACGCTTCGTTTTAGGGAACCTGTAAAAGTGGTTTCCATTGCGCCCACGGTTCGAAAAAATCATAAAGGAAGAGGTGAAAGAATAATTACAGCCCTCCTGATGGTGAGTGGTTACAGTCGCCCATGGACATCTACGACGTACATGCGCCACCCACCTTGAGATATAGGTTCTAAAGTCTCAAGTATAGTTACAACGGCTACCCCACACTTCAAACCGAAACGCATTACTGCTTCACGGCTGAAATAGGCGGGGTGGTGGCCCTACCCACGCGGCCTTACAAATGGTTCTACCACCAGTAAAGATTTCAGTAATGCCAGGGGCAGAGCCGCTGCTTACCGTTACGTACTCTCCACAAGCCCCGTTTGAAGAAGGACATGTCATAGCGTTTGAGAGGCACTTTAGAGGAGAGCTTCATAACCGGACGTGGCAGAAAAATATCTCAAATTAATCTTTTTTTTTTTTTAATTCTGTCAATTTCACCCACGCTGTATATGACGACGAGGTCAACGATCTGTCTGTTATATATTTTTAATTTTTTTGTATTTCATTTACTTCAAATTTTGCATCCATATTAACACGTTCATTAACAATAACTACAATTTAAGAATAAAATAATAACAATAAAACAAAAAAGAATGTCAAAACTATCTTAACCTAAAGGCTGGTTTGGATCCAGAATGCTCAATATACACACGTATCCAGTGCTGACATTATTAACTCCAATGTTCGTATTTCACTGACCGACCTCAAGCCTCAAGGCGAGCTGCGGGCGCCGCCGAGTTGGTCTAAGGGGGGCGGCGGGGGGCGGGGTCGCAGTCGGTCCCCTCACCTGTGCTGTGCTTGGCGGAGACGATCATGTGGCGGTCGTAAGCGTCCGGGGACACGAAGCGCACGTCGCACTGCTCGCAGTACGGACCCTTCTCCGGCACCTGACCCACACACAACGTACGGAATGTGAATCATTAGTTATTACATACTGGGTAACACAGACAATAATACTAAATACTAATTCACTGGTGGTAGGACCTCTCACTGGTGGTAGGGCCTCTTGGGAGTCCGCACGGGCAGGTACCACCACCCCGCCTATTTCTGCCGTGAAGCAGTAATGCGTTTCGGTTCGAAGGGTGGGGCAGCCGTTGTAATTATATTGAGACCTTAGAACTTATATCTCGAGGTGGGTGGCGCGGCGCATTTACGTTGTAGATGTCTATGGGCTCCAGTAACCACTTAACACCAGGTGGGCTGTGAGCTCGTCCATCCATATAAGCATTAAAAAAAATATGACACCTTTGATGATGGGACGGAAAAATCATATTTTTGGAAAAGTTTTATTAGCATTATTCACGCTCCATCATACTAGTACAACTAAATAAAAGAATAGCTTCATAATAAACACATTACTTGACTATTAAAAAAAAACCAGCAATGTAACACAAAATCAAAAACAGCTGATGCTCGGGTCAACGACCGCCCGCGTGCGTATGAATGTACTTTATTTACTACCGTCTGTCTTCGTTTTCGGAAGCGGTCTCCTAGCACCCAGTTTACATGGAGCGACGAGCCCGCAATGGAAGACGCACAACGCATCATTAAGACGAACCTTTCTATTTTATTGCCTAGAGTGGACGAGCTCACGGCTTACATCATGTTAAGTGGAAGCCCATAGACATGTACAAAGTAAATGCCGCCGCCCACCTTGACATATAACTTCTAAGGTCTCAAGTATAATTACAACGGCTGCCCCGCCCTTCAAACCGAAACGCATTACTGCTTCACGGCAGAAATAAGTGGTGGTACCTACCCGCGCGGACTCACAAGACATAGCTTCGGGAGAGATCAGCTTACAGCTGCGGACTCTACTCATAAATTGATAAGTAGGATGTCCAGGGCTCACCCGGAGATAGAAGGTACCTTGCCGTCCTCCAGCCTGTGCTTCAGCTGCTTGTGCAGCATTATCCCCTTGGCGCTGACGAAGCAGTAGCCGCAGAGTTCGCAGACGAAGTCCGACGGGTGCTTGATCCGAAGGTGACCCATGTAGGTTGTGAACTTACTGTAACATAACCAGGGATGAAAGATTATTAGGTTTGTAGAGGCTGTAGTGTACACCATCACGTCGGGGTCACCACTGTAGGCTTCTAAGTGTGTTGGATAGGCGCCGACACGATGTTTTTGAAGTGAAACTTCTTTAGGCGCATGAGGGTAAAATTTTTACAGAACGTCACGCAGGTATGCAACGGAAGTGACATCAAACTGCTATTGAAATTAAGTACTTGTCAAATGTCAGTAGTAGTAGTTTTTGTATTTTTCCAACTGGAAAGGCAAATGTATCATACCGTACAGCCTAATATTTTATAATTTTTTTGTGTAAAATGTTAATAGGAATTGAAATGAATATGAAAAGAATTTGGAACATTAATCAAATAGCATGAAATTAAAATCAAAAAAAATCAAAATCAAAAAAAATTTATTCAACATAAATGAAAGTACATATACTTGTTGAACGTCAAAAGAACTACCGCCAATTCACATGAACTAGCCTCCGTCCTGAGAAGAATTGGCAAGAAACTCAGCGGGCATGTCTTTTTTTTTTACATATAAAATTATTATTTATTTATTTTTTAATATTATTATTTTTTTAAATATGAATTTTTTACACTGAGTATTATAACGTAACAATTACTACAATATTGAAATGCCCGGAGCGAGCAACTCATTCCCACTTTGTGCAATCTTCTAGATAATCATTGACTTTATAGTAAGCTTTATTGCACAGATGTTCTTTAATAGTTTTCTTAAACCTATGTATATGTAGGTTCTGAACATCTTGTGGGATTTTGTTGTACAGGCGCACAGACAAACACCCGAATGAATTTCGTATCTTATGTAACCTACTCATCGGCACAACAAGCTTGTGTTTGTTCCTAGTATTTCTATTATGTATGTCCGACTGTTTAGGAAACTCCTCAATATGTTTACGAACATACATCAAATTTTCAAAAATGTACTGGGATGGCATAGTGAGAACTTTAATTTCTTTAAATTTCTCCCTCAGGGATTCCCTTGAGTGCATGTTATAAATAGCACGTATAGCTCTTTTCTGCAGAATAAATATCATTTCTACATCGGCCGCATTGCCCCATAGCAAAATGCCATAGGACATGACACTGTGGAAGTAACTAAAGTAAACTAAACGAGCCGTGTCCGCGTTTGTTAACATTCTAATTTTTTTTACTGCGTATGCTGCAGAGCTGAGCTTACTCGCCAATTTATGAATATGAGGTCCCCATTGCAGTTTGGAGTCCACTGTTATACCAAGAAATACGGTTGACTCAACAAGCTCCAATGATTCCTCAGAAACAATTACATCACTATCCACTTGTCTCACATTTAAAGATGGTTTAATACATTTTAAAGTAAATTTAATACATTTAGTTTTCTTACTATTCAATAATAGGTTATTGATACGGAACCAATGAACCACACACGAAATCGCATCATTCACTTCGTCATAGACTTGTAGTTGTCGTTTAATTTTAAATAATAAAGATGTATCATCTGCGAATAATACGACCTCGTGTCGGGACTCAATAAAACTAGGTAAATCGTTTATATATATTAGAAATAAAAAAGGACCCAAAATGGAACCCTGAGGTACACCCATTTTCAACAAGGTGCCTGAAGATCTATTACCTTTCACATCTACTGTTTGTATTCGTCCTGATAAATAGGAAGAATTAAATTAGTCAATTCAGTTGGCAAAATATTAGTCACTTACAATTTAGAAATCTAAACATAATGTGACTGTCAACACTAAGGTTTGAGATTGACATTTGACAGACTTTTGGCGGGAACATATCTTCCTTTTTCCCTTCCTCTAAGTCTCGGAAATCTTAAAGTTTTAGATTTGTATAAATATAAGCAAGACTTATAAATTAGTTCGCCAAAAAAGTTTCACTGCTGACATGTGTACTTTGTACGCACGCACTTTTTTTTCTTCTTTTTCTTAAATGGTTGGACGAGCTCACAGCCCACCCGGTGTTAAGTGGTCACTGGAGCCCATAGACATCTACAACGCAAATGCGCCACCCACCTTGAGATCTAAGTTCTAAGGTCTCAGTATAGTTACAACCGTACTCAGTATAGTACAGAATAATCGCGGGTGACATCGCGGGACTCGGCTATCAATAATAAAATTTAATGTTTCCGAAGCGAGGCGAGGGCGGGTCGCTAATACTATAATAACTTCGACAGGGAGTTTGTTCGTGACTCCGAGTATGAATGAACTCGATACGAAAATTCGAGTTAACTTTTACGCTATCGAGAACGTTAAAAGGCTCGCAATAGGCACACACCGCTCTCGTCGTCGCGTGACGAGTGTCCGGCGCGCGGGGGGCGGAGGGTTGGGGGCGGCAAACGTTCCAACTCCATACAAAGTTAAAAGACTCGTGTAATAAAAATCAAACCCGCAAAATTATAATTTGCGTAATTACTGGTGGTAGGACCTCTTGTGAGTCCGCGCGGGTGAGAACCACCACCCTACCTATTTCTGCCATGAAGCAGTAATGCGTTTCGGTTTGAAGGGTGGGGCAGCCGTTGTAACTATACTGGGACCTTAGAACTTATATCTCAAGGTGTGTGGGGCATTTACGTTGTATATGTCTATGGGCTCCAGTAAACACTTAACACCAGGCGGGCTGTGAGCTCGTCCACCCATCTAAACAATAACAAACAAAAACTAAGCACACCGCTCTCGTATGGCGGCGCGCGGGGGACGGTTGGGCGGAGGGTTGGGGGAGGGTCCGTATGACGTCACTCACACGAACTCCTCGGGGCAGTGCGGGCAGCGGTACTTGGTGCCGCAGTGCCAGCGCTCGTGCAGGCGCGCCGTCTGCCGGTGGTTGGTGACGAAGGGGCACTGCTTGCAGCTGAACCGGCTCGAGTGGTGCGCGGTCATGTGCTTCCGAAGCGCGTGCTGGTTCCTGAAGTAGATCCGGCAGACCAGGCACTGGTGGTCGCCGCATTGCTGGAAACGACACGGGATTTTATAAGTGGCGGGTAGGACGTCTTGTGAGTCGGCGCGGGTAGGCACCACCGCCTATTTCTGCCGTGAAGCAGTAATGCGTTTCGGTTCGAAGTGTAGTGCAGCCGTTGTAACTATACTGAGACCTTGCTAGGGCTAGTGCTATCAAATTCGACGGGTCAGAGCCCCGTGAGCTCACCTACGAGCTCGGCGAATCTAGTATAACCCCACGGGGTTACTAAAATAGATAAAAAGGAGTATAGAGGAATGATAGCCGCTGGACTATCCACAATAGGTATAAAAAAAGAGTATAGAAGGTTAAGAGCCGCTAGACTACCCACAATAGGTAAAATAAAAGAGTATAGAAGGATGAGATCCGCTAGACTACCCACAATAGATAAAAAAAAAGTAAAGAAGGTTGAAAGCCACTGGACTACCCACAATAGGTATAAAAAATAATATAGAAGTTTAAAAGCCACTAGACTACCCACAATAGGTATAAAAAAGAGCATAGAAGGTTAAGACCCAATGGACTACCCATAATAGTTAAAAAAAATATTATAGAAGGTTGAGAGCCACTGGACTAACCACAAAAAAAATAGTGTAAAAGTTTGAGAGCCACTGGAGCACTCACGTCTGTGTGTCGCGTCATGTGGCTGCTGTACGCGTCCGCGTCCTGGAACCCCTTGAAGCACTCGTCGCACTTGAAGACGCCGTTGCGGTAGTTGGAGCCCTCCTTGCGCTTGTGTATCTCGGCGACCTGCTCCTCGACGCTGAGCTGCGTGGTCGTGAACAGCGTGTCGCTCAGCTCGGCGTTCATGAACGGCTTCCTCCTGCGGTCCACCTTCGGCTCCTTCGACTCTTTCTTCGGCTGGAAATGCAACCTCTTTCTTTTGAAGTGTTAATTTGTTGACTGGAAATAGTAGTGCAAGGCAGAGGGGGAGGAGAGGGGAATGACGGCTGATAGAAGAGAATGGAAGAGAGAAATTTGCTGTGCCGACCCCGTTTTTTTTTAATTGCTTTGTTGGGTGGACGGGCTCATGGCCCACCTGGTGTTAAGTGGTTACTGGAGCCCATAGACATGTACAACGTAAATGCCACCCCGAGATAAGAGTTCTAAAGATTTTATTTTACAATGGCTGCCCCACCCTTCAAGCAGAAAAGCATTACTGCTTCACGGCAGAAATAGGCAGGGCGGTGGTACCTACCCGCGCGGTCTCACAGGAGATCTTACCACCAGTAATTATGCAAATTATAATTTCGCGGGTTTGATGGGATGATGAGGGGTGGGGCAGCCGTTGTAACTATACTGGGACCTTAGAACTTATATCTCAAGGTGGGTGGCATTAGTAGACTCACCTTCTTCTTCACCTTCTCCTGTTTCACCTTCAGCTTAGCGGCCTCCAAGGGCAGGTTGTCGTCGGACGAGAACCCGTCGTCGACCTGATCGCTCTTCACAATCACGTATTCCTGGGTGTCTACGTCAGCTGTGACGTCACCACCCTGCACGTCGTACTTGGTTTCCTCCGGCTCCAGCTCGGCGTCGTCCTGCAGGTAGACCCGGCAGCTGGGGGCGGCGAGCCCGGGGTCCGCGTCACAATGCGTTACGTCACAAGTCAGGTTCGAGGTTAGCTTCTCCGCGGCTCTGTCTATCCTATTAATCGAGTCTGTGGTCAGCTGTAATGGGTGACAAAAAAATAATTGTTTACTTGAATGGCGTGTGGAATTCCTCTTCCCCTAAAAGGGAAGATATATAAGACCTTAATAAGGCCTGCCGTCTTATATGGATCAGCTTTTGGATGTTGATCAGCTGTGGCGGATGAAAGGCGATTGCATGCAGCAGAGATGCGAATGTTGCGATGGATGTGTGGAGTAACGAGAATGGATAGAATACGGAATGAATATGTTAGAGGAAGTCTGAAAGTGGCACCTGTGACAGAGAAGCTGAGGAGTGCACGTTTGGGATGGTATGGACATGTGATGAGACGGAATGAAAATGAGGTTGTTAAGAGAGTGTTAACTATGAATGTGGAAGGATTTAGAGGAAGAGGTAGACCTAAGAAGAAATGGATGGATTGTGTGAAAGACGATATGGGTAGGAGGGGAGTGAGCGAAGAAATGGTATATGATAGAAGAGTATGGAAGGAGAAAACATGTTGCGCCGACCCCAGGTGACTGGGAGAAGGGCAGGATAATGATGATGATGATGTGAATGGCGTGTGGAATCTTCCATACGTACAACCACAAATGGAATGGACGGTTTGCGCGTTGTGAGTCAGCCCGGATAGGCACCACCGCCCTGCCTATTACTGGCACGAAGCAGTAATGCGTTTCGGCTTCAAGGGTGGTGTAGCCGTTGTATTGTTACAACTGAGACCAGATATCTTAAAGTGGGTGACGGAATTCACGCTACTTATGTCTACGGGCTCTTGAGAAGCGAGACGTGAACGGTATTTGTCAAGCGTAACAAGCGCTCACTGTCCAGGCTTGCCTGCGTGAGCACCGCGATGTTCAAAACTGTAATTTGGCACTACCGTGCTCACGAGTGCTCAGGGGTGCTCACTGCAACCGACTCTGGTAGCAACACAAGGGCCGCGCACTACGTCATTTAAACCTGAACAAACACTAAATAGACAAAATAAAACAAATCACACAACTTCCTCGCGTTCCCGCCAAAAAGTCCCAGCCGCTCCACCCCTCAATATCAATAGGGTTGTGTCTGGTTTATTATTATTTTTCCTACCTATGCTGACAGCATTGAAAGGCTATATCAGCTTCTCCTTGACATGTAGGTAAGCTCACGTGGCTCAAACCGGGTGTGTTGCTAACACTGACCCTAGCAAGAGCAATGCTTCCCAGCATCTAGTGTCTGTATAGCTTACCACATAGTCACTCCGAAGCACCCCTAGCAGGAGCGAGTTGGCCCGGAGCGCCCTCCTTCTGAACCTGTCTCCGTTTAGCAGCCGCACCGAGCACTCTGGACACAGGTGGACAGGCAGACCGTCATCTTCCGTCACCTGCAAACACTTTATCTCTCTATCTCGCTCGCACGCGCGCCGTAACGGCGATGACGTCTTCGCGTGCCACTTGTTTAACAAAACTAAAATAACGTTTTTTGCGACGATGCGTCTGAAGTTGACCAGCTACCGGAGTCCATGGACATCAACAAAGCGAATGCTGTCATCGACCTTGAAACGCGAGAATCTGTTATATTCACGTATTACTGCTTCGTGGCAGAAATAAGCAGAGTGGAGGTGCCTATCCGTGCGGATTTTCAAGACGTTCTACCACCACTAAGGCATCATGTAAACGCACTTATCAGCGTCCTTGGCACTGCTAATCTGAGAGGGCATACCATCAGACGAGACCAGTAGCCGAATAATGAGCTCGAGATATAAAGGCAATGACTATACTTGGACCTTAGAACTTATATCTCAAGATGTGTGGCGCATTTACGTTGTGGATGTCTATGGGCTCCAGTAACCACTTAACACCAGGCGGACTGTGAGCTCGTCCACAAATCTAAGAAAAAGAAAATTAAAAAAAAATTAAAAGAAAAGAGAAGACTAACACAATTTATAAGCTTAGTTGAAATCCTTTTAAACGGCACTAACTTCAACCACGTAATGACATCTCCATTCAGAACTCGCTTGAAGGTACCGCCAGAGCGCTGACTAGACACCCACCTTGCAGAGCGCTTTAGTCCAGAACTGGGGCCAAGATTACAATACCATGTGGGTTGAATTATGTGGCTTATTGGTATCAAGGGTAATTACACTCAAAAAGGAGAAGAAGGAAGAATAAATCTTAAAGAATTAAGACCGGAGTAGAGTTCATCCATACTACCTGGAGCCACTGCGGTTATTCACAGTGCGTTTCCAAAGATCTTTTTTGCCACGTACCATCCGGCTTTGGAATGAGCTCCCCTCCACGGTGTTTCCCGAGCGTTATGACATGTCCTTCTTTAAACGAGGCTTGTAGAGAGTATTAAGCGGTACGCAGCGGATTGGCTCTGCCCCTGGCATTGCTGAAGTCCATGGGCGACGGTAACCATTCATTATCAGATGGACCTTATGCTCGTCTGCCTACAAGGGCAATAAAAAAAATTAACAAAAGCTTAGACGCACAGAGGAAATACTAGAGAGTATGTATGATAGACCTCAATGGAAATAGGACACGCTGCGCTGACCCTACATAGTGGATAAGTGGATAGGAAGAAGATGAAGCAAATACAAATAAAATCCTCACCTGTATCCCCGTTAGGTTCTCATAGGCCTGCCTCAGATCTTCAGTTTGTAAGGAGTAGAACCTCCCGCATGTCAATAGGCATATTCGACACGCCTGCAAAATAAATGTGTGAGCATTGATACCGTGGTGAGTGGTACCGTCGCCCATGGACTTCAGCAATGGCAGGGGCAGAGCCAAGCCGCTGCCTACAGCTATAACAACTAAATAGTGCCAGCCCTATCGAAAAACTCTATTGTCCCCTTAAACGACCCGATTCACCCGCCCACGTTCTGTTACTTTTTATGATTGTTCTTTAATAAACCATATCTTAATGCATTATATGTGAAAATTTAAACTACCGGAACCATTATGATCTCCGTTTTATTGCTATAACTACAAAAAAACCGATAAATTTCAATGTCGAACTTAAAAAGTGTCCCGATTCTCCCCATTTTAGGGTGACGTGGGTGGGACTCCCACAAGATGAATCAACCACCTATTGAGGTTCGCGGGGATCCTCTAGATGCAAACAGCGCAGGACCGATCTTTGTGGCGAGGCTTAAGGGAGGCCTATGTCAACCAAGATGAACAAGACTACAACAAGCAGGAGGACCAGAACTTTGTTGATATTAAAGAGGAAAGGAATGGTATGGAGGAATAAAGGTGAAGGAATAACATTGTGTAATAAAAATCAAACCTGCAAAATTATAATTTGCGTAATTACTGGTGGTAGGACCTCTTGTGAGTCCACACGGGTAGGTACCACCGCCCCGCCTATTTCTGCCGTGAAGCAGTAATGCATTTCGGTTTAAAGGGTGGGGCAGCCGTTGTAACCACGGAATAGATAAATAAGGTTATTTATCTATTCCATGGTTGTAACTATACTGAGACCTTAGAACTTATATCACAAGGTGTGTGGCGCATTTACGTAGTAGATGTCTATGGGTTCCAGTAACCACTTAACACCAGGTGGGCTGTGAGCTCGTCCACACATCTAGGCAATAAAAAAAAATAAAAAAATAAGGAAAAGATTGAGATCAAGGTATTTTATGATTATATTTGATTTGATTTTATGACAAGCTTAGGCCCACACGGTAGGGGATATTTTGTTCTGTATGGACAACAGTGGATGTCTGTGGGCTGATAGAAAAAAAAACAGAGTAGAACTATCTGTGGAACAATAATATTCACTCACCTTTAAAGTCTCAGTACCGCGGAATGTGCAGCTCATTGTTGTCTGAAATTCAAAAGTGTATTTCACTATGAAACTACAGTAGACTTCAGTTATCCTTATTTCATGTCACAAAGCAAAGGATTTACATGATTTCTTTCAAAGTTATATTTTGAAGTCAATTAAATGACATAGGCAACCTTTTATAAGGATAAAGGGATTAGGGAATCCCTAAAATATAGATATAGATGATTTGTTATCTTTAGAAAATTTACGAGGCGGCAAGGTGGGTGGCGGCATTTACATTGTCGAGGTTCATGGTCCAGTAATCACTTAACACCAGGTGGGCTGTGAGCTCGTCCACCCGTCAAAGCAATAAAAAAAAAGACGTCAACTCTTTGAGGTTTCATGTCACGTGTGTGACGACATGCATGTTGTGAACATCCACGTATACCATAAAGTAAAAGATATTTACTCACTTCAAAAAATGGTACTGCTCCAGCTTTGACCTTACGCAGACCACTCTGAGTCTCATATAGGTCTTCAGCTAGGAAGTGTTTTGAACACACTGCACTCCTCTCCTTAGGCTCCCATCCATCTTTACATAACACCTGAAGCCAAGCTGCACGTAGAGACGGCTCACTCGGAAACCTGATTAAGTCATTTTTCTTATGTTAAACAGTTTTGTTTTTAAGTTTAAACAACTTTTTATCTAGGACAGAGATTTTTATGAAGTGCATAAACATTACAATGCCAATGCTACCATTAATGTTAATACTAATGTTAATGCTAATGCAATCACCTTAAGACAAGACATTGAATCTCAATTGAATGTTACATCTTTCCAACAGATAAACTAGAATGGTAGGCAGTGGCTTAGCTCTGCCCCTGGCATTGCTGAAGTACATGGACGACGGTAACCACTCACCATCAGGTGGGCTGAATGCATGTCTGCCTACACGGGAAATAAAAAAAATGCAGAACAATTTAAAAAATATCTACATACAATCAATAATTTTTTTTATCTTTCCCATTACCCTCTACTGGGGTGTAGGGCTCGTATCAAATCCTTCCATTTAGATCAGTCTTGGGCAGTCTGTTTTAATTCCTCCCACCTTATTACTTAATTTAAATTATTAAGAAATTTTTGATAAAAATTTATTTATTTTCCCATTTCTTCCCAAGAACCCAAAGTAGATCTTTAATAAACTTATTAATAAAAAAAATGTAGTTATTACTTTTAATAATAAAGGTTTAATAATATTTATATTGAGGTACACTGGCTTTTTCTAAATTAATTTTCGCCCACATTTATTATTTTGCGATATGGCGTCACTCAATTTAAATTTTATAATATATAAATGATCACTTAGAATCAGAAATAGGGTGTTGATGTATAAAAATCTATTTAAAAAAAAATCTAAGTATATTGTAAAAATACTTACACATGAAAAGTGATTCCTTGAGATTTAGATAAATTCCTAGAGTCATTCTTACAACCGGTGACACAGCATCTCATTTTAAACTGATTTCATCCACAATTAAATACTAAAAAAACTCGAGATCATAATATTTTATTTAAAGGGCGATCTTTTAATATTTTCTCCCTTTAAACACTATATTTCAATAACTTATAAAAATTAAACAATAGTAAATTTTACAATATAGTTACTTAATAACGAAGTACAATTATTAGAATATTATTAATTTTAAAATGAATACATATTTATGTTTTAAAACAATCAAACAACATTTGACCCTTCACTATAAAAATTTCTAGACTCGGTATTTTCGTGGAGTGGCTATTGGCAAATGTGAGAACAAGATGGCGCCGATTCTGCTTGTTTAAGTTTTTTCGTACTGCCTTTCAATCACATAAATAACAATATATGTATTGTCTGGATTTATTAAAGGCCGAGAAATTCAATTTGGTTGAAATCTTATCTCATTCTCATGTTAACCACATGTTAAGCATCATTGCATGTTCAATTAATTATTTGTAAAACAGCAAGTCTTAATTATTTCTATAGTTAATGACATCTTGGCAAACTTTGAGTCAAAACTTTTGATGTTCGGCTACTCATACTTTTACTCCGTACTAGCTAATATGCTGAGACTGCGGTCTCTAGTGATTCCAGAAAACCTAATATTAATTAGTGTCCCGTCTCCCTTTTAAATCATTATTTGATGCTTGCCCAGTAATATTCTGCATTTACTGGTAGCAGGACCTCTTGTGAGTCCGCACGCACCATCACCCTGCCTATTTCTGCCGTGAACTAGTAATGCGTTTCGGTTTGAAGGGCGAGGCAGCCGTTATACTGTAAAAACTGAGCCTGAACTCATGTCTCAAGGTGGGTGGCTGCATTTAGGTTGTAGATGTCTATGGGCTTCGGTAACCACTTAACTTGCCGTCTGGGCCGTACTTATCCAATCATCGAAGCTTTGAAGCGAATACTTGTTAGTTACTGTTTAGTAATAATTGACCTGGATTGAAACACTGTTTACCACTGGATCCAAGTTTTTATTCCGGTAGGTGACATTTTTGCGAGAGCTATTCGACGTTCGTGATCTGGGTATTCTATTGAGATTAAGACTTGTCTTGTATAAAGTTTTAGCTTAAATATTTCGAATTTAGAATGTTTTTTTTTCTATTCCCGCTTGCCCTAGTCTGCCAAATGTTAAAATATTAATATTTTTTTCTTTACTATGTATGTACTCGTTGTTATTTCGTTCATCAGTATTTTGATGAGAGTTTTTGAAGGATACTATGTGGGTAATAGCTTAGTTTAAAACTAATCTGTGATTTTGACATTTGACAGCACCCGCAGATTTTTTGGCGGGAACGCGAGGATTGAAGTTATGTGATTTGTTTTATTTTGTTTATTTAGTGTTTCTTCAGGTTTTAATGTGTAATAACGGTGGCTTATTAACTGTTTAGTATCTGTGAGAGTGCACAAATGTGGGAAAATGAAACAAAGCCGCTGGACGGAACTTCTTGCGATTCTACAAAAAGTCACGATAAATCACCACCATTTTACTGAGATTATATTTAATCCCATATCATCTCATCTTATTTCATTTATCTTCACTCCATAATATAATTTTTCATAAAGATATGAATATAAATTAAAATAAGACTTGACCTAAAGGTCTTAGTTACCAGGTCATAAAATCCCTTAAAAAAGTAAACTCTGAACACCTGCAATATTAAAATAGAATTTAACATGTAGGTATATCACATCTTTAGAATTGAAGTGGATTTACTAAAAATTTTAGAAAATAATTTTTGTGCTTTGGTCTACATAAAGACTATAAAATTAAAGTCTTTTTGAGTCTACGAAAAGACAAACGTACTCTTGCCATCTCTTTTAAATCAAGCGCATAGGTACAAAAACAAGAATTTTGGATTAGGCCACTTCAATTCTAAAGGTGCGATACAATACAAAATATAATCAAGTTTTATTTTTTCTCTTAACTAAGTGAAGTTTTTGAAATTATTCTGGATTTCATCATTTTTATAATATTTGATTGTATTTTTATTCAATTATTCTTTTTTAACCGACTTCATAAAAGGAGGAGGTTCTCAATTCGACTGTATGTTTTTTTTATGTTTGTTAGGTACCTCATAACTTTTTACTGGGTGAATCGATTTTGATGATTATTTTATTAGTTTCTCGCCGGATCTTCTCAGTGGGTCGCGTTTCCGATCCGGTGGTAGATTATAGACAGGTAGGTGACAGAACCACGGCTCTTGCTAGGGTTCGTGTTAGCAACGTCGTCAGGTTTAAGCCCACACACTTGTTAAGGTTACGCTAAAATGGTCTCTCAAAATCATCACTTTAGGTAGGAAAAAAAGGTTATGTATTACTATAATAGCCATTGACAATTTCTTAAACACCTAAAGATATTTCTTATTTTTTCTCAAAATAGTTGCAGAGTGGATCAGTAGAGTAATTGTACTTATGGAACAGCTAAATAGGGAACGAGAATCGTGCCACCATGGTCCGAAACAGATATTAGACCTTAGTACAGTGGCATCTGAAGTGGTGCATTGTCATCATTCCCATGAAAAGCACAGCCGTGTTTTACAACAGGGGTCGCCTTCCCGACACCACTTTATGTATCCCCTCCCTTTTTTTTATGATTGAAAGATTACTTGTGGCCCGAAGGCCTTTCCAGTTTCACCAGGACAGGTGGGCGAGCAAAGGCTCAACCAGGAGGGGTGGGATTTGCTAACAACTGCCCGAGCACCTCCGAAGGAGACCTAACAACTCAAGAGCAATTGCTTCGCGAATGAATCTACTACCGGATCGGAATCGGGACCCGCTGAGAAGATCCGGCGAGAAACTCAGCGGGCTGATGCATTGGTTAGGTTGCACGTCGAGTTCGACGAGTACGGTTACCGCGTCCCCTCCCGTATTAGGCCCCACAACATCAACTTACCATCACTCTCTTTGGCCAGTCCATACCCTGTGCGCGTAAATCCTTTCCCGTGTACAATAGGAAGCAGTACTGCCTTGAAACACGCACGGGTTTGTTGCGTTAATTCCCTTTCCAAGCTCGTGTTCAATTCAAGGCACGTGTCTTCCAATAGCACACGGGTTTTGTAATTAGCATACGCGCTAATGAACGCCACAAATCCGTGTTTTTATTTATTTATTAGATGGGTGAATGAGCTCACAGCCCACCTGGTGTTAAGTGGTTACTGGAGCCCATAGACACCTACAACGTAAATGCGCCACCCACCTCGAGATATAAGTTCTAAGATCTCAGTACAGTTACAACGGCTGCCCTACCCTTCAGACCGAAACGCATTATTGCTTCACGGCAGAAATATGTAATGCGGTGGTACCTACCCGCGCGGACTCCCAAAACGTTCCCACCACCACCAGTAAAAATATTTTGAGGCATTTTGTGATAGATACTTTGATAATGAAACTATCTTTAAATTCAGTCAAATTTTTATTACAATAAATACTGCACTTATATTATTATACATTTACACAATCGCCCATAATATTATGCTGTCCTCTACTGACTATCACTTTTAAAAGGAATTCGATTTACGAACACCCTTTAAAAACACTTTGTTAAAAGTACATAAAATATTTGTTGTATTTCATTTAAAATCTCCATACTTTAAAAAAAAAAACATCTTTAGTTTACCTGTATTATCAAACTCGGGACCATCAATTGAACCCCGCAATGTACTACAATGGAATTCGTAGTCCATTGCGTAGCGCCAAAAAACCTCCACATATAAGTCGGCTCGAAGTTTTGCAAAAATCTACTCTTTAAGTACCTACACGTGCTTTCTTAATATGTTGACTTAAACTTTTCGATCGGTCATTCGACAATATATTTTTCAGANTTTACCTGTATTATCAAACTCGGGACCATCAATTGAACCCCGCAATGTACTACAATGGAATTCGTAGTCCATTGCGTAGCGCCAAAAAACCTCCACATATAAGTCGGCTCGAAGTTTTGCAAAAATCTACTCTTTAAGTACCTACACGTGCTTTCTTAATATGTTGACTTAAACTTTTCGATCGGTCATTCGACAATATATTTTTCAGAATACCGTCGCGCTGACAAAATAAACTTGTCACTATGGAGGGGTGAAAAGCTGTTTGGTTTAAGTGACATTTTTGCAAATTTACCGGAGACCCATTTAAAGTTTAAATTTTGGAAAAAATAATCACAACAAAAGAAATGACGCAAGTGCAACTTGGTGCAAGTGAAAAAAGTGAAACTTCTTTTGCAGTGCATAGTATTATGGTTTTCTTCATTATTCATCCTTAAATCAAATCCTTAAACGAGCAAGCTCGCTTTCTCCCTCTCTCCGCGGTCGAGTGGTTAGCGAGACGCTCTGTCTATTCTCTCACTCTCGCTCGTCCTAAATTGTATCTTTTCCCTCTAGTCGTAACGAATTTGTCTCGAGTTAAATTTACCTCTTAACGCGTCTAAGAAGTTTCACTTCCAAAACTTCTTCAGCTATTCGAATCGGGTAAACTTAATTGAAGTTCAATTAGAAACATTGAACTGTTGATGCTGATACCGAATAAAACGGACCTTTAATTACTAAGCCAGATGTCACTTAAGCAAAATAGCATTATTCAGGCCTCGATATCAATTTGAAAAACCGCATTTAAGCATTTGACGATGACACAAATACTTTTAGTACAGATAAGAAAATCGACTTTAATAAATATGCATTTCTATATGCGACGAACTCTGAAATTAATTATCAAATTTTGATACAACTCAAGCGGCTTCTGCACGAAACGCACCAGTATAAGAAAAAAAAAGAACATTCTAGAACCAAGAACACAAAGTTTCGACACAAAAACACTCACCATCATACAACAACACACTTACGGCATTTTCGAGATAAGCTTGCATTTAAACAATTTCCAAACAAGAATATTCGGAAGATCTTCTCTTCGTCGTTATTACCACACACACACTATATCGATTTGAAAGCCTTCTCCATGTTTTTAAGACGGTTAAGGAGGGGGGGGTTGGGAGGGGCGTCTAGTCGGCGAGCGCGTCGCTCTGTCTGTTGGTGCGCGCGCGCTTCGGCCACGGCTTCTTCATATGCACGTGCTCGACGTGCGCGCGCAGCTCGCCGGACGTTGTGAAGCACTTGAGGCACGTGTCGCATTTGTACGGCTTCAGGCCAGTGTGGATCTAGATACACGTGTTCACCGGCTGACTTAACACACTCTCTAGACGAGAGAGGTGCAAACGTATACCGATGGGTGAAAGGCTTTAGGCGACATCTGTTTACTGGCGATAGGACATCTTGTGAGTCCGCGCGGGTAGGCGCCACCGCCCTGCTTGTTTCTGCCGTGAAGCAGTTATGCGTTTAGGTTTGAAGGGCGGGGCAGCCGTTGTAACTTTGGCGGCGGCATTTACATTGTAGATATCTATGGGCTCCAGTTACCACTTAACACCAGGTGGACTGTGAGTAATGAAAAAAAAAACTTTGTAATAATTATTCGGTACATTTTATTCGGTATCATCACCGACATTTCGATGTTTTTAATTGAACTTCAATTGAGTTTCATCTATTCGAATAGCCGAAGAAGTTCCTTTTTTTTTTATGACTTTTTTTCCAAATTTCTAACTTTAAATGGTTTTCCTGTACAGCTGTAAAAAAGTCGCTTATATCAAACAGCCTTCACCCCTCGATATAACTATATACATATATATGGTAGACTTGATCGATCAGTACCGAAAAGGGGTTTCTCTCCGTATCTTCTCAGTGGATACTCTTAGCAAATTCACCAGGCTGAGCTCCGCGCTATAGAGTCAACCGTAATCACCAGTCGAGTCACTGGTGGTAGGACCTCTTGTGAGTCCGCGCGGGTAGGTACAACCACCCCGCCTATTTCTGCCGTGAAGCAGTAATGCGTTTCGGTTTGAAGGGCGGGGCAGCCGTTGTAACTATACTGAGACCTTAGAACTGATATCTTAAGGTGGGTGGCGCATTTACGTTGTAGATGTCTATGGGCTTCAGTAGACACTTAACGCCAGGTGGGCTGTGAGCTCGTCCACCCACTAAGCAATAAAAAAAAACCTCGAACACGGAATGGAGTTACCTGTACCGTCCAAACGATGGCCTGAGCGCTCACCATCGCCCGTGGACTCACCAACGTCAGGCAGTCAAGTCACTTTTTTTTCCTACCCATTCTAGTAATCTCGAGGGGTTATTCTAGATTCACACAAACTAGTAGGTGAGCTCGCGGGGCTCAAACCTGACGACGCGGCGACGTTGCTAACACTGGCCCTAGCAAGAGCCGTGCTTCGCAGAATCTACCACCGGATCGGAAACGCGACACACTGAGAAGATCCGGCGAGAAATTCAGTGGGCTGTGTCTGTGGGTTAATTTACCCTTCGTCTCAAGCGACAGGTTTGGCGAGAATGATGACCGGTGCTTGAGGTACCTAAAAGCACCGTTAATGGATCGGGAGGATCCGTAATGACGCGTCAAGTGACCTAGCGAACTAGTTGCTAGCACTTACGAACATATGGCGTCTCCTATTGTTGTAGAAGGCGAAGTGCTTCCCGCACAGGGGGCACTCGTACGAGGGTCGGGTGGCGCTGTGCACGCGCAGGTGGAACACTAGGTTCGTCTTCTGGGTGAAGCTCTTCGGGCAGCGGTCGCATTTGAAGCGCTTCTCGCCGGTGTGGACCCACATGTGGTCTTTCAGCAGCGCCATGCTCTGGACGAGCAGAAAACGCGGAGGTTTTTTTTTAATATGTGGCTTGACGAGCTCACGGCCCAAACTGGTGTTAACTGGTGTCAAGTGGTTACCGGAGCCCATAGACATCTACAACGTAAATGCCGCCACCCACCTTGAGATATGAGTTCTAAGGTTTCAGTGTAGTTTTAACGGCTGCCCCACCCTTTAAACCGAAACGCAATACGTACTTAACAAATGTTCACGATTGACTTCGGTGAAAGAATAACATGACGTGTAATAAAAATCAAACCAGCAAAATTATGATTTGCGTAATCACTGCTGGCAGGATGTCTTGTGAGTCCGCGCGGGTAGGTACTACTGCTCTACATTTACTGCAGAAACAGGTTTCGGTTCAAAGGGTAAAGGGCAGCCGTTGTAACTATGCTGAGACCTTAGAAATCAATCTTAAGATGGGTGGCGGAATCTAAGTAATGAAAAAATGGACCGGACATTCACATTAAGCGCAACAGGTCAGTGCTCACTTGGAATATCCTCCCGCACTGCTCACACATGCAGGGCGTCTTCATGGCCGGGTACTTGGTCCTGTTCTTATCCGGGTGGGCTCGTCTGAAGTGCTGCGAGTACAGCCTCAGATCCTTCAGCTCTATGCCGCACTGCGAAGGCGATGCTTTTTTTTCTTACCTATGCTGATAGCCTTAAGAGTGTAGGTGAGCTCACTTTGCTCTAAGTAGAGTGTTGCTAACACTGGCTCTAGTAAGAGCAGTGCTTCGCTAAATCTACCACCAGATCGGAAACGCGAGCCACTGAGAAGATCCGGCGAGAAGCTCAGTGGGCTGTGTCTATGGGTGTCGATGCTGGTGAGTCGACCCAGGATTGGGGGCCGTTCAAGTATTACGTAAGCTTACAAGATTTATTACAATTATTCACCCCCTCCCCCTCTCCCCTTGTCAGCAAAAGTCAGCAAAGCTCTGACTCCCCAGTGCTAACGTAAACTTTAGTACCGTAGATGGGGGGAATCGGGACCTTTTCCAAATCCAACACAAATTTTCAATGATTGTTCTTTTTTCTATTTTTTTGCTTAGTTGGTTGGATGAGCTCACAGCCCACCTGGTGTTATTATAAGTAGTTACCGGAGCCCATAGATACCCTTTTTGTCAGAATCCCTTTTTGTCAAGTATCTATTCGGTACTGGAACGAACAACCCTCCACTATGTCTCCCGAGCGCTATGTCACACATGTCCTTCTTCAACGAGGCTTGTGGAGAATCCTCGTCGGTGAGCAGGGGCCTGACTGTGCCCTGACATTGCCGATGTCCATCGGTAACCACTCACAATCCAGCGAGCCATAACGCTCGCCTATACACAAAAAGACAAAAAATATTATAGGCTCCGTTCACACAGACCGCCTCGGAGAGGAGAGCAGATCTTTATCACGCTGGAAACAGAGTTTTGAGTAAGTGTAGTAAAGTTTATTTTTGCATGTGCACTTTTTTCGTCATTAAGAATGCCTGAACGCGCTGCGTGTGTAATATAATAAGGGGAGCCGATTGCTTTCAGATCTCTTTCAGTCGGTCTATGTGAAATAGTTCTTGGCTCCGCTCCGGCCAATTCCAAACGTATACGATCCGGTGTGTATGAAAAGAAAAAGCGGACCATGTGAACGGACCCCTATATGTCGGGGTTTTGTCGTCCACGGGTGGGTAGTTCGATTTTTTTTGGATCGTCACCCTTAAACTATGAGTACTATGCAAATAAAATAATAATTCAACTCAGGAGCGTTATGTGGAACGTTTCGAAGACATTCATGTCTTTCATTAAGGTTTGGTCAGATATATCACGCATCCACACACACGCAAGACCCCCCCGCCCCCGCACCTGCTCACACGTGACGGGCCCGGTCGCCCCGCGCTCCGCCCCCGCGTCCCGCCCGTGGATGACGGGGCGTCTCTCTATGCGGCGCACGACGCGGTCGCTGCGCTGCGAGACGCTCTGAGAATCGTTCCTTAAGCGATTCCTGGGGACGAACCGTGTGCTTAGTGCGACTTTTTTAACGTTCTCGATATCGAAAAAGTTAACTCAAATTAATTTACAGTTGGAACAGCGCCCCTAGCGGAAAACGTAGGCAAACGTTCCAACTTCATACACACTTTGTGTAAACTTTTTCGATATCGAGAACGTTAAAAAACTCGCATTAAACACACTGAGCTGATACAGTTCCGCGATCGAGTTTTTAACGTTCTCGATATCGCAAAAGTAAACACAAACTAGTGTAGAGTTGGAACAGCGCTCGTAGTGACAAACGTTCCAACTGCATATACATAAATTTAAGTTAACTTTTACGCTATCGAGAACGTTAAAAAACTCGCACTAAGCACACTGAGCTGATACACATTCACGACCACCCCAGCACCCCAACTCCCCTCCCCCCTCAACGGCAGACGACAAGGGGATCCAATGGAGAATGAGCTTCTAGCAGCGACCTCTGAGTATCACACCAGCGTACTATGTTAAAGTCACGAGTATTGGGAGACATGACATAAAAAAAATATTCAGAGGTGTCAAGGGACACCCGGATGGAACGAAGTTCCTTTCGATTAATTAGTGAAGGAATTGTAATTTTTTTTTTTAAGATATAATAATAAATTACGGCATTATGAAGAAGAAAAAAACAATACTATGAACTAAATTACTATTGTTGAAACGCTATCTCGAGAAACTACTCATTACGCGGACCAATCGGATACGAGCAATGTCCCGCGACAAGCGCCTACACGTTGATTGGTCAGAATGACGGATCTAAAAAGTGTCGTGACAACTTTTCGTAAGAATTTTTTCCGTCTAGCCCCCTTTCACAACGCGCGATAAGGAACTTCGTTCCAAAAATTATTGCCCTTGTAGGCACACGAGTATACAGCCCGCCTGAGTGGTTCCCGTCGCCCATGGACTTCAGCAATACCAAGGGTAAAGCCATGCCGCTGCCTACCAAAAACTCCGTAAATACCGTAAATACTCTCATGCATTTCGCGAGGGGTGAAACATTGTTTTGGTTTGAGCGACATTTTTACAATATTACCAGAGAGCTATTTAAAGTCTAAAATTCTAAAAAAAATATCAAAGCAAAAAAAAAGTTCAGCTACTCTAATGGAGTAAGCTTAATTGAAGTCCAATTGAAAACGTCGAACTTTTGATGCTGATACCGAATAAAACGGACCTTTAATTACAAAGATAAATGTAGCTTAGAACCAAATGGCCTTTCACCCTACGATTTAATAAAAATATTTTATTAGTGACGTTACAAACATGACACTTTAAACTTTTTGTGTATATTAGATAAATAGGCAAAGACAATTAATAAAGTTAAATGCCAATTTCTCGTCAGTTAGTTAGCAAAAGATTTTTTTCTTATTTTTTATTTAGTAACCGTTAACGATTTTTAGTGTTTTAGTAGTTTAGTGTAGACCTTATGGTTCAATACTTAAGGTAGATTGTCGACGGTCAAATGGAAATCGTAAAAAAGTAATTTTACATAATATTGACTCACGGGTCGCTGTCTTTGCTGTGTCTTGACGACAACCTCAAATGTCGATCGTAGGCCATTTGAGTCTTGAATTTGACCTCGCATAGCTCACAGAATGGTCCTTCGAGCAGATCCTGTACGCGGAACACAATCTAATTACGCGCTAATTGATAGTGAGACTGTAGCACGGTCCAGTCACCTCAACGCGTCTCAAAGAAGAGGAGGAAACATTTTTATCGCGTCACAAAACACATCTTTAGTTATTCTGGAGGTCTTGTGAGTCCACACGGGTAGGTACCTTGCCTATTTCTGCCGTGAAGCAGTAATGCGTTTCGGTTTGAAGGATGGGACAGCCGTTGTACTGTAAAAACTGAGACCTTAGAACTCATAACTTATGGTGGGTGGCGACATTTACGTTGTAGACGTCTGTGTGCTCCGGTAACCACTTAACACCTAACTAAGCAATAAAAAAAAATGTCCATGTGTATTTAGGGGAGAAATTGAGATCGTGGTGTGGACTCCATTCCTTTGTTTAGTTATTCTGAGCATACAACATGTACAAAAGGGTGTACAGTACCCGACAATAAAGATTGCACATCGACTCTTAGAAAGAGACGATCGGCTAGCTTCGGCTTCTCAGAGTGCCGTCTCTTACTAAGTACGAACAATCCGACTGACCGCTGCTGCAACACCAACCAACAAATATCACTGTAGAGTCGTTTCCTTCCAAAGACCCTCTGAGTTTCTCGACGGATCTTTTCAGTGGGTCGCGTTTCCGATCCGGTCTACACCCTGTACAGTACCCGACAATAAATAATGCACATCGTTCATTGCCTAATCGTTGGTAACCTAAGGAGCTATTCCAACTTCGGACTGCTAGGTGAGCTCACGGGACTCAAACCGGAGTGTTGCTAACACTGGTCCTAGCAAGAGCAGTGCTTCGCAGAATCTACCACCGGATCGGAAACGCGACCCACTTAGAAGATCCGGTGAGAAACTCAATAGGCTGTGTCTATGGGTTACTTTACCCTTCGTGTCAAGCGACGGGTTCGACGAGGACGGTGCTTGAGGTACCTAAAAGCACCGTTAATGGATCGAGAGGATCCGTAATGACCTGTAAACTGTTTGTTATTTGTTAAGGAAGTTTATTAATATATTCCTTTTAATACTGTATAAATTATTATATGTGTATATATATGTATGTGTGTATATGTGATTGTGTATATATGTATATACTTTTTTATTTTTTTTGTGTTTGTATTTGTAAATGAATATAAATTTCATTGCACCTACCACTATTCACTCTGCACTACCTTTGGTTGTCTGGTAGAGAATGCCTTAGGCATTAAGTCCACCAATGTAAATTTTACATGAAGTGTAATAAATAAATAAATAAAATAAACTGAGATGAGGGTTCGTAGGCGGTGTCGGAATCGCCTCAACATTCCGCCCAAGCTAAGTCTAAAGGGTCTAAAGGGGGCACGTGCGTCCCCACCCACCGGCTTGTCGGCGAGCCTGTGCTTCTTCTTCTTGTGAACGTCGACCCCCTTCTTGCTGACGAACGTGTAGCCGCAAAGCTCGCACACGAAGTCGCACACGTGCTTGATCCTCAAGTGGCCCATGTATGTGGTCAGTTTACTAGGGAAAGCTCTGATGATTAGCGGGGGGACCGCTGCTGATGTGGGGACCAGTTTGTTTTAATGTCCGTATCTGGTAATAATTAGTGGTCGATTTTCCGAGCACGTGTTACCGTCGCCCGTGGACATCAGCAAAGCCGAGTTGCTGTCCACCTGCCGTGTCCTTTCCGCTAACCTCGTTCGAGGAAAGAGACAGTCCTGCGTTCCGGTCTGAAAGGACTGCTCATGCGTGTCTCTCAAACTGAATGGACCCAATAGATTGATAATTTTGTGAAGTGAAGTAACTCCGGTAACCACCTAACGCTAAGTGAGCCGCGAGAGCAGTCCCATACGGTAAAAAAACGATTATGAATGTTTCAATGAACTCAACTTGTGCTAGAAAGAACCTCTCGTGAGTTTTTTTTTTATTGCCCTTGTAGTCAGACGAGCATACGGCCCACCTGATGGTGAGTGGTTACCGTCGCCCATGGACTTCAGCAATGCCAGGGGCAGAGCCAAGCCGCTGCCAAGTCCGCGCGGGTAGGTACCACCGCCCTGCCTGTTTTTGCCGTGAAGCAGTAATGCGTTTCGGTTTGTGGGGTGGGGCAGCCGTTGTAACTATACTGAGACCTTAGAACTCATATATCAAGGCGGGTGGCGCATTTACATCATAAATGTCTATGAACTCGTCCACCCAACTATGCAATAAAAAAAATGCAGCACCCTGTATATTAGTTTAATAATACTCACTCGAATTCACTACAGCAATGCGGACACTGGTATTTGGTGCCGGCGTGCCATTTTTCGTGTTCTCTGGCCACGCCCCTATTTAAAAAAAAGAAAACAAAGTTACGGCCCACGTAATGTCAAGTACGAGAGCCCATGGACATCATCAAGTGAACACCGAAGCCTACCTTGAGAATCCGGTTCAATAGACCAGGGGGCAAATGTTGAGCTATTGTCAATTCTATTTACAGACAGCCTAGCATAGGAGGCGACCAGGAATTATAGTCCGTCCGCTATGAGACTGCGCGTCTGACGGGTTGCGGTCGACCCATGTACATAAGTTTGACTAAGCGTTGATTTTACTATTTTTTTGAAGTGAAACTTCTTTAGACGCCTTGAGAGTAAAATTTAACTCGCGACAGATCCGTTACGGCTAGAGAGAAAAGATACAATTTAGGACGAGCGAGAGTGAGAGAATAGACAGAGCGTCTCGCGAACCAGTCGACCGTGGAGAGAGGGAGAGAACAAAGTGAGCTAGGTTTTTTTTATTGCTTGGATGGGTGGACGAGTTCACAGCTCACCTGGTTGTTAAGTGGTTACTGGAGCCCATGGACATCTACAACGTAAACGCACCACCCACCTTGAGATATAAGTTCTAAGGTCTCAGTATAGTTACAACGGCAGCCCCGCCATTCAAAGCGAAACGCAATACTGCTTCACGGCAGAAATAGGCGGGACGGTGGTACCTACCCGTGCGGACTCACAAGAGGTCCTACCACCAGTAAATAGTTATTTAGTTTAGCGACCATCTATTGTCACCATTTTGCCCGCTCCCGTCATCCCCTTTGCCACATCGACCTCAACGTCGACTTCAATATACCTGTTCCTCGTTGTGAAAGGACACCCTTTGCATATAATTTTCTCTGTATGCTGTCCGGTCAGGTGTTTGCGTAGAGCGCGACTGGATTTCATCCTGGATTTACATATGAAGCATTCGAAGACGCCACTCACCTGGAGAACAAACAATCCGTCGTGACTATGACGTCACATATCCCCCTCCATGCATCGGGTTCCTCGATGCTATAGGTCGTGACCTTTACTAAGCACTTTCGTTCTAAGACTATACATGACAGAGAAGTTTATTGGCGCTTATCTAAAACTCAGGATTCTGCTATTACGGACACAAAAAAACAAATCTAAGGAACTGCCGCTAATTCTCCTGGTACGCTTGACGTCTGTCAAAAGTGACAGCTGTCAAAAGAATGCACGCTTACGTCACTCACTTGGGTCGTGACCTTTACGAAGCGCTTTCGTTCTAAGACTATACATAACAGAGAAGTTTATTGGCGCTTATCTAAGACCCAGGTTCCTGCTATTATGGACACAAAAAAACAAATCGAAGGAACTGCCGCTAATTCCCCTGGTACATTTGACGTCTGTCAAAAGTGACAGCTGTCAAAAGCTGCACACTCACGTCGCTCGCTGTAGGTCGTGACCTTTACGAAGCACTTTCGTTCTAAGACTACACATAACAGACAAGTTGATTGGCGCTTATCTGACACCAAGATCCGGCTATCTTGTAAACGAAAATCTTAATCGAAGGAACGTAACATCCGGCTTTGGAATGAGCTCTCCTCTACGGTGTTTCCCGAGCACTATGACATATCCTTCTTCAGACGAGGCTCGTGGAGATTACTTAACAATAGGCAGCGGCTTGGCTCTGCCCCTGGCATTGCTAAAGTCCATGGGCGACACTAACCCCTCACCATCATCATGGGCCGTATGCTCGTCTGCCTACATGGGCAATTAAAAAAAAAATGCCGCTAATTCCCTGGTACGCTTGACGTCTGTCAAAAGTGACAGCTCTCAAGAGGCTGTACACTCACGTCGCTGTGCCTCACGGAGTGCGCTTCGAACCTCTCCCTGTTGAGGAAGCCCCTGTAGCACGTGGTGCACTTGTACGGGGCGCTCTTGTAGCTGTTCAGCTCCTGCCTCTTCTCTATCTCCGCTATCTGCTCCTCGTACGTGAGCGAAGTTATCGTGAACAGATTCTCGTCCAGGTCTTGGGTTCGGCGGCGTTTCACGTCCGCCATTTTGAATCTTCGAACAGAGTTTGGAAAACATTTGTTGTACGAGCTCACAGTTCACCTGGTGTTAAGTATTGACCGGAGGTTGTACACATCAACAATGTAAATGCCGCCACCCACCAAGAGACATGAGTAAGTCTGTTTTTACAGCACAGCTGTCTCTCCATCTCTCAAATCGAAACGCATTACTGCTTCACGGCAGGAACAGGCAGAGCATGTGCCTACCCGTGCGGACTCATGACACGTCCTAACACCAGTAATTACGCAAATTATAATTTTGCGGGTATTATGATTTTTATGACACGTTATGTTATTCCTTCACCGTGGAAGGCAATCGTGAACATTTTTTAAGTACGTATTTCATTAGAAGAATTGGTACCCCGCTTGCGTTGACACAGTAACGTCGCTAGATACGAATGCACCGGCCGTCTTATCCATTAAACCACGATGACTTCAACATTGTTTGTAAATGTAACGAAATGTATATCTGTGTGCTTAGTGCGAGTCTTTTAAATTTCTCGATAGCGTAAAAGTTAACTCAAATTTGTGTGGAGTTTGGAACGTTTGCCGCTAGGGGCGCTGTTCCGACTGCTTACAAATTTGAGTCAACTTTTACGCTATCGAGAACGTTAAAAAACTCGCACTAAGCACACTGGACTTAGGCATGTGTGACGAAACATATGAGTCGACTATTATCAAAGCCGGCAATCTGACTTTTGAACAATGATTGGTAAATCAGAAAAACGAATTATTGACTTTGTATTCCATTGGCAGTCACAAAACTCTTCGGAACGACATCTTAGATAAATAACAGGTTAACTATTAACCTTTATTTAATGCAGGTTTTGAACCGTATTCTTTGAAGGAGACGATTATATTCAAATCAATCTGTATTGACATATCAATAATTTTTTTTTGTCCAAATGCACAGATTGCCACCTTTGATAATAGACGACTCATATATGGTTTTATATGTGAAAAAACTTGATTCAAGAAAGTGAATAATTAACCCCGGATAATACATAGAATACTATAATAATACGACAGTGAGTTTGTTTGTTCGTGATTCCGAGTCGCAACAGATCTTTTTTTTTTTATGATTGAAGGATTACTGGTGGCCCGGAGGCCTTTCCAGTTTCACCAGGACAGGTAGCAACAGATCTACAAATCGACTGGCAATTCGTGAACCAGAGAGTGACAAAATCAAGCAAAAATTACTTCAGTGCTTACTAAAGTAAAAAGTTATGGCAAAAGCACGCGGGTCTGGTTATAATCGTCTGGTTGGTGGGCATGTACCATCTTCGGTCACCGATCCCCGCGAGTCCCGCGCGCTCCCCCACACGGGGAACCTTTTAGGAGGTGGGTCCCTCCAACAAATGGTCCCCACCCTGTACCTATTTTTGCCGTGAAGCAGTAATGCGTTTCGGTTTGAAGGGTGGGGCAGCCGTTGTAACTATACTTGAGACCTTAGAACTTATATCTCGAGTTGGGTGGCGCATTTACGTCGTAGATGTCTATGGGCTCCAGTAACCACTTACAACCAGTTGGGCTGTGAGCTCGTCCACCCGTCTAATCAATAAAAAAATAAAAAAAGCATCTCACCGCTTAGTGACGTTGTCGGGATTGTCGTCTCCGGCTCTCTTTCTGACCCCCTTCTTCTGGACCTTCAATCTCTTCCTCCCCTTTTTCACTTTAGACGACGTCTCTTTGCTGTCACAGTTCGCCACCTTCTCGTCCTTATACACTTCGCTCAGAACCTTATCATCGTCGGAGTCGTAGAAGCCGACGTTGTACTCTTCGAAGAATATCTCGTTCGAGGCCTCGTCTTTGATGTGGAGGTCCTCGGCGGCGCTGTCCGCGGACAGCTCGGCTTCTCTGTTCGGTTCCGAGATCACATCCGACCCTGCTGGGGGGAGGTTTGGTGGTCTTTATTGCGACCAGCTCCCGGTAGCTTGAGACGTGAGGTCGATTTATCAAAGACCGTCCCCAACAGTGCTATTCGTTCGCGAACATGAGTTAAGTATATCCTTAGACGTGTGCTCAAAGCGTCTTCTTATATACCGGAGCCCATTGACCACTACACGTACGGTTTTGTACGGAGTCTTCCATGAGAAATGCTCAAAAGAAAGAACGCGTAAGCAAACAGACTATATTTTTCATAAATAATTGCCACGATTCAACCTCTACCGGTTTGAAGGGTGGGGCAGCTTATACAAATACGACGGAGACTTGGACCTCGTGTCTTATATGGAGAATCACTATATCCCCCATCACCACTGAAAACCAGATGAGGGGGGACGGCCGTCTGGTGTAATGGTAAGTGACATGGTCACTACACAAGGGGGTCGCGGATTCGAATCCCGCTAAGGGAAGATATTTGTATGATAAATATAAATGCCTTTTCAAGGGTTATGGATGTATATTAAATATACGTATGTGTATAATAAAAATCTTACATTTATTTCCGTTATCTGGCACCTGTAACACAAGTTCTTTACGAATTTATCACGGGACCTGTTAACGTGGCGTATTGTTAGTAAATATTTATTTATTTACCTGTTCATCCATGCAACGTACCTTCATCTTCCTTGAGCTTCACAACGCTAAAGGTCTCGTCCAAGAAGTAATCCAGGCTGTTAGGCTCAAAGGATTTTCGTACCAACGTACTCCTCAATCCATTCTCAACTCTGTTAACGCATAACACGTCTTTTAATGTGACCTAAAAGAGAACGTTGAAGGATTAATCCGATATCTTTTAGCGAAATCTGAGGGTAGTTGGCGTAATATCGAAATTCCTGCGAATATCCCAACTGGAAAGACCGCTTTTAAATTGTCGAGATTTTTTTTTATTGCTTAGATGGGTGGACGAGCCACTCATCTAGTATTAAGTGGTAACTGGAGCCCATAGACATCTACCACGTAAATGCGCCACCCATCTTGAAATATAAGTTCTAGGGTCTCAAGTATAGTTACAACGGCTGCCCCGCCCTTCAAACCGAAGCGCATTACTGCTTCACGGCCGAAATAGGCAGGGCAGTGGTACCTACGGTGGTACGGTAGAAGTGTTAGGTTTTATTTTCGTTACGTAATTTCTTGATTCGGTCGCCGCGCTCGAAGCCCGCGATAAAAGCTATGCAATAGCTTAAAAAATAAAAACTTACGTATTTGTTCGCCGCGATTAAGTCCGCGAGCAGCTTTTGACTGCTTAGAGCTTTCCTCTTGAACTTCAGACACGAGGACAGTCTGTGGGCGCACTCCCAGCACAACCTCTTCGGTACTCGATCATCATCCGTGAACTGTTCAATAACATACGTATCGATTTACGTGTCTAAATGAAAAAATAAATAAATAATAGTTTATAAAAAAACTAAATGTTAACGCCTATGATTTTTTAAGGAGCAATGTACAAAATTTTATTTATGTTCACCAACACAATGTTTAAAACACTTCAATTAATGGCCGTGCCAAGCTAACTTGTTCGCAATGTAAAAATCAAGAAAGACTTGTCTAAAGAAAATACAAGCACAAAATCGATTGTGAAAGTTTTATTGAAGAAACCCAAGCATCGAACACTAAAAAAATACGCGGATTATAGAAAATCCAACCAAAAAATAGAAAATAAATCTTAATAAATTAAAATTATAAATAGTGAAGAAAAAATGATTTTATTGTAAAAAAAAGCGTGGGTGCTTTTCAGGATATTATCAAAATAACCCTTCTAATCATAAAATATCTGTTCATAAAATATTTATAACTCTTTATACCTTTATTTATTTATAATTTTTTAGTTGAATTTCACTTTTTTTTTATTTCTTCTGAATCAGTCGGTAACTTATCCGAGAAATAGGTGATCGGCGCGCCTGGCAGTTTCCCTTCTTGGTCTTGACGCAGACACTTCGGGTCTCAGGAAAACAAAAAATCTGGAAAGCGGTCGACGTCGCCCAAAACACGTCATTTCGGATCCTCCCAATCCATTAACGGTGCTTTTAGGTACCAAAAGCACCGGTCACCGTCCGCGTCGAACCCGTCGCTTGCGACGAAGGGCTCGACGAGCGAATTGACCCACAAACACAGCCCACTGAGTTTCTCGCCGGACCTTCTCAGTGTGTCGCATTTCCGATCCGTTACCGCGGTGGTGGATTCTGGGAAGCACTGCTCTTGCTAGGGCTAGTGTTAGTAACACTCCGGTTTGAGCCCCGTGAGCTCACCTACACGTCAAGGAGAAGCTGAAATAGCCTCTTAAGGTTATCAGCATAGGTAGGAAAAAAAACATATTTAATGCCAACTACACGGCGGAGATGTATATAGCTGAGTGTGAGTCTATGCATATATGTATATACTCACAATGTACTCGGTTAGTTGTTCGTATATTTCCTCCAGTTTGCACGCTCCCATGTCGTACAGTTTGCCACCAATGTTCAAGCATATTCGGCAGACCTTGAATAACAGAAGTGAGCCGATAGAAGGCGATAGTAAAATTTCCCGATTTATCGGGAGATTTTCCCCTATTAGCATTTCAAGTATGGCAACACTAAGTAAAATCAGGCGGAATTATCGTTATTATTGGATAGTGTGCACAGCTCGCCTGATGGTGGGTGATCATTGTCACCAGAAGCCGAGTGCAAGTCTGCTTACTATGGCAATAACAAAAAAGGTAAAAGGACTTTTAATGATCTATTAATCAAATGTCTTACATCCGATATATCGGCTCCGTCGCGATCGGCCTCGGAATTCTGTAACAATCATTCAGTATTTATGTTGGCATCAGAAAGGTAACGGCAATTGGCAACACTGCAGAGAATCGGGAAAAAATACAAATTACGACTGGCGTGCGTGGGTAGTTGTTATTCTTCTTTTTATCCCAGAGTGTCCCCGGAAGTAATAATGCGTTTCGGTTTGAAGGGTGGGGCAGCCGTTGTAACTATACTGGACACCTTAGAACTTATATCTCAAGGTGGGTGGCGCATTTACATTGTGGATTTCTATGGGCTGTGAGCTCGTCCACCCAACTTAGCAAGAAAAAGAAAATGTCTCTAAATTTTCACCATATCATGTGTCACCATCATAATACGTACGTGTTAAAATCAATCAATTGTTCTTACCAGAGTCACAGGTACAGCACCGTTCTTCACCTTCTTGAGACCGCCTTTAGTGAAATAAAAGTCATCCTTCCAGAAGTGCTCGGAGCAGATAGCGCTGCCGTCTTTGGGCAACCAGCCCTTCATACCTAGAGCATCGATCCAGGCGGCACGGTGGCTTTCATTTTTCGGAAACCTGTATAATGAATACAAATATCGAAGGATTGAGTAGCACCTAGAACGCTCTAGAAGTACAACGCCATCTGTTATCATATGGCGGAAACGCACAATACTAGACTTTTGTGGAATATTCTCGACGATTCTAGGGATTTCGTCTCGATTATAAAAGCGTTGCAGAGATGGCACGCAGTCAGTCAGTAATCGGAACTGCTCGAAGCGAAACAGCGAACGGATCACCTGAAGCGAACCGGAAGAAGCGAATTGAGAGTTTTAAAGTGTTTGTTGAGTGTTTTAAGTGTTCTAAGTGTTGAATACAGTTTTTAGTTGAACTTTGGTGGAACATTTATTTATCCCGAACCCGAGCGCGTAACAATATGGTTACCGGTAATGGAAAGGGCGTGAATAAGCCATACATACACCAAATATCATTAACTTTTCTTCTTTTCATCCTTCCAAAAGACATCCCCTGGCCGTTAATATTAATTCCCTATTAACTTTAGTATATTCTAAAAATGACAATATTCTATGCAACTTGTATCTGCTAATCATATTTCTCTATAAAGTAGTTAGTCTAACATATATTTGTTTGTGCTGTTCTTAAAATCACAGATTCACGTATGGAAAAACTGATGTTTTTTATTTGTATTTAGTTTTTTTTTCTCTCTGAACACCTGTCATTTTTGTGCATACTGTGACATTGGCAAAATCAATGCCAAAGGCGTTGGAGCCAAACTTCTATATATAAAAAAATATCATTAGCAAAAAATTCAACTGATAATCGAACCCAAGCTAATTTATATGCTGTTACTAACCACTAAGCAGACAAGTAATACAAAACTCTAGTGACCTCCTACCCATCTAGTGGAGAAAACAGAGTTTTATGAAAATTTGTTTTTATTTTAAAGCACTTGACTTATTTTTGACAATAAACTTCCGTTATGAGATTTTTAGGTAGGTACCACCACCCCGCCTATTTCCGCCGTGAAGCAGTAATGCGTTTCGGTTCGAAGGGTGGGGTAGCCGTTGTAACTATACTGAGATCTTAGAACTTATATCTCAAGACGACAAGAAGACTATAATATAAAAAGTTAAAATCCAACAATTTTAAATTCAACATGCATATAATGTTTCAATCTATATTTATTTAAAATCTTATTAATTATACACATTTTTTTAAGAGATATTAAAAATACAAAAAACTATATAAAAATATATTACCACTGATGGCGGTGTCTACGACACAAGCCACCAGTGGTTAGGAATCCCCAATGTGAGAAACCTACTCACAATACACACAGTATCGAGGATAATTGCTTTCTATATCAGGCCCCTAATCCAGCTGGATAACGAAAGTTTCTTAAGGTGTTGATCGAAATTTTTTGCTGTCAAACTGTTGTTATTATTTTTACTATCTAGTATCAGTTATGAACAAAATGTGTGACTACCTACCTACTCTGCTATGTCAATAAAAAATTAAAATAAAATAAAACTACTGTATGCGTTTCAATAATTGTAAGTCTGATGAGCAGAGCTGTCACTTAAACCAGTTTGAAGGATGCAATGGCTGTTCCAAAATGCAATAGTGATATCAACCCTGGATTTCAAGGGGAGCTCTCATAGGGGGAGCCATCAGTTAGTCCTTAATCCATAGACTAACTGATTGATGGTCAGTGATTAGTAAGTGATCAGAAAAAGTCAGAACATATCCAAACATTTTGAGCTATATCTTATTTAAGAGAACTGTAGAGTTTCAGAATAAATAATTGACAGTACATTACACTGAGAAATACTGTCTGTCAAATGCAGAGTGAAAAATAGCCTAAATTGTATTCCTTACATCCTCCCTAACATGAGAAGCTCTGTGTTTGCTCAGAACATTTCCACCCATTTCATTCCATGAACATTGGGCACAGACAAACAGACTACTTATTATGTATATTAATTGATACATTCTAAAGGCTATGGTTTGGTTAGGCAGTGATAGAAAACTGAAGAGGATAGAGTAATGCGCATTAAATATAGATGCCTCCATTAAACACCAGGTTCTCAAGGCCATTGGCATCCTTCAATTTCATTGCATGTTCAAACTATGAGCAACTAATTCTATATATCCATATTATTCTAAATACATATGAGAGTTTCTTTCAAAGTCCAAACACATTTATTGATTTGTAACATACATAGAGGACATTTGACTGGAAATTTAAGCACTTTTATAATGTTTTCATGTTTATATTTCGCTAAATCATTACAAACTAGCATTTATTTCGATAAAGCCGGCTTGTTATATTATTTACTATGAGTCAAAAGTAGAATTTAGATGACTGTTAATATGTAACGATAGCGACACCATTTAAAAAGCCCGCAAATTTATTAAATGCAATATTCCAATATGGCGCTTCTAGTAATTTAATTCTCGAAACAACTAGATGAGACAATTTATTTTCTCGACAATTTTATATAATTATTGAACTTACGTGTGAAATGTGACTGTGTAGTTTTTCGTGTCGGCTTTCGTGTCCGTGGTACAATTAGGCACGCTACAACGCATTTTAAATGAAAAAAATACGATATTTTCCTGTCGCAAAACAAGCGCTGCGTTCGAAACTTTGTAATTTTATTTCGTTTGTAAGTTTTAACGGATCATTTAAATAATGTACATTAAATTATGGGTTCTCGCATCAAAATTAAAGTAGTTTTAATTTATTATTTTGGAAATAATGAGATCGCAATGTTTTGGTTCTCACGAAACGTCAATATTTCTGCTTGAATGATCTGTGTCAACCGCACAGACCTCATACCAAATACTAGAGTAGTCATGTCCTTGCTTTGTAGTCTAATCTGTCGGATGTACAGATGATCACGTATTGAGAGTATGTGCCGGCAGGTTTCGCACCAAAAACTTTACATAAACTAGTAATATTGATATTGTTGATGAACTAACCGCCAATCTATCGTCGGATATATTCATCTTCAACATCTTCATCTCAGCCTGTCCTCTGTCCACTGCTGAACATAGGCCTCTCCAAGTGATCTCCTGCGTGATCTCCTGAGTGCGGCCGGTCCTTACCAGGTTATCGGTGGCTCATTGTTCGTCGTTTGTTCGTTAATGTTGGAAGGTAAAAATTGTTTGTTCGTCTTTTATTTATTTATAATTAATTAAACAAATGATCACCCTTAAGTGGGCCCCTTGAAAACGTACTAGAGGCCGGAGCCCCAAACGTTGGTCCGACCAGATCTCCGAGCAAACCAGCGGACCACTTAGCGCTGCACTACACCAGGCAACTGACCGGAACCGATGGAGGCTGACAGTCGACAAGCTAAAACGGAGTCACGATCCTCAGCAATGAGGGAGCGATGGAGAAGAAGAAGAAGAAGTGGGCCCCTCTTAATAAAAATAAAGATACCTAGATCTTTATTTTTATTGCCCAAATTAGTTAATTTGGATCACTTATCGTTTGTTCGACGACTAATGGTGATTGTTCGATCATAAAAACAATTAAATTCCCAGCTATGTCCTATGTCAGCAACTTTGGTTCTTTTACGGATCACCTCATTTCTGATTCTGATTTCTTCGGATATCATCAATCTAAAAATGCAACTCAACTGACACCGAGCGCTAAGAATTATTTTAAGTCACTTAATAAAAAATAGAAAAGAAAATTGACATATGTCGTCATTTAATTTTTTTATGACAAAGTCCCAATTTAAAGTATCTCTTCTTCTTCTCAGTCGTGTCACTCTTGACAGAGTGGTCGTGATCGTCATGTAGTGTTAGAAGGGGCAGACTTGATGAGTCTCACGATGTCGCGCCATCTCTCCAAAATATCTCTAAAAATACTTATTACTAAATGTCTCAAAACAAAAGAAGAACTCAGAAATCTAGACGAATGACACAAGTTTCCTACACAAATATATAATAAATATAAATATATTCTTCATCTACAATTAAAAATTTGGTAAAATGCAATTTTCGAAATGCAAATTTTTTGTAAAAAATAAAGTAAAATCTGAGAATGAGCGTACATAGTTGTATAATTATACTATAATTTCAGCTTGCAAAATATATTAATTGGCTGAAAGAAGAGCATTAAGCTGTTTCATTTTGTAAAAAAAAGGTACCGCTGTTATGCCGAATGAAAGGGTGCCTATGATCTCAAATATATTAAGTGTATAATCTATGCCTATGATAAAAACGGCCACAGAATAACAAATTACGTGTGCGGGTATTTTTTATCAAATCAGCCTTACCTCACATACTGATTATATGGACAATCGTTTTATTAAAAAAATATAAATGAAAAATGTGTAAAAGATAAATGTCACGTCTAAAGCGCCTTATTCACGATCCATCTTGCTGTACGTCCCGCCAAGGCCATGCACGATGCACGATGCAAAAGGATCATGAATAGGCTTGACGTACGTCGATAATTATTATTAATTGTTTGCTGGATTTGCACGACCGATTTTGCGTCCAGCGAGTGTCCCCACCACCGCGAGCGTCGTGCAGATAGACAGTGAATAACGCTGACGTACGTCAGAGCGGTCCTGCGTCGTGCGTGCTTGATCGTGTATAGACTTGCTGTACAGCAGATTTAACATTTGTAGCTTGTTTCGAGAGGAGACTGCACGTCAAAATGGATCGTCAAACACTTTCAAGATTTATTGAAAGATATAAGTTCCACATGTTTGTGGAATGTCTCAAGCGCAGACTATATGAATAAACAAAAAATAATAAACTTATTACAATTTTTTAGGCCCATTTTAGGGGAAGTTGCAAGGATTGATAGCGTGCGTAAAAAATGATATTAATTATTTGAGTATACTCTGCACGTTTAAAAAAATCATCCAAAATCCTCTTGCTATTTTTTGCCTCTCTTCGGCTGGTGCTGACAACATCAGAAGGACTCCCATTTTTGGCGTTTTGATAAAACAGCTGGCATTTTAAATAAATTAAAACGCTCTCATTTAATTCGTTCGATTTATTCTGTTCGCGCTTGATACATCCAGCACCGCGGCCTTGAGCTGACGTACAGCCGTGATGGATCGTGAATAAAGCGCTAAATGCATCGTGCATCGTGCATGGCCTTGGCGGGACGTACTTACAGCAAGATGGATCGTGAATAAGGCGCTTAAGTTAAAACGCATTGATTGTTTTTTTGCATCATAGCTGCGTTATGTAATCAAACGGCCATTTTTAAGAACGATGACGCTTGTATTCTGTGCTATTTCTATTCCCTTACGGAAAAAAAAAATATTTTCATTTCTAAAAAAATAAACAACATTGGGCGAATCGATTATTCGTGAACTATTTTAATTTTGGGACGAATCAATTAAATAAATTCAAGGAAAAAACGTATGTTTAAGGAGTACGGCACATTAATTTTGAAGTAATTTACGTAATTTAGTAAGTCAGAAAATTCATACTGAAGTACGAAGGACCCTTTATAGGTGGTAAAAGGTTTAGTTTTATTTAGTTATTTAAAAAATAATTGAAAAATCTTTATAATTGTTATATTATGTGTAAAGAGATTTTACAATTATGAGTGAAATACCTCACGCATGTGGAGTTTGTCAAAAACGTTTCACATGTATTAGTCATTTAAAACTACACTTGAAACGACACAATGTAATGAAACCTTATGTTTGTGAAGTGTGCCAAAAAGGTTTTACGCAAATGTTTTATTTAAAAAAGCATCTAAGAATACACATCAGCGAAAAACTCCATAATTGTGAAGTGTGCGACAAAAGCTTTGCACAAGCAGTAGAGTTAAAAAGACATCTAAGAACTCACACTGACAATAAACCTTATGTGTGTGAAGTATGTGATAAAAAGTTTGTGCTAAAATGGCACCTCAAGGTACATCAAAGAACACATACTGGTGAAAGACCTTATGTGTGTGAAGTATGTGATAAAAAGTTTGTGCTAAAATGTCACCTCAAGGTACATCAAAGTACACATACTGGTGAAAGACCTTATGTTTGTGAAGTGTGTGACAAAGGCTTTAAAAGAATTAGTAATTTTAAAAGGCATCAGAGAGTCCATGCCACAGAGAAGCCTTACATTTGTGAAGTGTGCCACAAGATTTTTTTAAGGATGGAGACCTTACAGAGGCATTTAAGTAGACATAGTGGAGAAAAACCTTACATGTGTGAAGTGTGTAAGAAGAGATTTACACACATAGCATACCTGAAACGGCATTTAAGAACCCACACTGAAGATAAACCTTATGTGTGTGAAGTATGTGATAAAAGGTATAGGCTAAAATGCAGCCTCAAGAAACATCACAGAACACATAGTGATGTAAGACCTTATGTTTGTGAAGTGTGTGAAAAAAGCTTTAAAAGCCTTTATGATTTAAAAAGACATCTGAGAACCCACACTGGAGATAAACCTTATGTGTGTGAAGTATGTTATAAAAGGTTCATGCTAAAACACAGCCTCAAGAATCATCAAGTAACACATACTGAAGAAAGACCGTACGTTTGTGAAGTGTGTGACAAAGGCTTTAAAAGCCTTAATAATTTAAAGGGACATCTGGAAACCCACACCATGGAGAAGCCTTACATTTGTGAAGTGTGCCATAGGAGTTTTTCAAGGATGAACAGATTAAAGAAGCATCTAACTAGACACACTGAAGAAAAACCTTACATGTGTGAAGTATGTGATAAAAGGTTCGTGCTAAAACACAGCCTCAAGAAACATCAAATAATACACACTGGTGAAAGAACTTATGTATGTGAAGTTTGTGACAAAGGCTTTATGACCATTCACAATTTAAAAAAACATCTGAGGACCCACACCACGTAGAAGCCTCACATTTGTGAAGTGTGCCACAGGAATTTTTCAAGCATGGACACCTTAAAGAAGCATCTAACTAGACACACTGGAGAAAAACCTTACATGTGTGAAGTGTGTAACAAGAGATTTTTACATAATGCATACATAAAACGGCATTTAAGCACACATGCTGAAAAGATAAATAGGCCCATAAAATTACAAATATAGTTTAAATGTTAAAACGCAAAATAAAAATTAAATCATAAATATTTCTTATTTTGTCCAGGATAGTATGGAAAAGTAATAAATATATTTTTATTGGGAACCTTTTCATGCTAAATATTTTTCTGAGTTTCTCGCCGAATCTTCTTAGTGGGTCGCGTTTCCGATCTGGCGGTAGATTCTGCGAAGCACTGCTCTTGCTAGGGCAGTGTTAGCAACACTCCGGTTTGAGTCCCGTGAGCTCACCTACATGTTAGGGAGAAGCTGAAATAGCGTCTCAAGGCTATCAGCATAGGAAGGGGAAAAAAGAACTTTCACACTTGCAAGTATTTTTTACTCGTACCAGGGCGCCGTACTCCGAAGTAACACCTGGTTTTATAATCTGGTAGCGTAAATACTCCTAATAGCCTAAGAGCCCGCGACGGCCAGACCTTCGTTATTTTTTAAAAGATGAAAATTTCTCTGTGTATGTCTCCCAACACAGGTAAGAATGGAAAGCAGTCGACGTCGCCCCAAACACGTCATTTCGGATCCTCCCGATCCTCTAACGGTGCTTTAGGTACCTCAAGCAGCGGTCACCGTTCTCGTCGAACCCGTCGCTTGCAACGAAGGGCTCGACGAGTAAATTAACCCTCAGACACAACCCACTGAGTTTCTCGCCGAATCTTCTTAGTGGGTCGCGTTTCCGATCTGGCGGTAGATTCTGCGAAGCACTGCTCTTGCTAGGGCAGTGTTAGCAACACTCCGGTTTGAGTCCCGTGAGCTCACCTACATGTTAGGGAGAAGCTGAAATAGCGTCTCAAGGCTATCAGCATAGGAAGGGGAAAAAAGAACTTTCACACTTGCAAGTATTTTTTGCTCGTACCAGGGCGCCGTACTCCGAAGTAACACCTGGTTTTATAATCTGGTAGCGTAAATACTCCTAATAGCCTAAGAGCCCGCGACGGCCAGACCTTCGTTATTTTTTAAAAGATGAAAATTTCTCTGTGTATGTCTCCCAACACAGGTAAGAATGGAAAGCAGTCGACGTCGCCCCAAACACGTCATTTCGGATCCTCCCGATCCTCTAACGGTGCTTTAGGTACCTCAAGCAGCGGTCACCGTTCTCGTCGAACCCGTCGCTTGCAACGAAGGGCTCGACGAGTAAATTAACCCTCAGACACAACCCACTGAGTTTCTCGCCGGATCTTTTTAGTGGGTCGCGTTTCCGATCCGGTGGTAGATTCTGCGAAGCACGGCTCTCGCTAGGGTTCGTGTTAGCAACGCCATCAGGTTTGAGCCCCGTGAGCTCACCGAATAGTTAAGGTTCCGCTGAAATAGCCTCTCAAGGCTATCAGCGGTATCAGCTTAGGTAGGAAAAAAAAAAAAAAAAAACAGAACGACCCGCGACTATAGTTTCGATCGGTGGTTACTTGGGCAGGTAACAGGCCGTAAAGGTATATAAAATAGTGCTTTAAATTCGTTAAAGTATACAGTTAATTTTTTTTATTATTTACTCCAGAATATTTTTAGAAATCACGATATCCATTGCCGGACACATTTTACAGTTGCTACCCCCTGCCAGACACCCCTAAACTTTAATAAATTTTAATTTTACTTGCTATGTTATATTATAAAAGCTGAATTTTATATATGTTACTTAGGGATTTATAAAAATATGTTACCCCAATAGCCAGACAGTTTGGTTCTTATACCGGTCACTCACATTCGCACGAATACGCAAACCCGCATGTTGTGGACCTCTTTGCTATTTTGATAACTAATGTAGTTTTTTTATATACTTCACTTTTGACGTTTGTCTTCATATTACCCATTTCTTTCTGTTTTCTTAATTTTCTGTTTTTATTAAAAAATAATTATTCTCAACTTGTTTCATCGTTTATCATTTTACAGAGATTTGTTTAGTTTGTTCAGTTCACCGCAAGTGTAGGACGACATTTGCAAATGATTATGCAAAGTTTTCGCTGCATTCGTGGTTTTCCAAGCTGTGTCGGTTTTTTAACAGACATCAAAGCGCGCGAACCGCGATCCTTCGCGTAGTCTCCCACACATTCGTGTGACCAGTTGCGCCCAGGATTGCGAAGGCAACGGACGTTTCGTTATTTTCATAGATCGTGACGTCTACTGTGTAGCGTATCTTCATCAAAAGAAATCCCATAAAACAGCATGGCTGTTAATGATGTCTGGGAAAGAATTCAAAACTCTTTTTCTCTTCAATGTTCTATTGACGAATTAAAAAGGAGGAGAAATTCGTGAGACATTTGTAAACAAGTGTAGGAGGAAGCGCAAACGGGTTCGCAAATTGAGTACCGAACCCATTTGCACAGTCGCTAAGTTTGCGAATGAATGTTTGACAGCCCTTCACATGTGAGTGAGACACGTCCGCTACCTTCGCAATCGTCAGCGCAACTGGGCAAACGAATGCGTGGGAGACTACGCGAAGGTTCGCGGTTCGCACGCTTTGATGTCTGTTAAAAAATCGACACAGCTTGGAAAACCACGAATGCAGCAAAAACTTTGCATAGTCATTTGCAAATGTCGTCCTACACTTGCGGGTTTGCATATTCGTGCGCATGTGAGTGACCGGGGTATTGCGATCTTTTACTGCACATCAGCTGTCATTTATGGGATTTATCCTGCGTTCTTCAGGAAAGGAATCAAAAAAATATCCAGATTTCCGTAACAGCGAATCAATTGAAAATTTAGATCAACAACAAAACATCTATAATATCATTCAGAGGTTTATATGCAATGTTTAAAATGTCCGTAATGTAATTGATGTTGATGCTGCTGCTGCTCGACTTCAAATAATCATCTACTCGTATACAGTCTCTGATGTAAACGAAGCTTTTGACCGAAAGAAATTGCGAAATTTTTACGTTAACAATCTACCACCTTGTAAAAGCGAGCTATTGCAGCAATTTTTGCAATCAAATTATTTATATACAATTTGGAATAATGCTCTTCTAAAAAATCCAACCTCACATCAAACCGGATAATAATGGCTTCTGGGGGTCTTCATTCGTATAATTTTTCATATATGAGTCGACTATTATCAAAGCCGGCAATGTGACTTTGGATAATTATTGGTAAATCAGAAAAACGAATTATTGACTTTGTATTCCATTGGCAGTCACAAAACTGTTCTGAACGACATCTTAGATAAATAACAGGTTAAGTATTAACCTTTATTTAATGCAGTTTTGAAACCGTATTCTTTGAAGGAGACGATTATATTCAAATCAATCTGTATTGACATATCAATAAAATTTTTTTGTCCAAATGCACAGATTGCCACCTTTGATAATAGACGACTCATATTATAGATTAGGTCACATGTTGTGATACTTTTGCCTTTCCCGTTGGAATTTATTACCTACATTTTTCTTCATAAAAAATTATAAGTATATTATTCTATGATTGTTCACCTAAACACATAAATAATAATCTAATAATTCACTTTTTGGCGGGAACGCGAGGAGGGAAGTGGTATGATTTGTTTTATTTTGTCTATTTAGTGTCTCTTCAGGTTTAAATGTGTAATAACGGTGGTTTATTTACTGTTTCGTATCTTTGAAAGTGTGCAAATGTGGGAAAATGAAACAAAGCCGCTGGATGTTACTTTTCGGGATCCTCCCAAAACTCCACTGAAAAAATCTCAGTAAGTGACCACCATTTTACTCAGATTATATTTCATCTCATTTCACTTAATTTCATCCCAGTTGATTTGTCTCAAATTAATCATCTTCATTCACACCATACTATATTTTTTCATAAAAATAAGACATGGCTTAAAGAACTTAGTTACCATGTCATAAAATCCTATAAAAAAAACATAACAATTAAAAATTTAAATTTAATTCAGAATTATTGTTGATAATCACATTTAAACATACTTAAATCTTAAAATTTATTTTGTATAATGTGTGACAAAGGTTTTTCGAATACTGATTCCGCTATACAGCGTCTAAAAGAGCACGCCATGGAAAAACCGTATGTTTGTGAAAAGACTGAAAATAAATATTCAAATTTTAGTGGTTTAAAATCCAGAGTGAAGCGTCACGTCTGTGAAGTCTGTAGCAAGAGATTTAATAACTCGAGTCAATTGAAAATACATTTAAATGTGCATACTACCACAGAAAGACATCACAGTTGTGAAATATGCGATAAAAGATTTTCGAATCATCGGTATTTAAAAACGCATTTAATAACGCATAGAGATAAAAAACCTCATGTTTGTAAAATTTGTGATAAAGGGTTTTCTCAGATCGGTACTTTAAACTCGCACCTGAAGTTACATGCCGGGGAAAGGCCTCATGTTTGTAAAGTTTGCGATAAATCTTTCGCTCAACTATGCAATTTAAAATTACATTTGAGAATACACAGCCGCGAGAAACCATATAATTGCGATTTGTGTGCTAAAAGCTTTGTACACGCTAGTGCTTTAAAACGACATGTATCGACGCATATACCACAGCATACCAGACAAAAGCCTTATGTTTGTAAAGTGTGCCACAAGAAGTTTTTAGAAGAAAGATATTTAAAAACACATTCTAGAATACATACCGGTAAAAAACCATATGCTTGCGAAATTTGTGATGCTAGATTTTTATATGTCGATTCTATGAAAGTACATTTAAGAACCCATACTAAGGAAAAACCTTATATTTGTGAAGTTTGTGATAAGAGATACACCAGCAAAAGTATCCTAAGTAGACATTTAAGAACACACGCCGAAAGAAAGCCTTATGTTTGTGATGTGTGCAGTAAAGGTTTTGTAATAAAAAGTGTTTTAGAAGAGCATCTAAGAATACATTCCGGTGAAAAACCTTACATATGTCAAGTGTGCGACAAGTCTTTTAGGTTCATTAACAATTTTAAATGTCACCAGAGGAAGAGAGCTGAATGTGGTATTTCTTTTATTTGTGCGATATGTGATAAAAGTTTTCCACAAAAAACATGTCTAGAAGTACATATCAAAACACATACTGAAAAAAATATTTAAGATTGTAAAGTATGGATTAGAAGTTAAAACAAAATTGGTCACTTGATACATGAAAAACATATGAGATAAAATTTGACATTTACGAAATGCATTGTAGAAATTTTGCAATGATGCATATGACTCGATTAATATAACAATATTTGAAAAAAACCTCACATTCAATAAGTGTTTGTCTACGCTAATTCCTATTAAGCGCACACACTATAGAAATATGCATGTATTAAGACAATTTGGAAGAGCATTTTATAAAAATTTAACAGCAGATAAATAAATGAATATATAAAGTCGTATATATATTATTGTATAATATAAGCCAGATCAGGGCCAGAGTAGTACTGGCTATCTTGATAAAATTTAAATGGGTCAACTTGAGAAGCATCAGCTTTAAAAAAATTAAAATCGGTTCACCTAGAAAGAAGTTGTGGGTATAGGCAAAAAAGAATCGAGATTTTCCTCATTTTTTAAGTAGATTAAAACAAAAGAACCATCACAAACTAATATCAATATTAAATCGTAGATAAATACTTAAGATGAGTCGTCTATTATCAAAGCCGGCAATGTGACTTTCGGACAATTATTGGTAAATCAGAAAAACGAATTATTGACTTTGTATTCCATTGGCAGTCACAAAACTCTTCGGAACGACATCTTAGATAAATAACAGGTTAAGTATTAACCTTTACTTAATGCAGGTTTTGAACCGTATTCTTTGAAGGAGACGATTATATTCAAATCAATCTGTATTGACATATCAATAACATTTTTTTGTTCAAATGCACAGATTGCCACCTTTGATAATAGACGACTCAGATAGTTTATTAAAAATAAAACATTAACAAAAAAAGGTATTTTCTTTGTCATAGCTTTTTTTTGTATTGCTTAAATGTGTGGACGAGATGACAGCTCACCTGGTGTTAAGTGGTGACTGGAACATATAGACATCTTTGACGTAAATGCGCCACCCACCTTGAGATATAAGTTCGAAGGTCTCAGTATAGTTACAACCTCCTACGAGGTCGGCGCGCGGGGTATGTGGGACTCAACGATCTGCAGGTGTTGAGAGCAAACCGCGGGCCCAAGGAATTTAGGGCCCACCCACTAAACGACTCCCCTGCACTCTTACACCCGGCGTCCGATGTCCGTCCGGGATCAAAACCCGGTCAGAGTACGGGGGTTCCCGCGGTCAACACTACAACCAGACACGCGGCGCCACCCCTAGGACGCCCGACCGACGGGTCGTCGAGGTGATAGTCGACGACCAACGACGTCGGTCTCCGCGGTACGGCGGTCCTACCAGGCTGCCCGGGCGATGGTGTTTCTGGATACCCCGCTGGGCCAGAACCAGCCTGCTGTGTCGGAACGCGATACATCGCCGACCGGGTTGCTCTTCCACAGTATGTTCGGCGACAACAGTGACGACGAAAATACGGACCGCATCGCAGTTCGCAGCCGCCGATGCCTCGTCCCGTCCTCCGGTGCCAGCGCGCTAGAGTGACGGTAGCGTGCGGCGCAGTCTCAACCCCCTTAAGTCCGCGTCCCTTAAGTCCATCATTGTTGGACTGACCAGGAGGTAATGGGCGGGGCTGGGGGATCTGCGCTGTCTCAGTGGCATTCACGCCCCTCTCTCGCTTTTTGCGGCTTCTGCCAGGCCCCGCCTTCCCCCCATTCAGTTCAAATATCTGGCAAAAACCGGAAGATAATTATATAAAATGAAGAAAAACGTTAGATACAGTACAATTGTTAAATAAATCTTCAGAAAAATATCTATTTTAATACCGTTTCGAGACTAATTTAATATCGTTTCGATTTACTCGATACCTTAAATCGGTTTGTGGCGTTTAAGAACGCACCTTTTTATGATGCGTAAGCCGGAACGCACGAGAGGTGGGAAAAAGAATATAGTCTGTGACACTCAGAAAATATATAGAACAGACACGGCTGTATGGCCTTATATCCCCTTGCCTTTCCTACAAGGAAAAATTGTACCAAAAAAAAAGTCTGTGACACGGGACCTTTTTACCGCCGAAAATTTAAAACGTAAAAAATAATTTATGATGTGTTTAATAACTAATGTATTATAATTACTTAGAATTGTTTATGCCGCTACAACAATAAAATTTATATTGTTTCAACTGTGGTGTTAATTATATAAAACATGACTTTACGGCGAAATAAAGAAGGAATATGAACTCCCTCAAATTATTATTACTGATTTCATTTGACATACGCATAAAGTACCTAATAGGCAGTACGGTAATAGGTATCAAGCTATGATATAGAGCTGCTATTTAGTATTTAGTATTAGGCACTAAGAGAAAATAAATTTATAGATATCATGCATGTGTGATAAGTTAAATAACAGATAATTTAAAAATGCATCTAACAGATCGAAAAAGACCTTATATTTGTGAAGTGTGTGATAAACGTTTTACAGAATATAGCAATTTAAAAATACATCGCAGAAAACATACAGAAGGAAAACCTTACGTATGTGAAGTATGTCAAAAGAGATTTTCCGATGCGAATAATTTAAAAACGCATTTATTAACACATACCGGAGAGAAACCTCATATTTGCGAAATGTGCAATAAGAGTTTTATACACACGGGCGATTTAAAAAGACATTTAAGAACACATACTGGAGAAAGACCCTATGTGTGTGAAGTTTGTGATAAAAGATTTTCAGATGCAAGTAATTTGAAAAGACACTTTAGAACGCATACCGGAGAAAAATCTTATGTTTGTAAAGTTTGTGATAAAAGTTTTGCGTGTAGGAGTACCTTGGAGAGACATCAAAGAACTCATACCGGAGAAAAACCTTTTAATTGTGAGACGTGTGATAAAACTTTTGCTCACACCGGTGAACTCAAAAGACATGTTAGGACACATACCGGCGAAAAGCCTTATTGTTGTGAGCTTTGCGATAAAAGCTTTGCACGGAAAAATACCTTGGATGTACACCTACGAACGCATACTGATGAAAAACCATATGTTTGTGAAGTGTGCGATAAGAGACTTGCGTTTGCTAGTAATTTGAAAACCCATTTAAGGACCCACACCGGCGAAAAACCTTATTCTTGTGAAGTTTGTGATAAAGGCTTTGCCCACACGGGTGACTTAAAAAGACATATGATAACACATACCAGAGAAAAGCCTTATGGTTGTAAACGATGTGATAAAAGTTTTACAAACCAGAGTGCCTTAGACAGACATCTGAGAATACATACTGCAGAAAAATCTTATGTTTGTGAAGTGTGCGATAAGATATTTTTAGATCCTAGCGATTTGAAAAAGCATTTAAGGACACATAACAAAGAAAAACCTTATGTTTGTAAAGTTTGCGATAAGAAGTTTTCCGTTGCTCGATATCTTAAAACGCATTTAAGGATACACACCAGAGAAAAACTGTATGTTTGTGAAGTGTGCGATAAAAAATTCTCTGTTGGTCGTTACTTGAAGATGCACCAAAGAACTCATAGCGGAGAAATACCATTTGTATGTGAAGTCGTGATGTCTGTAGGTACCAATAACCACTGAATGCCAGATAGGCGTTACCTGTCTGCCCATCCAAGGCCATAAAAATTCACACAAATATTTAAAAAATAAATAGTATAAAAACTAATTACAGAGACGATTCTGAAAAAAAGTTGTGCTTACACTTAACTTGGTGAATGAGAAGCAAGTGAAAGTTCTTTTACGGTGTAGTAGTATTGTGGTTTTCTTCATTGTTCATCCTTAAAATCAAATTTCTCTTGTAACAGGAAGAGCTGTGAATAAGAGAAATGACCTATTTTTTTTATTGCCTTTATAGGCAGACGATCAAAGGCCCACCTGATGGTAAGTGGTTACCGTCGCCCATGAACTTCAGCAATGCCAGGGGCAGAGCCAAGCCGCTGCCTACCGCTTAATACTCTCCACAAGCTTCGTTTGAAGAAGGACATGTCATATCGCTCGGGAAACACCGTGGAGGGGAGCTCATTCCATAGCCGGATGGTACGTGGCAAAAAAGATCTCTGGAAACGCACTGTGGATGACCGCAGTGGCTCCAGGTAGTATGGATGATATATATATATATATATGCCGGGTGCGGGGGCGCCCGGCTCTCGACTGTTGGTCCGGTGGTGAAGCGGTGCAAGGTGGCTCTTGTGCGCCGCTCACGGTGTGTCTCCCGAGACGAGGTTCTACGGGATTTTCCCGGGGATGAAATCCCGTCTTAACATCACAGTACGGGTACCGCCTAAGGCGAGACTTTCGGCGCGCATCGCGGTACCGTAAGTTTCGTGTAGTCGGTGTGGTGGAGCTCGATGGGGTTTAGTCAGTAGTCGTTCTGCGGGGCAAGTGCTTCGCGCGCCTTTTTCAAGGCGTAGTCTCCTGTGAGAAATTGGGGGAGGTGAAGGACCTCGGTCCTTCTCTTCTCCCCTTCTTCCTCTCAGGAGGCGCCGGAGTCCGACATAACCCGGTCCGTTATCCCCCTCGACCGGGTATCCGTAAATGGATTCCCCAGCGTTAAAAAAAAAAAAAAAAGGTAGTATGGATGAACTCTACTCCGGTGGCGGGCGGTGCGATGGTAAAAACGAGATGCTGGTATCATCTCGAACAATTCCTCAGAGCACTCCCCATGGAACATACGGTAAAATTAAAATTGACTTAAATTTCAAAAAGTTTCTTCATTACTTTGAATAGGTTAATAGACTCTTATCAATTTCTGCCAGTCTTAGATATTGTTCAATACAAGTCAACATATTATATTGTTACAATAATGCATCTTGAATATGTATTAAGAAAAAAATGAATGAATTTAAAAGAACATTACAAGCATTGTTTTATTTATCTACTTCAGATTTCAAATAATGTAATGCATTGTCACCGTCCTCGCCGAAACCGTCGCTTGTGATGGAAGGGCTCGACGAGTAAATTAACCCATAGACACAGCCCACTAAGTTTCTCGCCGGATCTTCTCAGTGGGTCGCGTTTCCGATCCCGTGGTAGATTCTGCGAAACACGGCTCTTGCTAGGGCCAATGTTAGCATCACTCTGGTTTGAGCCCCGTGAGCTCACCTACACGTCAAGGAGAAGCTGAGATAGCCTCTCAAGGCTATTTACCTATCAGCATAGGTAGGAAAAAAAAGACATGCGAGTTATCTTAAATACAGCCCCAGGACAATACTTCTATGTAAGCCACTACTGGACAAATGCCTTTCTTCGTTTCTTGCCAGCCACCCTTTACAAATATTCTGCAAAGAACCAGTCTACTCCAGCGACCGTCAGTTCTGTCATACTCATATGTAAATTGAACTGAGTGGTGGCCTAAAGGATAAGACGTCCGGTGCGTTCATATTTGGCGCTGCAACGGCGTTCGAATCCCGCAGGCGGCTACCAATTTTTCCAATGAAATACGTACTTAAAAAATGTTCACGATTGACTTCGACGGTGAAGGAATAAGATCGTTTTTATAAAAATCAAACCCGCAAAATTATAATTTGCGTAATCACTGGTAGTAGGACGTCTTGTGAGTTCGCGCGGGTAGGTGCCGCCTCCCTGCCTATTTCTGCCGTGAAGCAGTAACGCGTTTCGGTTTGAAGGACAGGGCAGCCGCTGTACTGTTAAAAGTGAGACCTTACAACTCATGCCTCAAGGTGGGTGGCATTTACGTTGTAGACGTCTATGGGCTCCGGTAATACTTAACACCAGGTGGGCCGTAAGCTCGTCCAACCATCTAAAGCAATAAAAAAACTACCGTTCCGTCTTGGTGACTCCAATGCTATGTTGTTGACAAGTTCTTTGTCGAATAACCACATTCCTGATTTTATGCTTAAAATGCGAGATAGTTTTTTTTTGATACCAATTGCCAGTGTCCCTCGTTGGAAGTGCAGGCGAGCTTACGGGACTCCGCTACCTAACATTGACCCTAGCAAGGGCAATGCTTCGTTGAATACACCATCGGATGGTAATCGCGGCCTACTGACAAAACCCGGCCAGTAACTCAGCGGATTGTGTCTTGTTAGGTTGTAGGCTAAGTTTTATGTCGAACCCTTGTCATCAGTCGGGTTCGAAGAGGTGACCGGTACTTGATGAGACCAAAATCACCGAGAATGGATCGAGAGGATCCGATATGAAGTGTTTCTGAGGGCTTTTTTCCGAGGGGTTATTCTAGATTCGCCGAGCCAGTAGGTGAGCACACGGGGCTCAAACCTGACGATGTTACTAACACGAATTTTAGCAAGAGCCGTGCTTCGCAGAATCTACCACCGGATCGGAAACGCGACCCATTGAGAAGATCCGGCGAGAAACTCAGTGGGCTGTGTCTATGGGTTAGTTGACACGTCGAGCCCTTGACCTTGCCACGATGACCAGTGCTTGAGGTACCTAAAAGCACCGTTAGTGGATTCTAAAGACGACGGCGACTAATGACCATTCTATGATTCTGTAGCAAACATTATTCTCGCATACTAGTGTTTAGTGTTGAAATGAAACAATATTCGAATTATAGGCTTTTATTTGGCAAATTAAATAATATAAATCGATTAGCTGTTACTCGCAACTTCACCCGAACACTGTACCTATTAAAGATTTTTTTTCTATTGCATTACAATAAAATTTCTATTAAAATCTCTCTTGGGACACTTTTTTTGGTTCCCACGTGTCGTTGTCTATGCTCGCAGACGTCACCGGAGTTGTATTATTGCTCGCCTGTAACAAAGTCAATTTTTTTTTATATTATATTCATTGTATTATTATGTTAATTTATATTCTATTATATTAATAAATATTATATTATCTATATATTAATACGTGAAGCAAAAACTTTGTATCCCTTTTTACGAAAATTGCGCGGACGGAGGAGTATGAAATTTTCCACGCTTATAGAGAATATAGAGAAGAAGTGCACAATGCTAATATTTTTTTAAAATAATGCATAAAAGATACATTAAATCGATAAAGAAAACATTACACACACTACATACCATGTGTTTGACACACACACGCATGCATACTATTTATTGTCAAACTTTTGTTCTTGACGTCTGTTGTCAAATTGAGAATAGATTAAATAATATTGATTGTCTTTATTAATATTTTTTATAGTGTAGTTTTGGCGAAATTTGTGATTATAGAAGTATAAAAGACAATCATAATAGTGTACAAACTTACAATTCCAATTAATTATAGTCGAATTTCAACTACTGCGAGATCTCTAGTAATAATAATTATATTAATCAAAAAGGATTTTTATGTAGATGTCTCCTGTAGATGACAGTAGCATATTGACTATCCTATATTTTATTTTTAATGAAGGATTTTGTAAATTTTCCGAAACCACAAATTGATAAAATTTAATCAATTTGTCTTAAACAAATAGACTTGTATGTTTTATTAAGTTTTTCATTTTCTGTGGTTATGTACACAATAATTCAATGCTTTAACTTTAACACCATAAAAGTTTAGGGGCATCCGCAACAAGATGTCGCTAGTTTCCATAAAAAAAATTGTCTTAAATGATTACAGTTTCAATCCTCCAATCCTGACGGTTGTCTTAGTTATATTACTGTTTTTTTTTAAACCTAAAGTACCGGACCGTTTTAACAGAACGCACCTTCTTCCGGTTCCTCTTCGGCCAGGGCTGCTTGTGGTGGTAGCAGTCGATGTGCGTCCTCAGTCCGCAAAGTTGCTTGAATTTTTTCCCGCAAAGATTACAGTCGAATTTCTTGAGATTCATATGCACCTGTTTTGAGAAATCGCGGGGAATATGACGAAAGATCTTGATATCCTTTTTTTATCCACTTAGTATTAAGTGGTTACTGGAGCCCATCGACATCTACAACGTAAATGCGCGCCACCCACCTTGAGACATGAGTTTCAAGGTCTCAAGTATAGTTACAATGGCTACCCCACCCTTCAAGCCGCAACGCATTACTGCTTCACGGCAGAAGTCCATGCGGCGAGAGGCGGTCGTCGTACTCATGACTGATTCGCGTCGGAAAAGGACAGGTCAGTGGCGCCTGCCCGTGCGAGCTGACCGGACGCCCAAACACCGAGACCTTTTCAAGAATTCCCACGTCATTCCTTCACCGGCGGAATCATGATTACGTATTAAACTTTTCCTATCTGCGGAATTCGAATGTCGGCATAGTAGCACCGCTTTATACGAGTTATGGTAGCATTCCGATGTTGGCGACCGCGACCGACGACCGCGACCAGGTCGCGCGACTTACTGCTACTGGAGCAGTGCCGCCGCGCGACCCGCCACGTTTTAGCTCAAAATGGCGTCATTTTCCACACATGATGACGAATTTTATTAATAGATGTAGTGTCTAAAAACCACCTTTAGTCATACCGACCGTCTTCGGCATGCAACTATTTGTATAACTCCTTTAGTGTTAGTTAGATCCAGAACTAACTTTGGCGTTAATAAAATTTCCGTTTGAAGGGAAAGAAAGAAAGAAAGAAAGAAATCATTTATTCGCCAAGCATAGTGAAAATGAGTTATTACATAAATTAAAAGCAGCGTGTATGCTTTGTCATTATTTGACATGCGAATTTTAGTGCAGTGCATAGTTACAATATTATATAATTTACCATTCATTCATCCATAATTCAACTAATAATTAAAAATCCATTTATTTTCAATGTCATCCCCAAGAAAATCATTCACGTGATAATAATTTTCACTAATAAGATTACCTTTTAGGTTTTTTTTAAAATTAAAATCATCTAAGTCTCTTAATTTCTTCGGTAGTTTATTAAATATCCTAACGCTCATACCTAGTATACTATTATTCTTTAATGTAGTTTTGGTTTTTGGAAAACATAGCTTATCGTCGCGTCGATTTCTGTTTGCCACATTAGACATCTTAGTGAATCTATTGGGACAAGTTTTAACAAAAGATGCAACTTCGTATATATATAGACAAGGAAGGGTAAAAAGTTTATGCTTTGCAAAATATGGCTTGCAGCTGTCGGCTATTGCCAATCCAAACATAGACCTTAAACACCTTTTTTGTGCCTTAAAAACTTGATCTTTTTGCGTTGAGTTTCCCCAGAAAATTATTCCATATCTAAGACAGGATTCAACTACACCACGATATGCAGTTAGTAAGGCGTCTGTGTTTAAAATAGAGGATAATTTAAAGAGTGCATAGGCCGAGGAGCTGACACGTTTACACAGTCCGTCTGTATGAGATTTCCAATCTAATTTGTTGTCAATTTTTACACCGAGGAAATCTACATTTTCTGTTTCATATATATGATTGTTATTATTATAAATGGTCAAATTTATATATTTATTTCTTTGATAAAATTGCATAAATTTTGTTTTTTCTAAATTAATTATTAAATTATTTTTATCAAGCCAAGATATTATTGAATGAAGAGTACTATTAATATCGTGTTCATATAAAATGTCATTTCTACACCTAATAGTTATGGTGCTGTCGTCTGCAAAAAGGGTCATAGGGTGGTCAATTGAATTTGGAAAATCATTAATGTAAATTATAAATAAGAGAGGCCCAAGTACGCTTCCTTGCGGAACACCGTATGTGATCTTACGTTTGTTAGACTTAAATTTAAGTTCTGTTTTTTTTACAAAATCTATGTTACTAATTTCAGTGTATTGTATTCGATCTTTTAAATAAGACTCCAGTAAGTTTAATATATTTCCTCGCATCCCGCAGTATTCCAATTTACTTAACAGTATGTTAAAATCGACATGATCGAAAGCTTGAGTCATATCGCAGAAAAGAGCAGTGATGTAGTTACCCTTGTCCATATCACATGTAATAACGTTCAAAAAGTCGAAAATTGCCATATTTATATTTTTATTTTGACGAAATCCTTTTTGGTTTTCAAGCAGAACGTTATATTTTTCAAGAAAATCATATATTTCTTTGTACAAAAACTTTTCAACTATCTTAGAGAAAACAGGTAGCAAAGCCACTGGTCTATAAAACTCCATTAGCTCTCTATTCTCTTTTTTAAAAAGTGGTTTCACGACAGCCGTTTTAAGTTTTGTAGGAAATATGCCTGTACTGATACATAGGTTAGTTATATAACAGATGTGGGGACTTATCAGTTCAGCCACTGATTTTATAACTTTTGTGCTTATTTCATCATAACCAACACTACTAGAATTTTTTAAATTTTTGATTATTATTTTAATATCTAATGGCGTACTAGGTGATATAAATATTGAGTTATTTAACTTTGGAACAAACTGTAACACATTATTTCCTAAATTCGTAGATGGTACTACTTTATCAACAAAATAATTGTTAAAATAGTTTGCTATGGCTTGTGGATTCGTCACAAGTTTGTTATTTACTTTAATCGTGCTGATAAAGTTTTTTGGCTTATAATTTTTAGACTGGTTTATTATTTGCCAAGTGGTTTTTGATTTATTAAAAGAGTTATTTATATTAAATGAATTTTGTGCTTTTTGTGTAAGTTTTATGATTTTCTTTAATCTTTTAGAGTATTGCTTTAGATAATTTTTATTTATTAAAGAAGGGTTATGCCTATACAACCAAACAAGTTTTCTTTTCTTTTTTACACATTGTTTTATACCACGTGATATCCACTTAGCCTTTTTGTGTAATCGAATAAATATTTGTTTTTCCGGAAAACAAAGGTCATAAAAGAGTTTGAAAATCTCAAGAAAATTATCATAGGCCTTATTTGGATCATCAGTACTATACATTTCAGTAAAAGAGTAGTTGATTAAGCAATCACGGAATTTTCCTAAATTTTCTTTACAGTAGTCTCTTCGTTTTATTTTCCAGCCGTTAATAATAGAAAATTGTTTAGTTGGAAACTTAATCAACTGTGCCGTGTGATCAGACATTGCGAATTCAATTATATCTGTAGTACATGAGGAAGTTGAATTATGAATGAAATTGTCAATACAAGTTAAACTACGAAGTCTAGTTGGTTGTCTTACTGCTAAGGTCATGTTAAAATTTAATAGCATACATTCAAAATTTATAGTATCGTTATTCAATTCCAAAATGTTAATATTGAAGTCACCGGCTATCAGAATACGCTTTTTTGATTTCTTTGTAATCATACAAATCAAACCTTCAAATTTATTAAAAAATACATGTATATTTTGTGGATTAGGTACTCGATATACACATATAATTATTGTATCACAATGTGTCAAGTATACCCCGCAACACTCAAAAAGGCCTGGTATTGACATCTCAGCTATGCCTGGCATATCTTTCCATTGGTGACAATTCTTTATAAGTATGCAAACTCCCCCTCGTTTAATATTATTTCTACTAAAACAAGAAGCTAAATTGTAATTAGGTAGAACAAGATGTTTTTCATATCCCCTCATCATAAAGTGTTCCGTGATGCATAGTACGTCTACGGATACGTGTTTTTCATTCAGTTCATTTAGACACACTGAAAGAATATCGGTCTTGCTAAGAAGGCTCGCTATGTTTTGGTGCATGACGTATATGTGTCTGTTATAAAAAACTCTTTATTTTGGATTTCGCAACTATCTTCTAAAGTGCTGTCTGAGGTATTAGAAGAGTTAATATACATTACCAAAGAGCAAATATCTCTCAAAATAACTTTGAAGCCAAAATTATTAACGGAACCCATTTTCCTATAAAACATACGATAGTCATAACTTAAGTTTAAATTGGAATCCACCAAATATGCATATTCGTTAGCTAGGATGTCAATGTACAATAAATGATTAAATAATTCAATTCTTCTATTAAATACATTATAGAGATATCCAATTTTAAAAGTTGGTAAACATACAATAATATTAGTGTGTTGTATTGCCATTAATTTTACTCTTAAAAAAGAAATCAAAATAGAATAATCTTGCGTATATTTAAAATCATCATCCCCAACTTGAATTACACAGTAGTCATTTAACGTGTAGGAACTTAGTTTTGCCTCAATTCCATGAAGCAGTTGAATAACACCGCGAGATGGCATTAAGTAGTGAATTACGTTGTAGTATTTTTTATCAAATACATTTTCTGAGATAGAAGATACTTTGTTGGTTTTGTTGCTACTTATTATGCAAATATTGTGCTTTGACGAAACAATGCTATCATTATTTTGTACCGTGAATACACGAGTATGTGCACTGTGATTAGAGAGTTGCATTTGTTGAGAGGTGAGGGTGGGTGTGAAATTTTTTTCCTTGCGTAGTTGACCACTGCTGTTATTCACTTTAATTTGAGGGCAGTTGCTCTCGGTCTGTACTGAGCTGTTTTTAAATGTTTTTTCAGAAGACAAGTTAAAATCTGTCTGTGTTTCTTTGTTATTTGTAGCTGTTAAAATATTGGTTTGAGTTGTTTTACGTTTATGTTTACTTCTGAGTGTTACGTTTAGTTGCGATGTGGATTTTATAGGAGACTTCTTAGCTACCGGGCTCAATGATATTGTTTTTAACAGCTCATTTTTCTTCATAAGTTCGTCATTAATACGTTTAAGTGTGGAATTTTCTTGTAATAACGCCTCTATTTCACAATTTGCACTGCTTAATTCTGTAGTAAGCCTTTGAATCTGGTCATTGGTTGTTAACGATTGATTTTCGTCATCAGAAAGTTCCGGCATACTTGAGCTTGTTAAATCTAATGTTCGATTCATAGTAGACGAATCATTTCTGTTAGTGTCTGAGTGAGTGGGGTTTCGTCGAAATGTGATGTTATCTAGGAAGTTCATTGTAACTCAGTATAAATCCGCAGTGAGATTCCCGTATCGAATTCACTTTAAACAAAATGTTGCACTTTGTTTGAATTTCACTTTGAAAACACTACTGCAGCATATTTACACAATGATAAAGCACAAATTGAAGAATTTAAGACACTCAACGTAATAAGATTATTTTAACTAAATAAATTTTGTAAGATGCCAACGTACAATGCAATCGCTCGACACGGTTATCCTGGGGATCCATCCACGGGATGGGTAGAAGTTGTAATTATGCTGACTTTAGAACTCATATCTCGAGGTGTGTGGCGGCATTTACGGTGTAGATGTCTATGGGCTCCAGTAACCACTTAACAAGTGAGCTGTGAGCTCGGTCACCTATATATGCAATAAATAAATAAAGTATTGCAGTAACTTAGCTGGGCCATTAGCGTTGGTGATGTCTTTGAGCGTCTGTGACTACTCATCATCTGGAGTGCCATATGACTCTATGGTCTATGATCTATGAGGTCAAGTAAAAAAAACAATATATATGTCGGCGCAACGTCACTATTGAGTAACTAAAATTACCTTCCTAAAGCTACCCTCATTATTCTACTATCAATACGAATTACTATTGTCGCAAAAAACATTCAGACTCGAGCAGCCGACTGAGGCGGAGCTCTGTTTTTATCGTTGTACACTCGAGATGCAATAAATGGAATTCGAATACCAAGCGAATAAAGAGCTTTTACTGTACATACAGGCCGCTTGTGACCTATAGACCTAGCGAATGCGTTTTAACAAATAATACTCACGGAATCCCGATGCCTGATCATGTTCGCGTAGACGGTGAACCGTCTGCCGCATATCGCGCAGGAGTGCAGGGGCCTGGTGGCGTGCACCCTCTCGTGTATGACGAGCCGGGAGCGCCGCGGGAAGCGCTTGCCGCACTCGCCGCACTCAAACGAGCTCGAGTTGTGTGCGTCGTAATGATCTTTCAGCAACGACATGCACTGAAATTTATTTTTTTTGCTTAGATGGGTGGACGAGCTCACAACCCACCTGATATTAAGTGGTTACTGGAGCCCATAGACGTCTACAACGTAAATGCACCACCCATCTTGAGATATAAGTTCTAAGGTCTCAGTATAGTTACAACGGCTGCCCCACCCTTCAAACCGAAACGCATTACTGCTTCATGGCAGAAAGAGGCAGGGCGGTGGTACCTACCCGTGCGGACTCTCAAGAGGTCCTACCACCAGTAATTACGCAAATTATAATTTTGTGGGTTTGATTTTTAATACACGATGTTATTCCTTCACCGTGAAGTCAATTGTGAACATTTGTTAAGTACGTATTTCATTAGAAAAATTGGTACCCGCCAGCGGGATTCGAACACCGGTGCATCGCTACATACGAATGCACCGGATGTCTTATCCTTTAGGCCACGACGACTTCAAAATTATTAAATCTCGATGATGAAGTGCTTACTGTGGGCGCGCGAGTTCATGTCCATCCCGAGGAATGCGGTAGTGCTGTGACCTAATTAATTATGGTAATATCGATAATAACGACCGATTTAGTCAACAGCTGTCAATTTGGTTTAATGTAACTTAAGGTAATTTTGCAATTTATGAAATAAAATAAATGTGATAAGTAATTACTTGTTTATTTCTAATAGAGAAAAATATTTTTTTAATTCCAATTCAATCACTATCGAATGAAAAGACAACCGACAGATCAGAGTCGGAATCAGTATGTAGCTTTTTTTCTATCTGAACTTGTTGGAAGCGGAGTAGTCATGGTTAAATAACACAATAGCCTTAGCGTAAATTTTCGATATCGGTAAGCTCGCGTCACAATCGTCACGGACAACACTTGACGTCAGATAAATGCGCGCAGGCGGGCTAAGGTGAGGCGGGCTGTCCCCCGTGCGTTGCCTCTGGCTCCGATGGACATGAACTCGCGCGTATACAGTAGATGGGTGGACGAGCTTACAGCCCACCCATTGTTAAGTGGTTACTGAAGCCTACATAAGTTCAGACTACATAAGACATAAGTTCTAAGGTCTCAGGTATAGTTACAAAACGGCTGCCCCAACCTTCAAACCGAAGCGCATTACTGCTTCACGGCAGAAATAAGCAGGGTGCTGGTACCTACCCGCGCGGACTCTCAAGAGGTCCTACCACCAGTTTGAACCACCGTTGTTAAGTGGTTACCAGAGCCCACTTAACACCAGCCAGATGGTCAGATCTAGTAAGAGAAGCACTTGGTGGTAGCCTGTACCATGCGGTCCATGCCACCCATGTTCGAACACAATGGAAGAACGTCACATGTGGTCGCGACCCTCAGCGGTGGGAAAGCGATATAGAAGAAGAAAGAGGCCATGGACATCACGTTGCGATTGTGGTCAGCTGCCTTGAGACTGCGTAGATAATATAATGACTTGTCATATCGGAACGCGGGGTTATGTACAGGGGGTTGAACCTTCGACTTAATTCTCGCACCGAGCGGACTCTCCGGACACGTCGGATCAGGTGGCCCAAGGTGGTAGAGGATCGCCCCAGAGGTCAACGTCAGGGTTATGATTTCTATCCGTGTAGGCTCACAAGAGATATAGGTTTACATATAGCTTTTTTTTTGTGATAATTGAATTATGATTTCCAATTAACAGTTAAGATTTTAGTGTTTTTACAGAAAACAACTTATCGATTGTATGTGACGTGTCACGACGTAAATACGACCGCAGCTTAGAGGCGTAAATAATTCAACTCACCCTGAACATCTGACCGCATATTTCGCACATGCACTGGCTGTCTTCGGTGAAGAATTTCGTTCTATTCTTGCCCGGGTGCAGCTTTCTGAAGTGTCTATCGTAGCGTCGAGCGTTGGGCAGTTCCATGTCGCACTGGAATATGATACAAGGGTTCCGGTTTGGATCTGGACGGGAGACTCATTATCCGAATCTGAATCAAGACGCCTTCCCATTAGGGACTGGGGCCGTGCTGACCTGTTCGCAAGGTATCGGTCCCTCGGGGGGCTTGTGATGCGCCGGCCTCTTGTGATCCGAAGCTTTCTTGTGCACCCTCCGCCTTATGGAAGTGTCGAGGCTGCAAAGCAAGAAAAAAAAACCAAAATCATACACCGCCATCGGTACCACGACCTTTCAGCCAAAGCTAATTGTTTTTATTTACGTAAAAATTGTTACTTGTGCACTACTTTTGGCATTGCTGAAGTCCATAGGCGACGGTAACCACTCACCATCAGGTGGGCCGTATGCTCATCTGCCTACAAGGGCGAAAAAAAAACTACTAGTTTCGTCTCAAGCCTCTAATCTCAAACCACCTCAGCTATTTAACTACACAATATCATACTCACGATTTATTGTGTTTAGTTGACAGTGACATGTGAGTGTCTAGTGCGTGCCCTGATACAAATACAATGTTACACTCCTCACAGGCCGGTCCGTCTTTTGGCACCTGTCAAATAATTGTTGGTACCGCGTCAAATAATATTTGGCTCCCATGTCCAATAATGCTTGGGTCCCCCTCCAATAATACTTGGATCCCCCTCCAATAATATTTGGCTTCTGGTCACGCAAAAATCGAATCTATCAGATAATAATTCGCTACATCGTCAGGCAATAATTGCCAAAATCAGAACATTAACCATCAAACAAAACCAAAAGTCCACTGAACTCTAAGTAAATATAACCACAATAATTTTACTGAGACGTTATTTTTAAACCATGCCATCTAGTTAGATTAGATGCTCCATCACAATCAATGACAGTCTGAAATAAATATAATTCTTCTCATTTCGTCTATACTAATATTATAAAGAGGAAAGATTTGTTTGTTTGTTTGTTTCGAATAGGCTCCGAAACTACTGGACCGATTTGAAAAATTCTTTTTCCATTAGAAGCCGACATTGTCCCTGATGAACATAGGCTACTTTTTTAATTTTTTTTTTTGATTTCGTGTATGTTTTAATGTTTCCGAAGCGAAGCGAGGGCGGGTCGCTAGTATTTAATAATTGAATATTTTTATAAACTCGAAACTGGCAACACTGGCGCGGGATAAAACGAATTGCCATAGTTAAAAACAAGCTGAACTCACCGTTTTGCTGTGGAATTTGTGTTTGAAGTTCGTGTGCAAGACCAGACCCTTCTTGCTGACGAAGGAGTGTCCACAGAGGGCGCACACTATGTCGGAGGGGTGCTTCGTCCGCAAGTGACTCATGTACGACGTGTTTTTCCTGGGGACCACTCTTTTTTGACGTGATAGCTGCACGCACGAAAAAGTGTCATGTTCCGCCCGAGACTGAGCGTGCGAACGATAGAGAGGCACGATCGGCCCGAGCGTTGGCTTGTGACACATTTATCTCTCTTCTCGCGTGACGTCAGAGCTAGCAGTTCGAATAGTTTCGCTACAGACGTTATCGTGTAACACTATCGTCCGTAAGCCGAGTTCACAGATAGCTAATTCAATTATTAAAAAATATATAATTTCAACCCAACCTGTATAGATGGATGTTTTACTTATCCTATGTAATCGCTGGATTCTATGGATAATCGATGGAGCAGGAGTTAGGGGTCTTGGGCATGACGTGGGAGGAGTTAGAACAGACCAATATAAATGGAAAAATTTGATTCGAGCCCTACACCCCAGCAGAGGGTAATAGGAAAGAATGATTATGATGTAATCGCTGGTAGTCTCAAGGGGTTATTCTAGCTACGCGCGGACGGGTAGGTGAGCTCACGGGCTCAACCTGAGAGAATTTGCTAACACTGAAAAGATGCATGTATGAATGCAAGTCTGTAGGTGTGTCAAAAAATTTAAGTAGTACAATCTATATATTAATACGTGAAGCAAAAACTTTGTATCCCTTTTTACGAAAATTGCGCGGACGAAAGGAGTATGAAATTATCTACGTTTATAGAGAATATAGAGAGGAAGTCCACAATGCTAATTTTTTTTTAAAAATGCATAAAAGATACATTAAATCAATAAAGAAAACATTACACACACTACATACCATGTATTTGACGCACACACGCATGCTTTTTTTTATTTTATTTATTGCTTAGATGTGTGGACGAGCTCACAGCCCACCTGGTGTTAAGTGGTTACTGGAGCCCATAGACATCTACAACGTAAATGCGCCACACACCTTGAGATATAGTTCTAAGGTCTCAGTATAGTCACAACGGCTGCCCCACCCTTCAAACCGAAACGCATTACTGCTTCACGGCAGAAATAGGCGGGGCGGTGGTACCTACCCGCGCGGACTCACAAGAGGTCCTACCACCAGTAATTACGCAAATTATAATTTTGCGGGTTTGATTTTTATTGCACGGTGTTATTCCTTCACCGTGGAAGTCAATCGTGAACATTTGTTGAGTACGTATTTCATTAGAAAAATTGGTGCCCGCCTGCGGGATTCGAACACCGGTGCATCGCTCGATACGAATGCACCGGACGCCTTATCCTTTAGGCCACGACGACTTAATTGCATACTATTTATTGTCAAACTTTTGTTCTTGACGTCTGTGGTCAAATTGAAAATAGATTAAATATTGTTTGTCTTTGTTAATATTTTTTATAGTGTAGCCTTGGCGAAATTTGTGATTATAGAAGTATAAAATACAATCATAATAGTGTACAAACTTACAATTCCAATTAATTATAGTCGAATTTCGACTACTGCGTGACCACTAGTTAAATATAATCACGTATAATTAAAGATAGCGAAACGTATGTAATAAATAATAGAAATTGATTTATAATTAATTTATGATGTGCCAAGTGTCCTCCGTTACTACTCACTCGAATATCTCTCCGCAGTGTCCGCACGTATACCTCTTGCCGTTGTGATATTTTCCGTGTATGTGGGCTGCGGAGCTGGTAAAGAAAACGATCGGTCACTCGGGACAATTGTAAGAGCTGTTCAATAAATAGGGTTACTTGGGACTGTTACAAGAACCGTCCAACAAATCGGTCGTTCGGGACAATCAGTACGTACTATGAAACAAAGTCACTTTCTCTGTCCCTATATCCCTATGTATGCTTAAATCTTTAAAACTACGCAACGGATTTTGATGCAGTTTTTTTAATAGATAGAATGATTGAAGGGGAAGGTTTATATGTATAATAACATCCATTAAATGGTGGAGAAATTAATAATAAATTACAGTTTCCAAAGTGAAGCGAGGGCGGGTCGATAGTTTAATAATAAATATAGAGGTCACTTGGGGCAATTAGGAGAACTGTTCGACAAATTGGACACTAGGCACAATTGTGACAGCTGTCTAATAAATACAGTCACTCGGAACCGTTATGAGAACTGTCTAACAAATCGGTCACTCGGGAGAATTGTGAAGTGATCACCTCTTTTTTTTTTATTGCTTAGATGGGTGGACGAGCTCACAGCCCACCTGGTGTAAAGTGGTTACTGGAGCCCATGGACATCTACAACGTAAATGCACCACCCACCTTGAGATATAAGTTCTAAGATCTCAGTACAGTTACAACGGCTGTCCCACCCTTCAAACCGAAACGCATTACTGCTTCACGGCAGAAATAGGCAGAGTGGTGGTACCTACCCGCGCGGACACACAAGAGGTCCTACCACCAGTAAAGTCTAACAGATCTACAGTTGTCTAACCGATCGGTTCATTTGGGATCAGTTCCTTATTACCATCATAATATATTTGTGAAATTTTTAACACAACATTTTTTGTTGGCGGCTTAGTACTAGTAGGGGTTATCCTAGCTTCATCTGACGCGTAAGCGAGCTAACGGGGCTGAGCCTAGGAGACTTCCCTAACACTAGCCCTAGCAAGAGCAGTGCTTCGCTGAATCTATTACCGGATCGGAATCGCGAACTCACCGAGAAGATCCGGCGAGAAAATCAAGTTTCAATTACAATATTGTAACGCTGATAAAAGCAACACCATCTATCGGCGAATAGCAGAAGCGAACATCAAAGGAACTAGTAACATCCAGAACGCTCGGGAAGTACAACGCCATCTATTGTAAAAATGGCGGAAACTCATATCGAAAATACTCGACTTGTGAGGAATGTTCTCGATAATTCTAGAGATGTCGTATCGTCTATAAAAGCGTTTCAGGGATGTCACGAAGTTACTCAGTAATCGGAACTAATCGAAGCGAACGGATCACCTGAAGCGAAGCGGACGAAGTGAATTAAGAAATTTAAAGTATTCATTGAGTGTTTTAAGTGTGAATAGGGTTCAATTGTACTTCGGTAGAGCTTTTATTTATCCCGAGTCCCAGCGCGCAACAATGCGTTAACGATCACACTAAGTTTTAAATAGCAATGTAATGATATAGCTTGTTTGACTGACCGCGAACCGGTCACGAAGGGACATCCCCTGCAGATGTACTTCTGCTGGTGCTTCGCCGAGTGATGTTTCAATTCGTATCTTTTCTTCGTTCGAATCTTACAGATCTTGCACTGATAGGAGCCGTACAACTGAAAATGTATAATATATATATGTCGACGCTTGAAAGGCAAACGTGACTAAGCTAAGACTAATATATATATATATACAGGATGTCCCAGAAAGAATTGATAATCCTGAAACACCGCATAGTAGAGCTATTGGGGACTCAAAAAAAAATAAAAAAAATATTAGGCAGTACCCAAATTACGTATTTAAAAAAAAAGTTGATATTTTCAGGATTATCCAACATCCAACATCGGCGCAACATTACTATTTAGTTAACCAAGATTAATTAAAGTTCACTGTCTCTTTAATATTGACATAGTTTGTTGACTGTTGTAAGTCCAACGGGTGTAAACAATTTTTTAAGACGGTGTTCATAGGAATTCAGTTGATAGGAGTGACTATTGTCGCACAAGACATTCCGGCTCGAGCAGCCGAACGGAGCGGAGCTCTCTGTTGTTGTAGTACACTTGAAATTCATTAAAAGATATTTTTTTAAAGTATGTTTTTGTTATGATGGTGACATCGCGACACTGACGCCCATTGTTTGAAAGCAGCTATTTGTGCCGGTCACAAGTGAACCTATGGAAGTCTCCGTTGGCTCTGACCTCAGTGTGGTGGACGGCATGACGCTCGTACACTTCCTTGTGCAGGAAGCCCTTGTAGCAGTCCTCGCATTTGTACGGGGAATTCTTGTAGTTTGAACCCAGTTTGCGTTTCGCGATCTCGTCCAGCTAAAATTTATTTATTTATTTATTGGAACGAAGTTCCTTATCGCGCGTTGTGAAAGGGGGCTAGACGGAAAAAATTCTTACGAAAAGTTGTCACGACACTTTTTAGATCCTTCATTCTGACCAATCAACGTGTAAGCGCTTATCGCGTGACATTGCTCGTATCCGATTGGTCCGCGTAATGAGTACAGTTTCTCGAGATAGCGTTTCAACAATAGTAATTTAGTTTATAGTATTGTTTTTTCTTCTTTATAATGCCGTAATTTATTATTATAACTTTAAAAAAAAATTACAATTCCTTCACTAATTAATCGAAAGGAACTTCGTTCCATCCGGGTGTCCCTTGACACCTCTGAAGTTTTTTTTTATTTAATAAACAATGTTTCAACAGCATTTAACTAGACACAGGGTACAGAGGATGTTTTCCCAAACATGAGCCAATTAAAGAAACACATTATGTTTCCAAAATATGTTAACATAATTAATGGGTAGTCCAACTAAGGTAAAGGTAAGGCAGTTAAATAGGTAGATAAATTTTGTCGAATGATAACTTGCAGAATAAGTTTGAATCTGATTGTGTGGTGTCGATGTGTGTAAGTGCGTGTGAGTGTAATAAAGGGGTTGGTTTACATTAATTTCATTCATACGACGGACGTCACGCATGATGATTGACGATGACTTTTTTTAATCTCTTAGATGGGTGGACGAGCTCACAGCCCACCTGGTGTTAAGTGGTTACTGGAGCCCATAGACATCTTACGACGTAAATGCGCCATCCGCCTTGAGATATGAGTTCTAAGGTCTCAGTATAGTTACAACGGCTGCCCCGTTTTTCAAACCGAAACGCGTTACTGTTTCACGGCAGAAATAGCCATCGACTTTGCAATTAAAAAAGTCCTAACGTGACATGACAAGTTTCATTGCATTAATTCATTTCAATGGTAGGCAGCAGCTCGGCTTTGCCCCTGGCATTGCTGACGTCCATGGGCGACGGTAACCATTCACCATCAGGTGGCCCGTATGCTCTTCTGCCCCCAAAGGCAATAAAATAAAAAATTTTAGATATGCACTGGCATTTTGATATTTAGGCACAATCCACATACCTGCTCCTCCTGACTTAGATATTTTATGTCGAACAATGATAGATCTATATAATCATCATTAGCTATTTTACCGTTGTCATTACTAGATTTAAGATTCACTGCTTCCTTAGTTTTAATATCACGTCTTAAGAGTTTTCTTTTAGCACTTTTCACATTTAACTCTAGTATTTCGACTTGATTATCGCATGCTGTATCTTCCATCATCATCACATCAGTGTTGGTTTCATTGAAATCATCATCTTCACTGTCATTCGTTTTCATATCATTATCATACTTAATATCATCGACATCTGAATCGTTCGCTTTGATATTTATTGCCTCTTCTAGTATGATTTCTTGAATTTCGTTTTTATCACTCTCATCGCATTGTATGCACACATCTGAGTGGTTTGCTTTATACAGCTTTGTGCACAGATTGGAGTTTAGATTTCTGGATTCTCTGTCGATCGTTGATACCAATCTGTCTGTCAGCTGGAATCAAACAATCAATTAATGTGAAACTTACTGGTGGTAGGACCTCTTGTGAGTCCGCACGGGCGGGTACCACCACCCTGCCTATTTCTGCCGTGAAGCAGTAATGCGTTTCGGTTTGAAGGGTGGGGCAGCCATTGTAACTATACTTGAGACCTTAGAACTTATATCTCAATTTCTCAAGGTGGGTGGCGCATTTACGTTGTTGATGTCTATGGGCTCCAGTAACCACTTAACACCAGGTGGGCTGTGAGCTCGTCTACCCATCTAAGCAATAAAAAAAATTGGATGTCATCATCAATCTCCTGCCCTTCTCCCAGTCACCTGGGGTCGGCGCAACATGTTTCCTCCTTCCATACTTCTCTATCATATACCATTTCTTCGTTCACTCCCCTCTTACACATATCGCCTTTCACGCAATCCATCCATTTCTTCTTAGGTCTACTTCTTCCTCTATATCCTTCCACATTCATAGCTAACACTCTCTTACCAACCTCATTTTCATTTCGTCTCATCACATGTCCATACCATCCCAAGCGCGCCCTCCTCAGCTTCTCTGTCACAGGTGCCACTTTCAGACTTCCTCTAAAAAATTCATTCCGTATTTTATCCATTCTCGTTACTCCACACATCTATCGCAACATTCGCATCTCTGCTGCATGCAATCTCAATGCGATGATATGAAATGGGATGTAAGATGACTACTTAATTTGTTTTTTTTATTATTAGAGTTTAAAAAAAAAACTTTATTGTACTTATAGACTTCTGAAGCAATAGTATCATATAATATTGTTACGCCGGTAAGAGTAGCACCATCAATCGTAGAATAGCGAAAACGGATATCAAAAGAACTAGTGAAACCGAGAACGTTCGAGAAGTAAAACGCCATCTGTCGTCAGATAGCGGAAACACTTATGGAAGCTACTCGACCTGACAAGAATGTTCTCGATAATTGTGAGATGTCGTATCAACTGTAAAAGCGTTGCAGAGATAACACGAAGCCAGTTAGTAATCGGATCGTGGTAATTCGAGTAAAAACGATACAGCGAACGGATCACCTGAAGCGATCCGGTCATCGTTCTCGTCAAAGCCGTCGCTTGCGACGAAGGGCTCGGCGAGTAAATTAACCCACAGACACGGCCCACTGAGTTTCTCGCCGGATCTTCTCAGTGGATCGCGTTCCGGTGGTAGATTTTGCGAAGCACGGCTCTTGCTAGGGTTCGTGTTAGCAACATCGTCAGGTTTGAGCTCCGTGAGCTCACCTACTAGTTAAGGTTACTCTGATATGGTATCTCTAGACCATCAGCTTTGCGTTTCGGTTTGAAGGGCGGTTTTTTTTTCCTGCCTAAGTTGATAGCATTGAGAGTTTGAGAGGCTATTTCAGCGTAACCTTAACTAACTAGTAGGAGAGCTTACGGGGCTCAAACCTGACGACGTTGCTAAGACGAACCCTAGCAAGAGTCGTGCTTCGTAGAATCTACCACCGGATCGGAAACGCGACCCACTGAGAAGATCCGGCGAGAAACTCAGTGGACTGTGTCTATGGGTTAATTTACTCGTCGAGCCCTTCGTCGCAAGCGACGGGTTTGACGAGAACGATGACCGGAGCGGCCGTTGTAACTATACTGAGACCTTACACTCATATCTCAAGGTGGGTGGGTCTATGGGCTCCCGTAACCACTTAATCCGTCAGCCTGTTCACCCACATATGAAATAAATAAAATACATCACCTCATTATGTATGTCCAGGAGATTGAGTAGTATATCTTGGGTCCTTGTGGCTTTAGCCTTGAATTTCTCGTAGTTCAGAAGCCTGTGGGTGCATTCCCAGCATAGATCCTGGGGCAGCTTGTCCATTTCACTATGCTGTAAGTTAATTAGATTAAAACAGATAATCGAATTTGAAGCAAAGAAGTTCATGCTCAGAAGCCCGGTGTTAAAAGTTTACTTAAGACCAAGAATATCACGATGCCTCAGTCAAGCTTTGAGACACCAGCTTAAAGTTTAATTTTATTCATCATGTATGGATTAAAACACTTTATTAATTAATAAGCATTATGTATATAATATGAGTGCGCACTTAACCGAACACTTGGGGAAAAAGACAAGACGGAAGTTGAGTAAAGAGCTACATTTTAGAATGACAGATATCTCACATTTCATTGGACTTTTCATTGGAGCAGAAACATTTAGTACAGTGGAATTTACCTGTACAGGTCAGTTTAATTCAGTTGGATTCCTAAGGCTTCTACACTAGACCTTGTCGGAATGGTGAATGTTCCTAAGTAATAAATAACTTACGATTAAATCAGTTAATTCTTCATAGAGCATTGATAGTTTATATTTCTTCATATTATACAATTTGACGCCCAGCGCCAAACATATCCGGCAAGCCTGTGATCGAAAAAGTATAATATTTAATTTAATTGTCTTTTGTTCTAATTTGTCTCTTTACATACGAAAACATTATATGTAGCAAACAACTTGCTTGAAAAGTAATGCATGCATAAATGATGACATATAGTTAATGGACATTGACTATATGATATGGTAATATAACACCTTGTTTTGCTTTTTTGCAAAAACAGGGATATTACAAAGGAGCTTTAATCAGGTAGGCAGCGGCTTGGCTTGGTAGGCAACGGCTTCGCTCTGCCCTTGCTGGCATTGCTGAAGTCTATAGGCTCCAGTAACCTCTTAGCACCAAGTGGGGCGTATGCTACATGGGCAATAAAAATAAAATAAAAACTTTAACTTTACTTTAAAAAAGCATAATTTTTCGCAAATAACAACCTATATTCAGATATTATGTAATTGCTGGAGATCTTTATGTAAAGCAAAAATAAGAGCATTTTCTTGTCTGCTGTGTAATGATTATGTTTGTGCTTTTGTTATATTTTAAGGCCTTCGAGAGACCTTCATACACAAGACTTTTAGTTTTTTTTATTGCTTAGATGGGTGGATGAGCTCACGGCCCACCAGGTGTTAAGTGATTACCGGAGCCCATAGACATCTACGTAATCACAATTACGTACTCTACGTAAATGCCGCCACCCACCTTGAGACATGAGTTCTAAGGTCTCCGTTTTCACAGTATGACTGCATTACCCTTCATACTGAAATGCATTGCTGCTTCAAGGCAGAAATATGCAGGGTGGTGTAACTACCCATGAGAATTCACAAGTGCATTTGCAGAGGCCTACACTCCGCATCTAGTGGACACAGGTTGAAGAAGAACTTGTGTTTATGTGCATTAGTGTTATTAATAAACATGTATTGAAACTGATATTTTTTTTATTTAACTGGCCCAAATAGAAAACATTTTTTGTATTACCTCAGAACTTTTTTCTAGGTGAACTGATTATGATGATTCGTTTTTCATTTGGTCCCATTTAAAATTTCATAAGATTTGACCTGTGCTTTTTGAGTTATTCTTAATAATGCATATTTAATTGAAGTCAACCATGTTGTTTTTTTTATTTATTTAGTTTAATAACAATGTCATACAATTTTACTGGTGGTAGGACCTCTCGTGAGTCCGCATGGGTTGTACCACCACCCTGCCTATTTCTGCCGTGAAGAAGTAATGCGTTTCGGTCTGAAGGGTAGGACAGCCGTTGTAACTATACTGAGATCTTAGAACTTATATCTCAAATTGGGTGACGCATTTACGTTGTAGATGTCTATGGACTTCAGTAATCACTTAGCACCAAGTGGGCTGTGGGCTAGGCCACCCATCCAAGCAAGAAAAAAAAATCTAAGGCAAAATTAATTAAGTCTCGAGTTGTCAGTGATTTTAGTCTAATTTCAATCAATCTAAAAAATAGATAAATAATTATTTTTCAATTATTTAATTATAATAATTACTTCATGGGATTTTTTTTCTAAATAATGCACTAAATAATAAAATAAAAAAAGATTTTTATCGATCTGTTTATACTCACTGATAATCTTCTATAATCCTCATTGTTTTTGGCAGCATTCAAATCAGTTTTCTCATTCATTTTGAATTTAGTTTATAAAATCTGATATGATTACAAGTTTTTATCCACATTACTTTTGTGTTCAATTACTGACAACCGCTTTGTGCACTTTTGTATTTTGTACACATTTTGTCGTATGTAGGTACATATGCAATAAAAATATTAATTTTAATTTAATGAGCAATTTCAAAATCTTTGAAATAAACTTTAAATAGGTAGTAGTAGGGTTTTTCTCGAAGAGAAAGGCAATGGAACTAAGCCATACAGCCAATTCTTAAGTTTAATATTTTCATATATAATTTGATGTTTCAAGGCAGAAAAGCCAATTCTTTAGTATTCTTCATTTATAAATATTTTTTAAAATCCGTGTAAATGTTTATTTAGTTTTTTCTTTTTTTTTCCAATATGTTTCGGTTGGGAGTTGTCGCAATCGTGTTTCTTGAAAAATCTGAGTAAAAAGTTAAAATTAGTGTTCTCCATTATAAGTCTCCGAAAGTAGAGTTAATGTATTCATATACTGGTCTAAAACTTGCAGGGCACTTAAGCAATTCTTGAACAGATGGCGAGATGCTATCATTATAAACCTCTTGCAGCTTATCGATAAATAGGGTGCGATGAATGTTAAAAGCCGGACATGTGAAAAAAATATGTTCTAAATAAACTTTATTTTATGCGATATGTCATACAAGAAACTAAATAAACAAGTTTGATTTGTTTACAAAGTCTGTTATGTACTGTCAGTCCGTATGCCCATATGCTTAGACCAAATTTTTTTAATAAAAACACATACCATCTACACCACTTAGATCTTCGCTAAAAGTAATAGTGTTCTGTGACTTAGGTACTACAAACACATAATGCCTACAATTTACTATTTAAAACAAGTTTTGTTCAGTCCATCACTTTACACATATCATTAAGATATTTTGTTTACCAATTTTTTTTATTCCAGCTAAGATTTAAAAAAGTCTTGAACTTGGATTTGACAGTAAAACTCGAATTTGCCATTTTACAAGGATTGGAAAATATATAAGACTTGGCTTCGGCCCTATTGAAATTTTTATTTCACGAAGAAATTTTTATAGGACTTGGCTTCGGCCTTAATAATTTTTTTAATTCAGGATATAATATAAATCGTATAAGACCTGGCTTTGGCTTTTTTGAAAATTTATTTCAAAAAAAAAAAAGGGCTCTTTGAAACATCCATTAAACTGTCAGTAAATTCCCAGAATTTAACTGAATAGTTTCGTCATTTTATTTATTCCAATACGTGGTATAGTCTCATCTCATTTATTTTATTCCATTTCATTTCAAATTTTGCATACTGTTACTTATGCAAAATCGTGTCTGTACATAATTTTTACTTTATGTTCCCTAAGACATACTTTGTCTATATATTACACTGGTCACTCACATGCGCACGAATACGCAAACCCACAAGTGTAGGACGACATTTGCGAATGATTATGCAAAGTTTTCGCTGCATTCGTGGTTTTCCAAGCTGTGTCGGTTTTTTAACAGACATCAAAGCGCGCGAACCTCGAACCTTCGCGTAATCTCCCACACATTCGCTTGCCCAGTTGCGCCGACGATTGCGAAGGTAACGGACGTATCGCCATTTTCATAGTTATACATATTTCATAGTGTAGACGTCTACTGTGTAGCGTCACGAGAAATCATCAAAAGAAATCCCATAAGAACAGCATGGCTGTTAATGATGTCTGGGAAAGAATTCAAAACTCTTTTTCTCTTCAATGTTCTATTGACGAATTAAAAAGGAGGAGAAATTCGTGAGACATTCGTAAACAAGTGTGGGAGGAAGCGCAAACGGGTTCGCAAATTGAGTACCGAACCCATTCGCACAGCTGCTAGGTTTGCGAATGAATGTATGACGGCCCTTCACATGCGCGCAAACATTCGTACAATATACGAATATTTGCGCGCATGTCAGTGGCCGGCATTACACATACGCATTGACTTTATGAGCAATGTTCCCTTTGACAGACTAAAGTCCACTGAAAAAATTTCAGTAAACGATCACCTTTTTACTGAGATTATATTTCATCCCATATCATCTCATCTGATTTCATTTAATTTCATCATGTCTCAAATTCTTCATTTCATTTCACTCCATATTATCATTTTTCATAAAAATATCCCATATCATATCATCTCATCTCATTTCAATTCATTTAATTTCATTTCATTTTATGCCATGTTTCATATTAATGAGCTTCATTTCATTTCATAATATCATATTACATAAAAAAATATATATAAAAAATTAGGCAGTATGGTGTAATACTTTTGCCTTTCCATTTGGAAAAATACAACTACTACTACTTAGTTATCTATGTTGGTAATTTGGATTTTGGCGCCATTCTGCTTCATTTAATTCCACTTAAATTTTATTACAATTATATTATTTAAGGTGAGTTTCAATTTGTTAAATTTGAATAATCTAGTAAGCATGTTTTCTTACAGCATCAACTCAATGAGGGCAATTATTTTAGCGTTCAAATGGACTTTTGTAAATTACAATTCAAAATCTAAACTTTAAATTTTTTATCGAAACTATATATGTAATTCTATTGTATATATATTAAATATGTTTATATATGTTTACGCCATTTTATGCCTGATTAGGACAAATTTGGAAAAATCAATAGACGCTTTCTCGACCTATCCACTGAGTCAATTTAGCCGTATCTGTTTTGCCGCTAATTCTTTAACGTTAAATCTATAGAATGTCGGAAATGGTCCTATTAAAATATTATAGAAATGATTGAGTGCCGTAAACGGATTACAGAGAACATGAATTTGAGGAAGAGACAGCGTATCTCTTACTACGAACCGGACGAGCCAAACCTGGACGAGTATATATGTGAGTTTTATTTTTATTGCACTAGATAAGTGAACCGATTGAGTTGATCTCGACGCTTGAAAGGCAAACGTGACTATGGGACAATTACTGATTTGTACATAAATGATAGGCAATAACCATATTCGATGCGCAAAAAATATATATTTCTAGGTCTATTAAAATAAGTTCAATCCTACAGCTACTAGCTAGATTCTACTACAGCTAGATTCGTTAAAATAGAACTTTTTTCAGGTATTTCAACTTTAAATTAGTCTACTGTAAAGTTCACGCATTGTCGCTTAGTCACGTTTGCCTTTCAAGCGTCGATATGAAGTTTATAGTACAAAAGCTATTGTAACCGCTGAAATAGTGAAGGCGCCTACCCGTGACGCCTCACAAGACGTCCTACCAGTTGTTCTAATAAGCTTCTAATAATCTTACTGCTGGTAGGACGTCTTATGGGTCCGGACGGGTAGGTACCACCACCCTGTCTATTTCTGCCGTGAAACAGTAATGCGTTTCGGTCTGAAGGGTGGAGCAGCCTTTGTAACTATACTGAGATCTTAGAACTTATATCTCAAGGTGGGTGGCGCATTTACGTTGTAGATGTCTATGGGCTCCAGTAACCACTTAACACCAGGTGGGCTGTGAGCTCGTACACCTATCTAAGCATTAAAAAAAAATCCCTCACGTCTCGATATAGCTTACCAAAAAATGTTTATCCATAAATCTAAGACTTAAAACTGATATCTCAAAGAAGGTGAGTATATGAGAGATTATATTATTACTATGAGATTATTTTTTAACCGGAAATTCTCGATTCGACTGTATGTTTTTTTTTTTGTTTATTACCTCATAGCTTTTGACTGGGTGAATCGATTTTGATGATTCTTTTTTTATTAGAAAGCTGACGCTTCCCGTGTGGTCCCATTTTAGTTTAGTCCAGTTCTGATAATGGTATCCATGAGAAAACCATATAAGTCTTAAATTTGCATTAAGTACGTGCGCGACAAATAGATGAATAACTCAATAACTCAATATCACGCCAACCGATTTATCCGATGATTATTGTTTTTAGTGTGTATATTAATTTGTTTTGGAATATTTTTTTCTTTTATTTGAAGTGGGTTTTTGTTAAAGCATGTCTATTTACAATTATTTCAGTTTGCGATAGCTGTAGAGATTACGTTTACGAATACTGTTCGGTCCACGGACCTCTGCTGGTGATACCGGACGACAAGGTAAGGGGTGAGAGAAAAAAACACTTTCGGAGCTTTTAATATTATATTCGAAGTTGAACGAAATTTCAGAGGACCTTCGGGACGGTCAATGAAATTCCTACGTGAGATTTTATTCAAAACTAGCTGACCCGGCAGACTTCGTAGTGGCTCAATCGATAAATAAAATACCTAAACTTTTGTATAAAATAAACTTAAAATAAACAAAAGAAATCCATCTGACGGGGGACACATCAAAGGAAAAACAAAATTGTTATTTTTATTTAATTCCGAGTATTTTCACATTTATCTACCTTTTAAACCTTCTCTGGACTTCCATAAATAATTCAAGACCAAAATTAGCTAAATCGGTCCAGCCGTTCTCGAGTTTTAGCGAGACTAACGAACAGCAATTCATTTTTATATAACTAGCTAAAGATTTGCAATTACAAAAATTTTATCTTTATTCTGTTGTGTACGCCATTTCATTCAATATCGTTTTTTTTTTTCAATTGATCATATTATTAACAGTGGATTCATAGGGGTACTTTCCATTTTTATCAGTTTAATAAAATTGTTACCTACTTCAATTTGATCACTGACCAATCGCGGAACCCAATTGCGTTCCTCTAAAATTGTCGCTTCACGAGTTAAAAAACACTAAACATCCGTTAAAATTGTTATTAAGTTCTAAAGGAGAGCCAATTGAAGTTTAAGATTTAAAAAAAATATTGTAACATAAAACCTTTGAATGGATTAAACTTAATTGAGGTTCAATTAAAATACTGTTGGTACTACTCAACTCAATGATACTCAATAAAACGGATCTTTAATTGCAAATATAAATGTTGTGTATTGAGCGAAATGTCGTTTAAACTTTTCACCCCTCGATACTGTTGGTAGGACCTCTTGGGAGTCCGCACGGGTAGGTACCAACACCCTGCCTATTTCTGCCGTGAAGCAGTAATGCGTTTCGGTTCGAAGGGTGGGGGTAGCCGTTGTAACTATACTGAGACCTTAGAACTTATATCTCGAGGTGGGTGGCGCATTTACGCTGTAGATGTTTATGGGCTCCAGTAACCACTTAACAACAGGTGGGCTGTGAGCTCGTCCATCCATCTAAGCAATAAAAAAAAAACAACGAAAACTAATCTAACTTGTAATGAAATAATTTTATTCACAATATAAAATTAAACAATTAATCAATTACACTACTAACATATTACTAACGTGGAGGATGCCCTTGATCATTTTTATAAACGTAACCAACCTACAAGTAAAAACATTCAACTCAGTTGACGACATTGCCAGTTCGTTATCGGTGCGACAATTAAATTGTGAATTTCTTCATAAAGGTACCTATCAAACATGATTTCCCATCATTCGTTCCCCGCGCCGCCCTCACCATTCCCCATGTGTTCCTGCATCTAGCTCCTTCCATCATTCCAGGTATACCCAAACCACATTTTACAATCATCACAAGGTTTCTTTTACAGCTGCTAAACGGGAGAGCTTGGTCAGTACGCCATTGGAATTGTTGTCGGAGTAAACTTTTATGTCTGAAGTCTTAAATGCACTTTTGGTATAACATGGCTGTGGGAATAACGGGTGATATTCCTCGGTAGGCCGACGCTCCGAATGTTGTTGTTCGGAACTTGTGTATATGCAAGCTTATCTTGTATATGTCGTAGGCGAGATTCAGGCATCTGTTAAATATCTTTCGTTTTTGTGATGGCTATCCGCAAAATGGGCAAAGGCTTTATTTGCGGTAGATATGGGTAGTAGAGTGGTACCGACCCGTGTGGGCTTAGAATGTATAAGCGAATATAAATAGAGTTAGTCATGGACCCAAAACCAGGACAACTTGAAACATTACAAGGTCATTGAAATTTTCCTTCAATATTTTGACGAAGTCGTAGTGGTCCAAAGGTTAAGATGTCTGGTGCATTCGTATCTAGCGATGCTCGAATCCCGTAGGCGGGTAACAATTTATCTAATGAAATATGTACTGAGATGGGTCGACGAGCTCACAGCCCACCTGGTGTTAAGTGGTTACTGGAGCCCATAGACATCTACAACATAAATGCTGCCACCCATCTTGAGACATGAGCTGTGTGGTCTCAGTTTTAACAGTACAACGGCTGCCCAGCCCTTCAAACCGAAACGCATTACTGATTCACGGCAGTTATAGGCAGGGTGGTGGAACCTACCCTTAAAGTAAAAGTGCTTGATTATTAATAACTTTTTAATAATATTTATTTATCCTATTATTTCGGTCATATAAGTAACCGGGAGATCGATGAGTGGGGGCTTATTAACATTAACAAAACTACGAAAACGGTTTGTTCCCGCAACGAAGGTGCTGGTCTAGGCGTGTTCAGTACCCTGACTCTGCCCCAGGGCGTCCAGTTTGGTCCGTACCGCGGGCAGCGGACCGACCAGGTTGACTCCATGTACTGCTGGCAGGTCGGTTGCCGCACCACCCACGACCCTTAGCGTCTAAACACACTATGCCGAAAGTACGCGACCGAAGCTCCACGGCTGATATTAGGTTCCGACGTATTCGGCTGCTTTCAGACTACGCTATAGTGCCGCATAGCACCCTATACTTAGCCAATAATATAGGTGTAGGCGAGCTCACGGGGCTCAAACCGAGAGTGTTGCTAACACTGGCCCTAGCAAGAGCAGTGCTTCGCAGAATCTACCGCCGGATCGGAAACGCGACCCACTGAGAAGATCCGGCGAGAAACTCAGTGGGCTGTGAATATAGGTTAATTTACTCAGCGAGCCTTTCGTCGCAAGCGACGGGTTCGACGAGAACGGTGACCGGTGCTTGAGGTACCTAAAAGCACCGTTAATGGACCGGGAGGATCCGTAATGACGTGTTTAGGGCAATGTCGACTGTTTACCATTCGGTCCACAGGATCGGGTATGTGGCTATGAGCTATGTACTATTATATTATAGCGTAGTCTGAAAGCGGCTTGGTGTGACACGCCTATATCGCCGAATTTACGCGACAGATATTCAGTTGCTCAACTTTGTGTATTTAGTATCTCGAGCACTGTCTTGGCGTAGTGTCGTGTGTTATATAAACAGTTGGGCAGATAGAGGCGAAACAAAGCGATCCGGTTGGGGTTCCATTTTTACTTTTAACGAGCCAAACTCGAATAATTCGCCGCTGAATTTACGCCCGACCGAAGTTATCATGCCGAACATCGGTCGCGTACTTTTGGGCACAGTGTGTTTAGACAGTAACTGCGTGCTTAGTGCGAGCTTTTTAACGTTATCGATAGCGTAAAAGTTATATATTGTATAGTAGTCGCTATATGTTGTAAAATAGGTATTGAACATTTAGTAAATCAATTGCAGTTATCAATTGCAATGTTATTTTATGTCTTACTGTCTAAACCCTGTCGGTAATCCTGAAATAAATAAATAAATAAATAAACAAATAAACAAATAAACAAATAAACAAATAAACAAATAAACAAATAAACAAATAAACAAATAAACAAATATGCAAATAAACAAATAAACAAATAAACAAATAAACAAATACACAAATAAACAAATACACAAATACACAAATAAACAAATATGTACACAAATAAATAATAATGCAGAAATGCTTTGGTTGTGATACGAAATTACATTGTAAAAGTGATTGAATAGTATAGGAATCGGTTTTTAAGCTATTGCATAGCTTTTAACGCGGGCTTTGAGCGCGGTGACCGAATCAAGAAATTCCATAACGAAAATAAAACCTGACACCCCCTACTCCGCCTACCATGTAGCTCGCGTGCAACACATGCACACGTTGCGCTTGTGTAGTGTTTCTGAATAAGCGCGTGGCGTGACGTCACACTGCATGCGCATCATGAAAAGTCTGCCCATCTCTCTCTCGCGCGGACTAGCTTATAAGTGTGAAAGGGACAGTTAATGTTTTGCTTTTGTTAATGTTTATAAATACAGCGTGATCTTATTTTACAATTGTTTTAATATTAAATTATTATTGTCTGATTGTAATTGCATAAGTTGATAAAAAATGCTATGCAATAGCTTTACCGCGGCAGTCCCCGAGTGCCACACGAGTTTTTTTTTTCAACCAAAAACTGCGCAGTTTTAATGCCAACGACCTCTGTGCTGTGGTGCATTAAAGTAATAGCTTCAGTCGTGCTTTTAGTATTGCTATTCGACAATAGAAATCGCGATCCTAAATTTATTAAATCGAGATTATTGCAATGAAAAGGAGAAGGTGAGTTTGCTTGCTTCGCTTTTGAGGTCATGACTCTTCAAGTCGACCGCCATTAAATTTTGTATACACGTCGTCGAATTGCCAGTCGATTTGTAGATCTGTTGCGACTCGGAATCACGAACAAACAAACTCACTGTCGAAGTTATTATATCGGGTATTATATTAAGTCGGGCATCGTTCGGATCACTAACCTATGTATTATCCGGGGTTAATTATTCACTTACTTGTATCGTCGTTTTGCTCATATAAAATCCATATATGTTTCGTCACACATGCCAAGTCCAGTGTGCTCAGTACAAGTTTTTTAACGTTTTCGATAGCGAAAAAGTTAACTCAAATCTGTAGGCAGTTGGAGCAGCGCCCGTAGCGGCAAACCTAGGCAAACGTTCCAACTTCGTACAAATTTGAGTTATCTTTTGTTAGAAGGTTCTATTTAAGGGGAATGGACTGGACTTATGTCAGTCTGAAGTTATGATGTGTATAAGCTCTGGAGACATAGCAACGGGCTTAAGAATCTATATATTAATACGTGAAGCAAAAGCTTTGTATCCCTTGTTACGAAAATTGCGTGGACGGAGGAGTATGAAATTTTCCACACTTATAGAGAATATGGAGAAGAAGTGCACCCTGCTAATATTTTTTTTAAATAATGCATAAAAGATACATTAAATCAATAAAGAAAACATTACACACACTAAATACCATGTATTTGACGCACACACGCATGCATAATATTTATTATCTAACTTTTGTTCTTGACGTCTGTTGTCAAATTGAGAATAGATTAAATATTGTTTATCTTTGTTAATATTTTTTATAGTGTAGTCTTGGCGAAATTTGTGGTTATAGAAGTATAAAATACAATCATAATAGTGTACAAACTTACAATTCCAATTAATTATAGTCGCTACTGCGGACCTCTAGTATAACTAAATCGAATAAAATAATTAAAAACGCCTTTGAAAATTCGATACTTGTTTATATCTTTCTAACTATTGATAATGGTTAATAAAAGTTAAAACAACACGAAGACAGTGTAGCGTCGTCGCTAATCAGCGCCATCTATAATTGATTAGCGAGAAACTTTAATGTCAGTCAGCGCTATCTGTCGGTGGGTAGGCGAATCTCGTGGACCGCCACCCACCTTTATATTTACGTTGTGAATGTCTATGGACTCCGGTAACCACTTAACACCAGGTGGGATGTGAGTCCGTCCACCGAACTATGCAATATAAAAAATCTATAACGAATTTATGCGTATTATGTATGCACACTGGTCCCTCAAGCGTGTACCCGTGACGCGTGTCTTCCGCATTTTTTTTTTAGTGCTTAGATGGGTGTACGAGCTCACAGCTCACCTGGTGTTAAGTGGTTACCGTCGGTTACACTACAACGTAAATGCGCCACCCACGTTGAGATATAAGTTCTAAGATCTCAGTATATACTTACAACGGCTGCCCCGCCCTCCAAACCGCATGCAACAGATATACGACAGCAACAACAAGCCGTCCCACGTGGTGGACGCCGCCGATCCGAACCGCTCCAACTGGATGCGGTACGTGAACTGCGCCAGACGCTGGACCGAACAGAATCTGGTTGCGTTCCAGTATCAAGGGCAGCTGTATTACAGGTACCTAGTCTAAGTTTCTTATCAAAAAAAATCGTCTATTTTTAATATAGGATTATCGAAGACCGGGCAAAGTGGAGGAGTTTTTTTTATATTTTTTTATTGCTTAGGTAGTTGCCGGAGCCCATACACATCTACAACGTAATGCCGCCATCCGCCTTGGGATATCAGTTCTAATGTCTGTTTTTACAGTACAGCGGCTGCCCCGCCCTTCAAACCGAAACGCGTTACTGCTTCACGGCAAAAATAGGCAGGGTGGCGGGTACCTACCCGTGCGGACTCACAAGACGTCCGTTTGTTTTTTCCGGGCCGGGGCCCGAACTTTCCGTGGGGTCCAGTGGGCACAAGGATGTTTTCAGGACCATACTCACTAAATAACTCCCCTGCACTCTTCGCCCAAGCGTCCGATCCCTTCTGAGGTCAGGACCCGGATGAGGTAAGGGGGTTACCGCGGTCAACACTACAACCAGAAGGCGTAGTTTATAAGTATACATGTTTCTATAGATTGTATCGCAGGTACGTTCGCATCGCTCGATACGATTACACCGGGCGTCTTGTCATTTGACCCGCGACGCTTTGAAACATAAAGACCGTATTGTACTAAAGCGATGTTTACAGAACGATAAAAATAATACCCCGCTTCACTGAGCTCATGGTGTTCTATGGTGGTGCATTCGCGAACATTCTTCACATTAACCTCAGCAAATACAACGCGCCCACAAATTACGCTCAGAAATTCGGTAAGCTCCTATTATTACTTTCAGTATAGGTGGAATCAGCTAAACCATTAATTAGGCTCACGTTTTTTCTCTACCTAATCCCGGATTGTCTAAGGCTGTCTTTCCCAAAGTGGGCGATAACGCCCCCTTGCAGGCCTAAAAGGGGGCGGTAAGAAACGTAGAAAAAAAGGGGGCGTTATGTAATTTCATCTAAGATGACTTAGACACTGACTGAGCTATCGGTATAGTGGTTTTTAAGTAGGTGAAAAAATGGGGGCGCTAAAAAATAATTTATTCTCAAAGTGGGCAGTAGTCAAAATAAGTTTGGGAGCCCCTGGTCTAAGGGGCAATTCCATCTACACTGTAGATGATCTCACGGTCTCAACTTAAGAAAACTTGCTAACACTGGCCCTAACAAGAGCAGTGCTTCGCAGAATCTACCACCGGATCGGAATCGCGACCCACTGAAATAATTTGGCGAGATACACAATGGGTTACAGCTCACAATGCACTTAGCGAGGCAAAAACCTTCTTCAAACGAGGCTTGTGGAGAGTTAATAGTAGGCAGCGGCTTGGCTCTGCCCCTGGCATTGCTGACGTCCATGGACGACGGTCACCACTCACCATCAGGTGGGCCGTATGCTCGTCTGCCTACAAGGGCAATAAAAAAAGAGCTAATTATACACCAAACAGTAGTGGCTTGGCTGTATCCGTCGCATTGTTGCAACTATTTGACATCTTATGCGATTATCCTATTATTTCTTCGAGGGTTTAAAGGAGATTTCGCTAAATACACGATGTTTATATTTGTAATTAAGGGTCCTTTTTATTTGGTATCAGAATAAAAAGTTTAATGTTTCTAATTGAAGCTTCAATTAAGTTTATTCCATTCAAACAGCTGAAGAAGTTTTTTCATTATGATTTGGCTCTTCGGCAAAGTTGCTAAAATTTGCTTAAAAAACCAATAGCTTTTCACGCCTCGATATTATGTAAAAAGCTATATCATTTAAAATTTCTGAAAATTGCAACTAATTAAGCCCGGAAAAAGATATAGGGAATTTTAGTATTTTATCATCGTCATGCATTTTCTGAGAACCGAGATGTGATCAAAGAGTAATTTGGTTTTGATAATAAATTTTCGGTAGGCAGCGGCTTGGCTCTGCCCCTGGCATTACTGAAGTCCATGGGCGACGGTAACCACTCACCATCAGGTGGGCCGTCTGTTTACAAGGGCAATAAAAAAAAAAAAAAAGATGTGCCCAAGCCGAGGTATATACTTAACACGTGGTGGATTGTTTGATTATTTGTTTATAAAGGTAGTGAAAAACATTATTTCAACGCAATTCTTTAGCTAAGAGTTCTTTGAAGGATGAAGACAATATTTTTAGTATTCTTGTCAATGGCAGTGGCTCTAAGGAACCACCTAATGGTGCATGGTTACCATCGCTTATGGACATCGCTAGTGCGGGCTAAATTGGAAAACACTCTTTTGTTACGTTAATACAATAACAAAATATTTGATTAGTGACTCCTAATTTACTACATAATTCTTTATGGAATCAAATTCAGGGAATAAATTGGTTTTAGGCGCGTCACCTCCAAAAAAAGTTAAAGCATCAAAAAAATTAGAAATAGCAGAAAGAACAAATAGAAAATCCCAGCAGACGGACATTTTTATTCCTGTGGATATCAACGAAAAGCCAAGTGTTGCAGTTGAAAAAAAAGTTTCCGAAAATATGAATTTGAACAATAATTCAATAAAATCAATTCAAAATTATAAAAATAAATCAAAAACCCTACGTGATTCAGTTAGTTATAATGACGACAATAGGAATTCTAAAGTTGATAATAAGTCGCTTACAGATAAAAATACTGAAATAAATCACGAATCTAAATTTGCGGATAAAACGAAATCTGACCTGAATAAGAAAAATGTAAAAGTTGAGAATAACGTGAATAGGGAAATATTTATATGTGATATTTGCAATTTTAAAATAGCTGAACGCCGCATGATAGAGAAACATATGACGCTTCATAATAAGGGTTATGTTTGTAAAGTACGTGATAAAAAAAATACAGAAAAAATCGACTTAAAAATACATCTAAATAAACCTTACAGTTGTGAAGTGTGTGATAAAAGTTTTACATATAAAAGTGACTTAGAGAGACATATAAGAATACATACCGGAGAAAAAAAACCTTACAGTTGTGACGTGTGTGATAAAAGTTTTACACAAAATGGTCATTTGAAGGAACATCTGAGAATACATACCGGAGAAAAACCTTACAGTTGTGAAGTGTGTGATAAAAGTTTTACACAAAAAAGTTCCTTAAACATACATCTAAGAATACATACCGGAGAAAAACCTTACATTTGTGAAGTGTGTGAGAAAAGTTTTACACGTAAAAGTATCTTAGAGACACATCTAAGAATACATACCGGAGAAAAACCTCCCAGTTGTGAGGTGTGTGATAAAAGTTTTACACAAAAAGGTTATTTGAAGGAACATCTAAGAATACATACCGGAGAAAAACCTTACAGTTGTGAAGTGTGTGATAAAAGTTTTACACATAAAAGTAACTTAAAGGGACATCTAAGAATACATACCGGAGAAAAACCTTACAGTTGTGAAGAGTGTGATAAAAGTTTTACACATAAAAGTTCCTTGAACATACATCTAAGAATACATGCCGGAGAAAAAAAACCTTACAGTTGTGACGTGTGTGAGAAAAGTTTTACACAAAAAAGTACCTTAAAGAGACATCTAAGAATACATACCGGAGAAAAACCTTACAGTTGTGAAGTGTGTGATAAAAGTTTTACACAAAAAAGTAACTTAATGGGACATCTAAGAATACATACCGGAGAAAAACCTTACAGTTGTGAAGTGTGTGATAAAAGTTTTACACAAAAAAGTAACTTAATGGGACATCTAAGAATACATACCGGAGAAAAACCTTACAGTCGTGACGTGTGTGACAAAAGTTTTACCCGCAAAGGCATCTTAAAAAATCATCTCGGAACACACCAAAAGAAAACCACGTAACTGAATAGACAATTCAAAGCTTCGCTAAGATTAAATTTTATAAGAACACCAGAACCAGACTGCGCAGTGTATAAGGAATATGTTCGTTTACGCATTCCATTGCTGCTTGCTCGTTCGATTTAGTACTGAAGTTTTCAAAATCACTTACCGCAAAATGGACTATCGTTTAACAATTCTTTGGTTGTTTGAATAGGAAACATCGCTATTTTGGTTTACTTTAAAAATGTTAGCACGCAAATTAGGCTAGGTTGTGCTTCTCGGGCGATAGGTATAGCGTCAGTAGCCTCATAGCTAAGGAGACCAGTTGTCTCGTTTAAAATGATGCGACTTTACCAAGGCTGTAATATACTAAAGACTATTAATATTAATATTTTTATTTTTTTAATTTTTTTATTGCTTAGATGGGTGGACGAGCTCACAGCCCACCTGGCGTTAAGTGGTTACTGGAGCCCATAGACATCTACAACGTAAATGCGCCACACACCTTGAGATATAAGTTGTAAGGTCTCAGTATAGTTACAACGGCTGCCCCACCCTTCAAACCGAAACGCATTACTGCTTCACGGCGGAAATAGGCGGGGTGGTGGTACCTACCCGTGCGGACTCCCAAGAGGTCCTACCACCAGTGATTACGCAAATTATAATTTTGCGGGTTTGATTTTTATTACACGATGTTATTCCTTCACCGTGGTAGTCAATCGTGAACATTTGTTGAGTACGTATTTCATTAGAAAAATTGGTACCCGCCTGCGGGATTCGAACACCGGTGCATCGCTTCATACGAATGCACCGGACGTCTTATCCTTTAGGCCACGACGACTTCAAAAGTCAAAAGTTGTCTCGTTTAAAATGATGCGACTTTACCAAGGCTGTAATATACTAAAGACTATTAATATTTATATCCTACTAGCTGACCCGGTAGACTTCGTAGTGCCTCAATCGATAAATAAAATACATTAACTTTTGTATAAAAAAATAAACTTAAAACAAACAAACGGAATCGGTCCGACGGGCAACACATCAGAGGATAAACAAAATTTATTGAATTCTGAGCTTTTTCATATTTATCTACCTTTTAAACCTTCTCAGGACTTCCACAAATAATTCAAGTAAAGGCCTCCTCCAATGATAACCACTTCTCTCTATCCTATGCTAATTGCCACCACTCTGGGCCGGCTGCTTTTTTTATTTCGTTCTCCCAGCGTGTCGAGGGCATTCCTCTCTTGCTTTTTATTTAAGGTCCTCTCCTTGAGGTGGTTCTGTAGGTCCATCTTTTATCTCTTAGCCTCACTATATGACCGGCCCATTTCCGCCTTAGCTTTTGGGCGTAGCTTAAGGCATTATTAGCTTTTGTTATTTCTCTTATCTTTACGTGTCTGATCTTATCTAGTTTTTTATTCTGAGCATGTTTCTCTCCATTCCTCGTTGACAAGATGTTATTTTTTGGTTAACTTTTTACGTAAATTTCCATGTTTGATATCCATATGTCAATAAAGCAGCGATAATATTACGAATAAAAAAAATATTACGTACCACCACCAGTTTGTTGCCAGAAGGCAAATCTAAATAAGAACTTGTCTTTTAATATCACCACCGTCCAGTCTATTTATGCCGCGTATATAAATGACACTATTAGTAAATCCCAACCCTTCTGGCTGAGCTTTCACTCGCCCTGGCGAAACCTCCAAGCCACAAGTAATGCTTACTTCCACAAAAAAAAAAAATTGTTGTTTGTGAGTCCGCGCGGGTGGGTACCACCACCCTGCCTATTTCTGCCGTGAAGCAGTAATGCGTTTCGGTTTGAAGGGTGGGGCAGCCGTTGTAACTATACTTGAGACCTTAGAACTTCTATCTCAAGGTGGGTGGCGCATTTACGTTGTGGATGTCTATGGGCTCCAGTAACCGCTCTGTTTATAATTAAATTTTTTAGGAATTTTCAAATTTGCCGAATGTTTCTTGATCTTTTTAATATCCGTTACTGGTAAATAAGTTATTTTCCATTAATGTATTGTTTAATAAAAATGTTTTTTGCCTTTTTGTATTATCGTTTTTTTTGTGTCTCAGCCATATCTCGGCATTATGGGAATACATTGTAGTTTTAACTATTTTTTAAATGTATTTATTACGAATTCGATCATTTCCTTTTTATTTTTAGAATTTTTACAACAATTTCAAAGTCCTTAAAATATTGTAATGTTAGATTAATTACATTTTAGGCACCTCGGAAACTTTTGTTTTCCTAACTTGGCAGTATTATAGGTTTTTTTTTTCGTTTCGACAAGAACAATATGGTTTTGATTTTTTATTTTATTAAACAAATTTATTGTAACAATTTTTACAGTTGATTTTTAGTTTAAGAAATTTGTATAATTAGATATCTTTAGTAATAAATTTATTACGCTTCGATCTGTCTCCATTTATTGGTCTCCTTGTGTAAAGTTAGACTGTATTATTTTTCTTTCTTTTTCCAAGCACAGGCAAAGCGTTAATGATTCGCCATTCAACTTTTTGAAGTGACACTTCTTTAGAATCGTTGCGATTTCAAACTCGATGAAACGAAAAAATAAGTCCATAGAGACACGAACATAAATGGATAGGATTCAGCCGGCGAGAGAATGAGATAGAACACATTAGACGTTCTCGGTCTCCTCTTTGTGCGACTCTTCGTAGCATCCCCACTACCGTCTACTAAACATTGTCCATATCGACGCTTGAAAGGTAAACGTGACTAAGCGACAATAACTGCTTTGTACATAAATGATAGGCAATAACCGTATTCTATGCGCAAAAAAATATATTTCTAGGTCTATTAAAATCATTTCAATTCTACAGCTACTAGCTAGATTCTACTACAGCTAGATTCGTTAAAAAAAATCTTTTCCACGTATTTCAACTTTAAATTAGTCTACTGTAAAGTTCACGCATTGTCGCTTAGTCATGTTTGCCTTTCAAGCGTCGATATGTATGCTCCTGTGTAGTGGGATAGTGAGTATATCTATATCTATATCTTATTTATAAGTTTCACTTCTACCGTGTGTGACTTGCATACACACACACTTTTTTTTTAAAGTACATAGTATTTAGGTCCTTTCAGATAACCTCTCAACGTCCCATTTATAGATACGTGAGCTTAGTAGTAACTCATTTCCAATTCCATTGCTTTAATATGAAATACATATAATCTCAATCATAATGTCAGATATTCTTTAAATGGGAAGGTAAACCAATTTAATGTCAGTGAAGCACTGCCCTTGCTAGAAGATAGTGTCAGAAAGGCATAGTCACGGCATTCTCGCATTCATAGGCATTCTCTAAGGCATAGTCACGTAAACTCGCCTACCAAATAAAAATAAATAAATAAATATATGCAAATGGAATGAAAAATGACAATCATACATGAAGATTACTGGAGATTCGCGCAGATTAAGCAGTTTGAAGTCGTCGTGGCCTAAAGGATAAGACGTCCGATGCATTCGTATCTAGCGATGCAACGGTGTTCGAATCCTGCAGGCGGGTACCAATTTTTCTAATGAAATAAGTAGGTACCAAATGCTCACGATTGACTTCCACGGTGAATTAATAAAATGAAACCCGCTAAATTTATAATTTGGGTAATTACTGATGGTAGGACCTCGCGTAAGTCCGCGCGGGTAGGTACCAAATCCTTGCCTATTTCTACCGTGAAGCAGTAATGCGTTTTGGTTTGAAGGGTGGGGCAGCCGTTGTAACTGTACTTGAGACCTTAGAACTTATATCTCAAGGTGGGTGGCGCATTCACGTTGTAGATGTCTATGGGCTCCAGTAACCCCTTAACACCAGGTGGGCTGTGAGCTCGTCCACCTTTCTAAGCAATAAGTTTTTTTAAATGAAATGAAGTTATGCACCTACCACAGGATTATCTACACCACCCTTGGTTGACTGGTAGAGAATGCCTCAGGCATTAAGTACGCTATTGTACTTCTGTACATAAAGTTAAATAAAAAAAAATTAAATATAATCTCAGTAAAATGGTGGTCATTTACTGAGACTTTTTCAGTTAACTTTTTGGAGGATCCCGAAAAGTGACGTTCAGCGGCATTGTTTCATTTTCCCACATTTGTGCATTTTCACAGATATTAAACAGTTAATAAACCACCGTTATTCCACATTTACACCTGAAGAAACACTAAATAGACAAAATAAAACAAATCACACAACTTCACTACTCGCGTTCTCGCCAAAGAAGTCTACCAGCATACTGTGGTCTTAATGTGGCGAGCTTTTGAGGTTATTATTGCTAGCTCAAGTTCTGGTTTTGAAGATAAGCTAAATTCCAATCCGACTCGGACCTCACATCTCAATTCACCTTTACGAGCCGGACAAGATTCTACCCATTTTAACCTTTAAAAATTTGAATAGGTTAAAGATGCTGTGGCATATTCATTACAGCAAAATTAATCTAAAGGGATGAGGGTTCCGTATATATCTGATAGGAAAACATTAATGAACAGCATTTTATTCAAAGATTGTATCCAATGAGTAAAACATTGAACACCCAATTGAATCGTCATCAAACTTACACGTTAATTTTCTCACTATAATCCAAGGGCGGATCCAGCTTTGTTGCCAGGAGGGGGTCACATAGTCATGGTCAAGTCAAGAACTTATAATTGAATTTTGATAACAATAGATACAAGTAAAAAGTAGGTATTTTATTATAAGCACATTAAAGGTATAAGAACATTAAAGGTATAAAGAAATTTTAGTTTTTTAACTTAGAACTATATTATAATATGTTGAAGTTTAGTCGTTCCGATTCCGATTGAGGTTAGGATTCAATTTGAGGTTAGGCCTAGCTAGACGTTACGTAGTCGATAAGCGCGCGCGAGTGTGGCACGGTAAAATTCAAATTTTCGATGCGTTCGTTCCCAAACATTTGCCATCATACAAAGTTATTATATTATATTAAATTAATTAAGGAGCAATATAAGGAGCAACAATATACCTAGTCTCGCCATAAATACTGAAACCAAGGAAAAAAAAATTCTATAGCAAATAACATTTATTACTTTTACAGTGTGTTAGTTTAATACATAAATATAAAACAATTTAAAGTATAAAAAGCTTATTCGGAGTGGTCTCCATTGGCTGCAATACAGTCCTTTAAATGTTGAGGCCAGTTATCAATAGAAGCACGCACTCTTTCTATGGGAAAATTTTTCACTGCTAATCGTGCGGATTGTTTTAGGGACTCCAAATTATCATGGCGTTTAGAGCAAGCCGTACTCTCTAAAACTGACCATAAATCATAATCCAGCGGATTAAGATCGGGACTAGACGACGGCCAGTCTTCAGCTCTGATGTAGTCCGAAACGTTCGTTTCCAACCAAGACTGCGTAGACCGAGCTTTATGACCTGGCGCCGAGTTTTTGCTGGAAGGACCATTCTTGATTATTGAACATGGTGTTGTTAAGGGGCTTCACTACCTTCTCAAGATTGGTATCTTGATACACTTGTGCCGATGTTTTGATACCTTTTTCACAAAAGTATGGCTCAGTCACTCCTTCATAGCTAATACCCCACCAAACCATCACTGAAGTCGGATAGTGCCCACGTTGCACTCTGTCGACTAATTGGGAATCTTCCTTAGAGCTTTGAGCATAAATACGGTCATTTTGTTTGTTAAAATGTTGCTTAATTGTAAAAAAATTCTCATCCGTAAACAAAAATTTTCTATGACCTCCCTTTACCTACCGTTGCAGTAGTTGTTTCGATTTTACCACCCTATTCTCTTTTAAACTATCAGTTTAGAAATTACCACTAGGTCTCTTAAAGGCTGCAAGTCTTAAGTCATCTTTTAAAATATGCGACATGGTTCTAGGTGCTATCTTCATCTCCAGAGATAAAAATTTTTGCTTTCGGACAGGATTTCTTCGAATTCTTTCCCTTACTGCTTTGACCACCTTTTTCGTACGAACACTACGTGGACGGCTAGATATTTTTCTGTCACAAACAGAGGAGGTCTCATTGCATCTATTAATAGCCGGGTACACAAACATTTTACTAATACCAAGCGTATGGAGAGTTTTAAAAATTGCATTTGGCTCCATACCTACTTTGCGTAATGCAATCACAGCGATTCGCTTTTCCTTATCACCCCACTCCATTTTAATATCGCAAAATATTGTACAATGTATTGGCGCCAGAATGAGAAAACAATGAGAGCAATCATATAAAAATGATAGATTCCAAATTCAAATGTAATATTTTGTTTATTTTTAATTGTAACAGTATTTATGGCCAGACTAAGTATTGTGTCCTTAAATCATTATGTTCAATATGTGGTCCACCTAGGTCCTGGAACCAGCTCAGGGGGGGTCATGACCCCCATGACCCCCCCCCCTGGATCCGCCCTTGCTATAATCCCACTTAACGATGGTAATATCTAGCAATGAAATCTATTTGAGGAAAGGCTTTTTGAAAAACGTATTGAATTATAAAAAGTTCTAAAGTTGACATTGCAACTTATCGGAGTGACAAATTTAATTATGAAGTTCGTGGATTCAAGGCAGGAATTTTATGGTTTTCGCGCTTACGGATGCGTTGAGTATGTCTTGATGATGTGCAGATGTTGGGAGCAGACCGCGGGCCCTAAGATGTATGGAAGGCCCGAGCCACCAAACAACTCTCCTTGCACTCTCTTACTCGACGTCCGATTTCCCACTGTGTTCAAAAACCGTCTCTCTAGGCAATCTTATTCATAATCGGATTCTACAACGGAACCTTTAAATATGTACTATAACTATAAAGTACTCTGTGTCTGTAAATATACTTTCGTTATCTCAATTACCAGGCTACTTTTTGTGCTATATTGTAATTTTGGCTGTATATTATTATTATCCTATGCCCAGTCGAGACAAAAATGACAAGTAAACATAACCTATAAAATTTGAAATGGGCAGTATGTACATTTCACAAATTTTCATAACATTATTTATATTTTAGTTATTTTTTAAAATGTCTGAGTTTTACATAGACTACGTGTGCCCTAAAGACGAGACGGAAAGGCATCCTGTGATCTTTAATTTTCAAAACGGCTACATAACGGATAATTTTAAGGACACGGAATGCACTATATTAAGAGATGAAATTACAAGCAAAAGGAACGTTGCTCTGGAGGTCTGCGACACTCTATACGTCGGAGCGGAAGAACAAGAGGAGCTAGGCAAAACAATAATAATGGCGCGAAACAAAAAAACAGGGAAAGTTCGAATCATCGAAGTAGGTACTGTCGACTTAAAACCCTATTTGAAAGTCGATTTAGACAATTCACAGCTGATGGAAACGTCGAACTTGGATCTCAGTCGAAAATTCGGATCGAAAAAACATAAAAAAATCATGGAGCAAAGAGAAAAGTTGAAAGTTAATGTGCAAACAGTAACTGATCAAATGCAGAATGTTAGTCAAAACATTTCAGAGGACCAACTCGATCTGTCGAACTACAACAAAACGGATGAAAACTTCTACGTGCCTCCCATCGACAGGGAAGCCAAAAGCGTGGAACAGGTTTACGACCTAGACAAAATATTAACAGAAGACATGTTTCAAAAGGTTTATGAGGAAATGGAAAACACTGATTATATGAGTAATTTTAATGAATTTCTGAAAACGATTGTCAGTGAAAATATGCCTAAAAAGCATTTGGTCTTAGCTCTGTATGCAAATTCATTATTAAACATGTATGGAACGCTGATGAAAGATATCACGAAGAAGACCTATGTTGCCTGTCCTCACTCCGCATCATTGAACGACCATATACTAAAAAATTTCCTCAGCATCTCTAACAATAGGAAATTACGTACCCCCCAAATGAAGGATAAGTCTCTATGTCACGCCCTAGTCTTTGTATTGTTAATAAATAAATACAAATTCAATTTAGAAGATTTATGTAAGCAATTGAAGTTCACATCTAGAGTGGTAGCTACAAAAGTATCTGTCACAGGAGCGAGTATAATCACAGAAGGTAACAAGAAGGTCGTTCAATTGAAACTACCGATCAGCAAGCCAGCATTGAGAAGACGTAGCAATAAGTTTTAAATAAAAGTGAAATTTTAATTGCGGCTGTTTTATTTCGTTGCATTCTGAAATTAGTCGCGTGCTATGTCTTGAAGTCGCCATGGCCTAAACGATAAGACGTCCGTTGCATTCGTATCTAGCGATGCACCGGTGTTCAAATCTCGCTGGCGGGTACCAATTTTTCTAATGAAATACTTACTTAACAAATGTTCACGATCGAGTTCCACGGTGAAGGAATAACATCGTGTAATAAGAATCAAACCCGCAAAATTATAATTTGCGTAATTACTGGTGGTAGGACCTTTTGTAAGTCCGCGCGGGTACGTACCACCGCCCTGCCTATTTCTGCGGTGAAGCAGTAATGCGTTTCGGTTTGAAAGGTGAAGCAGCCATTGTAGCTATACTGAGACCTTAGAATTTATATCTCAAGGTGTGTGGCGCATTTACGTTGTAGATGTCTATGGGCTCCAGTAACCACTTAACACCAGGTGGGCTGTGAGCTTGTCCACACATCTAAGTAATAAAAAATAAAAGTGATTTGAAGTAGTATTTTTTTTCCCTTCCTCTTCATTGGTAGATTATTTCAACTACACTTGGACGGGTAGGTGAGCTCACGGGCTCAACCTGAGAGAATTGCTAACACTTGTCCTAGCAAGGCAGTGCTTCGCTGAATCTACCACCTGATCGGACTCGCGGCCACTGAGAAGATCCGGCGAGAAACTCTGGGTTGATTTCAGGTTTTTTTTTTTTTTTTTTTTTTTTTTTTTTTTTTTTTTTTTTTTTTTTTTTTTTTTTTTTTTTTTTTTTTTTTTTTTTTTTTTCCTACCTAAGCTGAGAGCCTTGAGAGGCTATGTCAGCGTAACCCTAACTTTTGTAGGTGAGCTCACGGGGCTCAAACCTGATGACGTTGCTAACACGAACCCTAGCAAGAGCCGTGCTTCGCAGAATCTACCACCGGATCGGAAACGCGACCCACTGAGAAGATCCGGCGAGAAACTCAGTGGGCTGTGTCTGGGAGTTAATTTACTCGTCGAGCCCTTCGTCGCAAGCGACGGGTTCGACGAGAACGGTGACCGGTGCTTGAAGTACCTAGAAGCACCGTTAGTGGATCGGGAGGATCCGAGATGACGTGTAATTTCAGGTAGTATAGGTAGTGTCTTTTATATGACTAGAATTCAAAAAGTAACAGCGCCATCTATCTAACACTATTGTAATTGAGCGTGGTTACTGAGTTTTAACGAAAAAGGTTTTTTTTTACATATGCCCCGTGTGATTAAGATCTATTTATTTTATCTAAAATCAATTTATTGTTTATTGAAATTAAATCTGCTTATATTAAAGAGAATGTTCGCCTAAAACTAAAATCGTTAGATCAATTGTTAAGAAAGTGCAAACATACAAAGTCACATGACCACCCGACGAACGTGGTTACTTTAGTGCAAGGTAGGTGGCGCTGATGGCTGTGATTTTTATCGTTTGAGCCAAAAGTCGAATGGGAAATCTGTATAGCGAGGACTAAAAGGCTATTTTGGTTTAGGCAACATTTTTGCAACTTAACCGGAGTGCCATATAAAGTTTGAAATTTGGAAAAAAATCATAACAAAAAAACCTTGAGCTATTGAATGGAGCTTCAGCTAATTGAAGTTCAATTAAAAACATCGAACTGTTGATACTGATATCAAGTAACACGCTATCATATATGTCAAATAACTAGTCCGATAAAGATCAGAGTGTTCCAGAAGGAAAATAATTTCTCACTACATGTATACTTCAAAATGGAGGCTCAGCTGTGTGCTTAGTGCCAGTTTTTTAACTTCTCGGTCGCATAATAGTTAACTCAAATGTGTATGGAGTCTATGGAGTTTTTTTTTTTTTTTATTGCCTTTGTAGGCAGACGAGCATACGGCCCACCTGATGGTAAGTGGTCACCGTCGCTCATGGACGTCAGCAGTGCCAGGGGCAGAGCCAANTTTAACTTCTCGGTCGCATAATAGTTAACTCAAATGTGTATGGAGTCTATGGAGTTTTTTTTTTTTTTTATTGCCTTTGTAGGCAGACGAGCATACGGCCCACCTGATGGTAAGTGGTCACCGTCGCTCATGGACGTCAGCAGTGCCAGGGGCAGAGCCAATCCGCTGCCTACCATAAAGAACTCTCCGCAAGCCTCGTTTGAAGAAGGACATGTCATAGCGCTCGGAAAACACCGTGGAGGGGAGTTCATTCCAAAGCCGGATGGTACGTGGCAAAAAAGATCTTTGGAAACGCACTGTCGATGAACGCAGCGGTTCCAGATAATATGGATGAACTCTGCTCCGATATGGATGAACTCTGCTCCGAGTTGGAACAGCGTCCCTACGTTTGCCGCTAGCGCACATAAAAAATACAACTCCCCCAATAATTGGGAAGCTACGCGTAAAAGCTAGATAAATTCAAAAGGAAAAATATAAAATATGAAATAAAACGCAAATTCAACAATAATATTTAATTTTAATTCCACATAAAAATACATTTAAAATTCGGTTAAAAGCGTCTACAAATAAACATAGTTCATAAAATAATGTTTTTAATTCTTAATTCCGTTAATATGACCAAATCGGTATTAAATATTTATTTATTTTTAAAATTACGTACGTACAAATCACACTTTTACAAATTTGTATTATGTAATAACATGATGCTTTGAAAATTGTCAAAATTAAATACAATTTCAAACAATATTTCGTATTTACCATTGTTATGTATTGACAGAAATATCTAGAAACATATTATCAAGTTATATGTATTTTTTTAATAAATTAATTTAAAATCAAATTTACCTCTTTGACGTTGCTTGCGATTACTTAAAAAAACCAGTCCGTTTTTTAATATAGTTGAACCAAAACGAATCTAACACTATTAATTCGGCATTGTAATTATGTTACTAGACATACATATTAAGTAGGTGCAAATAAAACTAAATTTTAATAGTTTTATCCGGAGTTTTTGAAGTGAAACTTCTTTAGGCGCATGAGGGTAAATTTTTTACAGATGTAACGTCACGCAGGTATGCAACGGAAGTGTCGAAAAATTTTAATACAGCGCCATCTATGAGATTTTTTAATACTAATGTGTGCATGAAACCTCTTGTAGTGAATTTCAATTTAGGATTATACGTGACGGTTAAAATATCGATTCACAGAGGACGCTCCTCATACTATAACAGATGATTTACAATTATTTACTAATGACAAAATTTTACATATACTTAGACATTTAGGATAATTGTATTTTAAGTTTTGAAGGTTTCACTTCTAACACGTGTGAATTGCACGCGTTTCTTTTTTTATTGTTACTGCATTTTATTTCAATGCCCGTGTCCTCGAATTAAGTAGACACTTAAAGACACTGGAGTAGCAAAGAAATATCTTTGTTTCCGAAATCGATTTGAATACCCAATACAGAATTAGTAAAGCCACTGTTAAAATAGATAGGTACATTCTGTCTCACAAAGTTCACCCGTAAGTGAGTCGTCTATTATCAAAGGTGGCAATCTGTGCATTTGGACAAAAAAATGTTATTGATATGTCAATACAGATTGATTTGAATATAATCGTCTCCTTCAAAGAATACAGTTCAAAACCTGCATTAAATAAAGGTTAATACTTAACCTGTTATTTATCTAAGATGTCGTTCAGCAGAGTTTTGTGACTGCCAAGGGAATACAAAGTCAATAATTCGTTTTTCTGATTTACCAATAATTTTCCAAAAGTCACATTGCCGGCTTTGATAATAGTCGACTCAAGTCACAAAAAACGGAATTAAGAACCAATAAAGGTTTTTTTTTGTTGTTAAAATGGACAAGTGAATACAAATAACGCTTCATGTTTTCAGTTTCTGCCACGTTATGATGAATTCGTTAGGTTGACGCACGCTTCCCTCCAAAAGCAAAACACTTTCAAACGACAAAATCCAAAATGGAGGAAAATTTTCGAGTTTCGACAACAATTAAAGCAAGCGCAAAAATATTATAAGGATCAATAACGCTGCACTAATCAAGCACCATTTTATAATATTGAATTATTTAGAACATCGAAATTCATTAAGACACTTGACTATAAGCGCACTACCTAGTTTTTGTTCCTCTAAATGCCAAGCTGGTTGGATTCCCGCGTACGGAACTAATACTGAATCAATTGACTGTGATATATTCAAACGATCGACCAATAAACTAATTAATTATCTAAAACATTTTTGTGAAAGAGCACTAGAATAATAATTATAAGTGTCGTTCGTATATATAATTTTAAGGTCGGGTATTATTTTACATTTGAATTGATTAAAATAGAATTGATTGACTGTATCAACTTCATTGCACGCGCAGTAACGAACTTTTCGAAAAATTGTTTTGCTAAAATTTATATTCAAAGGCAAAGGGTTCGTGAACAAAGTGCTTAAAAATAAACATTGACTTCTTTTTTTTTTTCGCTAAAGACAAACGTTTCTTCATCAGTGTGGATTATTTAGGCAACGTACACGTGAATAGTGTGAATAATGAATCATTAAAAGGTTCGTGTTCGTAGAGATGGATAGCCGGAGCGACTAAATCGGAGCTAGTGTTCTTCGAAAAGTTCACTGAGACTTCTTCGAAAAGCCCACTAAGACTACTCCTAAATTCCCGCCAATTTACTGACGAATATCCTTGAAGATTATCCGAACTAAGATAAGCTAGAACTATTTAAAACTTTCACGTTTATCTTAATTTTAATCACAACTATTTCGCGGGTTAAGCTTACCTCTATTTTTAATTTTGACGAGCCCCCGATATTTTTGCGGTGTTGCTAGTGCATTATAGTTACACACCCAAAAACGGACTAGAACCAGTATAGACCCGTGGTCACGGCAACAGCTTCAAAATATCGGAAACTCATTGTAGCTAGCAATAATGTTTACAAGCTAAAATGTCGAGTGACCGACGGCCGTAATCGTTACAAAAATCAAAGCCGATTGCCATGATAAAAAAACACTAATACCTATTAATTAATCCGCTTAAACTAGATCCTCACGCTTGCAAGATAACCAACCGAACCGAATGGTATCCATTCTAAGGCCTCAATTATCACATTTCCCAAAGAGACCAAGTATTAAGTAGTTTAAAAAAAAAAGCTTTTATTGAAAACAAATATTCAAGAACAAAATATTTATTATTCAAAATCATAAAAACAATATAAAATATTGAAAAACAAAAAAAAGAGGATAATCATAACCATTTACCGTACAACGCTGCCATATTTTATAAGCTACAATAAAAAAAAAATTGAATGTTCTGTATAATGATTTTAAAATATATAAATATTCCTACATCTAGCTTTATATTCCTAGTGAGGTGACACACAGTTATGACAGATGTCACGCACGTCAGAATAAGACACGATCATTTCAGAATAAGGATGTTCCCCTCTGTTTTTTTTTTTGAGTGGCAAATTTTTAATTCTATAAATTTTGCAATAACAAATTTATTAGATTGAATATCTTTATTATTTCTGATTATTTGTTTCTTTAATTTCTTCTGTTGTTATTTTTTTTACAGAAAAAACATAATTATATGAATTCTGAATTAAATTTAAATTAATTATTCAATGTAGGACAGAGAATTTTTGGTAGCGTCACAACACGCAACTGAACAATAATGAAGCGACAATTATTTTTATTTATTGCATTTATCTAAGGTATCAGTATAGTTACAAAGGCTGCCCCGCCCTTCAAACCGAAACGCATTACTGCTTCACGGCAGAAATAGGCGGGGCGGTGGTACCTACCCGTGCGGACTCACAAGACGTCCTACCACCAGTAAAATTGATTACAAATTCGTCGAATGTGATAATAATGTAACAACCAAAAAAAAAATTTTGAAGACATGAGTGGATTGGGTAATTGGGTACCATTATTAAGATTTTTGAGTTTTTATATTGAATTAAGGTGTTATGTGCTTACAAACCATAGTAACCATAGTAGACCTTAAAACTCAGGGTTTAAAGGCTATTTTTAGAAATTGCATATGATGAAGGAGTTATATACGAAGAAAAAGTACAAATAACAAAAGCTTGTTGCCAATTTTCTCAAAATTAACAAATTGTATCATACATATCTCCTTCATCCACTCATGTCTTCAATTATGTTTGCAGACAAAACAAACCGCGTTATAGGACATGCCTCAGTTATATTGACCTCAAATGACGTCATAACATTGGACGGCACGTTCGGCTGGTTTTGTATGGAAAATTCAAAAATAATATTTGCCCAGTTCATTAGTGTTAAGTTATAATTGTCAAGAAACGTTCCCAGTGGCTTGGGTTCGAAACCGCGGATGCTATTTATCAAAATTAAAGGCGATAAATACTTTCATCGGTAAAAAAAAAACTCAAATGCAAATTAAAAAAATACAACATAATTATTTTTTATTTTAACCATGATCACCCAAAGGTTTTCAGAAATATTAATTCGTCAACGGTACAATGAATTTACAAATATAAATATGTACACTTTATATTTATATATTGAATTAATAAACATTTCTCTATGCGAGATCAAAAAAATTAACTTTTTCAGTTTTGTCAAAAAAAATAAAAAAATTCTATATATTTTTTTAATTATTTAGTTACATACATATCTAAGTAATTATTACTCCATTCATTACTTATTAAACAAAAATAAAGGTACACCAAGTTTGCTTTAAGATGAAAAAAAGCATTTTGGGTGAATTCTATTTGACCACAAAAAACAGGAAGAAAAAGTATGAATTAAAAAAAAATACAAAACATTTCGTTTCGTTGGTATTAAAAACAAAAATCTCAACACAAAATATAAAATGGCACAAGAAACTAATTTAAAACATATTTCATTCATTTAAAATCATATAACAAATAAATGAACATACCATTTTTTTATAAATCTTTTCATTCACATTCATTTTAATGTCGATCCGAACAAAAAAAAATGCATTGAGAAAATGTCAATTATTGGAAATCGATAGAATTGTAAGAACGTATGTATGTATACTATGGCACAATAAAAAAAAAAACTTAAAAACACACCATAAACTAAACATTAACCCACTGTTATAAAAGACGCTAAAGTATGGGTTTTCATAAAAATCTCAAAGTTCACATTAAACAGTGTTCTATGTAATAGTGAAAAATAATGTTTTCATTATTAAAACATTATTACAAGCGCAAGAGAATGTTATGTAACGCCGCCATTTCTAAGCATTTGATAACCTAAACACACTGCAGCATCGGAAGGGAAAAATAAATATTCGTATAAAAAAATCGGAGGATACATGTGCTAAAATGTTGGGATTATCGGAACATTTCAAGTTTCAAACAATTACATATATATTATTACGATTAAAACAGATTTATGTAAATAAATAAAAGGAACTTTTATGTGGATTATTATTTAAAATAAACGAGCTGAAGATGCGAATGTATTATAGCAAGATTCCTGGACATAACGTCCGAAATACTTGAAGAAATGTTTTTAAATGATATAATATTGAAGACAGCTGAAAAAGGAGGCAAATAGTTTATGTTTGAAAAAATACGGGTGACGCGTAAGTCAGCCATTTTGAATTTGCTCCATAAAATCTATTTAAAATAGTCCGATGAATTTTTATAATTAAGAAACAATGGTGATTAAGAAAAATAAATGAGTTAAGTATGTAATTAAAGTAGAATTAAGTAATTATAGAAACGATCAATTATTGCTAATTTTTCATTGTGATAGTGTAGCTTAGAATATAATACGTAAAATTAGATACTCGATAAAATAAATTGTATAAATACAAATATTAAAATATAAAATATAAGAAACAGTTTGCTTAATTTTTATAATATAATATAAAATACTAAGATTCCCAAATATAGAGGTGCCGATGACTAAAGCGATGTGACATTTAAAAATATTAAAACGAATCAATTGTCTTATGTCTACATGACGTGTTTGCTACAAATAGATTGAATGAAATCATAAGCAACTTTAACGATTTTCAAGTTAATTTATAATTATAAGGCAGCACGAAAATGCTCTGTAACTACAAATCTAATTCCACTTTATAATCCGTCAATTGTTTAATTATAATCATAAAAGCTGAATAGAACTTATTGGCGCGCTGATCTATAGTCCGACCGATGAGAGAATATATTCTTGACAGATCGCCCAATTTTTGATTACGTAAACTGATAAGACGTAAGTTATATATTAGTTTTTGTCTCATTCGTTTGCGTGCAGATATATATAGGCACGTCTCTTTCCCGTAGAACGACAAATATTTCGACTCTCAATTTATAGGCTAAAGGTATTTTCCAAATAAAATGCATTATTTAATTTACAAGGCTAACTATGAATGCAGACAAAGGCACCGACATAGAATGCTTTATGAGGTTACGTCATTTCGCCTCAAGCGTTGGGAAGCAATGTACAGACGTGGGGAGCGCGCGCGGACGTTGAACCGACACGACGTTTTCACGTTACATTGCGTGCTACCTATTCAACACGTGACTGTGTTTAAAATAGTTAGTGTTCATTGCGTATGTACGTAATAAGTACGCGTAAAATCCTAAATTTATTCTAAAAAAACTACATGTATATTAATTTCTTTTTGTCAATTTCATTGCGGTTTTTTGTCATCTGAAAAAAAAAGGAGGAGTTATATTTAGAAATTTTACGATCTACGAAACCAGGAATATTTTATTAATATCTCTGTCGGCAATGGTAAGGCTTATAGTAATAAAATCGAAACTAAAAAATTGTAATTATTCAATTAACTTTTTATTTCGAAATTTTATTTTATTATATTTTATACTCGAGACGCGAGTTCTTAGGTCCCATACTGTTTAGAAAGTGATAACTACCCTACAGTTTTATTATTACTACCCTACTTTTTTTTTCTACCTAACGGCCTGGCCACGGGGATCGGCGGTGCGAACGACGAAGCGGCGGATGAGGCGACCATTCGCGCAGCACCGTTTGCAGGCCACGGGTAGCCACGTTCGCCGCCGCGACTAGCAAGGAAGTCCGACAGCGAAATGTCTATATCGAAATTATCTCGATATTGCTTAGAAAGTGATCGTTTTTTAGTTCAAGACCTATTATTTGGAAGAGATTGTGGAGTACATGATTTGAATAAGAATCGGAGTATAGATGGAGAATTCCACAAGAAGCACGAGAAATACAGAATGTATCCAGAAACATTTTGGCTGCTTTGAGTGGCTAGACTTCCAAATAGCTCGTCTAAGTAGTATATCAGCAATAAAAATGTCGGTGTTCAGTTTTCGCGGCAAAAACAACTAAACTCATTTAATCACTGTACTATTCGCCGCGACTACCGCTCGACTCCGTGGCTTGCACCGTCCTTATTCATGCATTTGTTTTGCTCGCCCGCCGCATCGTAAGTCGCCCGCGCTCGGTACATTTCGCCGGTCGCTTGTGCGCGTGGCTTCATAAGTACATTTCTATGCGCTTATTTTAGTCGCTAGACGCTTCGCCGGTCGTACCGCGCGAATATTCGTATCGGCGAATGTCCCGTGGCCAGGCTGTAAGCTGGTAGCCTTTAGAAACTATGCCAGCGTAACCGAACGAACGGCACTCTAACCTGAGGACGCTGCTAACACTGGCCCTAGCAATCTTGCTGAATCTTTTACTGGGGGTAGGTACCACCGCCCTGCCTATTTCTGCCGTGAAGCTGTAATGCGGGTTGAACAATACTGAGACCTTAAAATTCATTTCTCAAGGTGGGTGGCATTTGTACATGGCTTCGGTAGCCACTTAACACCAGGAGGACTATGAGGTCTTCCACCTATATATGTAATAAATAAAAAGTCTACCACCGGATCGGAAGCGTACTCACCTCACTTCAAGCACATGTCACTGTAAATGTCGAACTCGTCCGATTGATTGTCCGGTTCGTAGGCCCGGATCTGCTCGAACAAGTCGCTATTCATTAGGCTGTCCACCTGAATGGGCGTAGATTCCCCGAAATAACTGCCCGTCCGGCCATTTCGTTTATAGTCGGTTTTTTTAATGTATCCGCCGCGTAGGTACGTCGTACGATCGGGAATTTGAAAGAGAAAATGCAACACGTTAGAAGATCGGACGGTCGTTGTTGAGAATTGAGATAAAAAAGAAATGTATGTATATATAAGACAGAAATAAATAAGATTGAAAATGAACAAATAAAAGTAAAAAAATGTCATGTTTTCATAACCACGCCCGAAATGGCAGCACAGACAACAAACTAATTTAAAATTACAACAATAAAATAAACAAAAAATTCTTTTAAATATAACCAAAAAAAAATAATAGAAAATAAATGAATATGTATCTCTTATCTAAATCACAATTAATTAAAATTTGAAACATTCTGTTTTTTTTAAACGACCGTCTGTGTTGCATTTTCGCGATGGTTCTTACAGACGAAAAATTGAAGCTTCAATCAAAACAAATCAACTCCTCAAACTGACAGCTGTCACCAGTGACGCGTGACGTGTGTCACGAGTGACAGCTGTCAACGGCCGACAGGCGAGCGCGGCTCGAACGAGTTGCATTCAATTTTTCGTCCGCACTCAAATAACAAGACATTTTTTTTTTCGCACATACATATAATTTATTGCGTAATAATCAATTAATTAATTACATTTATTAAAACTAGTGTCATGATATAAAATCTTGGGCGTCCTTCTCGAGTATCAATCAACTAGCGTCGGATTTAGTAAAACCAATATTAATTCGTGTGTTAAGTGCGGAAAAATCTTCCATTCATTATGATAGACTTTTTTGTCTATGTAATCGCTGATAGTCTAGGAGGCTATCCCAACTAGGGATAGCCTCCTAGACTATAAACCTGAGATAATTTACTAACACTAGCTCCAGCAAGAGCAGCGCTGAATTTACCACCGGATCGGAATCGCGACCCACTGAGAAAATCCGGCGACGTATAAATCTGACGATTCATAATTTTTTTCCCTACCTATTCTAGTAACCTCGAGGGGTTATTCTAGATTCGCCGAACTGGTAGGTGAACTCACGGGGCACAAACCTGACGACGTTGCTGACACGAACCCTAGTCAGAGCCGTGCTTCGCAGAATCTACCGCCGGATCGGAAACGCGAGTAAATTAACCCACAGACACAGCCCATTCAGTTTCTTGCCGGATCTTCTCAGTGGGTCGCGATGACGCACGTCTGAATCGACACTCGAGATAGAGACGGTACGGTCGGCAAATTCAATACAAATACAATTTTTATTATTAATTTAAATAATCAACTTGACGACACATTTTTCATTTTTATATCGACAAACACTAACTTTTGCTCGAAAAAAAAAAATACAGTGTTGTTTTGATTTAATTAAATTCTTAAATTAATCATTAAACTTAAATATAGTCACATCCGTTTAACGTGTTGAGAACATTCGATACTCCGTTCTGATGAGGTTAGCGAGTTCAGAAAGCTTTCAGGTCGGTAAATGAGCTTTCAGATGTATAGGACGACATATGGTTCATGGAAATACTCTTCTACGAAATTAATTTTAACATTTTAAGTTAATGTTCAACATCAAACATTTCCTGAGGGCACGAATGACTATCGCATACATAATGTTTTAAAAAAAAATAGAATAGAAAATCTAACTGTCCAACGAAATGTCAAATTTCCATGTCGCTGTTCAGTCTGTGGCCTCAATTTTTAGAAATTTACTTTTTGGCGGGAACGCGAGGAGTGAAGTTGTGTGATTTGTTTTATTTTGTCTATTTAGAGTGCTTCTTCAGGTTTAAATGTGTAATAACGGTGGTTTATTAACTATTTAATATCTGTGAAAGTGCACAAATGTGGGAAAATGAAACAAAGCCGCTGAACGCAATTTCTTTGGATCCTCTAAAAAGTCCACTGAAAAAATCTCAGTAAATGACCACCATTTTACTGAGATTATATTTCAGCCCATATCACCTCATATCATTTCATTTCATTTCATTACACTCCATATTATCATTTTTCATACAAATAAGAACACAAAATAAGACCTGACTTAAAGGTCTTAGTTACCAGGTTATAAAATACCTTCAAAAAAAAAAAACTCGTCGGCCATTATTGTTTACTACATGAATCTACTAAGATTGGACAACGTATACTGTCATTCTCGAAACTCGAAAATTATACTCATAATCGAGGAAATTTAACGTAAATCTCGAAGGCTGGCTGGCTATCGAGTACTACTACCATCTAATGTAATCATCCATTACCGGTGCTTTTAACTTAAAAGTTTTAAGTACCTCAAGCCTCGGTCACCGTTCTCATCGAACCCGTCGCTTGCGACAAAGGGCTCGACGAGTAAATTAACCCACAGACACAGCCCCCTTAACCGATTTTGGTTTTAATAGTCCTATGATACTCCCAACCCATCAGAACAGAGTTTTAACCTAGAGATTTTATATATATGTATATATAAGGCCGTCAGCGTAAAAGTTGCCTAAGCTTATCATAGTTATTATGGAGCAATGAGGTTTAAGTTTTTATGAATTTGAATTTGAGTAGAAAAAAAAAAACAAGACGCGTAAAAGTAACGTTTACAAAGCCATCTGTTATTTATGAGTGAAACTATGGATAGGTCGATTTTGCATCAGAATCACTACATAGTACAAAACAAAGTCGCTTTCTCTGTCCCTATATCCCTATGTATGCTTAAATCTTTAAAACTACGCAACGGATTTTGATGCGGTTTTTTTTTAATAGATAGAGTGATTGAAGAGGAAGGTTTACATGTATAATAACATCCATTAAATAGTGGAGAAATCAATAATAAATTACAGTTTCCGAAGCGAAGCGAGGGCGGATCGCTAGTTTATTATATTTTAAATCAATTACAATATACATAATTATAAGCATGATTATGAAAAATTGCGGGTTAGGCCCTTTTGCGCTGACGGCCTTATATGTATATATGCATATATACCAGGGTTGTTACGGATGCAATAATTTAGACATCCGCGGATGCAGATGCGGATGCGGATTATTAGAAGTTCACATCTGCGGATGCGGATTGGATGCGGATGCGGATTTTGCGATTTTAAAAGGACAATTCTTTTAAAAAAAAATATCCTTTTAAAATAAATGTGCGCCTTCCTATTCGTCAGTTACCGAATGAAGTTAGCAATTACCAAACAAACATGAAACACGTGCCACTCTGGCTCCGCCCACTTTCTTTACATGTAGTTACTTGTTGAAATGAATCTGCATCCGTAAAACTCCGCATTGATTGATGCGGATGTAAATGCGGATGCAGATGTCTGAAATAATGCGAATAGTCCGCATTTGCGGATGCGGATGCGAATATTCGTAACAACCCTGATATATACATCGAAGAGTGAAGGGCTATTTGATTCAAGCGACATTTATCTTTGTAATTAAAGGTCTGTTTTATTTGGTATCAGCACCAACAGTTCGATGTTTTTAATTGAACTTCAATTAAGTTTACTCCATTTGAATAGTTCAAGGTTTTTTTTTTTGTTCAAATTTCAAACTTTAAATGGCTCTCCTGTGAAGTATCAAATATGTCATTCAATCCAAACAGTCTTTCACTCCACAATATTTATATTTTGTATAAGCCACTTAATTATCTACACAAAAGTTAATGTCATGTCAAAAAAAAAGAAATTCTAACATTTTCATTTTTACTTAACACCGAAATTATATTTAAAAAAAAAATTGTTTATTTGATCCCAAAATATTTTCTTGGCTATAAAAAAATTGTTTTTTTTTGTTAAATACATATATGTAAAATAAATGTAACATGTAAAAAAAATGTTAATAACAAAAGACAGTCCAGAGAACGACCCAATATAATTAAATTTACAATTAATTACACCTATAATGTCGTTTACAACTTAATGAAACCGTTTTCGTAACGGTCAAGATCTTTATAGCTACAGAGTAGCGCTTAATTAAAAAAAAAATATTTATATTCATAAATGGAAACTCCACTGCACTTTTCTTAGTTTTTTTTTTTTTTTTTTTGGCCAATTTTATTATTATTTCACAGTAATAGTTTTGGTTCATATGCGAAAATTTAAAAGTTATTCAAATCATTAATTCATTTTCCTTGTTACATAAGAGTCGCGTTTTTACTAAAAAAAAGTATGCATATAAAAAAATGGAAACTCCACTGCACTTTTCTTATTATTTTTGGCTTATTTTATTATTCTTATTATTTCACAGTCATAATTCTGGTTCATATGCGAAAATTTAAAAGTTATTCAAATCATCAATTCATTTTCCTTGTTACAATAGTCGCGTTTTTACTAAAAAAAAATGTATGCATATAAAAAAAAATGGAAACTCCACTGCACTTTTCTTATTATTTTTGGCTTATTTTATTATTCTTATTATTTCTCACTATAAGAACATTTAAAAGTTTTTCAAATCATCAATTCATTTTCCTTGTTACAATAGAGTCGCGTTTTTACTAAAAAAAAATGTATGCATATAAAAAAAAATGGAAACTCCACTGCACTTTTCTTTTTTTTTGCCTATTTTAATATTAATATTATTTCACAGCAATAGTTCTGGTTCATATGCGAAAATTTAAAAGTTATTCAAATCATCAATTCATTTTCCTTGTTACAATAGAGTCGTGTTTCTACTAAAAAAAAAGTGTGCATATAAAAAAAAATGGAAACTCCACTGCACAACTTTTTTTGTTTGTCCAATTTTATTTACGGTTTCAAAAACGTGTATTATATAATTTTGAAACGTCTAGAAAATACAATGCAAATGCAATTGTGTAGATAAAATGTTAAATTTGTTACTAGATTCTATCGAAATACATTTAACGACATACACACATTTAACGGCCGTCTGGTGTAGTGGTAAGTGACATGGTCACTACACAAGGGGATCGCGGGTTCGAATCCCGCCAAGGGAAGATTAGACCAGTTAACGTGGCGTGATTGTGAGTAAATATTTATATTTATATTTATTTATACATAAATAACTAGTTTTAGTTGAAATGCCAACATTTAAATTCATAGTTCATCATCATTCAACTTATCAGTTGATTCTCGACTTAGTATGGGCATACGACGGATGATAAGCGATAGATTTGAGTATTAATATATATGTATATATATAAATAACCCTCCTATAACGCGGTAAAGTACAACACGGTTTAATTCTAATACGAAAATATTTTTTTATTTACCTGAGCTCACTGCCCACCTGCTGTTAAGTGGTTATCGGAGCCCATAGACATTTACAACGTAAATACTTGAAATATAAGTTCTAAGGTCTCAAGTATAGTTACAACGGCTGCCCCGCCCTTCAAACCTAAACGCATTACTGCTTCGCGGCAGAAATAGACAGGGCGGTGGTACCTACCCGCGCGGACTCACAACACGTCCTACTACCAGTAATTTCCCAAAACCTTTTTATAACACGTTTTTTCTACAACACGATAACGAGATTTTTGTTTTTAATATTATTTGGAAATTTATATTATACACACTTTGAATAAACAATATATTTTTAATGTGTACAATACCTAAAAATACATGCAGGCATAGTTGAGATGTTTCATTCGGAGATATTACTCGTCATTTCTGTACAGGCTTGTAATATCATATAACGCGGTTTCACACAACGCGGGACGTCGTAGGAACGTTATATCTACCGCGTTATAGAAGGAAGGCTACTCGCATCTTATCATATTCGATTGAAATAAATTCGTAAATTTCACCCCTCTAAAAGACACCCTGGACCGGAATTATTTTTGTTGCCCTTCCCTTTTTTTTTTTTCGTTCAACAAAATTTGATATGTGCTTAGAGATCATTTTGTTTTGTAACTAAATTACAATTAATTACACATTATATCACTCGGGAGAAATCGATTTTTTGGAAATTTTTCATACTAGCTAATCGCATCGTAATTATATACTAAAAAAAAGGTAATAATAATTATTTAAAAATTAAAAATACATTATTGTTTATTTGACGTTTGCAAAAAAAAAAGTAAATGCATTGATTTTTTTTTGTGTAATTTTTTTTATTTTTTTTTTTATTTTCTCAAAATAATACTGCTCAATTCTTTTTTTGTGCCCGATCGATTTAGTATCGTCTTAAAAACTACGACACTTACAATTAAACGAGACTTGCATCGGCTAGTTACATCTATGGACGGGGTCATGCGATCAAAGCGATTGATCAATTGACAAGTTCACCACTTATGACGTCATTTGGGGCCACAACGCACGCCGAGCTGACCACAGACCATACCGCTGGCGCGACATGCCAGGTCTCGTGTTTAAGTTTGATCCAAATAATTATTCGAGTTATTCAGTGATTTTGAACACACACTGAACGAATTATCATTTTAATAGATAGAATATATTGTTATGATCTTCATGTCCGCAGGGGATCAAGCTGGGGGCCACCAGTCGGAACAAAGACCAGATACCAGCAGGTCTGATGTGGGGGGACCGCGGAGCTGTGCGTCCCCCCCCCCCTTCTAAAGTTAAATCGGACTATCGAAGCCGCATTCATAGATGTCGCCAAGCGGACGCGTCACACAACATTAAGTTAACTAACTACTATACATTAACAAGTATTTCGAGATTTTTTTTTTCTTGTTTTTTTTTTTTTTTTAAAGTTGCAGTATCGTTGTTCCGCAGCTAAAAAAAATTGAAAAAAAAATTACATCTTAATAATAATACAAGAATGTACGTTTTAAGTCTTATTTCGTATAAAAAAAAACTTAAATTTAATAAAAAAAAAAAAACTTAATCTATGAGAATATTGCGTGACAAATAAAAACTAACTTAAATTAAAAACTAAAGGATGTGACTATGCTATAAAAGAAAATTAAAAATAATAATAATCATTAACATAAAATATTAAATTAAATTAAAAAAAACAAAAGGAAAGAAAATCTTCAAAAGAATCATATCAAGTCAATCATGTACCTAAAAGGGAAGAAAAAGTAATAAAAAAATAAAAAAAACCAAGCAATTAATAACATGTTACTGTTTGGAAAGTGTGAATGAAAGAGATAGAAAGAGATGTTTTTGTAGCAAATTGAACCCACAACTTTTACTGGTGGTAGGACCTCTTGTGAGTCCGCACGGGTAGGTACCACCGCCCTGTCTATTTCTGCCGTGAAGCAGTAATGCGTTTCGGTTTGAATGGCGGGGCAGCCGTTGTAACTATACTGAGACCTTAGAACTCATATCTAAAGGTGGGTGGCGGCATTTACGTTGTACATGTCTATGGGCTCAGTAACCGCTTCACACCAGGTGGGCTGTGAGCTCGTCCACCCATCTAAGCAATAAAAAAAAAAGAGTTATATAATATGTTGAATTTTCCAACGACTCTCATGAAAAATTACATAATTTGCATAAGTGATGTTATCGCACCGTATGAGCGTGGGGGGGACCGCGGAGGGACAGTGGGGGACAGTACCTGCTGTTGACGCTGGGCGTGTTTCGGTGCGAGTCCGGGGAGTGCGCGTAGGCGGGCGACGACGACATGTACGGGGGCAGCGTGGTCACCAACACGGGCTTCACGTAGCCGTTCTTCAACATTTCGTTTTCTATACGAGAAACGTTAGTACGTTAGAGCGTTTCGAACGTTCATTATGAAGTATAATAAATAAATAATAAAAAAAATAAAAAGCCTTTTATTTCTTGCATTTTAAAAAAAAGTTACATTACAAAAATTATAAAAATTGTTGATAATACATTAATAATAATTGATATCAAAAATGATAGAATTCTTAATATAATGTGTATAATATTAGTCGGATCAACATAAAAGATATAAAAAGGTTATATTAATTTAGCATGCAGGCATGCAAGAACCCCTCTTATGTGAGGGTGAAGGCCTCCTCCAGACTTTTCCATTTGTCTTTATTTTTGGCAATTCATTATGAAGTATATTAAGCATTAAGTAGAACTTTTATAAAACTACTAATTAAAACTATCTAATAAACGCTTTAGGAATTTAGTTTAATATTCACAATTCACTTTTTCTGGTTCGCTTCGAGTAGAACCTTTGTGTCATCTCCGCAATACATTTATGGTCGACACGACAAGACTAAAATTATCGAAAACATTCCCGATAAGACGAGTCGTGTCGATGTGTTTCCGCTATTTGATAATAGATGGCGTTACACGTCTCGAGCGTTCATCGAGAACACTAGTTCTTTTGATATTCGTTACTGATATTTAATGACAGATAGCGTTATTCTCACCGACGTAATAATAATATGAGATATAATAATGTAGGCAGTAATATAACGGTAGGGAGCGGCTTGGCTCTGACCCTGGCATTGCTGACGTCCATGAGCGACGGAGACCACTCACCATTAGGTGGGCCGTATGCTCGTCTGCCTACAAAGGCAATAAAATATGCCATAGACAAGAAGGTCACGTCGAACTAACTCACCAGGTTTGGTGTAATATTTGGAGAAGACGTCGTCTTTGGGAACGTTCGGGTACAAGAACTGTAGCTGCGTGAGGTCGAACACGCGGTCCGCCAGCGAGCGCAGCATGAGGTCGCGCGACGTGAAGGGCTGCAGGCTGAATACTTCGTTACCGTCTGTTGTGACCAAAAAAAAAAGTTTAATGTCATTTGGCTTAAAACTCTAGTTACCAAGCCATAATATCTTCAACAAAAAATAAAAAAACTATCGTCCGTTATTTCTGAGGTGACGTCATACGTTTCGACTTGAACAGCGATACGAACGTTGTGCCAATAGTGTTCCAATTTTGAATTAACATTAAGACTTTTTTCTTTCGACAGTTGGCAGTACTGATCAAAGGAACATGTATTCAAAACTAACTCCTTACATTTATGTCAACCTGGTACTTTAATAGATATTTAGTCGGGTCACCTTCCTCTATTTATAACGAGCAGACAGATCACTTGATTGTAAACTAGCGGATTTTGGGTCAGCGATACAATCACTTCTTACGGTAAGCGGTACTCGGACCTCAAAGCAAATAACCTAAGACATGAGGTCAAAGCTTTTAGTGGGACTGCGATTGTACGAAAATCGACACTGTCATTGTCCTATTAAAACCTAGTGTCTTAGTAAATAGCTCTATCTCTTTTTCTCTACATCATCTTCCTTATCCCACCAGGTGGGATCGGCACAGCGAATTTTTCTATCCCATTCTCTTCTATCAGCCGCCATCTCAACACTCACTCCTCTCTTTCTCAAATCGTCATTCACATACTCCATCCATGTCTTCTTCGGTCTACCTTGCACTACCATTTCCATACATCTCCTAATCACATGCATCTCTACGTCATGTCTTTCTCTTTTCGCGAAACATTTCCTCTGAACCCTCCGCTGCTCATAGAAGTATCGTTTTAAAAGACACATCGCTATCTCTTTCTAGTTGTGACGTCACGTGTTTCCCTCTGACCTCCGGTCCAAGCGATGGTGATCCCTCCCAGCTCGGAGTCCGAGAACCGCAGCAGGAAGGTCCCGGGCGGACACTTGGACAGCATATCCTCAGCTTGCTTCTTCTGTATGAAGCCCATTATTAAGCTGAAACAATTTTTTCTATATATTAATACGTGAAGCAAAAACTTTGTATCCCTTTTTACGAAAATTGCGCGGACGGAGGAGTGTGAAATTTCCCACACTTCTAGAGAACACAGAGAAGAAGTGCACAATGCTAATTTTTTTTTTTTAATAATGCATAAACGATACATTAAATCAATAAAGAAAACATACACACACTACATACCATGTATTTGACGCACACACGCATGCATGCTATTTATTGTCAAACTTTTGTTCTTGACGTCTGTTGTCAAATTGAGAATACATTAAATATTGTTTGCCTTTGTTATTATTTTTTATAATGTAATCTTGGCGAAATTTGTGATTATAGAAGTATGAAATACAATCATAATAGTGTACCAACTTACAATTCCAATTAATTATAGTCGAATTTCGACTACTGCGGGATCTCTAGTTTTTTTAATTACGCGTAAAACATACATTAAATTAATTAAAAAAAACATTACACATACAACCATGTATTGGCCATAACAATTAAATAAAAATACTCTTTTTTTAATGTCGAACTTTAGTTATTGTTTAAAGTCGGTGGTCAAATTGAGAATAGATTAATATTAATTGTCTTTAATATTATTTGCATATCTATAATGTAGTGTTGGTGAAATCTGTGATTATAGAAGTACAATAGTGTTACGCCGGTAAGGGTAACGCCATCTGTCGCCGAAGATCCGAACGAATATCGATGGAACTAGTAGCACCTAGAAAACTCGAGAAGTACAACGCCATCTATTGTCAGATAACGGAAACACACAGTACTAGACTTTTGTGAAATATTTTCCACCTCGCCACGTACCGGTCGCACCACAGGGTCCGCAGGTAGTCCCTGGTGACCTTGACGACCATGTAAAACCACTCCCAGAACGTGAAGTTCCTCTCCGGCAGAGCGTCCTTGCAGAACTGGGTCCAGCTGACCGCCATCGCGTTTAGCTCCATGGTGTTCAGCGGGAGACTAGTTCTGGACATAAAACAAACAAAAAAAAACTTATCAAGGGTTCGTTTACTATCCGAAGAGCTGACGGACCGTCTGGTAATAAGTCGCCACAACGACCACATACCATACAATATGCTGGCGTACTGATTAGGTTCTAGAACCACACACTTTGTATTTATTACATAGTTGGGTGGACGACAGCCCATCTGGTGTTAAGTAGTTACTGGAGCCCATAGACATCTACAACGTAAATGCCGCCATCCACTATGAAATATGAGGCCTTAGTCTAAGTATAGTTACAACGGCTGCCCGGCCTTCGAACCGAAACGCATTACTAGTATAGACAATACACATAAATTAGTCATAGACAAGCAACTCGAGCACTCAACAAAAATGTCTACGGGCGTCGGCCACTAGATGGCTTCGCTTCGATTAGTTTCGCATTGCTCCTGTAGATGGCACTAGCATATAACTTATCCTATATTTTATTTTTAATGATTAAGGATTTTGTAAATTTTCAGAAATCACAAATTGATAAAATTTAATCAATTTGTCTATAACAAATAATAATTTATTCATATGATTTTTTATTTTTTTATTTTCTGTGTTTAGTTATTCAATAATTAAATGCCTTAACTTTAACAACATATAAGTTTAGGGGCATCCGCTCCAAGATGTCACTAGTTTCCATACAAAACAATATTTCTCTTAAAGTATTGCAATTTCAAGGCCCTGATTACTGCTTGACGGCAGAAATAAGCAGGGTGGTGGTGGTGTCTATAATTATACAGTAGCTATAATTTGCAATAAAAATTTTTTTTAAACAATAGCGACTCACCTGAATATCTTCTCAGCCAAGAACCTCAGGTTGTCCTCCGAGAGAGACCCTCCCGTGGCCGAGATGAACTTGAGGCTGAGGGTCTCCGCGAGCTGGCCCCAGGTCACCTGCACCAGTCCAGCACGAGATCAACAACAATCTCAAGACACATTGCAACTGCCCTAACACCGCTGCTAAGTCCTGACCGGTTCTACCGCGCAAAACTAACCCATGCTCTACAACATAACATCTCGAAGTTCTTGATCAAAAGTTCACTTGTCAAAGAAAAATAATTTGGACCCCCGACTGAGGTAGTCTAAATCCGTAAGCTATAAGCTTTGTTTTCTTTACGAATAAATAATAATTTAAAAGCATTATTTAGTGGACCAATATTGTTAATTCATTGGAGCACACACGTACAAAAAAATTATTAAAATCGGTCACACACTCCCACACTCCCACACTCACACACACACACACGCACACAAAAACACATATGTAAGTTACTATCTAATTAAAATAAATCTAATGTATCATTAGTAACTGGACAATATTAAACCCAGCAGACTTTCGCCCCTCAATACGTTTAGATCAACAACTATACAGGGTGTTACTGTGGGTTACCTTGTCGGGGACAGCGAAGGGCACCCTGCCCGGGGGACTGAAGGCGTTGTCCCACGTGACGGTGGCCCACCCGTGGGGCTCCTGGTTGCCGTGGACTATGACCACAACCGGAAGCGACAGGGTCCAAACCTGCGAACCACAACAACAGCTCAATATGGTGCCGGACAAAACTTACCACAGCGGGATGTAAATAGATTAAAGTTAACGCTAAGCATGCTTTTTTTATTGCTTAGATTGGTGGACGAACTCACAGCCCACCTGGTGTGAAGTGGTTACTGGAGCCCATAGACATCTACAACGTAAATGCGCCACCCACCTCGAGATATAAGTTCTAAGGTCTCAGTATAGTTACAACGGCTGCCCCGCCCTTCAAACCGAAACGCATTACTGCTTCACGGCAGAAATAGGTAGGGCGGTGGTACCCACCCGCGCGGACTCACAAGAGTCCTTTTTTGGGTTTTCTACTTTTATTGTTTTTAGTTTTGTTAATTTTAAAAGAATAATCAAAAACCTTTGAAATTGAATCTGAAGTTTACAAAATTTTATTTGGTATTCATAAAATTAGTGTTTATAAAATTGAATTTGGTATTAATAAAATAGAATTTGATGTTTATAAAAATGAATGTGGTGTTTATAAAATTGAATTCAATGTTAAAAACATATATTATAAATACCAAGATAAAGAGCAAACCAACTTGTTACTCCGCGTTAAAACGACAGTATACATCGTGTTGTTTTTGTAAGACTATTTCACATAGCGTTTAGTCAGCGTTAGAACGACACGATATACATCGTGTTGTTTTGACCGCGACCAAGGTGGGCTGAGTGCGGGTCGGTGATCGCACCTGGAAGACGAGCTCCCCGCCGCCCACGTTGAACTGCGACTGGAACAGCAGCGTCAGCTTCTCGTCCATAACGCTCTCGGTGCCTTTCTTCTCGGCGCGTTTGATCTTGCGCAGCTGCATGTTCCTGCAAACGACAAACGAACAACATTTTTTTTTATTGCTCACCTGATGGTGTGTGGTTACCGTCGCCCATGGACTTCATCAATGCCAGGGGCAGAGCTAAGCCGCTGTCAACCAAAATTCATTCATACATCATTCTTACTCCACTATCCGATGCGGTTACGTGAACACAATGTCGCTTAGTGCGAGTTTTTTAACGTTCTCGATAGCGTGAAAGTTAACTCAAGTTTGTAGGCAGTTGGAAGAGCTTCCCTAGTGCCTCGCAGTAAGCACACTGATCTTGTTTTTTTTTTACTTCCTACTTTAAGAGAATATTCCCGATACATACGGGCAGGTGAGCTCACGGACTCAACCTGAGAGAATTTGCCACCACTAGCAAGAGCCGTGCTTCACAGAATCTACGACCGGATCGGAAACGCGACCCACTGAGAGGATCCAGCGAGAAACTCAGTGGCTGTGTCTGTGGGTTAGTTCGCTCGTCGAGATGAGAGTGACATGCTTCGGGAGACAGCGGCTGGTCCCCCCACTCGCCTGAAGCTGACGCTGAGCTGTCGGCTGGTGGGCTGGTACTCCATGGTGCCCGTGTTGTTGAGGATGTCCCCGCACTCCACGGGCTGCTTGCCCTTGCCGGCCTGCGTGTCGCTCTTCAGTAAAAGCTGAGCCTGCTGCTCCGATATTATCACAACCTGCAGATTTACTCATTATTACTAATTATATAGTTCTTCACGCGACCAATGATCGGAGGCGCTGGAGGGACATTACAAGAAGTAAAATCCTCTCTCTCTTTCTCTCTCTCTCCCACCCACCACACTGCCTATTTCTACAGTAAAATAGTAATGCGTTTCGGTTTGAAGGGTGGTGCAGCCGCTGTAACTATACTGAGACCTTAGAACTCATATGTCAAGGAGGCTACACCCTACGTCCCTGGATTAGTCAATACAAGTTTGATTAGTTACTAGTAGTACTCGTCCGCTTCGCTGGGCATTTAAAATTAACATTATTATTTATTGTCATTATCATTAGGGAGTCCAACACTCATATGAATATTAGCCTATCCATTAAGTGCATGTATTTTCTACATACATACCAAGTTTCAAATCAATCGGATGGTTCAGTAGTTATAACGGAACATCCATAAAAACCACTGTAGATTTATATATTAGTATAGATATAGATTAGTTAGTATAGGATAGTTTGAATGGGTATACTCACGCTGACGCGCGGCGGGGTCATGTATACGTTGAGCTGTCCGCCAACCAACAGACGAACAGTTGCCGTGAAACTGCAAACAGACAACCAATGTAACACTTATACAGGGTGTCGCAGAAAGAATGGATAATCCTGAAACACCTCATAGTAGGGCTAACGGGTACACACAAAATAAATTTTTTTTAGGTAGTACCCAAATTAAAAATTAAGAAAAAATACCAAATTTCATGATTAAAATTGAAGTTCAGATTAACTTTTATAAAAAATTACACTAACCACATCCTCATACGATTTCTTGCATATTCCTTAGTATAGTCCATGTAGAATATTATAACACCACTAGCTGACCCGGCAAACATTGTTTTGCCATATATAAGATTTTTAGGGAATTTCTAGTGTAGAAAAAAAAACTAACTTATTGTAAGTGTGTAAGGATGTGGTAAATGAGTGACAGAGGTATGTAGTGCTGTGAACGATGAGGGAATATATAATAAAAATAACAAAACCTCATTCAACCACATAATACCTCATTATAACAAAAAAAAATGTCCAAATAAAAAAAATGTTAGGGGTGGACAACCCTAATCACTTAGGGGTATGAAAAATTGATAGTAACCGATTCTCAGGCTTACTGAATATGCATAAAAAAATTCATGAGAATCGGTCAAGCGGTTTCGGAGGAGTACGGGAACGAACATTGTGACACGAGAATTTTATATATTAGATAATGAACTATACTAAGGTATAGTCCATGTAGAATATTATAACACCAAAAGCCTATGGATTTCATTTATTTGTAGCTGTTGTATATTCCAGAAACGCACAGCAGTATGGAAAATATCAACGTTGTTTTTTTAAATACGTAATTTGGGTACTTACTACCTAAGCATACAAATACAGCATAAGCTCGGGTCCAATCCATCCATGCTAAATGGCAGCCATTCTAATTTTTTTTTCATTTCATAATACAATTTTTCATATCAAAAAAGTTTTAATTAAAATTAAAATTCGACTTGACCTAAAAGTCTTAGTTACCAGGTCATAAAATCTCTTAAAAAAAAAAACAGATTTTTTATTGAAATTTCTCTACATGTGTACCAAAAACGATAATATCACTAAAAATTTGGGTTTCACTGCGATAAAAATAAGCTTTTATCCGACGGTTAATAATACTGTCTGTCATTTACATTACAAAAGAATACGTTTACATTGCAAACTCTAGAAAAAAAAGTTTTTGAAGTGAAAACTTCTTTAGAATCGTTGTGATTTCAAACCGGATGCAACGGAAAAAACGACAGGTAAGAGACACAAATACAAAAATGTGTAGGATGAAGCCAGCAAAGAATGAGACAGAAATATACATACTATTTAATACAGCGCCATCTGTGAGATTTTTTAATACTAACGTGTGTATGAAAGCTCTTGTAGTGAATTTTAATTTAGGATTATACGTGAAATTAAAATATCAATTCACAGAGGGCGCTACCTTACAATTTTTTTACATTTACTAATGACAAAATTTTACATATACTTAAGACGTTTAGGATAATTGTATTTTAATTTTGGAAGGTTTCACTTCTACCACGTGTGAATTGCACACATTTTGTTTTTTTATTTTTCATAAATTAACAAATATTATTGCAAATCACCACAAAACCCATAATCGATAGCTTTTGATTTAAGCTACAATCCAACAATAAATCTACAACTCTACGTCTGTTAGTTTAAGAGTCATTGTCATTTAAACGAGCAGCGCTTACCGCGTGTTGGTCTTCATTACTTGAGGGGGTTGTTTCTCTATGACGAACGTCGACGTCACCAGCGTGGACAGCAGCCCCGTCACCTGCCACACACGCGCTGCTACAGTCGCCGTCCCCCACCCTGGTCCCCCGGGGGGCCGCGAGGGGGAAGAGGGCGGGGGCGTTTTGTTGTTGTTTTTTTTTCGTTTTTTGGCAGTCGGCTGAACCTCATGTGAGGCTTCCACGCCTAGAGGTCGCGCGGGGTATGTGGGACCCGCGGGTCCAAGGATGTTTAAGGGCCCTACCCACCAAGCGACTCCCCTTGCGCTCTCTCATTCGACGTCCGATTTCCACCTGGGGTCAGAACCCGGTCCGAAGTAGAGGGGTTCCCGCGGTCAACACTACAGCCAGCCTCGCGGCGGCGGCGGGTCGGTACCTGCTTGCTCATGTCGTCCAGCATCTCGGCGAGGTGCGGCTGGCGGAGCTCCACGATGGTCTTGCTGTTGATGCGCGCCACGTTGTTGACCTGCTGGCGCGTGGTCCAGATGAGGTCCGCGAGCAGCTCGCACCACTCCTGGATCGTGTTGAGGTTGGACTGCATCGGGACCCCGTTGCCGCTCAGCTGTTGCTCCCTTTTCCATCTGATACAGAATATAATAAATATCTAATACAAATTTGGTAGGCGACGGCCCCTAGCATTGCTGAAGTCCATGGGCGACCTTTGCACGTGTGTCAATTGTGTTATTACAAAATTCAATTATTAAATTTGTATGTTAAAAGGTGTAGGTTAAATTTTATTAATCAAAAATAATTAACTATTAAAGGTTAAACGCGATGAATGATTCATACGTAACGCGTTATAAGAGGTCGTAGAAACGCGTTATACGGGAATAGCTCATAACACGGAACCAATCTACAGCGTTATAGGGGGAATTATTGTTTTTTCAAAATTAACCACAAATAACACTTCTTTTTTTTTATTGCCCCTGTAGGCAGACGAACATAGGGCCCACCTGGTGGTGAATGGTTACCGTCGCCCATGGACCTCAGCAATGCCAGGGGCAGAGCCGAGCCGCTGCCTACCGTTAAACTACACCTACCCTCTTTTGATTAGAAATAAACGTAAACGAATTTGACTGGTTTTTTTATGCTCACGGGTACTCACTTGATGAGCTCATCGTCCAACACCTGGCTCTGCAGCTGCCTCAGGTTCGTGATGTTCTCCTTCATGTGGTCCACCAGCTCCATTTGAGATTGAGTGATCTGCGCCACCTGTTGTGTGTAATGGAATTTTTTTATTATTATTATTTATCGCACCGGTTACAGGAGTCCTTGGACACCACAGCGCGTATACCGAGGTTCATGTTGAGGCATTCACCATTCATGTTCATTTATGATCACTTATATTATGTAACTCTTTATATGTATATATAATTCTACTGTACGTGTGAATGTCACTGAACTCCTAAACGGTTTGGAGGTGGGAGGTGCGATAAGGGAATCTTCTCAAACCATTCCTCAGATAACTCCCCGTGGAACATACGGTACAAAATACAGAGGGAACCAAGTCCCTCCGCAGACCCAGAGGTACCAAGCATTCCTTCCGCTCACTCACCAGCGCGTTGAGTTTCCTCTCCGTGTCCTCGATCTGTCCGCGCAGACAGGCCACCAGGTCGCGGCGCTCGGTGGTCACCGTCTGCTGCTGGAGGTAGTTCATGTGACCTGACAACATCAGACAATAAAACAATAGGGTATCCAACAAGTCACTTGGGTGGGGCAGCCGTTGTAACTATATATTTTTTTTATGATTGAAAGACTACTGGTGACCCAGAGGCCTTTCCAGTTTCACCAGGGCATGTGGGTGAGCAAGAGCTCAGCCAGGAGGGGTGGGATTTGCTAACAGCTGGTCGAGCGCCTCCGAAGGAGACCTAACAACTCAAGAGCAGTGCTTCGCAGAATCTACCACCGGATCGGAAACGCGACCCACTGAGAAGATCCGGCGAGAAGCTCAGCGGGCTGATGTTTAGGTTAGGTTGCACGTCGCCCTCTTTGTAGAGTTCGACGAGTACGGTTAGCGAGTAACTATACTGAGACCTTAGAACTTATTTCCAAAGTGGGTGGCGCATTTACGTTGTAGATGTCTATGGGTTCCGGTAACCCCTTAACACCAGGTGGGCTGTGAGCTCGTCCACCCATCTAAGCAACAAAAAAATAATAATGAAGTAGCAAATCTTGGCCTCTCACCTTTGTTCTTCAAGCACTCGTGGTACTGCAAAGACAGGGATTCAATATTGGCCTGGAGGCTGCGGATTTCCTCGCCGGCTATGTTCACCTTCTGCCTTACAGTCTGCAGGCCCGTGATCAGCTGCAACAAACGTGCGGACCCTTAGCAGAAGTAGAACAGAGAGAAAATTGTGTTTTTTATTTTTTTTATTTGATAATTGTGTAATCTGATTTGCTTCAGACGTATGTATGTTAGTATGTATGTTTGTAACGGAATCTTTGAACATGATTTTGACCCCTTTCAAAACTTCGGATTAACTCGAAATTTGGTATACTTATTAAGGAAGGATGATAATTCAATATAAAAAAAAAAAAAATTTTTCATCTAAAAAATTGAAAATAAATAATAATTTAAAAAACTAGCAAAATAGATTCATAGATTAGAATAGAAAATTTATAGAAAATCCAAATAAAAATAAGAAAATAAATTTTAATAAATTTGAATTTAAAATAGTGTAAGAAAAAATTATTTTATTGTAAAAAAAAAAAGCGTGGGTTGCATGGTATCAGTAGTTATAAAGATTTTATGAACAGTGATATGAGTAGAAGGGTTATTTTGATAATATCCTGAAAAGTACCCCACGCTTTTTTACAATAAAATCCTTTTTTCTTACACTATTTTTAATTGAAATTTATTAAAATTTATTTACCATTTTCTAGTTGGATTTTCTATAAAAGCGTACATATTTTGTTAGTTTTTTTTAAACTATTATTTATTTACACATCCAAACTGATGCCAAATATGACAGCGAGGTATAGGTAGAGTTGGAACAGCGCCCCTGGCGGCAAACATAGGTAAACATTCCAACTCCATACAGAGTTAACTTTTACGCTATCGAGAACGTTAAAAAACTCGCACTAAGCACACGTAGACGTATAGGGGGTTTTGTTTGGGGGTCCTTACCCCCCTAAGATGGAACTTGGTACAGTTTTGGGGGGTGATAACAAGGAATATTTTCAGCAAGTCACGCCTAACTAAGCTCAAACCTCAGTGTGCTTAGTGCGAGCTTTTTATCATCCCCTCCTGCCCCTAGCGACAAACGAAGGAAAGCTGTTCCAGCTCCATACAAAATTGAGTTAACACTTTACGCGTTACTGCTGGTAGGCCCTCTTGTGAGTCCGCACGGGTAGACACCACCACCCTGCCTATTTCTGCTGTGTAGCAGTAATGCATTCTGGTTTGAAGGGCGGGGCAGCCGTTGTAGCTATACTGAGACCTTAGAACTCATATCTCAAGGGTGGTGGAATTTATGTTATAGATGTCTTTGGGCTCCGGTAACCATTTAACACCAGGTGGGCCGTGATCCACCCATCTAAAAACAATACAAATTTGAGAGTTAACTTTTACGCGATCGAGAACGTTAAAACACTCGCACAGAGCACACAGTTCAAACGTGGACCTTATTGCTAGCGCATCAGAGTGCACATTGGCGTACCTCGCTGTACTTCCTCTCGGTGTGAGGCTGGGCCACGTACGGAGTGCCCATCGCGTTCTGTATGACCTCCATCTCTAAGGCGAGACAACGCCTCATGTAAGCGTACAGCTCCTGGGGGGCGTGACTGGAACACAAACGAGCAACTGTTTGTCCATCGCCGACCATGGCTATGGCGGTCCCCACTTCCAAAGCCTATGGCAGCGGTTAGGGAACCGGGGTAAATTACCCCAAATGAGGTAAAATAAAATTGTGGGGGGGGGGAGTAAAAATGAAACTTTTGTGAGTAAAAAGTATATATCGACGCTTGAAAGGCAAACTAACTGCTGACTAAGCGACAATGCGTGAACTTTACATTAGACAAATTTAAAGTTGAAATGCCTGAAAACAAAATTTAATTTTAACGATTCCAGCTGTAGTAGAATCTAGCTAGTAGCTGTAGGATTGAAATGATTTTAATATACTTAGAAATATAAATTTTTTGCACATAGAATATGGTTATTGCCTCTCATTTATGTACAAAGCAGTTATTGTCGCTTAGTCACGTTTGCCTTTCAAGCGTCGATATATTAAAGTGAAACTTCTTTAGAATCGTTGTGATTTCAAATTATCGTGGGGGCATTTCAAATTAATAATCAAATTATATGGAAGATGCTAAAAAGAAGCGATTTCGTTTTTTTTTTGCTCTTCGCCATGGGGTAATATCAACTTACACAAAAATATTTTGGGGTAATAATTAAAAAAGTTCCCCAGACCGCTGGTCTATGGGGACCGACCAGGGGGACCGGGGGATCGCTCGCCCCAGCATTGCCAAACAAAGGCGTTACGATATAAAAGCATGATTTGTTGACAGATCTCACTATCAAACTGACTCGCGACCTGGCGCTATGTGGTTTGGGTTCGAGTAGTATTCATGACGATGGTGAAGAAGAAACCACGCATGATGGTTATTTTTAATCGTTATTATATAATTACTTGCAAAATACATTATATTAACAAAAGTGATGCGTGTCATTCGACTGTTTCGAGGAATTACGAATTCTTAGGATGCGGGCGCATCCTCCTCCCCTGCCTTCCCCCGTCCCCTCTCTCGCCCTGAACGTAGCGAACAAGTCGATACAAATCACACTAAACACTTTGAGGCTTGAGGTCGACGTCTCAAATGTTTGAGGTTGAAGTTACACGATTTCTGCTACGTACAAATAACATATACAGCATTCGTGAGCATGTGTCAAGCGTTTCCTTAGTACAACGCGCGTGTCTGTCTGCTTCTCATCCTTCTCCTCTTTTGACCTTGAACCGGTAGACCTGTAAGACTACTACGCGAATACCTGTACTGCATGTGGAAGTTCTTCGCCGCTTCGAGGAGCTTCATCTTCGTAACGAACATGTCCGGGGACAGCATCAGATCGGCGTTCGTCTGGATCTCCTGGACGAGTTCGTTGACGAACGAACGCTGCTGGTCCTCCGGCTCCGCGGTCCTGGCGTGACCACGAAATTACATAGTTGCGACGCTTAGTGACACCGCGGGCCGTCTCTTGGCGCTAACAAACAATATACGGTAGGCAGCGGCTTGGCTCTGCCCCTGGCATTGCTGAAGTCCATTGGCGACGGTAACCACTCACCATCAGGTGGGACGTATGCTCGTCTGCCTACAAGGGCAATAAAAAAAAATCGACCAGCGTAATTGCACCAGTAACTACGCAAATTATAGATATATGCGCAACGTCACTGTTTAGTTAACTTAGATTGGTTATTGTTAACATTTTCTTGTTACTTTACAGTTACTTTACTGTTACGCATATAAATAATTGTTTAAGACTATTCAAGAGAATTCATGACTAAGCTACCCCCACTGTTCTACTATAAACACGAGTGACTATTGTCGCACAAGACATTTCGACTCGAGCAGCCGATCGAAGCGGAGCTCAGAGCCTAAAACTGCAAAACTTTAAGAAATATTTATTTCTGCATGGAAACTAGAGACATCTTGTAGCGGATGCCCCTAAACTTGTTGTTGTTAAAGGTAAAGCATTTAATTATTATAAAATATAACAACCCGTTATTTGTATATATCTATTACGGTTTTTTTTGGAAATTTTAGAGTATCGCGGGTATCTGCTGGATGCAAGCAGCGCAAGACCGATCTTTGTGACGTGGCTTGGGGGATAGGCCTATGTCCAACAGTGGACGTCTGTGGAAATAGAATGGCGTCGCCACGGTATTGATCGCCACGCCAGCAATCGGTTTCACGTGCGATAGATGTTTCACATCAAAAAGCACTAGAGGAAAATCGAGCTTTGCTCGGTTTTTTTATATGATAAATTGTGTTTTTTAGAAATCATATTTAAATACGAATTACATATTGATATTATATTATATTATTTGTTTAAGTTGATTATTGAAAACACGAATAAAACAACGATTTTCTGAAAATAAATCCGTAGCTAGATCGATTTATCGCCCCCGAAATCCCCCTGTATACTAAATTTTATGAAAATCGTTGAAGCCGTTTCCGAGATTCAGATTATATATACATTTATATACAAAAATTGCTAGTTTAAAGATACTAGAGGTCCCGCAATAGTCGAAATTCGACTATAATTGGAATTGTAAGTTTGTACACAATTAAGATTGTATTTTATACTTCTATAATCACAAATTTCGCGAAAGATACACTATAAAAAAATATAAATAAGTACAAACAATATTTAATTTATTCTCAATTTGACCACAGACGTCAAGAACAAAAGTTTGACAACAAATAATACGCATGCGTGTGTGCATCAAATACATGGTATGTAGTGTGGGTAATGTTTTCTTTATTGATTTAATGTATCTTTTATGCATTATTCTAAAAAAAAAAATATTAGCATTGTGCACTTCTTCTCTATATTATCTATAAGTGTGGGAAATTTCATACTCCTCCGTCCGCGCAATTTTCGTATAAAGGGATACAAAGTTTTTGCTTCACGTATTAATACATAGATAAGATATAAGATTCATATAAAATCAAATGGTACTCACCATATCCTGCTCTCGATCCAAGACGCCAGGCAATGCCTCACTTCGATCGGGAAATGATCCACGTATATCATTCGTACCTTAAATAATTAAAACGGTATGTTGTAACGTCGGATTGGACACAGTTTTGGTTCAAGTGGGTTCAACCGCCACCACCAGAAGCAGTCAAGCTACCTACAGACACAGCCCACTGATTTTCTCGCCGGATCTTCTCAGTGGGTCGGGTTTCGGATCCGGTGGTAGATTCTGCGAAATACTGCTCTTGCTAGGGCCAGTGTTAGCAACGTCCTCAAGTTTGAGTCCCGTGAGCTCACCCACTAGATCAGTTACGCTGGCATGAACCTCTAGATTAACAGTTTAGGTAAGAACTGTTTGTAATAATAAAATAACCACTTTTTACTAAATGCCTATGTATGTATACATAGTACATATACCAAAATATCTTTTTTTTTTGTCTGTCTGTCTAATTGTTTTGGCTAATCTCTGGAACGGCTGAACCGATTTTGACGGGACTTTCACTGATAGGTAGCAGAGGATATAAAGAGTGACTTAGGCTCCTTTTTTTAGACTTCGCCCCGCGGTGTAACCCGCAGTACAAAATTAACCGTGGGGAACATCGCGGGACTCTGCTATCAATAAATAATAACAAAAACCCTATAAAACTTATTCGATTCATTTAGGCACCAAAAAACTGGCACTCCGATTTTGAAGAACTTCGGGCTGCGTTAATTACTTTGGTTCTTCTGCGAATCTCCTCATTCCTGAACCGATTCAGCAACAGAATGAAGGTAGTCGAAAACTTTTAAGGCTTATCCATGAGTGCGGCGTTCAGAAAACTGATCTGAGCGTATTTTCAGGGTCATTGCACAGGGTTCGTAGAAAAAAAATTAAAATAGTTTGTGAAAAATAGTATTATGACGTTAACAGAACGAAAGCGTGCCGCGGTCTAAAAATATCTGATGCAACGTAGGAGTGGGTGATATAAATCGTATATAGATTCAATATCTATATATCGCAGCAATATCGTTGAATCCGATATCGCCCCGCACGAAATCTATATAACGATATCAGCCGATACACGATATTGCTCGATGTGATGCGCATCGGCATAACGTACCGATTCGTGAATATCAGCAATATTCGTTTGGTTCGTATCGAATCGGCCAGAGTGAGTGAGCGCACGATAGGGATATCATGTGATGAATGAAACAGAAACAGGCATTATCCATACAATTGTAAACTTTATATTTAAGTCCATATGTCTGTAGATTATTCTTAGCGTATCAGCAGGATACAATTTAGGAAAGAAGTTTCAACTTTCGACCTTAACTTGAATGCAGTATAGCCTATTTGCATCGTTGAATTTAATTTCACGCGCTTTGACCTTGAACTAGAATTTTTGGACAAGTGTTTATAAATACTTAAAAGTTTTTTGTGTTTGATTTTTAAAGTACACATTTTTCTATTTTTAGTTGAATCCAAATAATTGAGTTTATTTCTTGTGTTTGTATTAAACTTTTGAAATCTACACTCTTTTGGTATATTTTGTAATTTTAAATTAAGACACAAAATACTAAAAACTGAAAATAATGTAGCCAGTCCTAAGCCTGGTAAAAGCATGAAGGAAAGTTTTTTTGATATTTTTATTTTCATGTCCTTTTTATTACTTTAAAATCATATTATAAATTGATATCAGAAAACCAACCGTATAACGTTGACTTAAATCTATATCTACTACGATATTATATCAGCGTATCGTTTCAAATCTCAAATATCATGAATCGAGAAAATCTACTAGCATATAGATTCAGAAAATATATAGATTCAATATCCGATATTGATACTCTATATATAGATACGATTCGATACGCGGCAAAACCGATATTACCCACTCCTAATGCAACGACCCCAAAATTTCATTATGGCACTGACAACGTCAAAACCTTGAAGAGCTAATGAAAATGTTTACGGACTTTTTGGCGGGAACACGATGAGTGAAGTTTTGTGACTTGTTCTATTTTGTCTATTTAGTGTTTCTTCAGGTTTAAATATGTAATAACGGTGGTTTATTAACTGTTTAATATCTGTGAAAGTGCACTAATGTGGGAGAATGAAACAAAGCCGCTGGACGTAACTTCTTGAGATCCTCCAAAAAGTCTGAGTAACAATAACCAATATTTTACTGAGATTATTTTACTAGATGTCTATGGGATCCGATAACCACTTAGCACCAGGTGGGCTGTGAGCTCAACCAACTACTATGCAATAAAAATGAAATAAAAAAAACATGAGTTCAATTTTTTTTTTCTACTACCTAATCGTTGGTAGACTAAGGGCTATTTCAACCTCATGCGGGTAGACCTGAGAGAATTTGCTAACACTGGCCCTAGCAAGAGCAGCGCTGAATCTACCACCGGATCCGAATTGCGACCCACTGAGACGATTCGGTGAGAAATTTAGTGGATTTGCAGTAAGACTGCTCCACCACCCAAAGTAATTGAAAATAATAAAAATTCATTTATTTGTATAGAATGCAGATACAAGTATGGTCTTAGTATAAAATATATTCAATCCCACAATCCCCAATCCAAAAGTTTATTATAAAAATAGAGAAATTGAAAAAAAATTAAGGTGAGTGTTACAATTATTTAGGAAATCGGTAACAGAGTAATAACACTTCTTAAATAACAGCGAAGACAGGAGTTATTTAAATTTCCTTAAGGGCTGACCCTTTATACTATTTGACAATTTGTTGAATTTAATAGGAGCCATACCAATAACGTTTTTTTTTTTCAGCAATGCAGTCTTAAATTGATCTGTACACAATAAATTCTTATATTTTGATCTCGGACTGTCCACTCCCTAACCACCAGGACATATTCCTTACCTTTTGAAGGCACTCAGGGGGCAGCTGCTGTGCTCGCGTCCACAGCGTCATTGTGGAATCTAAAACAAACATATAGCATCAGAAATATTAGCTTTTTTTTAATAACTGGGAACTAACTGGAATGGTAGGCAGCAGCTTGCCTCTGCCCTTGACATTGCTGAAGTCCATGGGCGACGGCAACCACTCACCATCAGGCGGGCCGTATGCTCGTCTGCCTACAAAAGCACTAAATGTATATATACAGGGTGTTATGAGACCGCTTCCGAAAACGAAGACAGACGATAGTACTAATGACACCTTTGATGATGGGACGGCAGAAAAAAATTATCCTAATTAAAAAAAATCATATTTTTAAAACGTTTTATTAGCATTATTCACGCTCCATCATGTTAATACAGCTAAATGAAACGATAGTTTCATAAAAAATACATTACTTTACTTAATAAATAAAAATAATAATAAAAAAAATCTAATCACTCAGTTGTCCGGCTCCAAATTCGGATTCCATGTTACAGTGTACCAGAGATTGACATACATACATTTAAATATCTACATATATACAAATCTAGCATGTAACCGTCCGCTTCGCTGGGCATTTAAAATTAACATTATTATTTCTCACCCCCACAAAGATTCTCATCATTAACGCCCCCGCAACTGGTGTAGGGAGTCCAACACTCATATAAATATTAGCCTATCAATTAAGTACATGTATTTTCTACATGGATACCAAGTTTCAAGTCAATCGGATGCACGGTTCAGTAGTTATATAATGGAACATCCGTAAAAACCACCTTAAATTTATATACTAGTATAGAAGTATAGATATATACACAATAAACAGCCAATGGAAGAGCAAACAAACCTGTTCATCATATAATGTTCGCCCCGATGTGGGAATCGAACCCACAACCCTTGACGCAACAGTCAAGGCCGGTAACCACTGCACCACCGAGTCAGTCAATACGAACAGAATACAAAACAAACATATTTCGTTCACAATATACATTTATTAATATATGACTTCCAGTCCCATCAAACCGAGACTGATATTACTGTTTTATGTCAAATATGGGCACAGTGGTGGTACCTAGCTGTGTGGTCTCACAAAGAGCCTTCCCACCAGTAAACCAATACAACCTAATTTACAATGTACAACAGATTTTTACGATATTTTTGCCAAATAGCAATAATGGATACCTGCAATGAAGCTCTGATGGCTATTTTACAGCACAACTCAGACTTCGAGCTCATACTGGAAGGTGTGTCTCATTTACATTATGATGCCTATGGGTTTCAGACAGCAATCAAAAACCATCCAGTGCCGTTTCCAAACGTGGACCCAACGCCCCACAAGAGGGCAATTTGATAATTAAGGAGGGGCAATTGCACTAAATTAACATAGAAAATCTGTATGAAGTAAAATTATTTTGAATTTGAATTTTAGTTTTTTATTATATGTTTTGAAATATTACTTATTGTGTTTTGATAACAATTTCATAGTGATTTCTTCCTAAAACTTGTCATTTGTGTTTCTTGAGTGAACAAATCAATTTTTAATGTTAAAAATTATGTATGGGGGGTATAAGCATTTTAGAAATGTTAACGTGGGGCATGACACAAAAAAAGTTGGGAAACACTGATCTAGTGCGATTATACATACTGTATATTTAGTACCTACTTCGGTATTCACGAGTCATAGACATAATTAACACTAATTTTACGGTTTAATATAAAAATCTCTCACCACGAAAGCTGTACATTATTCGAAACTGTCTAAAATAACTTATTAATGGAAAAAAAACATTGTGACATCAAGCCGTTTAAGCAATTTTAATTATACCTCAAATAAGCATACGGAAAAGAGGTTATCTGAAGACAGAATAACAAAATCGAATGTACAATCTTTCTTTAAGTTTAATTAAAAGCCATAATAAACTATGTGGGTAGCTTCAAAATAATTTTTTCTAGAAATTCGTCAAGTAAGGAAATAATAATATTAGGATACTTTTCTGTAACTAACTGCTATACTTACTATTTTAAATACAGGACGGTTTGATTTAAAGATGTCCTTAGAAGATTTCCTTCCTGGAACCGATAAATACACAAATTAGATTAAATTTTTAGTTTTAGGATTACCGAATATTTCTTAGCTGTTTCAACGATGATGACTACTGGTTATAAAATCAATGGAACCCAGTATTGTTTTTTTTTAAGAGCAACGCATTTTCTAATTTCCAGTAAGAACTGTAGACACCATATGTATTGTCGGAGTATGAAAACGAACTAGAGAGAGGGTAGACACATTTGCATGCTCCTAACATTCCTACCCTCACTCTTTCCACAATATCCGACCTAGCACATTTGCATGCTCCTAACATTCCTACCCTCACTCTTTCCACAATATCCGACCTAGACACATTTGCATGCTCCTAACATTCCTACCCTCACTCTTTCCACAATATCCGACCCAAACACTATCTTTCACACAAATGACAAACGCATCAAATTTTTGATAGTAATCGTAGGCAAACAAGCATATGACCCACTTGATGGTGAGTATACGTCGCTCATAGATGTCAGTGATGCCCATACACGGCACCAAGCGGTTGCCTTTTTTTTTTTAGATGGGTAGACGAATTCACTGCCCACCCGGTGTTAAATGGTTACTGGAGCCTAGATGATAACGTAAATGCGCCACCCACCTTGAGATATGAGTTCTAAGCAAGTATAGTTACAACAGCTGCCCCACCCTTCAAACCGAAACGCATTACTTCTTCACGTCTGAAAAAGGCACGGTGGTGGTACCTACCTGTGCGGACTCACAAGATGTCCTACCACTAGTAATTACACAAATATCTACTGTAACACCAATTTTACAAACAATTTTTTTTTATCTCATTATGTTTAAATAATACTAAATTTAATAATATTACTTAGTAGTGAGTAATAATAATAGTCATATTATTGGTTATTTAATTAAGTATAGACTATTTACTTATATAGACTGTAAGTTTTCAGTTTGGAATGGAAAATTTGATTTTTCATTAATTGCATGATCACTTTAGTACCTATTAGTTTTTATCATAACCTGTATTGATCATTAAAAACTAAAAATAACTAGCATAAAGACATCAACACGCTAAATGGCATGACAATAATGTAACTCGATGAATTATTTACCTTGTTATTCAATGAAATTGCTTTGAATGTAATAAATTAACAATTTTAATCCTAAGATTGACTATTACGCGGTAGGTAGGTATACGAAAAAAAATAATCAAGCGAAACTTTACTGTTTGCAAGTTCGAAAAAGGAACAGTTTTTTTTAAAGTCCTGAATAGCACCGACCTCACGTTGTCTTCCGTCCGGGACTAAAGCCCTTGAATTTTACCTGCTGTATCGAGCGGACCCGCAATAACTCCCGTTCCCGTCCGTAGCAAATTCCAAGAATTTTGACGTTGTTACACACATACAAGCGTCGCACAGCACGTTTCCCACGCACACAAACGTGAAAACTTTAATTTTAGCTGTATCAACAAGTTTGACCTTTGCCTGTGTGTACTTACCTTTAGTAAAAAACAAAAGTTCGTTTTTATTTACGACACTAGTATTTCACATTATAAAACGGTGCATAAGATAATTACGATCTTTTTGTCCACGTAGATGACACTTTAATCTGATAATGAAGCTAGAATGAGACAAAACAAACTGAATTCATTTCTGAATTCAAGGAAATTCGTGCAAAAAATAACTCCCCTCCCTACACCGGCTGGGTAATTGACAATTTGACATTTGTAGGGATGTCAACCTAAAAACTTATTTCTGATATTTTTAAGTAAAGATTTTCAGTTTTACGTTACAGAAGTATGTTGACTATGAACATCACAGCTAATGCTGAAAATGGTATTGAAATGGCTTAAATTTTTATTGCACTTTGTTGGAGTTTGTATATTAAATGTAATGGCAGGCAACACTTGACACTTGATTAGATTTCGAATATTAGAATGATTTTAAATGTTTAAAAAACAGATCATTGTATTCTCCTAAGAAAATGTCATGACTTCTCATGTAGACACGGCATGAAAAACATGTAATAGTTTTATAAAAAATATAAAGATAAAAATTGTATAATGGTGTAAAAGTGTTTAAGCAATCTGCAATATAATTATAATGAAGCAGTTGTGTTTTTAAATAGCCCCTCATCATCTACAGAACCCAATTCCCTCAAATTTAACCATCCAACACACTTCAAAAGGAATTTAACAATTCGAATAAATACTAAATTATCGCGTTGATTTTCTTCATTTTTGATTAGATATTTTTCTGCGGTTGACTAAGGAGTTATTTAGAGCTCATTTTGACTTTTCTATAAATTAAAATGGCTGATTAAATTTTATTTACAACAAACAACAATTGCAAAACTTACATGTGATGTTCAAAATCAAAATTTATCTGATATTAAAAATAATGTATCCAGGTAATTTACGTTGCATACAAAAAATCATTTTTTTAAATGATCTCAAAAATCCCGAAATGCGGCATAATTTTAAGTATAGAAACACTAACGTTTCTAGAACTTTACAATAGATGGCGTTATACAATTTGTCACTTTCCACGCAGAATTCTAGCTCAAATCATATTAAATTCAATCACCTATTGTATTCTTAAAATTGTCTTTGAAATTGTAATGTTACTGTCAAAATATAAAATCAAAAAACTATGTCAAAATTGTAGCCCACCGATAATGAAAATAAAATAAAAATGGAAAAACAAACAATGAAAAGGATTAAAATTGTGTAAGGATGTTTGGTTTGTCTTAAAATGTATGCACATATCTAAGCTTTTTATTCGAATACAAGCTTCTTAAAATTCTATTGCTCATTCAGGCATATAGGTCATGCAATGCATCCGATGCAATACATTCCAACTCCGGTAAGGTAATGGAAGACAGTTTTTTTATTAGACTAAACTATAAGAATTGTGTTTGAGTGGCAGCCGCGTGATAGATCTGGTAGTCCTGTATGCACTTGACGACGCGCTGTGGAGTGGAGAATGAGATGAGGACTGCTGGCATGACCTGGAGTGATTTCAAGAAGCAAGCGCAAGACAGGGTCAAAAGAGGGCCCTATGTAGCAGCGGGGTACCCTATGATTACAACAACAAATTAAAAGAAAAAGCATGTAGGGTTAATTTCAACTTTGATGGCCACATACTCCTTTGCTTTCGTAATTTAACAAAAACTAATTCTATATTACAGAATATTTTTTTTTCTTCCAGGCATCCAATGAAATTCCAGTCGACATCATTATCGAATGCAGCGCCCGAATGTAAGATAGTAAAAAACGGAACGCGCCTTCGGTCCAAGTGCTTATACATTTTTTTTGTTTATTCGTTTTCCTGCATCGTACACTAATAATTATATTAGCCTACGTTTTTAATTGCACATATTTAGAAGACCGAGATCATGGCCAACTTGATTTTAAAGGCTTAACGAGACCCACAGATATTATCGCCTTTTTGCTGTCATGTCAGTAACAGCGAGGCTTCACCGCGACCAGACGGGCGAGCGCAGGGGCTCAACCTTCGCTGACTTTGACATATGAATAAGATCCAGCGAGAAACTCAGTGGTTGAGAGATTGAAATACAACGGCTGCCCCACTCTTCAAACGAGAACACATTACTGCATCGCAGCAGATATATGCGGACGGTGATACCTCCCCGGGCGGGCTCACACTTTACCGCGTACATCCAATAGGAATTACGCAGAATTATTTCTGTAGTCCGGTGCTAATAGGGCCATAAATATTATTTACTATTTTTAGTATTCAACATTATAACGATAAGCCGTGAATAATTAGTAGGTAATGGTATAAAAGCGCGCATCAAAATGGTAATTTTTAATTAAAAAGTTTGGAAATGGCATCATCTCAGTTTATTAAAAGTGTCCGCTGAAAGAAAGCCAATCAAGATGGCGCCAATGAAGCAAGTGGAAGGATTTTAAAAACAGCTCAAACTATCCTATTCTCACTTCACTTAAACCCAGCATACTTCGCTCTGTTTAAAACTCTGTAATAAAGTCTAAAAGAAATAGAGGTTATGTACCGAGAGTTTTTACTAGTGGTAGGACCTCTTCTGATTCCGCGCTGGTGGGTACCATCACCCTGCCTATTTCTGCCGTGAAGTAGTAATGCGTTTAGGTTTGAAGGGTGTAGCAGCCGTTGTAACTATACTTGAGACCTTAGAATTTCTATCTCGGGGTGGGTGGCGCATTTGCGTTGTGGATGTCTATAGGCTCCAGTAACCACTTAACACCAGGTGGGCTGTGAGATCGTCCACCCATCTCCTAAGCAATAAAAAAAAATATTGGACTTTTCCAAACAATAGGAACAATCCAAGGTGCTACAGTTACCACAAGCTTAAATCTGAAGAAATAACACAAAATGAAATAATTCTTATGTTACGGTTAAATTGTATGTTTTCGAGTTACCGCCAAAACGTCCCTGATTGAATTTCATTATTAACTCCCTCTTGGATATATTGTCACCATCAATCTCTTCTCAACAGACTTGCAACGAATAAGCGAGAAGCTTCTGTAGGCGGTGGTTCAATCCCAGATCCCACGTTGCCGCACCTCAAATACGGAATGTTCGCGAAAAAAAATGTCAACAGGTTTGGTATTTCTGTCGTTTAACTATATTAATTTTGACGTGATAACTTAAAAAAAAAACTATTTTTCCTTATGCTAATAGCGTTAAGAGTAGCTCACGGGGCCCTAACTTGAGCACGTTGCTAACACTAGCCGTAGTAAGAGCAGTGCTTCGCAGAATCTACCAGCGGATTGGAAACGCGACCCACTGAGAAGATCCGGCGAGAAGCTCAGTGGGCTGTGTCTATAGGTTAATTTACTCACTGAGCTCTTCATCGCAAGCGACGGGTTCGGCGAGGACGGTGACCGGTGCTTGAGGTACCTAAAAGCACCGTTAATGGATCGGGAGGATAATAATGACGTGTTTAGGGCGACGTCGACTGTTTACCATTCGGTCCACAGGATCGGGTATTTCCGGCGGCCACGACAAGAGGGTTTTCGTGTCGTGTTGCCTTCACAAAATAAATCGACGAGCGCCGCCTGCACGCACGAAAAAGTGTCACGTTCCGCCCGAGTCTGAGCGCGAAGCAAGCTTTCTAATGACATACGTACTTAACATAAGTTCACGAACAACTTCCACGGCGAAGGAGTAACGTAATATTGTAATCAAAATCAGACCCGCAAGATTATAATTTGCGTAATTACTGGGGGTAGTGCGTCTTGTCTTGTGAGTCCGCACGGGTAGGTACCACCGCCCTGCCTAGTTCTGCCGTGAAGCAGTTATGCGTTTAGGTTTAAAAGGCGGGACAGCCGTTGTACTATGAAAACGGAGACTTTAGAACTCTCTCCTCCTTCCTGAGTCGCAATCTTCATGTCTGAGGGTCGTGACCATCTCCTCCCATTGTCCTTCTATGGATGATGTTTCGCCATCTTCCTCTGTTCTCGGCGGTATATATGGCGACGTAGACTGTTGTATCCGGAGTGGTGCGGATTAGGTCGGAACAGCGCATTGAATTTTTTGAATCTTTTGCCTGCAATTTTATCAGTTACTATAAATTTTTCAAGATTGATAGAAGAACTCATGTCTCCAATAAATAAATACTATATATTTTTTTCAGAAGTCAAAATAAAACTGTGATTTCATCTAATGACGAAAATACGAAAACGTTTCGCGCCCAGGGTGAGTGAAACAGGAGATTTGAGGACAACCAAATTTAGCCGACCCTCTCTTCCTAAAAGTCGATGTGCGATATTTACCAGTTTGTTTAGTGCGAGTTTTTTAACGTTCTCGATAGCGTAAAAGTTAACTGAAATTTGTATAGAGTCGGAACGATTGCCTACGTTTGCCACTAGGAGTGCTGTGTTTGTTAACTTCAACGCTATCGAGAACGTTAAAAAGCTCGCACTAAGCACACAGGTCGGGTACTGTAGTGTTCGTTTTCAGATCAACAAACGCGTTCGCCAACTACATGCGTCAAATCGAAGAGCTCCCGCAGGCCGGTAGCGACGAGGAATTTAGGTATCTCTCAGATATACCACGTCGATGTGAAGCCACAGCGCAAACTGCCAATATCCCCAACGCACAGAGCCACGTCGCCTCTGCACAGAAACTACAGGAATAGGAAGCTACACTTGTCGCCAAAAAAACGGGCTTCCTTGTTATAAACGTTGTACCTATGCCTAGGGCGAGTTTTTTAACTTCTCGATCGCGTAAAAGTTAACTCGAATTTGTATGGAGTCAGAATAGCTTCTTTTCGTTAAGGACGCTGTTCCAAGTCCATACAAATTTGAGTTTAACTTTAACGCGATCGAGAAGTTAAAAAACTCGCACTAAGCGCACTGGAGGGTAGAGGTAAGGAGAAATGTCTCGCCCGGGACGAGTCCAGCTGTGAGCGGACGCTATAGATCAGTGTGCTTAGGAGTGCATTTGTGTGCATTTGCAGTGCATTTGTACGGAATGGGATCGTTTGCGTACGTTTGCCGCTAGGGGCGCTGTTCCAACTGCATACAAATATGAGCTAAATTTTACGCTATCGAGAAGGTTAAAAAACTCGCACTAAGCACACTAGAGTCCACCACGCAGCGCGGCGTGGCGATTGGCGCGATGTTATTATAGCAGTCATAAGCGGAGCGAAATGTGACAACTCTAACAGTTCAACGTTTTGGCGCCATCTTTGACATAACGCCACTCGCTAATATGGAGAGTAGAGGTAAGAAGAACCGTCTCTTATGGGAGAAGCTTGAAAAAGTGTCCCACTTTCAGCACTAAATAACAGTTCAAAAATCCTCCGGAATGGCGCTAGCATAGGCACGGGGTATGATATGAATTGAGCAGTTGTTAACTGATTGAAGTATGCTGAGTTAAGAAATTAAATACATTTAATCACTAGAGTAGTTAGTGACAGTACAATAAATACAAGAACTCACATGTTTACGTAGTTCAAACTAATTTCGTCATTAAAACCTAAAATTATTGCTGTGGTAAAACGTGGAGACATCGATTGCATTTTCTTATCAGCTTTAAATAAGCTATTTTTTGTGATTTTGTAGTGCTTACAGTTCTTTACTTAGTTCTTTTTTATTTGTCTATCTTATCCTAATAACTTTCAGCGCCTTTTTTAAAATGTACCCGGTTACTACTGTAGCGCCACCCTTATTTAGCAGGTTTTAACGGACACTTTTTCACACACAGAGACAGTTCTCCTTACCTCTACTCTCCATAAAATTAAGTTTCTAGCACAGCTACAAAATCATGCTCACGTGACGTGTTTTTTTAATTAGGTATTTTTCCAAATGTAACTATGTTTTTTGGTGTGATCCGTAGATAAAAAAGAATATCATTTGAAAAATTCAGTAGCATTTATTCTAGTCATAGATAATACACTTAATATTTGAGATGATTCTAGTGTTTCTATAATTAAGGCAATGTTCAATGTCGAGGAATAATTTACTTTATGAATATTGAAAAGTTAACGAACAAAATAAAGGCGAGATAAAATCGTTAAAGTCGTTTTAATTATGTCCACGAAGAACATTTTCTCTGTTTCGCCTGCAAAATTTATTAATTGTAATTAAAGGTCCGTTTTATTTGGTATCAGCATCAACAGTTCGATGTTTTTAATTTGAACTTCAATTATGTTTACTCCATTCGAATAGCTGAGGATTTTTTTTTGTTAACATATTTTTTCCAAATTTGAAATTTTAAATGGCTCTCCTGTAAAGTTTCAAAAATCTCGTTTAAACCAAATAGCCTTTCACTCCTCAATATATCTTTGAGAGATCCTGCCTACGACTAGGAATGTCACTCGGATCCCGAATCAGAGTAAGGATGTTGGGATAGCATCAAATAGTATCGATATTCATATTTAAAAAAGTCGATTTGTCGTAGCGATTTGAAAGATAATGTTGGCCCTCATCTAGTATATTTTGCTTACTAACTTACCAGTCCACAGACATTGTCCGTACCTATAGTACAATGCGCATTATCAGCGTCATTAACAGCCTATTTTAGTTCCCTATTGGACTTATGTCTGGTGATAGGACGTCTTGTGAGTCCGCGCGGGTGGGTACCACCGCCCTGCCTATTTCTGCTGTGAAGCAGTAATGCGTTTCGGTTCGAAGGGTGGGGCAGCCGTTGTAACTATACGGAGGCCTTAGATCTTATATCTCAAGATGGCTGGCGCATTAACGTTGTGCATATCTAGGGGCTCTATTAACCACTTAACACCAGGTGGGCTGTGAGCTCGTCCGTCCATCTAAGCAATAAAAAACAATAAAAAACATGGCCTCCTAAAAGGCACGCCACTTTACACCTTGTTACTGGGTACTTAACTACAAATCGCAAAATTGTCTTTTGTTGGAAAAAATATTCAATGTTCTTCGGAGTGAGACCGATTCCCACCAGCGACTTCCAAATCGTATACCATCTCATCAGCATCTCATATTTCGCAAGAATAAATAATAGTTTAAAAATAAACAAAAAAAAACGCCTTTATAGAAAATCCAACTAAAAAATAGAAAATATTTTTTTATAAATTTGAATTAAAAATAGTGTAAGAGCAAATGACTTTATTGTAAGTGTGGGGTGCATGGTATCAGTAGTCATAAATATTTTATGAACAGATATGAGTAGAAGAGTTATATTGATAATATCCTGAAAAGCTTTTTTACAATAAAATCATTTTTTCTTACACTATTATTAATTCAAATTTATTAAAATTTATTTTCTATTTTTTAGTTGGATTCTATAAAAGCGTATTTTTTTGTATTTTTATACTATTATTTAATTTTCATTGTTTAGTTGAATTTCAATTTTTTCATTTATTTTTTTTAAATATTGAATTGTCGTCGGTCCTTAATAAGTATACCAAATTTCGATTTAATCCAACGTTTTTAATGGGGGGTCTAAAATCATGTTCAAAGATTCCGTTACATGAAGCTCATAACAGCGTATTAAAAAGTAATTAAAATAACTTCAATTAAGTGTTAAAAAAATCTGTATTTTTTTAAACCAAATCTTAAATATAACACTAAGCTGTACATTAAAGACGAACATGACATTTTAATACGACTTAATTATTTAAGTATGTAAATTAATTACGGTATAACTTTTTTGTATTTAAAAAAAATATATATTACAAGACTTATTTATAATTATATTGCATCTTTTTAGCTTGTAGCAAGTTTAAAAAGAAATTCAACAGCACTATATTAAAAAAAAACCATAGACAAAATATTCTATTACATTAAAATCTATGTGATCAAACAATCGTTACCTACTTTTGTTAACAATAATTTAAATTTTACAGCACTAAATATAATCAATTTATTGGAGGTATGACCTCTTGTAAGTCCGCGCGGGTAGGTACCATCACCCTGCCTATTTCTGCCGTGAAGCAGTAATGCGTTTCGGTCTGAAGGGTGGGGCAGCCGTTGTAACTATCTTGAGACCTTAGAACTTATATCTCAAGGTGGGTGGCGCATTTACGTTGTAGATGTCTATGGGATCCAGTAACCACTTAACAACAGGTGGGCTGTGAGCTCGTCCACCCACCTAAGCAATAAAAAATATATATACATATATGTCCTATGAATGCATAGACAAAAACTCATTCAAGTCGTTCCAGCCGTTTAGTTGCAGTATAGATAAATAACCTAGATACCATCAACAGCGCCACCTGCCGGGCTCATTTGTGAATCTAAATCATCCAGGGCGCCACCCAAACGCATACAAAAAAATTCATTCAAATCGGTCCAACCGTTTAGGAGGAGTTTAGTGACATACACACGTACAGTAGAATTATATATATAAAGATTTATTCAATAAACAAACTAACAGCCCATAAATATAATAGTGTATAGATTGAGTACATTTTTTGTTGAATTTCATATGTGCATAGTCGGTCTAGTAAACAATCTCTTCCCACGGACACTGTTGAGACCAATGGAGCCATACTCCGATCACACTTACTATTGGAATGTTTCAGAATGGATCTAAAGAACAGAAATAGACAAGGATTCATTGGTGGGTGGGTTTTTTGTGATCTAGCAAGGGTAGGTACCATCTTCTTGCCAATTTCTGCCTATAGCAGTTTTATTCTGAACACTGGAGCAACCGTAGTGCTATATAAACTGAGACTTAGGACTCATGTCTCAAGATGGGCTGTGCATTAGCATGGTTGATGTCTATGGGCTCCGGTAACCACTTAACAGTAGGTGAACTCGTCTATCCATCCTAGTGATAAAAAATTAATAGAAAGATTTCTCACAAGCTAGTACACAAACTTTTCCTATTACTTACATACTTACATACCGTAAACACTAAAATTGCATTACTTTTAAAAATTATAATTACACTCACCAAATTGCAAATTCTCATAAAATCTAAGTCTACACAGATCGATCTCTGACATTGTTTGTCCATTCGTCGGCTTCTTAGACAATTACACTTAGATGATTCACATTAAGAAATCTAACTCTAAAACCTTGTTCACATAATATCTCTATTATATTTAATTTAAAGAGTTCCTACTACTATTTTCCATTTAAATGAGCTCCTGACATATCGGCAAGATCATGACCGAAGACAGAGAGTACAATATTAGGAGCAGACAAAATCGGTCTGCATAATTTCTGGTCCGTTTATAGAGCTCACATGCCCCAACAATATTACGACATTCCCGATGCTGCGGACAGAATGGAAAACAGTCGACGTCGCCCAAAACACGTCATCTCGGATCCTCCCGATGCACTAACGGTGCTTCTAGGTACTTCAAGCACGGGTCACCGTTTTCGTCGAACCCGTCGCTTGCGACGAAGGGCTCGACGAGTAAATTAACTCTCAGACACAGCCCACTGAGTTTCTCGCCGGATCTTCTCAGTGGGTCGCGATTCCGATCCGGTGGTAGATTCTGCGAAGCACTGCTGTCGTTAGGGTCAGTGTTAGCAACACTCCCGGTTTGAGCCCCGTGAACTCACCTACACATCAAGGAGAAGCTGAAATAGCCTTGAGAGGCAAACAGCTTAAGTAGGATTTTTTTTTATCTGTATTATGTTAGCATAAAAAATGTACACTTTCTAAAGATGGTGGTCCAATCTCCTATATACAGATAGTTCCTATATATTCACAATCAGCACACTAAATTCACACTCAACTCTGACAATTCTGCTCCGCCCAAGTTTGCACGAATTGCTCGTCGGTGACCATGTTAGAATTATCATAGGGCAATATCTGTTCGTTTGAATCGATTTGGACTTCGACAACTTCCTTGCTTATCAGTCCGATGAGTTCAGCGTATTTAGCACGTTGTTCCTCGGTCAGATTGGCCGGATTGTGGTTCTTCAGGTGATAATTTAAATGGCTGCTCTGCTTGTAGCGTTTCTCGCAGATGCCACATTGGAACGGGGCCACGTTTGTGTGCGTTCTCATGTGTTGCTTCAAGTGGACCGATTGGCAGAACGTCTTCGAGCAGATGACGCAGCGATATGGCTTCACTTTAGTGTGAATCCGGAGGTGCTGGTCCAGTCCGGACTTCTGGGTGAAGGATTTTGGGCAGTAATTGCACGGGTAGGGACGGTCACCCGTATGCATCCTCATGTGTTGCATGAGGCCACCCTGAAAAAAAACCCAATTAATTACAGTTTCATACGTGCTCGAATTGAAAATGGTACTATTTATTATATACCATATAAGCACCTTATTCGCGTTTTCACTATTCGCAGCTAAAGATTTCTATATTCGCGGATCTAATCGAAATACGGGCACAAGATGATTCTTAAAAAGTATTCCAATATGTACTTAGGTAACCAGCCGAATAGGAATTGAAGGCCTATGCGAAGACAAAACAAGCTTTGCCGATGTCAAATTTAAAAACAATTTACATTAATAGTATATACCTAAATATGAATTAAGGTGAAGGCTTCTTTATCTTATCTTTATCCAAACAAAAGGATATTCTTTTGTAGACGCGTCGTCAAATGGGCTAATAAAAAACGTAAAACAGACCTTATTACATCTACGCTTAAAGTATGTTATTATTTTGTCACGTACGGAACGTATCCCCAATAATCTCCCATATATGTAAATTACCATTCCACGGTTTCATTCGGTTTCTATATTCGCGGCGTATTCACAGAACATGAACCAAGCAAATAAAGACCACCTTCTACTCTTACTGTAGTTTAGTAAAAACAATTAAAATTACCTGTTGAGTGAATCTTTTATGACATATATTACATTCAAACGGCTTCAGTTTCACATGCCCTATAGCGGTGTGAGTTATATATTCGTTCTCATCGTGGAAGCCTTCGCCGCATGTCTGAAAAATAAAAAAAACACGACCTATATCCCATCTATATTGTTACGCCGGTAAGACCTCATCTATTGCCGAATAGTCGGACGAATATCGAAGGATCTAGTAGCACCTAGAACGCTCGAAAAGTACCACGCCATCTATTGTAAAATAGCGGAAACACAATACTAGAGATGTGTGGAATATTCTCGATAATTCTAGGGATGTGGTATCGGCTATAAAAACGTTGCAGAGATGGCACGCAGTCAGTTAGTAATCAGTACTACTCGAAGCGAAACAGCGAACGGATCATCTGAAGCGAAGCGGAAGAAGCGAATTGAGAATTTTAAAGTGTTTGTGATTTGTTTTAAATATAGTGTTAACTTGTGATTCGGTAGAATTTTTATTTATTCCGAACCCCAGCGCGTAACAATATCTATACATCTATATAATTATGTAAAGAAAAACTTTTAGTATTTAAAAACTTTATAACTTTGTTGTTTTAAAAAATATATTTCTTTGTCAATTTGAGATTAAAGGGCCTTTGAATGTTGTTTTCTTAGTATATTACAAGAAATGCAATTAAGTCTGTTATTATTCAATCATTCTAGAACATTATATATAAAATATCATTATATATAAAAAAGTAGCGGGAAACGTGAGAAGGGGGCGTCATAAAGACGTGGATGGACTGTGTAACAGAGAAAATGCTAGAGAAGGGTTTGAGGATGATGTATGATGATAGACCTCAAAAGGGGACACGCTGCGCCGACCTTAGATAGTGGGACAAGAGCATGAAGAATAAGAATTCTCTGTATCTATCAATCAGCTTACAGTAGACACAGAATATTTTAAGAACTTTTTCTTTAATTTGATCCAGGTTTTATTACATAGGCCACGAAGGTGTTACAATTCTTAGATTGTACGGGCCCTCGCGCACATTGTATTGCATACGGATGCATTTTACATCATTTTCGAGTCAGCTCGTGTACAACCAGCGTGCAACCAGTTAGGCGGCGGCTTGGCTCTGCCCGTGGCATTGCTGAAGTCCACGGGCAACGGTAACCACTCACCATCAGGTGGGCCGTATGCTCGTCTGCCTACAAGGGCAATAAAAAAAAAAATGTGTGCAATTCACACGTGGTAGAAGTGAAACCTTCCAAAATTAAAATACAATTATCCTAAACGTCTTAAGTATATGTAAAATTTTGTCATTTGTATATAATTGTAAGGTAGCGCCCTCTGTGAATTGATATTTTAGTTTCACGTATAATCCTAAATTAAAATTCACTACAAGAGCTTTCATACACACGTTAGTATTAAAAAATCTCACAGATGGCGCTGTATTAAATAGTATGTATATTTCTGTCTCATTCTTTGCTGGCTTCATCCTACACATTTTTGTATTTGTGTCTCTTACCTGTCGTTTTTTCCGTTGCATCCGGTTTGAAATCACAACGATTCTAAAGAAGTTTTCACTTCAAAAAAAACCATCAGCAAGGCATTGCATACTTGCATTATATCATTTGTATCATATAAACACTGATCAATTACTATAGGCTTATCAATAAGCAATTACTCAAACATTGGAGTTGTTATCACTATCACATCAGGGGGTTGTCTGGATCAAAAGATTGAAGGAAAAATATAAAAATCAAACTCTTCTACACTATGCGAGAGATGCGAATGTCGAGATGGATGTGTGGAGTGACAAGAATGGACAAGATAAGGAATGAGTATAGCAGAGGAAGTGTGATAGTAACCACGGTAATTAACAAATCAAAGAGCGGATGGTTAGCGTAGTGTGGACATGTGATGCGTAGAGAGGAGATGCATGTGACTGAGAGATGTATGGAAATGGTAGTGCAAGGTAGAGCGGGAAGGGGTCGACCGAAGAAGACATGGATGGAGTGTGTGAATGATGATATCCGAGAGAGAGAGAGAGGAGTGAGTGTTCAGATGGCGGCTGATAGGAGAGAACGAAAGAGAAAAAGTAGCTCTGCCGATCCCACCTAGGGGTATAAGGTGGAGAAAAAGAAGAAACTCTTCTACACAAACCGACTTGGATGAGATATCACCGTAACTTACCTCACAGTTGAAAGGAAACTGTACAGCATCTACAGACATTGGTTTCTCGCAGACTTGACAGCGAATTCCTTTCCGCCTCTTAGTGTGCTCGTCTCGGTGGTGCAGAGAATATTCACAACACGAGAAGAAGATCTGATGACAGAGACCATCGCCGCCGGTCAGCTGCTGGCACGTAGACGGTTGAAGACATTCGAATGGGCCTCTGCAAATAGTTTGATTACATTATTGGATCAGTTTATTCGGCCGTTTTTTATTGCCCTTGTAGGCAGACCATCATACGGCCCACTTGATGGTGAGTAGTTACCGTCGCCCATGGACTTCAGCAATGCCAGGGGCAGAGCTAAACTGCTGCCTACAACTGGTTTGATTATGCCCCTGACATTACTGACGATGACTACTGATGATCAGATGGGCCGTATTGCACCGTATGAGCATTCACTGTTGGCGAGGAAGAGGAGGCAAGCAGTGGTGTACAGACGAAATGAATGTTTTATTTTTCCTTCTAAATTATATTTGAAATAACGGCCGTGACAATATACAGGTACATAGGTGTTGTGCGTAAGGTTGCTGCGAGAAAAGTGTCGGTGCGGTTGCAGTAGTGCTCGTTGACCGATTTCTTTTTTTTTGGTAGTTTTTGTGCGCATAGACATTCACAAAGAGCAATTCTTATGTCAAGTTAAGTTTGACCTATCTAATCACTGAGACGGGTAGGTAAGCTATCGGGGCTCTAACTTGAAGACGTTGCTATACCTACCTAGCAAGAGCCATGCTTCACAGAATCTACAACCGGATCGGAAACGCGACCCACTGAGAAGATCCGGCGAGAAGCTCAGTGGGTTATAACTTCTTAATTTCTAAACAAAGTATGCCAGTTTAACAATAATATTGTACTTACGTAATAACTTTCGTTTCTCTGTTTCTCCTTGATGCTATCTTCTGCACTTTCTCACTCTTGGCTTCAGGTTTCTTCTTCTTGGGTTGAGTTCCGTCCGCCTTCAGGATTATGTAGCTGACGTCTTTAGAGGCCAGGTCCATTATGTTGGTCGGCTCTAACGAGGATATAACTTCTTCAGTTTTAATTTTAACAAGGTCCTCGTCGATTTTCATCTTCCCATTTGGTATGGGCTAAAAATATTTGTTAACGTTTAGATGTACTCAGCTCAATTTATCTGGTCACCAGACCAAACAAGATAGCTCTGATTGTAATTGTGAGTTAATTTTCTAAAAAAATCTAACTTTACTTAGAATTTCACTTATGCAAAGAACTCAGTTTTGTGAAACTGAGAAATGAGAACAATTTCACGATATCTCTGTTTAATGATTACAATTACCTGCGAATTATCGTGACCATAATAACGGTCTAGTAACATAATATTATTAAAAGCTATTGGATTTTTAGAGCTTATTGCAAAGATATGGTACAACTACATGTTCTATTCTGACAGTCTGAAGAATTGAATCATATTTTCAGTTATATGGTGCAAATTGCTTTGTGTTTAATAAAAAATGGGCTCAGGTTAGTTATTCACCTGAATTAATATAAAACAAAATGTATCACTTGGATAACTTTTTTAAATTTGAGTTTTAGTGATATTTGACATATTTAAATGTGGCTCGATGAAGAGGCAACAGATTCTTATGTTTAATCTCTCCCAATGCTTAGTAGCATTTTAGTTCACCTATGAGATAGAATAGATAGGTGTCTTGGACATGACATGGGAGGAGGTAGAACAGACTGCCTAAGACCGATGTAGATGGAAGGATTTGATTCAAGCCCAACATCCCAGCAGAGGGTAATAGGAAAGACTGATGATGATGATGATGATGAAATAGAAAAAGTATAACACAAACCTTTAACATCTATAACAAATATGTTTATAAGAATTTAAATCATCCATCATCATAAGCCATCATCACAATAATTTAATGTGAAAGTTATCTCTTGCCACACAACTCACCTTTTCATTGTTGATGAATATCTTTGTTTCCGTCCATATACTTGGATCACCAGTTGCGTAAGAATCTATGTGCTCCATTCGAGCGTGGTTTGTCAGTGCTATTTGACTTACAAAACCTTTTCCGCATAGGCGACAATTGACCACATCATCTTCATCGTTTACAATTATTTCTTGCTGTGGAAACAACCAAGTTATGTATGCAACGGAAATTATGTATTAAGTTCCTTTTGAGTGAGATGGCAACAATAAAAGTGGATATCTGGATAATAGAAATGACTTCTTAAGGGTGTCTTAACTTAACTTCTTAAGTGTTAACATAAGCATTCACTACAACCGTAATGAGTGGGGTGAATTTATTCACATTTCTGGGGTATACACATGAGATTTTCTAGGTATGATTTTCTTATTACAATTAGAGATTCGACTTCTAGTTTAAAGAATCTGAATTTTTTGTAAATACACTATAAGCCTCTTATTATTAACCCCAGAATTTCTAATCTTAAATATTAGTGGTGGGCACCTGTCCAGCCAATATAAGATTATGCATTTCAATTTGAATAGTAGGATTACTCTTGCACAATTTTAATTCAGACTTTAAATGATGTCTCCGGATGAGCAGTGTGTTTGGTGAAATTTTCGTAAGAGCACAGCGTTGGAATTTATTGATCTTTAAAAGCTTTATTCTTTATCTTCTTGTTCCCAGCGCTATCCTGGGTTCACTTTCCTACTTAAACTCCTCCACCTTCGTTCGACTCCCTTCTGGGTGAGGTTATTCTCCTCCATATCTGCGTTTATCAGATCCAAGCAGCATTTCTTGGGCCTAACGCGGGATCTTGGATCTTTACAAACTTTATTACATGTAGGTACCACATTCGTTCATAAATTAGTTAGTACTTAAGCTTATGTTACTTAGCCTTACCTTTATTTTACTATACGGCACGACATTAACAAATCTCTCCTCATCTGCCATAATTGTAGCGGAATTATCCTGGTATTTAACAGTATGTGTTCACTGAAAATTTGTTGCAAATTATTTCTCGTCAAATTACTTTGGCGCCGTAACATAGCATCATCATTAATCTTTAAGATTGATTTTGTATGACTTTAAGAGAAACTATCCAAATCGAATCCATGCATAGTGTTAGGAATAAATAATACATATACATATTTAAATACAATAAATTGGATTCAAATCGAAATTTTCTTAGCGGGAACCGAAAATTGTCAAATAAACTTTTTTTTTAGAAAAAATTAAGGTTATGCATTGGTGTTAGGAAAAAAATTAAAAGTTTATGGATTTTATGTTTAGGTGCCTTTACGAAATTTGTAAGTTTTGCTTACATAATATTGCTAGTTTTAGATAGATATAACAATAACAGAAGAAAAGAATGTAAACAACAACAATTACCTTTAATTTTCGCCTATAAGTTCAAAAATGAATTTCCTTTGGCGTTTGTTTTTTTTTAATTAAAAAAAAGAGGGCGAAATAAAAAAAGTCAAATGAAAAAAGTAAATTATGGCGCGATTTCAAAATTATTAGTTTAATGCTTTTTACGTAAAACTTATCAAATGATATCTACAAAAATACGAAATTTAGCAGATTAAAAGAGAAATAGCTTCTAGTTTCTACGCAATAACTCCGAAATGGTCGCCATTTCGTGATTCACCAATCTTCAATAATGCTTGCCGCTTGGTCGATTTGTAATTATCTATGGTTGAGGTGACGACGTTCCTTTAAACGCTACAAAATTTACTGATATCGATAAATTTCAATAGCAATTAACACTTCTTATGTTTAAAAAAGACAAAGTTAACATTTTGTGATTTAATTTTCATTTAATCAGTAACTTTTTACAAATGCAAATACTTTTTTCAGTATATTTGATTAGATCGATATTGTAATAGCCATGGCGATGAAGTGCGAAATTAAATCGATCAGCCTAATAGCGTTCTCTGACTCATTTAATTACATTTTTATTTAACTATGGCGAAAGCTACGACAATTAAAGAAGCAATAAAAAAATGGGAAGAAAAAACTGGCCTACACGCCGCAACAGCCACAGAAGTGAATTTAATATTTCAATGGCCGCCAATTGAAAAAATGGATAATTCGTTAGCTTCTTTAGTTAATTGCGAGTAAGTTTATTAAAATAAAGTGCTTTTCTTTTTCCCAACGTTTTCCCGATCTAGTGCCAAGGCTCACTTTCCTACTTTAAGCTCCTGCATATTTCCCGGTGTTCGGCATCCTTCTGGGTGAGGTTATTCTTCTCCATATCCGCCTTTACCATACCAGCTTTTCTAGGGGCTACTGCAGGATCTTGGATCTGGTATCTTAAGACAACTTATTCCGACCGAACCTGGGAGCCTGCGGCTTAAGCTTACTAAAAAAAACTGAAATCATTTTTCGGGATTGTGGAATTTATTCTTACAAAAAAAGTGTTTAATATCATTGGCCACTTGATCACTTTGCTTACGTCTCTTCCCAAGACATAGTTTGCTATAAGACATCTGTGTTACATACCTGCACAAAGCATTTAAAAATTTCTACTTCAACTATTATTTCTGGTTTGACTTTTTTTGTTACTTTAAAGACTTTAAGGACTGGATTTAAACTTAATAGCGCTCCTGGGCACCGATCTACCCCAATATTGGAAATTTACTTAAACTTATAGTTGACATTATTTTTTTCAAATTTCATAGAATTCTTTATTTTATTTATTAGGCACAAAGTACACATCACAAGCTAAGAAGATAAAATGGTAACGCAATTAAATCCAAAAAACCAATCTTTTGCAAAAAAAACAATTAAGATATTATGGCCTGATAGCGAGACCTTTGAGCCAAATCTTATTTCTTTTGTTATACTGTTAAATGGTAAATGAAATGATGCGAAATGTGATTAAGTTGCTTAATTTGAGACTTTAAAGAGTTGGGACGAAACTAAATGAAACGAAACAAGATTCGATGAAATAAAGGCTCAGTAAAATTTGAGTTATATAATGTGATTTTTTCAGTGGCCAATTTGCAAGAGCCGAGAAGTTGTAATCCAGCGATTTGTTTAATTTCCACACATTTGTGCATTCTCAAAAATGCTAAACAGTTAATTAGCCACCCTTATTACATACACTTTTAAATTAAATTAAATACATACAGCTTCGTTCCCGCCAAACAGATCCCAAGTAGTTCCGGTGATTCCATACGCAAGCAAGGAGTTTTAAAAAAAAACTTTTTTTCGACAGAAAACTCAGCTTATCCACGAACATGATAGAAAAGGTAACGGGATTGAATAGCTTAAAAAAGCTCCGAATTCTTTCACTTGGTCGAAATTATATCAAATCCTTCGCCGGTATGGTAAGTATTAGAGGTTTTGTGTGATAGTCTTTACTTAGTATGGCCAAGATCGAACACTGAGCTTTTTCGGACATATCATACGATCTCCAAGACATAGAAAAGTTTCTCATTCTTGGGCAGGTGCAGGTTCAGGCCTAAGCATATTGTATCGAAAGGGGTTCGTTGGCATCGCCCCTAATTCCTTTCTCACCAATCGTTTGGGTCCTACGTACCACGGCGTGCGCTCCGATTGAATGTTCAAGATGATTACGTCGTCTCGTTTTTACCATCGTCCCGCCTTCCACTAGAGAAGAGTCCGTACTACATAAAATCGCTGCATTCATCGACAATGCCTTTCCAGGGTTCTCTCAATGACGTACCATCCGGCTCTAGAATTAACTCTCCTCCATATGACATGTCCTTCTTTGGACGACGGTAGACAGCGACTTGGCTTTACCCCTGGCATTGCTGACGACGATGAGCTAAGGGGACCGACCACAAATTTAATCATAGGCTCGTTTGCCTAAAATGCCAATAAAAAATTAACAATTACGTTATTGTGTGCTTTTAGTTTATTTATTACTCAATCTTCCAGGAATCACTCGGAGACACCTTAGACGAGTTATGGGTCTCTTACAATCTAATAGAGAAACTAAAGGGTGTTCACGTTTTGAGGAACCTGAGAGTGTTATATATGAGCAACAATTTGGTAAAAGAGTGGAGTGAATTCAATAAGCTACAGGTTTGTGTGGGCAGTGGCGAGATACTTTTTTTCCTACCTAAGCTGATGGTATTGAGAGACCACGTCAGCGTAACCTTAATTAGTAGGTCAGTTTACGGGGCTCAAACCGGGAGTGTTGCTAACACTGGACATAGCAAGAGCAGTGCGTCGCAGAATCTACCACCGGATTGGAAACGTAACTCACTGGGAAGATCCGCCGAGAAACTCAGTGGGCTGTGTCTATGGGTTAATTTCGCTTGCGACGGGCTCGGCGAGGACAGTGACCGGTACTTGACGTATCTAAAAGCACTGTTAATGTATCGGGAAGATCCGTAATGATGTGTAACAAGAGACTAAGAATAAACGTTATGAAGACGGTAGTTTGAAATAATGATTACGGGTTTGTTGCCATCACGCGTTTGGGAAAAAACGACGAAGGACGGGTCTTCCTACGAGCGGTTGCAATGGCTCAGTAGATCGACAACACAAATGTTGTTGTTGGGAACTTGTATATATTGTATTTACTGTATTTACTGGTGGTAGGACCTCTTGTGAGTCCGCGCGGGTAGGTACCACCACCCTGCCTATTTCTGCCGTGAAGCAGTAATGCGTTTCGGTTTGAAGGGTGGGGCCGCCGTTGTAACTATACTGAGACCTTAGAACTTATATCTCAATGTGGGTGGCGGCATATTAGCTGTAGATACACTATGACTAGTAGACTATGATTTCAGATAACCACTTAACACCAGGTGGGCCGAGAGTACGCCCAACCTCCTAATCAAGAAAAAAATCAAGCAGTCAAATGTCTTAAGGTGTTTATTATGATGGCTACCACCATACGCGCTATGCTTATACATTTTTTTCCAACAATTGATGCATACCGTACAAATGTTGTTAAAAAATGAATTAAATGTTTTAATTATACGTACTCGATCAATTAGAGAAGAACGTGGCATTCATAACACTAAATACAACTATAAATAAAGTAAATAAAGCTTACGTAACAAATCCAAACGGCTGATAAACAAGGATTCCATACGGCCACGACTGTTCTGCCCAGAATAGCCGACTATGATGAACGAATCCAAAAAACATATTAAACAGAATATAAAACATAAATAAAATATTATTTTAATTGAACAGACTAAATTGACAAGAGAATATTGAAAAAAAAAATCGCTATTCACTTTCCCCGCCAAAAATCCTAGGTGTGCTTGTATTATCTATTAACGCAACGGGATCTTAAAACGTAGTTATCACGAACTTCAAGACTTCCAAAAAAATTGCATTCACATCTACGACCGATGAAGACAATAATTTCATAACTTCGACCTAATAGAGAATATAGAAAAAAACAAACGTGTACGTCTCAGGTCGCCCGACAGAAGTGATAACTAAGTTGAACTATTTATTATTGAAATTGTTTAATTCGGAAAAAGCTCAGGTTATTACTTAAATTTTATGTATAATAATATGATAATGTAATGGAAATTATAACATAAATTAAAAAAGGTATGGTTGAGATTTACATGCTTTCTTAGTACCGCTGCCGTGTGCGTGAGAGAAAGAGACGCCAGACAGACTGGCGCTGTAACGCTTTACGTAACGAAGCGGCCTACCTTCCCGTAAAAAGTTATCACTGCAAATATTGTTCGTTTAATTTCTACTTCAGTTAATCCTTAACGACATTCTCTTTGATTTTGTTGTTGATTAAAATGTAACTCTGACAGGACTTACCGAATCTAGATGACCTGCTGTTTGTCGGCAATCCTCTATACGACGCGTGTGAACTAGACACGTGGAGGTCTGAAGCCGCCCGACGTCTACCTAACTTGAAAAAACTAGACGGTGAAACAGTTCTAAGGGAGGACGACCCGCCTCTAACAGTCGCTAATATGCAGGTAAAAAAAAATCTACAAATTTCCCTACAAACTTTTGGGCCGGAACCTGAGGAGCGAATTGTGTGAATTGTTTGATTTGTTAGTGTTTCTTCGGACTTAAACGTGCAATAGCAGTGGTCAATTAATAATTATTCAGAATCTGTTTAACCCACTGAATTTCCGGTCTCGCCTGATCTTCCGGTCATCGTTCTCATCGAACCCGTCGCTTGACGAAGAGCTCGGCGAGTAAACTAACAGACACAGCCCCCTGAGTTTCTCGGGGATTTTCTCAGTGAGTCGCCTTTCCGATCCGGTGGTAAATTCTGCAAAGCACGGCTCTTGCTAGGGTTCGTATTAGCAACATCGTCAGGTTTGAGCCCCGTGGACTCACCTACTCGCACGGTTACGCCTGATCTTCTCAATGGGTCGCGATTACGATCCAGTAGTAGATTCAGGGAAAGCACTTCCCTTATTAATCCAGAGCTAGTGTGAGCAATTTCTCTCAGGCTGAACCACGTGAGCTCACCTACTTAGCCGTGCGTGTTTGAAATAGCCCCCTAAGCTAGCAACGATTAGATAGAAAGAAAACAACATATCTGAAAGTGCACGTATGGGAAAATGAAACCGCAGAACGTGTTTTCTCGGGTTCTTCCAAAAAATCCACTGGATTCTCAGTGAATAACCACCATTTTTCTTAGTCTTTATTTCATTCAATTTCATCTCGTGTCATTTACTGTCATCCCAATCGATAATTAATCGCCTTCATTTCATTTCGCTTTATATGTTTTGTCATGTAACAGAATATGCCAATTACAATAATTTAAAAAAGAAAAAAATTAAACAATGGCGGTTTTCCAATTACAGAGCATAATGCGACTCAGTGACGCACAATGCCGAATTATGGTGAAGCTTAATTGGAACGTGAAATGTGAATTAGTTTTCAAATGCATCAGCAGAGTGCGCTAAGTTAGCACAGTTTTAATTAACATTGATTATTTCTAAGAAACTACGACGAAACGAAAGCCTTACAATTTTTTTCAACATTAAATAATATTACTAACGATAATATAAACAAAATTTCGATAAATGCCAACTTAAAGAAAAAACACTTGTCAATTTTCTGTCACTGAGTCGGTATCGATTGCGAGTATCACGCGAGAGCAGTACTTTTGAGAGTGCTCGATTGTGCGAAGCGTTGCTGTAGTTGGAACATTCAAAGTTGAGCATTATGCCGCATAATGCGCTCTTGTGCTGTAATTGGAAAACTACCAATATTGTAACTGTTCAGGCGCCTGAATATATTCTGTGGTTTTTTCATAGACCTTTAGTTTTTTTACCGCGAAAACCTATCACTGTGTTACACGTTAAAACGCTCTGAATTATATCCCAATTTTCTATTATTTTAATTCCAGCTTCACTGTAATTCCCGAACACTTGTCCTTTCAAACTAAGCAGTTTTAATAAGTCTATTACACATAAGTCGTTCCAACTTCATAGAACAGTAAACTAACAAAATAAAACAATTCAAATAATTTAGCTTCTTTAATTCGCGCCAAAATGTCTTCATCTGACAGATTCATTTAATGTTTGTGAAGGAATAACATCGTGTGATGAAAATCAAACCCGCAAAAAAATATAATTTGCGTTATTACTGGTGGGACGGGCGTCTTCCGAACTCGGGTATACCAACCCCACCAGTCTGCTTAATCATGCAATGCGTTTTGCGTTGAAGGGCGGGACAGCCGTTGTTCTGTAAAAACTAAGATTAGGAACTCATGTTTCAGTGTGGGGTCATTTACTATGTTGTTATTATTATTATGAGCCTAGATATCAGTAATGCCTTTTCATGAGTTCTATCTCATGCGAGGTTTGGACGTTGGTTGTTGAGCGACAGGAGGTTTTAGTCAGTTCGACACTGACATACCCCGCCCAGTATCCCCAGAGAAGGGCGGAAGTCCGGCGATTTCCTCCTGACCAAAAAAAGAAAAAAGATTTCAGTAATACAGGTCTTTGAACTTAGTACGGACTTCAGCTCTTTCAAAGGTTAAAAAAATAAATTATAAGGTAAATCTCTATTTGTATTTGTAACCTTTCAGAGAAAAATAAATTATCATTATTCCCGAGACACTATTTACGAACAAAAATGAAGACGTATGTACCTATATTAAACATGTTCAATTTGCTTCCAGCCTGACAGTGGAGACGCTGTTGAGACCTTGGTCAGTGTAGAGCCAAACGATTAATGGGAGATATTAACTACAAGCACGTGCATCGATGAAAACGGCATTTGAATAAGTTATTATAGGCAAAAACTAGGCTTTTTGTTGTTTATCTGAAGGCAACATAATAGATTTAGTGATACATAGATAGTTTATGATAAAATGAAAATAATAAAAACGATTTGGAGCTGCTGTAAATGTAATTTTTATTGTGATTCGTTTTTTTGGCGTGACAGCGTCTTATACATGGATGAATGCTGGTTACACGCACGAGAGATTGGCACGTCCCGCCCGAGCCCGAGCGTGCGAGCTAGAGCGCGGAACGAGCGATAGAGAGGCACAATCGGCTTTTTTTTCCTACCTAAGCTGAGAGCCTTGAGAGGCTATTTCAGCGTAACCTTGACTAGTAGGTGAGCTCACGGGGCTCAAACCTGACGACGTTGCTAACACTGGCCCTAGCAAGAGCCGTGCTTCGCAGAATCTACCACCGGATCGAAACGTGACCCACTGAGAAGATCCGGCGAGAAACTCAGTGGGCTGAGTCTATGGGTTAATAAGCTCGTCGAACCCGTCGCTTGCGACCGGCCGGAGGACGATGACCGGTGCTTGTGGTACCTAAAAGCACTGTTAATGGATCGGGAGGATCCGTAATGACGTGTTTAGGGCGATGTCGACTGTTTACCATTCGGTCTACAGTATCGGGTATGGGTTAATTTTGAAAATCATTTCGCGTTATATTGCCGAGTGCTTTATACAAGAGCGTTCGCAGCAGACATGGATATAACCGTGCAGGCTTTCAACATACTATTAGATCGGTAGGAGCTCACCGTCGACTTGATGTTAAGCGATCCTTGGAGCTCATGTCATCTCCTCAGTCAGGTTAGGATATCCTGGACAACGCACGGTTTCTCAATACACCTTACCTTATACATCAGTAGTCAAGGAAATCATAACAGAAAGATTCACCGAGAAAATTCACAGGGATGGTTCGGAAATATATTTAAAATTGAAACAATACCAAAAAAATACAAAAAAAATATCTTTATTTACACTTAACACTAACTTCATACTAAAACGTAATATTATTTATTGTACAATCTTTACAGAAGGCATTCCTTTTACAATTCTTTAGTTTTTTATTTAAATCTAATTATAATCACAAGTCTTTTACACGATTTGAAAAAAAAAACAAAAAAAAATATTTGCATTGAACAAAATTTATGGTTAAACGACTTTTTTTATATTATTTACTGGATCAAGTCCTTTGAGCCAAATCTTCATTTAGTGTTTCATCAAGGAAACGTGAAATGTAATAATGAAATGAAATAATCTCCATGATTTACAGAAATTTCCTATTCAACCAGAAGATTGTTAGTTTACTGTCTCAAGTTTACATGAGTAATAATAATAATGGAGGCTTATTAACCATCTTTATATATATAATTATATAATTTTACTGTACGTGTGTATGGTATGGTTTACTGGTGGTAGGACCTCTTGGGAGTCCGTGCGGGTAGGTACCACCACCCTGCCTAATTCTGCCGTGAAGCAGTAATGCGTTTCGGTTTGAAGGGTGGGGCAACTGTTGTAACTATACTTGAGACCTAAGAACTTATATCTCAAGGTGGGTGGCGCATTTACGCTGTGGATGTCTATGGGCTCCAGTAACCACTTAACACCAGGTTGGCTGTGAGCACGTCCACCAATCTAAGCAATAAAAAAAAAGTCACTGAACTCCTCATAAACGGGTGGATTGATTTGAATGATTTTTTTTGTATGCGTTTCGGTGGTGCCCTGGATGGTTTAGATTCACCAATCAGCCCGACAGACGGCGCTGCAGTCGGTATCTAGGTTACCTATACTGCAACTACACGGGGACTTTTTGGCGGGAACGCGAAGAGTCAAGTTGTGTGATTTTTTTTATTTTGTCTTGACTTTAGAACTTATATCTCAAGGTGGGTGGCGTATTTACGTTGTAGATGTCTATGTGCTCCGGTAACCACTTAACACCAGGTGGGCTGTGAGCTCTTCCATTCATCCAAAAAAAAAAAATAAGTACGTGTATTTCATTAGAAAAATCGGTACCTGTCCGCAGGATTCGAACACTGGTGCATCGCTACACACGAATGCACCGGACGTCTTATCCTTTAGGCCACGACTTCTAATATACGAGAATCATTTGTTTTAAGCCGGAGCAATAAAGTTCATTCGTGCCATTCGCTGCTAACTCCTGCCCGACATGCCGACCTCAAAGGCTCAGGGCACTGCACTAAACATCATTCATCGAAGACACACAATACACCTGTCTGTATGGACTTGTAACCGAAGGAGACTACAAATCACTCAGTCATCTGATCTCAGACTAGGTAATAGATACGTTAGGAACACAGAGACCAGCAACAAAAACAAAGTTTGTTCATCATTGAAGCGTTTGCCCGATGTAGGAATCAAAACCACGACCCTCAGCTCTGCAAGTCGTCAAATACAGCACCACTGTCTCACCAGATCAGTCACGGACACAGTAGACCTGAAGAGCCCTTCGAAGAAAGCCTTCTGTCTCTTCTAAGCAGTCCCAGGTCATCCGTCGCAGCTCAGTTCACATGTATATCCTTCTCAGATGCTGGGCGGTGGTGATGGCGTTGCACTGCGGACATATCTTCTTGGCTTTCAACGACTCCAGCCAGCAGACCTGAAATTCAAACAACAATATTTACTGGTTGCAGGATACATTGTGGCATTTTATTAGTTTTAATTAAATTGTATAATAATAATAAAATATAGGATAGGTAATATGTTACTGCCATCTACAGGAGCAATGAGAAACTAATCGAGGTAAAGCCATCTAGTGGCCGACGCCCGTAAACATTTTTGTTGAGTGCTCGAGTTGATTAATCAACTAATTTATGGGTATTATCTATGCTTTAAATTCAATAAATGAAATTCAGACTTTTTTGGCGGGAACGCGAGGAGTGAAGTTGTGTGATTTGTTTTATTTTGTCTATTTAGTGTTTCTTCAGGTTTAAATGTGTAATAGCGGTGGTTAATTAACTGTTTGATATCTGCGAAAGTGCACAAGTGTGGGAAAATGAAACAAGGGCGCTGGACGTAACTTCTCGGGTTCCTCCAAAAAGTCACTGAAAAAATCTCAGTAAATGACCACCATTTTATTGCGATTATATTTCATCCCATATAATCTCATTTCATTTAATTTCATCCCAGTTGATTAATGTCTTAAATTAATCATCTTCATTTCATTTCACTCCATATTATCATTTTTCATAAAAATAAGAATATAAATTAAAATAAGACATGACTTAAAGGTCTCAGTTACCAGGTCATAAAATCCATTAAAAAAAAATGAAATTCATTGGAAAATCGCTGACGTCATCAGTCTCTGACGTCACCGCTCGTTTCATCATATATATTGCGCGTGTTATAGCTGTTGAGTCCCGTTGAGAAATGAAGGTAGTTGTATTTTTTACTGGACGAGAAGCTGGCACAGTTCCGACGGTACCACCCCCCCTCCCCACCTCACGAAGAAGGAGTTAATGCGTGAACACATGCATTTTTTTATTGTCCTTGTAGGCAGACGAGCATATAGCCCACCTGATGGTGAGTGGTTACCGTGGCCCATGGACTTCAGCAATGCCAGGGGCAGAGCCAAGCCGCTGCTTACTCTCCATCACAATTAAAATCTCACATCTAATCCGAACGGTTAATGTTTCCGTGAGCTTTAAGTATTAGGTACCACAAGCCGGTCACCCTGGGACGCGTCTACCACATGACTCATCGCTCAAGTTTGAGTATAATGTACTGACCTCACAGTAGACATGCCAGCACTGTATCGAGACGGCCGGAGACACGTATGACCCGAGACATATAAGACACTTTGACTGAAACAAAAATCAATTACAGTCTCAAAAACACCAGTGTGCTAAGTTTTGGGGATAACGACAAAGGGAAGATCTTCTACCAACCCGGGTGATATTGCTCGGTAGACCCGACAGTCCGAATGTTGTTGTTCGGAAATTTTATACAGGGTGTTACAAAACTTAGGCCTTGTAATAATATGTCCTTATAACGAGTCCATTCATAATATTTAAGAACCGTATAAACGATGTATAAAATTCCACAAAAAAAAAAAAAAATATTTTCACTGATGTGCTAACCCTATTTCAGTTAAAATTAAAGAGTAAAACTACGCAGAATGTACTTACATTTATACCTAATTCGCGAAACGACAAAAACTTTAAAAGACCTAACCATGTTAACTTTTTTTTTTCTTTTCGACATCCTTGAAGCCAGCAGGGCTCAAGTATAATGACATCCTTGTATTGAGATAGCAAACATTTATTAATGAAAAATAGAAAAACTATTATAGTAGACTATTATTAGGTAAAATAGGTATGTAGGGCTTTCTGTTCAATAATCTTCTAATTCAATAAACTTTGATAATTATATAATTATATTTTTTTTACGGGGTATTTTGTAGCACCAATTTTTCTAATGAAATACGTACTCAAGAAATGTTCACGATTGACTTTCACGGTGAAGGAATAACATCGTGTAATAAAAGGGGGTAGGGCAGCCGCTGTAACTAACTATACTGAGACCTTACAACTTATATCTCAAGGTGGGTGGCGCATTTACGTTGTAGATGTCTATGGGCTCCAGTAACCACTTAACACCAGGTGGGCTGTGAGCTCGTCCAACCATAAAAGCAATAAAAAAAGAAAGAAAAAACCTGTTTGGTATATGCAAGCTTAACTTGAAAATGTCATAAGCGAGATACAGGCATCTGTCAAATATCTGGCGTTGTGTAACAGTCACCACCACAAATTAAGCTATATTTTAAATAGTTATTGGTGGAATAGCCAATTTTTTATTGTGTAATAATACATACCTCTGCGGCACCGTTCTGTTTCTTCTCCATATCCTTTATTTTCGCCTTTAAAGCCTGGATCCTTGTCTGAAAATACAAGTTATAATAACATTATGTATCGGAGTAAAAACTGCAAAGCAGACATGAAGGTATGTAAGGTGCATCGGAGGTTATACAACAGAGACTTTGATCTAATAGCTAGCCAATAGTTGGTAGCCACCTGCAAAGTCTACAAGATACCCTGAGGCAGGTCATAATAACTCCTCAGGGGTTCAGAGTTCGGTCTTATACCTTCCACTCTCCCAATCAAAAATTTTTTTTGAAGTGGAACTTCTTTAGCACATTGAGAGTAAAATTTAACTTGCGACATATTTGTTACGGCTAGAGAGAAAAGATACAATTTAGGACGAGCGAGAGTGAGAGAATAGACAGAGAGTCTCCCCACGCTTTTTTTACTATAACATTTTTTTTTCTTACACTATTTTTAATTCAAATTTATTAATATTTATTTTTTATTTTTTAGTTGGATTTTCTATAAAAGCGTATTTTTTTGGTTTTTTAAAACTATTATTTATTTTCTTTTTTAGTTGAATTCCAATTTTTCTAATTTTTTTTTTTAAATATTGAATTGTCATCGGTCCTTAATAAGTATGCCAATTTTCGAGTTAATCCGACGTTTTGAAGGGGGTCAAAATCATGTTTAAAGATTCCGTTACATACTAACACACGTATGAAGCTAATAAAAGCGTATTAACAATATTACCCACCTCAGCGCTGGCTTCCACTAAGCCGTTGCATTTGGGAGTTGGCTCTTCAATTCTATCTTCAGTCTCAGTTTCATTGGTTGTTTGCATATCAGTCTGATCTTCGTTCGTTTGCTGTTCATCCTGATAACATATAAAAATATACATATATACTGGGTGTGTTAGGAAAATGTTGTACGTACAAAGCGGTAAATTTTCGAGAAGGGCGGTACCAGCGCCGCGCCTGGGCGGTCGTTGACTCGAGCATCAGCTGTTTTTGATTTTGTGTTACATTGCTGGTTTTTTTTTAAGTAAAGTAATATATTTTTTATCTGAAACTATAATTTAATTTAGCTGTGCTAACGTGATGGAGCGTAAATAATGCTAATAAATCGTTTTAAAAATATGTTTTTTTTTTAAACCAGGGTCTATTTTCTTCTGTCCCATCGTCAAAGGTGTCATTAGTACTATCGTCTGTTTTCGTTTTCGGAAGCGGTCTCCTAACACCCAGTATAATATATATAACGGCATAACCCGATCATTCCGGCTTTTCCAATGTTAAAATTGTTGGTTAGCAGTTATAAGCCACATACAATTCAACAATTATTTATGACGATATTCAGGAATATTAAAACTACCCCATTGTTCTACTAAAAACACGAGTTTTCTCAATTATGAGTATAAGTTAGTATGTAATCATTCGTGCTTGCCCATCAAACCGAAGCGCATTACTGCTTGACGGCAGAAATAGGTAGGCCGGTGGTGCCTACCCGTGCGGTCTCACAAGAGGTCCTACTGACGTCAATTATATATATTTTTTCGGAAACTTACATTGGGTGCTATCCGAGATGGAGAATACTGGGGCGGTCCATACAGCTCTGTGTCTTCATCACCATCCACCACCTGAAGAAAATAATTAGAAAAAAAAAATTGTTCATACACCCAAAATTTTCATCGGTTCAGCATAGTTTCTATTTCTATTCTAACTATACTGAGATTTTAGAACTTATATCTCTAGGTGGGTGGCGCATTTACGTTGTAGATGTTTATGGGCTCCAGTAACCACTTAACACCAGGTGGGCTGTGAGCTCGTCCACCTATCTAAGCAATAAAAAAAAATTATAAACATCATCATCTTCTTTCTTCTCCTGCCCTTCTCCCAGTCACCTAGGGTCAGCGCAACATATTTTCTTCTTCCATACTCCTCTAACATATACCATTTCTTTGCTCACTCCCTTCTTACACATATCTTCTTTCACGCTATCCATTCATTTCTTCTTAGGTCTACTTCTTCCTCATCTATATATAAATATATACACAAATAATATCTAACCACAGTTCATTCACACAACAATCAACCACATATGAGGAGTTCTTGGTGACTTTGCAAGGAGAAAACTTGTGTGAATTGCCTTTATTTTGTTAATTCTTATCTTCAGGTCTATATGTGTGATAACGGTAGTTTGTTCATTGTCTAGTGTCTGTGAAAGAACATAAATATATGCAGGTAAACCAAAACAAACTAAATTACTTAATCTCATTTTGCTTTACATAATCTTTCATATAACAGGACATGAGAAGGAATAAGAATTTGCTTAATGGTCTCACTACCGGGCTATAACATCTTCAAAAAAGTGTAGCTTGATAAGAAACCATTTTTTTCGTATATACTTACCAGCGCTTGATCATTGGAAGCCCTACGGACACATGTGGCCGCCCTTGAGTCCGCATCCTGCAGAGCCGTCGCTCTGACCCTCCACTCACCACACCACTGGTATTCAGCACCAAACCCGCTGGCTGAAGGTTCGTCATTCTGTGAAGATGAATATTTCAAGTTATATTTAAATCATACCCGTCAAAGCATAAGATTGCTTGAAGCAGCCAAGATACAACCAAGATGTAATGAATTATATACTCACTTCTACATCGATGCTGCCCTCCTCCGAGCTGGTATCAGGTATGTCTTCATCCATCTCTGCTCCTGTTCTCTTGAGGCACCTCAAGGCGTGCCTCTGTAGTTTGGAGGTTGGTAAGGTTGTATTGCAAACAGGACACTCTCCGTTCTGTGGGGGAGGAGTGCTTCTCCGACGAGCCCGGAGACGGCGGAGGCGGTTCGCGTGTACTCGCTGCAGATAAATATTGAAATCCTACTAATGTTATAAATGGGAAAGCTTTTCAAGACGGATGGGGTTGTTTGTTATTCTTTAGGTTTTAACATACAATAATGATGGAATATTAACTTGATATCGGTTTGGTACCGGTTCAAAAGGGACAATTGTACTTGTCGTGGCGTGTAGCCTGCGACAGAGCATACGATGACTGAACATAACCTAAGGAAAGACTTGACAGGTGTGATTCGAAAAAAATGGAAATGGACGAACATGACTGGCAGTAGGATTCTTTTCAATGCCTTCTTAAAATACATACACGAAATAGATAACAAACAAACAAGCCAATCCTTGTAGTACTAAAATGAAACATTGAACGCTGGACATGGCTTTTCTGTCTTCTAAAAAGTTCACTGACATCACCGTAAACTTCCATCATTTTAGTGGCACATTAATTCACTTAATCTCATTTCCCCAGGTATGTGGTGACTTTGGTGTGATTTTCATGTAACCATTTAGCACCAGGAGAGCTATGAAGTTGTTGTTGAATTATTTATGTTAAAAAAAAACCTTGACATCTTTGAGAATGTACTCTCTACACTCTTATATCTGTATAGCTAACGGATTGTAAATATAACAGATATTGTCTGTGTTTAGCTCCAGAACAATATTCAACTGAAGTAGGAGTGTGTGTGTTTATAATTTATTTCAGTTTATTATTGACATTTAGCAACCTTTTGATTGAGGAGCTTCAGAACAATTCTTTCAAGATATCTTGCACTTGTTAAAATGATATGTGCAGATAATGTATAATATCAGTTTAAATAAATAACTATCCTAAAGAGTTGTATGAAGTGCACAGAATTGCCATTTCTTTGAAACATCTCTTAATAATTAAGTAATTAAAATAAACTTGCATAATCATACAAAAGTTTTAGACAACAAACTGTGGGCTGTCGATCTATCAAACTTATTCCACTTGCTACTCAGTAAAAAAATTTTTATTGTCATGTTTTTTATTTATTTTATTGCTTTGATGGGAGGACTAGCTCACAGCCCATCTGTTGTTAATTGGTTACTAGAGCCCATAGACATCTACAACGTAAATGCACCACCCACCTTGAGATATAAGTTCTAAGGTCTCAGTACAGTTACAATGCCTGCCTTCAAGCCGAAACGCATTATTGCTTCACGGCAGAAATAGGCAGGGTGGTGTACCTAACCGCTCGGACTCACAAGAGGTCTCATCATCATGCTTTCCTATTACCCTCTGCTGGGGTGTAGCACAAGAGGTCTACACCAGTAAAAAATATTATTGTATCTAATCTCTTCAAATATTAAGCATACTATATATATCAAGGACTTTTTGTTAATTTTACTTGCATGTTTGTTGTTTTCAAATAAATGCTATTTCAAACACTGAACCAAACAAGACTACAGTATCAAAAGAAATTGGCACCACATATTTCAAAGGGCGAAGGTAAAAAAACATTGATATATTATTATTGATAAGTTACAAGGTAACAAGATGTAAAACTTATACTTCTAAGTATCCAAATTAATATTACAAATGCGAAGGTCTGTTCTGTTTGTTTGCCTTTTTTTCGATTGACGTGTATTTTTTGAGAAGAATTAGGTCAAAAGAACGACATACCTAGGCTACCTTTAATACGGAAAAGACGTCTCGCCCTCACGATAAACTGCACTAAGCCCTTTCCTTGAGCGCGCAAATGAAACCACAGGTAACAACAATATTATTCACCTGGTAAACATCGCTGCCGGGACACCCTGTGACATCGATACCTTCATCAAGTTCTACGTTTGTACTGGATCCGGGAACAGCTGCATTAACATTGTTACTAACACTATTTACACTTAATTTCCTTTTCGAAGCACTGCCGGTGAGTTTGTTGAGCCTAGCTAATTCCAAATCTAAATGATGTTCCAATTCACCTTGACGCACGGTACAACTACACACCGGACAATTCGGTAATTCACTAACTTTTTTTCTACTTCTAACACTATTTAATATTACATTCTCGTCGTATATTTGCCCGTAATTAGTATTATGCTCATTCACGTTATTCGAACAGCCCTCCATGTTATTGTACATCAAAACTGGTAACATATTAGAAATTAATTTAAAATTTGTTTTGTTTTGAGTGTTTTATAAATCTGATTACATCGCGATTTTAGTGATTGATTAACGTTTTCTACCGTTTTAAAGATGTTAATGGGAGTTCGATTGTCATGTACGAACTCATCTTGCTGTAATTTATTTATTTATTTACGTAATAAACGCCGATAAATTGTTTCAAAACAATAGTTACAGTACAGAGTAGAGATCGTTTACACTTTTTTAATCCAATTTTTGATGTTTTAGATTTCTAGTGAAGCGGTCAAGATTTACAGCCCGACAAATCGGAAGAATCGATTTCATAAAAAAAATTTATTGAACTAAAACTTCTTGAAATTTTTTCTGTGATATACAATGATAATTAAAGTGATTAATTCTTATTATTAGAGTAAATACGTATAAAACAGAAATGTAACCAATAAATATTCCATACAGCTTTGAATCGAAAACAAAATCGATTAAGTTCAACAGAGTTCCCATTAATTCTTCTTCTCAGTCGTATGCACTCTTGGCAGAGTGGTCGTGGTCATCACTTCGGTTGGTGGTGCGCTTCACCAGACGTCGCCATTCCTCGCGTACCGCGGCCCTTCTTGTGCACTCGTTAACGGGACCGTTTAGAGCTGCCTTTATTTGGTCAGTCCATCGTAACGGTGATCTGCCGCGCGGTCTTGTACCCTCTATCATGCCCTGCACCACAAGGCGCTCAACTGAGTCGTCACCTTGCCGCGACACATGCCTGAAGAAAGTGAGAATGCGACCCTGAACGATGGAGGATAGTCGCTGCTTGATGCCGAGTTCCTGTAGAATTGACTGATTCGTTCTGAACTCTGTCCACGATATTTGCAACATTCTTCTCCAGCACCACATTTCGAGAGCATCTATCCTCTTTTTCTCATTTTCTGTCAATGTCCAGGTCTCAGCAGCATAAAGAAAAATGGGGAAGACCAGCCATTAATAGTCAACATCAAACAATTCCAACTAATTTAAAGTTCATGAGGTGTAAAATTGTATCATTCCCTTGAATCTCAACATACATTTGGTGAATGCTATGAACTGTCGTCTCTAAAATCGATTTTGTTGGGCGGCTATTAACATTATAACATAACATCAGTATTTACTTCAATTTTCACGAATTGTAAAATGAATTACAACCGCTTATTTTGCAACTTTTCTTATACTTTACAGTTTTCGTGGCTAAGACTTCAATTTAAACAGTAAAAAGAGTTTTGATTAAGATAAAAAAAATCGAACATGTGTTTAGTTTCACTATAATTTATTCATACAATATCATTCTGGTTTCAGGTTGCCCTAAACACGTCATTTCGGATCCTCCCGATTCACTAACGGTGCTTTTAGGTGCTCCAAGCACCAGTCACCAGTTATCGTTCTCGTCGAACCCGTCGCTTGCGACGAAGGGCTCGGCAAGTAAATTAACTCACAGACACAGCCCATTGATGACTTTCTCGCCAGATCTTCTCAGTGGGTCGCGATTCCAATCCGGTGGTAGATTCTTGCTCTTGCTAGGGCCAGTGTTAGCAAGGCTCCCGGTTTGAGCCCCGTGAGCTCACCTACTTGTTAAGTTAAGGCTATCAGCCTAGGTAAGAAAAAAAAAAACATGTGTGCAATTCATACGTGTTAGAAGTGAAACCTTCAAAAATTAAAATACAATTATCCTAAATGTCTAAGTATATTATTAGTAAAATTTTGTCATTAGTAAATAATTGTAAATCACCTTTTATAGTATGAGGTAGCGTCCTCTGTGAATTGATATTTTAACTTCACGTATATCCTAAATTAAAATTGACTACAAGAGGTTTCATACACACGTTAGTATTAAAACATCTCACAGATGGCGCTGTATTAAAAATAAAATACTTTATACGTATGTTTCAACGTATGTAGGAACTGGGCATTCTGTCTCACTTTTTCTCTCCATCTTTCTCACTTGCTTGCTCCCTACTCTCACTCCATGGCTAGTTGCTTCATGCTACGTTCGCCCTGTCTTACTCTCTCTCAATCGGTCTCGATCGCTCTCTCTCTTTTTCGACACTTCCGTTGCATACCTGCGTGACGTTACATCTGTAAAAATTTTACCCCTATGCGCCTAAAGAAGTTTCACTTCAAAAACTGGTTTCGGACCGAGCAGAATATCGTCACAATCGAGTATCCGAACCTATTACAGCACTATTACGAATGATCTATGTTTTAATAAGCTAGCTTCCTGACCATCCGTTCTTTATCCACAATTTCTGACTTGAGCGAAGACCTACACCTAACAACGAAATGAAAAGTAAAATAAATTACATTACGAAATAATTTCAAATGTAGTTTTAATATTATTACACCTAATCCTCCTATAACGCGGTAGATACGTTCCTACATAGTTCCGTGTTGTACGAAACCCTGTTAGATTAAAAGCCAGTAAAAAGACGAGTAATTTTTCTGTATTTTTTTTATTGATTTCATGGGTGGACAAGCTCGCAGCCTACCTGGTTTTAAGTGATTACTGGAGCCCATAGACATCTACGACGTAAATGCCGTCACCCACCTTGAGATATTAGTTCTAAGGTCCCAGTATAGTTACAACGGCTGCACCGTCCTTCAAACCGAAACGCATTACTGCTTCACGGCAAAAATAAGCAGGGCGGTGATACCTACCCGTGCGGACTCACAACACGTCCTACCAGCAGTAATAAAAAGTGGTAAACTCGAGAGGTTATGCCAGCTTCGCCGGGCGAGTAGTTGAGCTCACGAGGCTCTAACCTGAGGTTTGCTAACACTAGGCCTAGCAAGAGCAGCGCTACGCAGAATCTATCGCCGGATCGGAATAACGACCATCTGAGAAGATCGCGCAACAAACTCTATGGCTTGCGTCTATGGGACTAGAGACATGACCTACATATCAATTATATAAAGCGCATATTACAATTGCGGGTCATCCGTGAACAATTCCGCATTTAATTACAAAAATGTGTATCGCGTCGTTAGATACGAACACACCGGGCGCCTTACACATTAGGCCCCGGCTCCAACTCCAGTTAAAACAATAAAAGCACAAAACAAATCATAAAAACGATTTATTCAAAAATACAAATATTTTTCTTCTCTGGCAACACTTCGATCGGATCCCCGTCCGTTTTCTTCGCACTGGCCACCCTGCCCATCTTCAGATGTATCGTCTTCACGTGGAGATTCATTGAATTCGATTGACTGAATTTCTTTGAACAATACCGACATTCGTAGGGCTTCGCTCCCGTGTGAGTCTGTCTTGAAATAATTTCTTATTTAGGTACTATTATGTATCTATATAATTATATTAAAATAATTATTGTTGGTTAGTCTCGCTAAAACTCGAGAACGGCTGGACCGATTTGACTAATTTTGGTCTTGAATTATTTGTGAAAGTAGATAAAGATACTGCTTCACGGCAGAAAGAGGCAGTATTATACTGACATTTGCTGATGGAAGAGCCTCTTGTGAGTCCGCTCGGGTTTATACCACCGTCTTGATTGTTAAGAGGCAGTCATGATCGGCAAATGCTCCAATTTCCACATGGCACGCCTCAAGATATCCCACCACCAGCATCAAGGTTTTTTTTTTATTGCCCTTGTAGGCAGACGAGCATACGGCCCACCTGATGGTGAGTGGTTACCGTCGCCCATGAACTTCAGCAATGCCAGGGGCAGAGCCAAGCCGCTGAAAAGGTGCGGGATCAGGCGTCGTGATGGCCGTGGCCAAAAATCGCTCCGATTTCCCAAGACATTCCACCACCGGTAGCCGCGACCCCCTCACCCGGTAATGTCGGTTCAGGGCCGGCTTCTGGCTGAAGCTCCGGCCGCAGACGATGCAGCAGTACGGCTTCTCGCCGGTGTGCGTGCGCACGTGGATCCGGAGCTGGTTCTTCTCGGTGAACCTCCTCGAGCACGTCTCGCACGAGTACGGCTTCTCGCCGGTGTGGATCCGCTGGTGGTAGCGCAGGAAGGCGTTCGACTTCAAAAGGAAAAAAATAAATAAAAAGAAATTAAAAAAAAAAACGAAGAACTGTACATGTCGCGAAAACCTTTGCAGGTGCATATTAAAAAAAAAAACTAGGCATAGTACCTATCATCTATACTTTTTTTTTCGTACCACAATGGGTGAAAGTGGATTGAAAGTAAAAATCATGAAAACAATTTTTTGGAGAAAAAAAAAAACAATTTTGCTTAATTTTTGTGCAAAAATTACAGGTATTCTGGGATTTTTAAGGGTCACGTGATGGATAGTGGTGGTACTTAAGTTGCCAATACAAAAAAAAAACAAATATTAAACATTTTGTAATTGCAAAATTAGTTAGTTAAAAATGATTTTCAGAGGTTTCTGATTTTCGAAAAAAAGGTTACCCAATTGTTTTCTGTAATTTAAAAAAAATATATAAATATATTGTCTTGAGAAATTACGAGCAGGTCTTTGAATTTTAAGACACGGTAAAGAATTAATTATTGTTTAACTAGAACTTTTAGAATTTGGAATTGAAGGCAGACGTTGTACTATAAAAACTGAGACTAGACCTCAATTTACGATGCCGATGCCCACGGGCTCCGGTAGTCACATAAAAGGTGACATTCGTCTAAAAACAAAAAAAACAACAACAACAATAAAAAAACTCACGCTGAACTTTTTCCCGCAAACTTCGCACACGATATCCTTGTTGTACTTTATGCCTAAGTGCATTCGATTTATGTGAGCTTGCAGCTTTGACTTGTTCGCGAAGCTCCCGCCGCACTGGAACATTGTTAACCACGACTTTTACCGCTAACCCAACAACCTCCCAACCCCCCAATCCAACCCCTTGCCTCCACAGGTCATCCGTACTGCCTAATATCGCTGTATCCATCCCCAATGCCAATGAATAAACTTACTGGTGGTAGGACCTCTTGTGAGTCCGCACGGGTAGGTACCACCGCCCGTGCCCATTTCTGCCGTGAACCAGTCTTGCGTTTCGGTTTGAAGGATGTGGCAGCCGTTGTAACTATACTTGAGACCTTACAACTCATATCACAAGATGGGTGGCGGTATTTACTTTGTAGATGTCTGTGGGCTCCGGCAACCACTTAAGACCGTATGGGCCGTGAGCTCGTCCACCCACCTAAGCAATGAATAAAAACCCTCCGCGATGGTTTCCCGAGTGCTATGACGCGTCCTTCTCCATACGAGGTTTGCGGAGAGCACCCAGTAGTAGACAGAAGCTTGTCTATGCCCATGACATTGCTAAGGCCCATGAGTGACGGTAACCATTCCCTATTAGATGAGGTACAAGTTCGCCTGCCTGTAAGGGTCCGTTCACACAGACCGGCTCGGAGAGGAGAGCAGATCTTTATCACGTTGGAAACAGAGTTTTCAGTCATTGTAGTAAAGTTTATTTTTGAAATGAAACTTCTTAATGAGGCCATATCAGCGTCATGGCTCAAACCTGACGTTGTTGCTAACACGAACCCTAGCCAGAGCCGTGCTTCGCAGAATCTACCACCGGATCGGAAACGCGACCCACTGAGAAGATCCGGCGAGAAACTCAGTGGGCTGTGTCTGTGGGTTAATTCACTCGTCGAGCCCTTCGTCGTAAGCGACGGGTTCGACGAGAACGATGATCGGTGCTTGAGGTACCTACAGTAGGCGCGCGAGTTCATGTCCATCCTGAAGAATGCGGTAGTGCTGTGACCTAGTTAATTATGGTAATGTCGATAATAACTACCGATTTAGTCAGCAGCTGTCAATTTGGTTTAATGTAACTTAAGGTAATTTTGCAATTTATGAAATAAAATAAATGTGATAAGTAATTACTTGTTTATTTCTAATAGAGAAAAATATTTTTTTAATTCCACATCAATCACTATCAAATGAAAAGACAACCGACAGGTCAGAGTCGAAATATTTTTTCAGTAGGTTTTTTTTCTACCTGAACTTCTTGGAAGCGGAGTAGTCATGGTTAAATAACACAATAGCGTTAGCGTAAATTTTCGATATCGATAAGCTCGCGTCACAACCGTCAAGGACAACACTCGACGTCAGATAAATGCGGGGAGGTGGGGCGAGCTGTCCCCCGCGCATCGCCTCTGGGCCCGATGGACATGAACTCGCGCGCATACAGTAAAAACACCGTTAGTGGATCGGGAGGATCCGAAATGACGCGTTTAGGGCTGCGTTTCCACATTAATCGCTCGCAGCACCCACTCGCAAACCGCTCATCGTTCTCTCACCTGGTCGCAGGCCACTTTGGTGTGGCCCGTGTCCCCGGGCGGTCCTCGGTGCCTCTTCAAACTCTTCAAGTGCTCCTTCATGTGAACCGTGAACGAATCCGCGCTGCTGTACTTTATATTGCAAATCTTACATTTTAAACTGAAAAACATAGATCGCGTTCATTAGATCGGCTTGAATTTTATTCATATTTAATATTATAAACAAGCAGCCCGCTCCGGCTCCGTTCGTGTCTTTAACAAAAATTTCAACGATCTTTGACGTTGTTTCATTTTTTTTAATAAAAGAACACTTATTGCTTCATAACTATAATAGTTAGACATAAGCTGTCGCGACACTTTTTGTAAATAACAATGTGTTCTACAAAGTCGTAGTACATTATTTTATTCTATCATCAATAGTTTTCGCAGGACACGCGATGTAAAGAATATTTTAGGTGATTTTTTTACACTTTGGATTACGTTATTGGAGTTTTAGTAAGGATCCCTAATTTTTTTCAAAAAAGATTGTTGACTATCTCACTCGGGAATAGTGTAGCTTCCAAGCAGTGAAAGAATTTTTCAAATCGTTTCGGTAGTTTCAGAGCCTATTCAATACAAACAAATCTTTCCTCTTTATAATCTTAGTATAGATTTGAAAGTGTTTGTTTGTCCGTCTTTCACGTCGAACCGAAGCAACGAACTAACATGTATTGTTTAAAATGGAGGGTAGATGTAAGGAGCGCCATCTTGTATAGGGGACAAGTTGAAGTCCGCTTGTAAACAGTGAGTTGTTGTTGGAAGAATCACCGGAATAGCGCTAGTGTAGGAAGTGGGAATGATGTGAATATAGCAGTTTTGAAACAAAGTGAATTGTGCTAGTTTATGACGCCATTTATAAAATCCTTCCACTAGCTACTGTGGCGCCATCTTAATGGGCGCCCTTTCAGTGGAAACTTTTACATTGAAATGGCGCTCCTTACTTCTACACTCCATAGTATAATGACAGTTACATGTCAGGAGTGTGACATAGACTACTTTATATCCTAAAAAACATATTTTTGCCACGAGATACTACACTAATCTTTTTCCTAGAACGCCCGAGCGAAGCCGTGGGTAACAGCAAGTAAATATGAGATTAAAAACACCAAAGCAAACAAACAATTGATTTGATATTTTCCTTTCTCCTGTCTATAGAGGGCAGCAGTCAAGAAGACCGGCTCAGTATATTAAAAAGTGTTCGCTGAAAAGGTGACCTTCAAATTCATTCAGAGTTGCCAAGCGTTATAAAGTAAATATTCTAAATACGATACCATGGTTTAAAATAAAAATATAATTTTATTTATCGCATGGACGATGGGTGGACGAGATCACAGCCCGCTGACATTTACAACGTCAATGCTGCCACCCACCTCGAGATATGAGTTCTAAAGCCTCAGTATAGTTACAACGGCTGCCCCGCCCTTCAAACCGAAACGCATTACTGCTTCACGCCAGAAATAGGCAGGGCGATGGTACCTACCCGCGTGGACTCACAAGACGCCTTACCACCAACTATATACCAATAGAGGTAGACTTCGATAAGTATTCGCTGCCGAAATCAACAATACCAGAGGAACAGCCAAGTCACCAACAAACCTTTTTATAATTATAGGCAAGACTAATTTTGGAGTACATGGACATCATGACCTACCGCCCCCCCTTTTTGAGATAAAAGGTAGAGTTCTCGATTGTTCTTTGGCTGTACCAGACCGGCCGTCAGTGTTGAAAACGCATCTTAGTATAATATGTCTTTCGCTGACCTACTATCGTATCGGTGGTTGATAGAACAGATCATATGTCTCTTCCAGGCTTCGAGGGTCGTGAAACGAATGTCGCATTCGGCGCAGAAGCCCTCTCCCGGAGAACCATCCTCGGGATTCTGAAAGATTCAAGCGATGGCACACTAATACCTGGACAGGTTGTATCGGATTGATTTTATGGGTTTATATCTTAAGCACTGGTCATTAAGGAGCATTTTTAAACGATTGTGTAGCTATCAATTGTTTAATTAGTGTAATTAGTCTCCAAAAGATTATTTTCCACCTGATGGTTGTCTGGAAGAGATCGCTGTTAGCGATAACACCGGACCGCCAATTGTACTTTTTTTGTATTTAATGTTTCGCATTGTTTTCTTTTTTGGTGCACAATAAATAATACTCTCTCTCTCTCTCTCTCTTTCTCTCTCTCACTGATGGTAGAGAGTTTTGTGAGCCCGCACGGGAAGGTACCACCGTCTAGTCTAATTCTGCCGACAAGCAGTAATGCGTTCCGGTTCGAACAATACATCAGCATGTCTCGAGTATGTAGCGGACATGGTCTATGGGCTCCGGCAATTATTAAATAGCAGCTTTCCCGTGAGTTGGTACACGCTATAAAAAAAGGAAAACGATAAATTGCCATTTAATAATACCCCCCCCCCCACCTATCCCGGGTTCTGTTCCGAGCAAAGACCGGACGTTTGGGCGAAAGTGTAGGGGAATTGTTTACTGGGTGGTAGCAACCACATACGCTGCCTGCACCCCCAGCGCGGGGTCCACGGAGGAGGTTCCCCCCCCCCCAAAGTGAAGTCACTTGAATTGGTTGAAACCAATTTCGCCCGTCAGAGGAAGTGTGAAAGTAGCCCCGGTGATTGACAAATTAAGAAGCGGGCGGTAAGCGTAGTATGGACATGTGATGCGTAGAGAGAAGATGCATGTGACTAGGAGATGTATGGAAATGGTAGTGCAAGGTAGAGGGGGAAGAGGTCGACCGAAGATGAGATGGATGGAGTGTGTGAATGACGATATGAGAGAGAGAGGAGTGAGTGTTGACATGACGGCTGATAGAAGAGAATGGAAGATAAAAATTCGCTGTGCCGACCCCACCTAGTGGGATAGGGTGGAGAAAAAGAAGAAGAAGAATTTAATATCTATCTCTATATTGACCTATCTGCCAATAGCCTGGAGAGGCTATACGGAATTCACTGTGACTAGTAACCAAGCTCACGGAGCTCAGCCTGAGAGACTGCTAACCCTGGCCCTAGCAAGTGCTGCACTTCGCTGAATCTACCACCGGATCGGAATCGCGACCCACTGAGAAGATCCGCCGAGAAGCTCAGAGGGCTGTATCCGTGGGTCAATGAATTGGCTGCCAGGCGCGACCACTCACCGATTCGCTCGATTTGTGTGCTTTGGTCTTGTGCATCAGAAGTCCGTGGGCTCCTATAAAGCTCTCGCCGCACAAGTTGCATATATATTTGGATGGATGCCTTTTACGTTTGTGCGTCAGGTACGAAGTAGGCTTCCTATCAAAAAAAAAAACACTGATTGACTCGATGGTGCAATAGTTAGCGGCCCAGACCGTTGCGAAGAGCATCGCCGGTTCGAATCCCAAATGGGGTTAACATTATGTGATGAACAGGTTTTTTTTTTTTTTATTGCTTAGATCGGTGGACCAGCTCCACCAAATGCGCCACCCACCTCGAGATATAAGTTCTAAGGTCTCAGTATAGTTACAACGGCTACCCCACCCTTCGAACCGAAACGCATTACTGCTTCACGGCGGAAATAGGCGGGGTGGTGGTACTTACCCGTGCGGACTCCCAAGAGGTCCTACCACCAGTGATTGTTTGCTATTCCATTGGTTGTTCATTGTCTATATATGTACATATTTAGGATGTAAGTAAGTATGTATGTCAGTTTCTGGTACCGGTAACACAGGCAATCCTAAATTGGGGCCGAATTATTACCGTGCGCAATTTGTTCCCAATTATTTTTATTTTTCTTTATCATATCGAGAAATGAGACGTTTTTTTGCTGTGAACTATCCACCTATGCTTGTGCTTGTTGCTTTCTCATTCTAATCGTTTTTGTGTAACAAATTGCTGTGTGTGTGTGAAATTGGACATAGTCATACCGGTAACGGACTTAAACCCCATATTGCCTGAACCAAGACTCACGCTGCAGACCCCATACTAATCTTACCTAAATTAACCAGATTCATAGATAAACTAAGGATCCCTAAACTATTCTACAAATCAATCCTAACTAAATTAATCAAACTCATAGTTAAACTAAAACATCCCTAAGACTATTACAACTAAACTCTTCAAAAAATTATTAGACTTACCTAAATTTCATTCCGCACAGTAGACATTCATATGTGTGTCCGTTATGCCACTTCTCATGATCCCTCGCCTGATTCCTGTTGCAGTCAAACTCAACTATGTCCGAAGTTCTTAATGGTGGTAGGACGTCTTGTGAGTCCGCGCGGGTAGGTACCACCACCCCGCCTATTTCAGCCGTGAAGCAGTAACGCGTTTCGGTTTGAAGGGCGGGGCAGCCGTTGTAGCTATACTGAGACTTATATCTCAAGGTAGGTGGCGTTATCTACGTTGCCTACCCGGGCGGACTCACAAGACGTCCTACCACCAGTAATCAAGCAAATCATAATTTTTATTGCACAATGTTATTTCCTCCAAGGTGGATTCACATTCGCGAATTTGTTAGGAACGTTTATCGTAGGATTTGCAGAAGATGATGAATGCAGAGATGACGTGTGATGGGAGTGGATGGAAAATGAGGATGTGCTGCGCCGATCCCACGTGGGGGGACAAGGGTGAGGGAAAGTGGAAGAAGAAGGCTTCCCGTTGCTATTAAAGCCAATAAAAAATCTCTTGGGGGATGAGGATGAGGGACAGTGGAAGAAGGATCCTTGTTGCGATTAAAGCCAATAAAAAATCTCTTGGGGGATGAGGATGAGGGATAGTGGAAGAAGGATCCCTGTTGCGATTACAGCCAATAAAAATCTCGTGGGTGGATGAGGGCAAGGGACAGTGGAAGAAAGATTCCCGTTGCGATTAAGGCCAATAAAAAAACTCGAGGGGGATAAGGGCGAGGGACAGTGGAAGAATAAGGATCGTCCGTTGCGATTAAAGCCAATTAAGAAGCTCACATGGTGTGCGATATTGTACCACACTTGTTGCAGCGGTACAGTCTCTCGTGCGCCGTCACCGAATGAACCCTCAGGTGGCGTTGAGTCCTGTAGTGCATCTTGCACACGGGACACTGGTGCGGCCCGTTGACCTGTCCAAAGAATCTCAAGAGATCTCGATACGGAAGCACAAGATGAATGCTTAGTGCGAGTTGGGAGTACTAAGAAGTTGGAGTGTGGAATTGAAACAGCTTCGCTTCGTTTGCCGCTAGGGACGCTGTTTCAATTCTATACAAAATTAGAGTTAACTTTTACGCTATCGAGAACGTTAAAAAACTCGCACTAAGCACACTGGTATCGTGTGGTTACTGGACCAGCGGTAGGCAGCGGCTTGGCTCTGCCCCTGGCATTGCTGACGTTCATGAGCGACGGTGACCACTTACCATCAGGTGGGCCGTATGCTCGTCTGCCTACAAAGGCCATAAAAAAAGTGTTTCCCAACCTCTTTTTTGTGCCACGCCCCATTGTAACATTTCTAAAATTTTTATGCCCCCCATACATCTTTTTTAATATAAAAAAATTGATTTTTTCCTTAAAAAACATAAATGATAAGTTTTAGAAAGAAATCACAATGAAATTGTTATCAAAACGCAGTAAGTAATATTTCAAAACATATAATAAAAAAATGAAATTAAAATTCCAAATAATTTTAATACAGATTTTTATTTACCATCGGCGACGGTAACCACTCACCATCCTGTGGGCCGTATGCTCGTCTGCGTACAAGGGAAATAAAAAAATAAAAATAAAATTTACGTTCAATTATAAAAACATCGTACTGTTGATGCTGATACCAAATAAAACGGACCTTTAATTGCAAAGATAAATGTCGCTTGTGTAACTAGAAATGTCACTTCAACCAAACATCCTTTCACCCCTCCATATAATGATATTGTCTTTTCGCATTAAAAGTGTACAATTTCCATAAATATTCCAAATTGAGTTAACTAGAGGTCCTGCAGTAGTCGAAATTCGACTATAATTAATTGGAATTGTAAGTTTGTACACTATTATGATTGTATTTTATACTTTTATAATCACAAATTTCGCCAAGACTACACTATAAATAATATTAACAAAGACGAACAATATTTAATCTATTCTCAATTTGACAACAGACGTCAAGAACAAAAGTTGGACAATAAATAGTATGCATGCGTGTGTGCGTCAAATACATGGTATGTAGTGTGTGTAATGTTTTCCTTATTAATTTAATGTATCTTTTATGCATTATTTTAAAAAAAATATTACCATTGTGCACTTCTTCTCTATATTCTCTATAAGTGTGGAAAATTTCATACTCCTCCGTCCGCGCAATTTTCGTAAAAAGGGATACAAAGTTTTTGCTTCACGTATTAATATATAGATTGAGTTAATATGCGGAATCATTTGGTATCACCAGTATTTTTCTCACAAATATTGTGAAAAGAGCGTAGTTTTTTGTTTTTTTTTTGTTTTGACTACTATTAACAAAATTAATACATAGTTTTATCTTACTTTCAAAGACAGATAATTAACTGGTAGAAAATAAAAATTAATGTAGCAAAGATGATGATTAATATTAAAAATATCACATGTTCAATCATTAGAACACTCTCCTGTAAAATTCGTAAGTTTTGAGATTATACAGTTTTAATGCGAGAAGACGATATAATACACTTACTTCGTCGTGTTTCATCTTGTGATTGATATAAGCCTGTTCAAAAACAAATCCCCTGAAGCACAAATTGCATTTGAACGGCGAATTAATGTAATTCAACGACTTGGCTCTCTTAAGCAGCGCCTCCATCTGCTCCTCCCTGCTCAGCTTTATTTCTTCAGAGTCAATCTTTTGCTCTGATGAATTAAAAAAAAAAACAAAAAAAAACTAATGCGCGTGCAACTTGATGCAAGTAACAGAAGTGAAACTTCTTTAACAGAAGTGAAACTTTCTTTTGCGGTGTGTCGTATTGTGCTTTTCTTCATTTCTCATCCTTAAATCTAATCTTATCTTGTAATAGGGAATGCTGTGTATAAGAGAGACGACCTAACTCGCGGTCGGGTGGTTCGCGAGACGCTCTGTCTATTCTCTCACTCTCGCTCGTTCTAAATTGTATCTTTTCTCTCTAGCCGTAACGAATCTGTCGCGAGTTAAATTAAGCTCTCAACGCGCCTAACGAAGTTTCACTTCTATAACGAGCGTGGCACTTCTAATCTTACTGGTATTACTGGTACTCTAAACTTCCTCTCAAATCTTTACAAGGATGAACAGCATTATACAAAAAAATCCCTCTACATGGCACGTTGCGATGGAGATAATGAATACTGGAGTTATAGCCGCAGGAGGGTTGATGTCGGACTGGCAAGCAGTCGGACTCTTGTCAATGCAGCATCATGAGAGGATATTCAACACCGATCTCAGACAGTCCAGGATTAGGGTAAGAAGTAAAATGAAGAAGTCCACCTTTTGGCTTTGAAAATTCATCATCATCATCAACCTACAATAGTCCATTGCCGGAGATAGGTCTCTCAAATTGCACGCCTCTGAACACGATGCTCGGCTTCTCCCCTCCATCTCTGAGCGGTCACACTCTTTTCAAACTGTTATGAAGTCATTGTGGCCTAAAAGGATAAGACGTCTGGTGCATTCGTATCGAGCGATGCACCGGTGTTCGAATCCCGCAGGCGGGTACCAATTTTTCTAATGAAATACGTACTTAACAAGTGTTCACGATTGACTTCCACGGTGAAGGAATAACATGACGTGTAATAAAAATCAAACCCGCAAAATTATAATTTGCGTAATTACTGGCAGTAGGACCTCTTGTGAGTCCGCACGGGTAGGTACCACCGCCCCGCCTGTTTCTGCCGTGAAGCAGTAATGCGTTTCGGTTTGAAGGGCGGGGCAACCGTTGTAACTATAATGAGACCTTAGAACTTATATCTCAAGGTGGGTGGCGCATTTACGTTGTAGATGTCTATGGGCCCCAGTAACCACTTAACACCAGGTGGGCTGTGAGCTCTTTCAGCCATCTAAGCAATAAAAAATTAAAAAATTCAAATGAGGTTTAAGGAGAATTTTCAGCGGCAAATTCCATCTTTCCAAGCCCTTACCGGTTCGCTTATTACTTCTTCTTCTATTGGTTTTCTGACATTCACTCATTTCTCTTGGCACCTGTTTTTCTTTGTCTTTCTTTAATATACTTTTTAATGGGACATCATCTTCTGAGTCGGTTGCATTATTACCATCGTCTATGTTGAAATCGTATTTCGGTGAATCTGAGAAAGAAAATCTTGGAGTCACACAGAATGCTCAAAAACTTACGTTTTTTTTCCACTACCTCATCTGATAACCTCGAGGGCAGGGCCCTGAAACTGCGATACTTTAAGACAATTTTTTTTTTCTTTGTATGGAAACTAGCGACATCTTGTAGCGGATGCCCCTAAAATTATATGTTGTATATATAAGAAAATAAATTTATAAATTCGACATTATGATTTATGACAGCTCATGTCCATTAGCTCCACTGATTCCTCTTAACAATTAGCCACACAAAAAAAAACTACATACCTTTCAAATCATCTTCATTCGATAAATCTTCATTAATATTCTGTTCTGTAATTTCTTTTTTAACGTACACTTCTTGTATCTCTACGGTTTCGATTTTTGATTGACTTAGTAAGCTTTCATGGTGACTGTTTGTCTCAATTACTTGTTCGGTGAGCTGCAAAAAATATTCTCAAATCAAAATAACAGTCAGAGCAATTTATACACATTAATATTAAGCAAATAGTTTTGTTGCAAGTGAGACGCATACTTCAATATGTTTTACTGGTGTTAGGACATCTTGTAAGTTCGCGCGGGTAGGTACCACCACCCTGCCTATTTCTGCCATGAAGCAATAATGCATTTTGTTTGAAGGGTGGAGCAGCCATTGTACTATACTGACACCTTAGAACTCATATCTCAAGATAGGTGGCAGCATTTACATTGTAGATGTCTATGGGCTCCTGTAACCACTTAAAACCAGGTGGGCCAAGAACTCGTCCACCCATTTAATCAATAAAAATATCTGCGCCCGGGGTCAGAACCCCGTCAGAATAAGGGAGTTCCCGCAGTCAACACTACAACCAGACACACGGCGCCACCCCGAGGACGCCCAACCGACGGGTCGTCGAGGCGATAGCCGGCGACCAACGATGCCGGTCTCCGCGGTACGGCGGCCCTATCAGGTCGCCCGGTCGATGCCGCTGGTGTTCCGGATACTCCATTCAGATCAGGATCAGAGCCAGCGACGCATCGTCCCGTGATATTGAAGAGTGAGTACTGAGTGACCCACCTGAACTCCACTACGTCCGAGTTCCGCTAAAAACATTTCGCTGTTCAGAGCCTTCAACATAAGCTCGTGACAATTCTGTAGCTTCCTCCGACACATGTAGCACAGTAGCAAAGGAAGAACATGATTTTCAATCTGAAAGAATAAATTTACGTAAATTTCTGAATACTGAACACGCTCTAACTGAGCGCTTACTGTTTAGCCAATTTATGAACACCGTAGCCAATAAACAATATAATCGCACCTTTATATTAGTAAGTTTCTCGTAAATAATTTGTAATTTAGTCTTTGTAATTCTATGCATTTTTACATTTATTTTCAAACATATTCTGCACACGGCGAATTCCATTTTTTTGATCAATTTAAGCGAATTAGAGTCCAGATTATGTGTAAATAAAAACAAATCGTTTACGTATGTAATTTATTCAGTTCTTGGTTTCTGAAAAATTTCACTAACTTTTTTGTTTGTTATTTTTTGATTGAACATTTTTACTTACCAATGACTTTGACGCTACAGGCAATAGAAATGCAGCCCATACTTCTTTTGAACTGTAACTCTCATGTACCTATGACATATGTGTGATATAAATGCTAGTGTTATGAGAAGTTTTTTGGTCAAAAACTAAAATCATATGAAATGAAACAAAACGACGAAATTCATTAAATTCTTAGCAATTTCTCCATTTACTGTGAGATACATGACACTCTAGTTTCACTTTTAAGTTGCGGCACATGCTCTCCACCTCATGGTATGTTGTCATAGCGGTCCGTAGACACCGGGATTTCCTTAAAACTAGTCAGGCTCTATCGTGAATCATTTCCTTTCCATGACATTTTTACTAGATTAGATTAGATTAGATTTACTTCCCTGTCTAAGCCTAATAGCAGTTTTACAATCCTTACATATGAGATTAGTTTTTGACCTTCGACGACACCGCCACATTTATAATATGTTTAGAACTTACGTTTTAGTCGCAAATGTGCAATGGTTGTGTAAAATAGAAAAACAAAACAAATGTTATTACTAAGCAATCATTTATTGAAAACGCATTTAGGTATCTAATTACATTTACATGTGTTGAATTTGCAGATATTTATGTCACTTTATTTTTAGACGTTTTTTAATTTCCGTTATCAAACTGAATGATGTAATGTATTCGAATTCAGATGAAAAATTATATCATTTTTGAGGACAACAAAAATATTGTCGTGATTTAAATTAGAACTTTACTTATTGTTTATTATTTTCTCTAAAATAGTGTTACTAACAAATGAGCGGAAATTCTGTCTAAAATAGTTTTCTAGTTCAATATGTTTGCCTGTTTCAATCTTGCAATTTGTTTACATTTTTCGTAACTTCTATTGAAAGTTGATTGAAAGGTGACGAAAGTTGGTTAGAATCCCAACTGTCTGTTTTTTTTTTTATTAAAGCACAAATTCTAATTAAGAAGACAATACGCATAGTGAACTATGCGCCCGTTGCCGGCACACCTATACAAAGAAGTAGAAACATGTAAATGTCAAAATGAAGACGATAAATGACATTAATCAATAAACAAAAAAGGAATTAGGATTTCTAAAAGACGCAGGGGTTTAAAGCTATTTCAAAAGAATAAGTAAAAAATATAATTGCTTTAAAATGTTATGAGCTTATCTGGATAAACACATCATTTAATTGAGAAAACTATGACTACCGCATATACACCGAGAACTTCTGAAACAGAAAACGAAGTGTTCAATGTAAATTGGTTAGTTGATATATGTACTATAATAATATTTTAACAAACAAATAATCACTTAAAGTTATCATGTTTAGCCTGTTTCATTCTTGATAATCTAAATTCTTAATTTTTCTATTCCACAATTTTGCCTTATAGTGGTATTGTAATTTTAATTTGAATCTATATATAACTGGCACTTGTGTTTGTTCGTAGCTGCCTATTTCTGCCGTGAAGCAGTAATGAGGCGTTGTTCTGTAAAAACGGAGGCTTTGAACTCATGTCTCAAGGTGGGTGGCACCATTAATTTGGTTCATATCTATGGACTCCCATCAACCATTTAACACCAGGAGGGCCGTGAGTGACCATTCATCTTTACAATAAAAAAAAGCTAGTGTAAAGCTTTCGCTGCTAAAATAGATTAAGAATGTGGCAGCCTACCTCCACCACATTTATTTTCCATAATCTCCATATCTACTCCATCACACAAGATGTGAAATCACTGAAAGTGGTTATTGCCATCCTAGGTATCCAAGGGTATTCTTTAGCGAGCCACGAGCCGGGTAAACATCAAGAATGAATAAAAAATTCAAGATATGTTAGGGATTTTCATTACCTCTCATTTGAAATAAAACTAATTCTCATAACAAGTCACATATCATCTAGCCTCAATGTAAGATTCCCTGTACTATGGGGATCTGGAGTCCAATATAGATTTAATATGTTTGTATGTTATATAAATAGTACATCTAGAGGTAATAAGCATCCAGAGACCTGGTAAAGGAACCTGCTTAAATATTTCAACATATGCCTTAGCCTCATGTACATCACCTCGAAACTCGAAGCCGTTACCTGTGTATTGCCTGCTTGAAAAGGCAATAAGGAGATTTCGAGCTTCGTTTGAAGAAAAAAGTTCTGGTTGCAGGACCTCTTGTGAGTCCGCATGGGTAGGTACCACCACCCTGCCTATTTCTGCCGTGAAGCAGTAATGTGTTTCAGTTTGAAAGGTGTGGCAGCCGTTGTAACTATACTGAGACCTTAGAATTCATATCTCAAGGTGGGTGGCGGCATTTACATTGTAGATGTGCATAGGCTCCAGTAACCACTTAACACCAGGTGGGCTGTGAGCTCGTCCACCCATCTAAGCATTAAAAAAAAAAAGTGGAATATGACGGCCTCCAGCTTCTAAACAAAATACATTATTTTAGTCGCTTTTCTCATTCCCAGATTGACACAATGAACCAGAATCAAAACATGTCAACGAGCCTACTGGACTATGTCTGCGATTACTGCAACCGCATATTCACCAGGAAATACAACCTTCAAACCCACATAGAGAATCTGCACGTGAACTCCTCCTGCCACTGCGAGGTGTGCGGCAAGAGGTTCGGCACCACCACCGGCTTCCACCTCCATCTGTCAGCCGGGCACAATCGTTACGGTCAACCGCTGCCCGAATGCGACCTCTGCGGCCGGATCTTCACTAGGAAACAGAACATAGTCTCGCACATGATAACGGTGCACCTCCAAGGCTTAGGAAACGAGATCCGGTGCCGCTTCTGCAGCAAGACCTTCACGACCGGACGTAATTTGAAACGGCACGTAAACTTGCTTCACAATCCGAACGTCGAGTACCCGACTTGCGATATCTGCAAGAAAGTGTTCAAAGGAAAACCGTACTTAGTGACTCACATCCAGAGCATGCACAAGTCCGAGAGAGAATCGATCAAATGTAACATGTGCGATAAAGCTTATACAAACGAGCGCAACTTGAAGAGGCACGTCGACATGTTCCATGGCGTCAAGGGCGAACATCACTGTGGCTTGTGCCCTAAGGTTTATTTGTCGAATCAGAGTCTGAAACGGCATCTGCGCACCAGACACTTGACCGGCGAGGAGCAGTACCGATGCGAATACTGTAACACGGTCTTTAAAGGGAACGAGGAACTGGAAGCTCACGTCCGGTCGCTCCACGCTGGTGAAGTATCGGAAACGACAGACGAGGAAAGCAGAGTGGATCGCCGCTGCGAGGACTGCGACCAGACATTCCCCGCAGAGAAGCTACTGAGGCAACACGTCAAAAACGTGCATACGTTCAGCGCGTTTTATAAATACTGCAAGGATTCGCTGACGAAACGAGCGGCCGGCGTCCCTAAGGACTTATACCACTGCGAGTCGTGCCGCGAAGGGTTCATTACGGTTTACGAATTGAAAACCCACATGCGGATCACGCACGACATTGAATACTCATTGTCGACATGCAATGTTTGCTTTGAAAGGTTTTACAGCAAACTATCGATGGCCGAGCATAAGAGGCGTTGCTTGCCGCCGCCAGACGCGAAAGCCTGCTCCTACTGCGATAAGCTGTTCACGGACGTAACCTCGCTCGAGTTTCACACGCGTATATTCCACCCGCAAGCCCGGACCGCGGACCCGGACACGAGACCGGCAAACCGCGACGGTAACTCGTTCAAGTGCGTCCACTGCCACCGGATTTATTACAGCGAGCGCTCGCTGAAGCACCACATTAAGCTGAAGCACAGCACGGACGAGGCGATGGAGTGCAAGAGCTGCGGGAAGATATGCAGCAACAAGTACTATTTAGCGTCGCACATGAAGATCGTTCACAGCACTAACGATTGGTCGAAATGCGACTTCTGCGACAAACAGTTCAAATCGAAAAGGAACATACGGCGTCACATTGAATACACGCACATGGGCATGCAGAGGCACAAGTGTATAGAGTGCGAAACGTTATTTAAAGAGAAACGAAGCCTAAGGAAGCACGTCAGGTCTAAACACCCAAATTCCGCGCTGTTCCCTCAGTGCCACATATGCTATAAGCGTTTCGAATCGGCCAAATCCTGCAAGATCCATTTAAAGCTCCTCCACGCGTTCAATATGGACACGTTTCCGTGCCATCTGTGCTCCGTCTCGTTCGGCAGCGACGAAGCCCTGTCCATACACCTCAAAACGAAGCACCTCGTCGAAGATCAGATTTACAAATGCGAAGAATGCAATCTAGTGTTCAAAGGTCAGGACAAGTTCGACGCTCACAACGAAACGCGTCACGTAAACTCCGCGGAGAGCTCGAAGCAGAAGGTCCTGCCGCGCTGCATCCTCTGCATGAAGGATTTCAGCACGCGCAAAACCCTCAAGCGGCACATCAAGAAGTTCCACGAGGGTTTCGACGCGGACGACCTGGCCAGTTTCGGGTCGAAACGCCGCGCGTTCAGCGTCGACTGCGAGGACTGTCAGAGCAGCTTCAACGACGACTTCCACTACAGCGTGTACATGAAGTTAAGGCATCTACGGGAGTCCGTAGTCTTCGAGTGCGGGAGTTGCGGGAGCTCATACAATTCATTGGAATTCGCGATACAGAGGTATAAAACGGCGAATGCGGACGCCGCGAAAGGGAAGATGATCCTAAGCGATCTGTGCACGGCTGAAATGAGCGACGGGGACGCCGACAACCCTGGCTGCGGGTCTGCATACGAGACCACCGACCCTGGAATCGCGAACGACGATGCGATGTTGGAATCTCAAGGACTGTGCGCTTAGTGCCAATTTTTTAACGTTCTCGATAGCGTAAAAGTTAACTCATATTTGTATGGAACAGGATCGTTTCCTACGTTTGCCGCTAGGGGCGCTGTTCCAACTGCATACAAAATTGGGTTAACTTTTACGCTCGAGAACGTTAAAAAACTCGAGCTAAGCGCACTGGTCGATATCGAAACCGAACCGTGATGCGGAACGTGTTGTTTACGGTCTAAGGCCAGCTTAGTTCCATGGTTCGTCAGGAGGCCAAGATCGCCCGAGTTTGCAGTCATCGGATGAATACCTTACCTTCAATATACTGGTGGTAGGACCTCTTCTGAGTCCGCATGGGTAGGTACCACCACCCTGCCTATTTCTGCCGTCAAGCAGTAATGCGTTTCGACTTGAAGGGTGGGGCAGCCACTGTAACTATACGGAGACCTTAGAACTTATCTCAAGATGGGTGGCGCATTTACGTTGTAGATGGTCTATGGGCTCCAGTAACCACTTAACACCAGGTGGGCTGTGAACTCGTCCACCCATCTAAGCAAAAAAAAAAAGATGAATTCGAGAACGATATAGCGAATAAGGGATAAAAAAAAACTGAGAGCAATACAAATGATAATTATTATTACATTATTCGTTGTAAATTTATGACTTCATTAATTTATATAATATATACATATTATTGTCTCTCATTTATCAAATTAAGACTGTTTCGTTTATAATAAATGTGTAAAGAAAATACATATAAATATATACATATTAGAAACAAAGAAATACTTTTTCATTTCTTAAAATGAAAATACAAACATTAATTCATAATAAAAAAAAATTAATGGTATTTAATTACTCGTTTTTTTTCTTTGTGATTTTGCTTTTTCAACTCTTTTACTGAAGTGCTACCACTTCGACAAAGCGGCACGGCATGAGAACCCTCTCATCGTGGCCGCCGGTAACTACATTCCCGATCCTGCGGACAGAATGGAAAGCAGTCGACGTCGCCCAAAACACGTCATCTCGGATCCTCCCGATCCACTAACGGTGCTTCTAGGTACTTCAAGCACCGGTCACCGTTCTCGTCGAACTCGTCGCTTGCGACGAAGGGCTCGACGAGTAAATTAACTCAGACACAGCCCACTGAGTTTCTCGCCGGATCTTCTCAGTGGGTCGCGTTTCCGATCCGGTAGTAGATTCTGCGAAGCACGACTCTTGCTAGGGTTCGTGTTAGCATCGTCGTCAGGTTTGAGCCCCGTGAGCTCACCTACTAGTTACGGTTACGCTGCCGCTCCAGGCTACCAGCTTAGGTAGGAAAAAAAAAAAAAAGAAGTGCTAAGTTCGTCTGTCTTAAATATTTAGTAGTATAAGTATGACAAGTCATCCATTTTCCCGGGATTATGAAGACTCGCATCTGTCATCCATTGGTTCTCATACAGCCCAGATATTCTCGCCGAATCTTTTCAGGGGGTCGCGATTCCGATCCGGTAGTAGATTCAGCGAAGCACGGCTCTTAATAGGGCTAGTGTTAGCAGTCGCCAGGATGAGCCCCATAAGGTCGCCTATACTTTGAAGCTAGAATAAATATACCTATTGAATAACCCCTCGGGGTTACCAGTAATAGATGGGCAAAAAAGGTGTCACAAAACAACATTAGGCATCTACTTTCTAGAAGAAATATTTATTACCTGCATGTCTCTTGCCTATCATAAGACATGCCTATTTATAAAGTGATTTAGTCCGAGGAGTATTAATAAGTTTTAAAGTGTAAGTTGCCTGCACGTATTATTTACGTACTGTGTTGCTTTTTTTTGTGTAGTATTCCTATGCAAATAAAACATTTTTCGTTAAAAAAACACATTTTGACAAGTGTCACGTATATTAAAACCATGGAAGATGGAAGTGAGGGGCACCTTTTCAGTGTGTTATAAAGTATCCGCCAGATATAGACCGAGAGCCAATTAAGGTGGCGCCACTGTAGCAAGTGGAAGGATTTAAACAAACAGCGCCTTAGGGTCAACGCAGGCAGAGCAGAGCGCAGCGGAGAGGATTTTATTAACGCACTTGAAAATAAGCTTTCAAATTATAAAAATAAAGTGCATAAATGCTTGAACCCGACAAAAAAATACTAGCGCGTGCTCGAAGATGCGCGGTGCTGAGTAGGCGCCCGCGTCGTACGCGTACGCGACCCTTAAAGAAAATGGCCGGGACCGTGCGGTGTTTATTCCTCTGTCTGCGCTGATCCTTAATAGCATATTATTATCACACTTCATTTCAATCCGGCACCCTTCGCTCTGTGTAACTGCTATCATATTCCACTTGCTTTACTGGCGGTATTTCGTAGAATCTACCACCGGATCGGAAAAGCGACCCACTAAGAAGATCCAGCGAGAAACTCAGCGGGCTGTCTATGGGTTAATTCGCTCGTAGTCTTTCGTCACAAGCGACGGGTTCGGCGAGGACGACGACCAATGCTTGTGGTACCTAAATGCACCGATAGTGGATCGAGAGGATCCGTAATGACGTGTTTTGGGCGACTTCGAGTCCACCGTGTAAAGTCAATCGTGACCATTTGTTGAGTACGTATTTCATTAGAAAAATTGGTACCCGACAGCGAGATTCGAACACCGGTGCATCGCTCGATACGAATGCACCTGACGTCTTATCCTTTAGGTCACGTCTCCTTCGGTCTACGGCTACTCAACTCATAGACAAGCATAGATAGCACAACGACCCTCATTACTTAACAAGCAAGACCGGAGAAATAAAACAACAAACCATAGTCTATACAATAGTTTTTTTTTTGCGTCAATTATATCACTAAATTATTATTTATACTTTTTTTTTCTTCTAAAATTTAAACATTTATCAACTAGCATATACTAAACGTAACATAATTTAAATCTATGTTATTTTATAGTTTATATCAAAATTTACACACAAATTTACAAATTAATTAAAAAGAATGAAAAAACAAAAAACATTGAGTTATACAAAAAGCCTTAGCTTCTTTCATTCCGATGGGACGTATTTTTAAAAACAAAATCCTCTTTTCGCCCTTCGATTTATCCAGGGCCCACACAAAATTAAAGTATCTGTCGTATTTATTTGTTTTTTGAAGATCTTTCCGGCCCGGTAACGATACTTTTGAGCCACACTTAGATTTTCATTTTACATTCTTGTTAAAATAATTATTATTATGATAAATGATGGTAATTATAATGATGAGGTTAATTGAATTTGTGACTGTTTGGGATGAAATTAAATGAAACGAAATGAGATGAGATGAAATATAGTCTCAGTAAAAATATTGTTATTTTCACAGATTCTTTCAGTGGATATTTAGGATTTAAAAAAACCCCAAGAAGCCAGATCCGGCAGCTTCGTTTACAAAAAGACTGTCTTAACCAAATCCACAATTAACGACAAAACGATTAACTATGATAATCAATAAAAACCGACATTACTGTTTTTGCCAATGGAGTCAAATTGGTTAACACGTTCTCTTCAGATTGAGCCCCCTACCTAGTTATAGCGTAGCTTGAATATCCCTTAAGTAAGTTTCTTTAGACTAGGTTGAAAAGCATCCTTGCGGACTGTGGTCTGGCTGTCCTGGAATGTCCATGCACTACTAAATCAGGTGGGACTCATATAAGGCATTAAAGAATTAAGACTCTCTCGGTTCATTGGGCCCATTACGAGGAAATACATGCCAATGAGTTTTTTCTATATGCGTGTCACCTATGAGCTATCATCGAATAGACAGGAGAAAAAAAAAACACAATTTGTGACAAAACTCTGAGAAAATCCTAATGAAACTAAACAGCTTCATGCACATCAGCCCATTGAGTTTCTCGCCGGATCTTCTGAGCGGGTCGTGATTCCGATCCGGTGGTAGATTTAGCGAAGCAATGCTCTTGCTTGGGCTAGTGTTAGCAAATTCTCTCAGGTTGAGCCCGTGAGCTCACCTACCCGAGCGTAGCTGGAATAGCCTCTTAGGACCGAGTCACACCGGAATGGCAGTCTGGCGGCCTCGGGCGACCTCCAGACTGCACGCGCCTAGTCTATGCCTCTTAACTGGCAATGATACTCGTATGTTTGGAGTGAACATGATGGAATTGGTTATTATATATGACCGCGGTGTCGCCGCTGGCAGCCGCGGGCAGAGCCACCGACAAGACGCACGTGGGCGGCGGCTGTGTCGCGACCTTTTCTAGCTTTTCAAGCGATACTGATCTTTTAAGTATATAGATAAAGTTTAAAATTATTTCACATTGAAAGTGCTCGGTGTGACTAGGCCCTTAGCTACCAGCGAATAGGTAGGGCATAAAAAGCAAGAGCTTTCTGACTCGAGAACTCTCAGTGGCTCGCCTTTGAATGCTACCTATCAAAAGCTTAATGCGAGGTTCTTCTTATTCAAGTATTTTCATGATTACACCTTGTTAAATATAGCCCGATATACGTTTTACAGATGGCAGTGATATTTCCTAAAGTTAGAATAATCCAAGTATATTATATCGACGGCTGAAAAACTGTTTTGGTTTTAGCGACATTTTTTGAACCATTACAGGAGAGCAGCCATTTAAAGTGTTAAAAATTGGAAAAACTTTTCTTCAGCTATTTGAATGAGATAAACTTAATTGGAATTCAATTAAAAACATCGAACCGTTGATGCTGATACTAAATAAAACGGACCTTTAATTACAAAGATAATTGTTGCTTATACCAAATAGATTTTCATCCCTCGATATATATTCTACCCAACCTTTACGTCAAGTCGGTACCTATTACCACACGCAACACTTGTATATAGATTATTATTACCTAATGAAAACATCAAAACAAAAAGGCACGGCACGGCACAGCTCTATTGCCGTCTTTCGGACCTATTACTATTACCACTTTTTACTGTCAGAATTTAAAATGATATTGGACCTGGAGATAATACACACACACACAGTTAAAATCATCTAGCAACAAAGACTGCTGAGCGAAGCATAGTTCCCCTTTGCTATATTCACGCGTGTCAAAATTGACAGCTGTCAAAATGTGCCGCACAGAGACCACGGGATGTGCGCGTGCGATTCCCCGTGACACGTATGCGTGCGAAATTGTTACATAATAAAAAAAGAAACGTAAAATGAACGCTATCAAATAAAAAATTAAAAAAAAAAAAAACAAACATACAATAATCAATGTAGATAGATGTGCTTAAAAGATAAATTTCAAAAACTACAAAATGTCACCTTAGAAATAAAAAAATAAAAAAAAAATAATTAACGTAATAATATTAATATAAATCCCTGTTCACTCATATACGATTTTCTAAATGATTACTCCCAAAACGGTAGCTTTTTTTTAGCTTGACAACACACTATAAATTTTTCTTAATATCCTACACGAGTAATTTGTGGAAAAAAGAAAACTAGAAAGTCTGTTTTTTTAGCTTTTTGTGTTTGTAAATATGAATTATTGACAATTTACCGACGTAGAATTTTGTTTGTAAATCAAACTGCTTAGCGAAGAACCACGACGTATCATGTAACGAGGACATAATTAAAACCGAATTTAAGCCTTAGAGCGCGAACCTACTGGTGATAGGACCTCTTGTGAGTCCGCGCGGGTAGGTACCACCACCCTGCTTTTTTATGCCGTGAAGCAGTAATGCGATTTGATTTGAAGGGCGGACCAGCCGTTGTAACTATACTGAGACCTTAGAACTTATATCTCAAGGTGGGTGGCGCATTTACGTTGTAAACGTCCATGGGCTCCAGTAACCCCTTAACACCAGGTAGGCTGTGAACTGGTCCATCCATCTATGCTTGAAAAAAAAAAAAGAACTCTAACGTCTGAGTAAGCACCCTACTAAGCCCAATCGGAAACAACAAACTTTCATTGCATCATCCATTGCGCGTAATGTATTAAGGTTCAATGGACAGAGCAACTTTCATACACCCTGTTTACCCTAACACCTACAAAAGGGCAGGAGAGTTTTAAAATAAAAACAAAAAACACAACCCGATTTCGGTACAAATTGACAGCTGTCATTAATGATGCCCCGTGCAGCTTGGTACACGTGCCAGAAGTGAAACTTCTTTTGCGGTGTGCAGTATTGTGGTTTTCTTCATTTTTCACCCTTAAACCAAATTTCTCTTGTAATAGGGAATGCTGTGTATAAGAGAAACGACCTAGCTCGCTTTCTCCCTCTCACCGCGGTCGAGTGGTTCGCGAGACGCTCTGTCTATTCTCTCACTCTCGCTCGTTCTAAATTGTATCTTTTCTCTCTAGCCGTAACGAATCTGTCGCGAGTTAAATTTTACTCTCAAAGCGCCTAAAGAAGTTTCACTTCAAAAAAATCATATATAATTATTATTCGTAACTACATAATTTACACTTAATTTAAATTTGTATACCCCAACGATTTCAGAAAAAATTAAAAAGAATTTTCATTGTATGTGTCTTTGTAACAAGCACTATAGAATATAGATTTATCAAGACTAATAATTTAATATCTATCTATCTATCTATCTGTAAGAGACCAAACTCTCTAATATAAACTATATATTTATCAACACAGCACTAACTACATTTATTTATATATATATATATTTCAATTATTTATTTAAATTATCTTTCTCAATTGAATGTTAATTGTAAAGTAAATTTTACTAAAACACACCGTGAACAATTGCTTTTGCTTGTGATAATTTATAAAATTTCCAAACACACATTGCTGATCGGTTGCCAACGAGCACTCGTGAACACGTTACATTTATAATTTAACTAAGAGAAACATGTGCATTCAAATATATTATTGTAATTGACTGAGCAGACCAATAATTCAGTACTAATAATATCTCAGTAGTTCAATCAGAAAAAACACGTCCCAAAATAAATGGATCTACAATAACTATCTAACCAGAGATATTTGTGGAAACATTACTAAATTTTGAGGAAAATATACAAAATTTACTACACGGTCTGGGAGAGTTTCCAAACAAAATATAATTATTTACATATTCCGGGAGCAATTTGAAGCCAACTTATTACGTAATTATAAGCATAAACATCTAAAAATGAATATCTATATTTTTTAGATCAATACTATGAAGACATCTTATACGTTAGGATCATCACGTTTTCACATGTAAGCTAATCGATTACAAGATCATCCCACATTATGGTCACCATTGGTCGAGATTTACTTCACTAACCTGAAGTTTGAAATAAATCATATTTGAGACAAGAAAATAAACAATACTAGCTAACGTCGATACGCTTATAGGGTGATCCTATTTTACAAGTAGGCAATGTAATTTATCTTAATTTTTTTTTTTACAACTTTTTGAAATTTTTTATTTTTTTTCTACTTTAAACGAAAAAAAAATGCATTACGTTTAATCATTATTATCGATAATTAATATACAACATTATTGTTATCACATAAAATCTAAAAGAAAAAAAAAATACATTTAAATTATGACTGTACATATTTTTTCTCGCATCACCACAGATATCATTTTGTACATTGAACTAATTGAAATAGTTTCCGTATCTCCTTAACTTTACTAATAAGGGAACGACCTCGAGAAAAAAAAAAAAGAACAATACAAAACACTTTACAAACAATGCAACACCTTTTTAATGTAATTACACAAATTCTTTCCCGGTTACTTAATAACTTCACTCGACCTATTTCCAAAGAGTTTTTCGGTGCATAAACACATTAGTGTTGCCAGTGTCAGTTTATCGAAAGATTCTACTAAAAATCTTACTTGGTAGAATTTTTCCTTTGTACGATTGGTTTATCAATTTTCGACGGGACCTTATCTAGTTTCTTGTCTTTTTTCTCGGTTGTCTTCGGTTTCTGGTTCGTCGGTGGGGTCTTCTCTGCCGTGGTCCCGCTTGTGGCGACGGCGGCAGCAGGCGTGGCGGTCACGCTCGGTTTCTTGGGCTTGTTAGCTTTCGCTGCTGCGGCATAGTTTATCGGCTTGAAGCCCGAGCTGGGAAGTTCTTCGGTCGGTTGGTTTTGGGGCTAATGAATAAACAAAAAAACAAATTTCTATTACTTTGCCTCTTTTCTTCTTATTCGCTGGGTGATCGAGTTCACCGCTCACTTTTTTTTTTCTACCTGAACTGATAGCCTTGAGAGGCTATTTCAGCGTAACCTTAACTAGTAGGTGAGCCCACGGGGCTCAAACCTGACGACGTTGCTAACACGAACCCTAGCAAGAACCGTGCTTCGCACAATCTACGACCGGATCGGAAACGCGACCCACTGAGAAGATCCGGCGAGAAACTCAGTGGGCTCTGTCTGTGGGTTAATTTACTCGTCGAGCCCTCCATCGCAAGCGACGGGTTCGACGAAGACGATGACTGGTGCTTGAGGTACCTAAAAGCACCGTTAGTGGATCGGGAGGATCCGAAATGACGTGTTTTGGGCAACGTCGACTACTCTCCATTCTGTTCGCAGGATCGGGAATGCACCACTCACTTGTCATTAAGTGGTTAATCCACGTACATAAAGATCAATCTGTGAACGTGGCTCCTTCTGTTAGGATACAAAGTTTAAGACATGCTGGTGGTGGGCAGTCTTGTGAGCCCACACGAGTGAGTACCAAATCAAATCAAAAAAGTTTTATTCAACATAATGAAAGTACATACTTATTGAACGTCAAAAGAATTACCGCCAATTCACAAGAATTAGCCTCCGTCCTGAGAAGAATTGGCAAGAAACTCAGCAGGCATGTTTTTTTTTTTTTTTTTTAAATATTAGATTTTTGTTTTTATTTTAAATATATATTTTTTTTAAATATTCATATTACAATAAGTAATTATAACATAACAATTTTACAATATTGAAATTCCCGGAGCGAGCAACTCATTCCCATACCATCACCCTGCCTATTTCTGTCGTGGGGCCCTCAAGCGTTTCGGTTTGAAAAGTGGGGCAGCCGTTGCTAGTACAAGTGAGACTTACATTTCAAGTCTCAAGGTGGTTTACGGCATTGACGTTTTTTGTCTACGGGCTCCTGTAACCACTTCACATCAGGTGGGCCGTGAGTTCGTCCACCAAATTAGGCAATAAGAAAGCTTTCATTATATTAAACTGTATTTTACCACATCCTTCAAACCGCTAATAAATCTGCGGGATGATACTCCCACTTATTTAATTACACAATTATTCCTTGATCATAGAAGTCATACATTATATTTTGTATTTTTATTGCCCTTGTAGGCAGACGAGCATACGGCCCACCTGATGGTGAATGGTTACCGTCACACATGGATGTCGGCAATGCCAGGGGCAGAGTAAACCTCCTTCCTTCCTTTTTTTTTTTGTGTTGCTTAGATGGGTGTAAATTATTGGTAATTTTAAAAATTTTACATAATTGTAATGGAGATGTATTTATACTTTTCATAGGTCTGAAACTATGGCTGTTACATAAAGATACGACAATCAAGAACTGCTCTTAAAAAAAAAATTGTCTGTTCCATTTATGGTTACCAGTAACTACTTCATATACACTAGTAACCAAATAAAACGTACAATAATTTCGTGACTTCTTCTTAAAGCTGTTTTTAACACACACACACAAGTTAAAGCAGCCGCTGTGTGTATATCTTTTATCCTCAACGAGTGCTCCAGTATTTTGGTTATATAACAAGAAAGCCCTTTGACAACCTGGAGAATCTCATAGTTACAGGTAAAATGGGTGGAAGACGATCCAGAGGTCAGAGCCAAAAAGTTGGTGTGATCAAGTGTCTGAGCACCTGGACACAAGACTGAGCGACGCACTTCACTGTACCACTGACTGACATAAGTGGCTACAAATCACAAAAAAGGTCACAAGAGCGGGCATCTCGATGCTCATGAATAAGCAACCGAAGGAGGAGGAAGATGTGTACATCTTAGCTGTTAGCACCTAGACGTCTTCAAACGTGGACTGCTGTGTGCACATGCAATGACTGTTCATCTTATACCTTTAAACGAGCAATTCTTGTATATATATATAATCTGAATCTCGGAAACGGCTCCAACGATTTTCATAAAATTTAGTATACAGGGGATTTTGAGGGCGATAAATCGATCTAGCTACGATTTATTTTCAGAAAACGTTGTTTTATTCGTGTTTTCAATAATTATGACTCTTTTCGACATCTATTGGCGAATAATAATACTATTTTTCTTAATTGAGGGCAACTAACCGCTTTAAAGAGACAACAAGTGATATTAAAGACATACCTTACTCGTCTCGACTACCTCCTCTGTCCGATCACCATCACTAATGCCACTCTCACAGTCACTTTTAACACTTTTCACTTCCTTTTTTTTAACGGGAACTTTAACTTCGGTTTTCACGATTTTCGGTTTCGTATCAACTTTAATGGGTTTTTTTGCTTCAGATTTGGGTTTGATTTCTTTTTTAATCTCTTTCGGCCGCTTCTCCGCCTTCTCTTGTGGAACTTCCACGGAACTGGGCGTTGGTTCTGGCTGAGTCTTCTCTGGCTCTACAACAAATATCAGAGTCGAAAATGCTTCATATTCTTTACTTAAAACATGTTACGGTGCATTAGATCGACAAGTCTAGACCTAATGTTGAGACATCATTACGTAATGTCACAAAAATGTGTACCAATACGCTAATTAATATTTTGAGGTTTCATTTATATTACATGATGTCATTTCTTCATAGTGGATGCTATATGTGTACAGACACTAAATCACTTACTCTAGCACACCAGACGGACACTTCAATAGAGATTTCCAATTCGTAATGTTTAAACTTTGTTTTAACAATAAATACCTTCAGTTTGAGGTTCCGGAGAAACTTCAGTCTTTTCCACAATTGGTTCAGGATCCGGAGACGAGACTGTACAGCTCTCTGGACTATCTCTTGATTCTTGCACTTGAACTGGTAATTGTTCTGTCTTCTCTTCTGTAACTGTTTATAAACAATAGGAAGATAATAAAATATTTACATATGGCAAAGAGGCAAAAGGTTGACATTGTATCAGAATTGAACATTGCCTTGTAAGCATTAATTATATTTATTAAAATCCTGTACTTATATAATCAATTTTGAATAAAGATTAAAAAAATAAGTTATTTTAAATGTACTATTATTATTTATTAGAATAACAATGTTTTCAGTATACACAAATTAACTCAAACTTAAAAACAAACATGTCAATTATAAAAGCTGTGATATTAAAGAACATGAAAAGTGATAATAATAATCAGTCACCACTTTAAAACTCAATTATAACATATAATTTACATTAATTAATACACAATTATATAACTAATCAAGGAATAATTTCATAGTTTTTCTGAGGTCACACAGCCCTAATTGTTCATTACATTACCTGTAGTCTGTTTGCTGTGTGTCGGTAACCTTGATTGGCTCGGTACAAATTCTGCAGCCAGGGGGTTTAAGGTTGATCTCGAGACGGCTTCTTCAAGGGAGATCGTAGGGCCACTGTTACTTGTCCTGTTAACACATTCAGTTTATGACCTTACAGAAACATTAATTAATTAAGAGAGCTAGTTAATTATGTAGAATTAGCTTTCCACACAGCATTGGCATATTTGGTAGACACGAGATTTGGCTGTGCCCCTGGCATACATGACGATTATGAGCAACGGTAATTACTCACCATTGAGTAGGACGTTTGATAGACCGCTTACCTTTAAAAAATTCCAACATTAATGAGGCAGCATAATAATAATTTAATACTTAAACTAAATAAGGTCTACTTAGCAAAGAGATCATCTATCTTATATTATTTATAATATTTTTTTATATGTGTGAGCCAGCATAGCAGACCGAAGTAATAAAATTAACTGAATAACTAGTTAGTCCATCTAATATCACTATTACTATGATTGTCTACCCGTCTCTTGCCATAGAAATGTTACTGAAGATACACATTGGCAATTAGCAGCAATCACATGGGCCTGCATTACTAGTGATAGGACCTGTTGTGAGTCCGCACAGACCTTGCTGCCTATTTCTGCCGTGAAGCAGTGATGCATTTCGGTATGAAGGGTAGGGCAGCTGTTGTAACTATACTGAGACCTTACAACTTATATCTCAAGGTGAATGGCGCATTTACGTTGTAGATGTCTATGGGCTTCAGTAACCACTTAACACCAGGTGGGCTGTGAGCTCGTCCACCCATCTAAGCAATAAAAAAAAATGTTTGGTAAGCTGAAACACTGACGTAGGATAATGCTTGTGTCCGTTCGTTACTGGCCGATTCTGTCTCTCCCTCTGCTCATCTTCCAGCATAGCTTCGATGCACTGTTCCATTAAGGCTTCCTCTTCCAGCTGTTGCATGACCTGCAAATGAATTTATAACAACCTTTATATTACAACATAAATGCTCACATTGAGTCAAAATGAACATGTAACATTGAAATAATTCGATTGATTATTAATTTTTATTGATTAATAATTCAATTAACACTTAATTCCATTTATTAACAACTACACTACCCATCAAAATGACACATTCGACAGAATAATGATGGAACAACACTTGTAAGTTTTTCAAGCCCTCAGACTGTGGTACTGGGGAGGTAAAATGAAGGTTCAGGAAACAGGAAACAATAGTTCACATGGTTTGTATGGATAGCCCAACGAGGAAAACAATGGACATATTAGATAGCGGTTGCTAGCAAGGCTTTTACCTCAAAATTATTGCATTAACACGCACATTGTTTAGAGATGCTCAGGATTATACGACAGAGGAAAAATACACTAACTCCAAGCCTTTGCACTTGGGAGCACACTAGCTCACCAACCAAAGTGCCAATCATCATCTCTGGAGTGCTAAGAGTTAAGTGTCAGACACTGGTTTGGATAAAGTTCTATGTGAGTCTATCATTTAAAAGAAAGTTGACGTCATAATATATGTATAAGTTGACATCGTTTAGACATTGGTACCTGTTTATCAAATTCTTCTTCATTCTCCATCCACATGTAATCAGCAAAGTCATCTTGAGGTTGAGCTGGAACTGGAGGATACGGTGCTGGTGGATAATAGGCCCCGGCCATTACAAATCCAGCTGTAAAATTAAATTTACAGTTTACATTTAATTTTTCTATTGCTTCCCTTGGAAGAGTAGTTAGAAGAGTAGTAATATGGTGGTAGGACCTCTTGTGAGTCCGCACGGGTAGGTACCACCACCCCGCCTATTTCTGCCGTGAAGCAGTAATGCGGTTCGGTTTGAAGGGTGGGGTAGCCGTTGTAACTATACTGAGACCTTAGAACTTATATCTCAAGGTGGGTGGCGCATTTACATTGTAGATGTCTATGGGCTCCAGTAACCACTTAACACCAGGTGGGCTGTGAGCTCGTCCACCCATCTAAGCAATAAAAAAATAAAAAAAAAAGTTCATGGCTCACCTGTTGTTAAGTAGTTAATGGAGTCCATGTACAAAGTAAATGTAAAGTGCAAAGTAAATGTAACCACCCACTTTGACTCATGTTTTCTAAGGTCACAGTTTTTACAGTACAACAGCTGCCAAACCCCTACCAAATCATACCACCAGTAAAAAAGTTCGTAAATTTCAGAAATGAATTTTTCAGGTTTACTGGCCATTAATTGTCGCAAGGCACTCTAAAGAGTTAAACAAGAATTAAACATATATATGAGTCGACTAGTATCAAAGCCGGCAATGTGACTTTTGGACAATTATTGGTAAATCAGAAAAACGATATATTGACTTTGTATTCCATTGGCAGCCACAAAACTCTTCTGAACGACATCTTAGATAAATAACAGGTTAAGTATTAACCTTTATTTAATGCAGGTTTTGAACCGTATTCTTTGAAGGAGACGATTATATTCAAATCAATCTGTATTGACATATCAATAACATTTTTTTGTTCAAATGCACAGATTGCCACCTTTGATAATAGACGACTCATATGTATTAGGATAAATCCAAATTTTAACACTGAAGATATACCACTAGGCCACTTTGGTTCTGAATTCATCATTCTCCTAATCACTTGGGGTCAGCGCAGCATGTTTTCTCATTCCATACTCCTCTATCATATCATCATTCATCTATGTTTCTTCATTCACTCCCCTATTACACATATCGTCTTTGTCGCAATCCATCCATTATTTTCTTAGGTCTACCTCTTTCTCTAAGCCTTCTTTTATTGCCCTTGTAGGCACACGAGCATACGGCCCACCTGATGGTGAGTGGTTACCGTCGCCCATGGACTACAGCAATGCTAGGGGCAGATTCAAGCCTCTGCCTACTGTAAAATTCTGAAGCAAAAATTTACTGTACATACCTGGCATAGGTCCTCTAGGTATGTGTACAGGATAGACGGGGGGCCTATGGATGCCTGCATCACCACTACCGACCACACCGCCGCCCACCCCACCATCCAGGATCACACCGTTGGGCTGGAAATGCAGACATTTAATATCAGAATCATCACACCACACAATCATCATAATTCGTTTCCAAATGATTCTTGTCCACCTTTTTTTTATTGCTTAGATGGGTGCACGAGCTCACAGCCCATCTGGTGTTAAGTGGTTACTGGAGACCATAGACATTTACAACGTAAATGCGCCACGCACCTTGTGATGTAACTTCTAATGTCTCAGTCTAGTTATAACGGCTGCCCCACCCTTCAAGCCGAAACGCATTACTGCTTCACGGCATAAAAAGGCAGGGAAGTGGTACCTACCCATGCGGACTCACAAGAGGTCCTACCACCAGTAATTACGCAAATTATTTTGCGGGTTTGATTTTCATTACACTATGTTATTCCTTCACGGTGGAAGTTGATCGTGAACATTTGTTAAGCACGTATTTCATAAGAAAAATTGGTACCTGCCTGCGGGATTCAAACACCAGTGCATCTCTAGATACAAATGCACCGGACGTCTTATCGTTTAGGCCACAACTTCAGAATCAAATATTTTCAATTTTATAGGTGAAAAAGATGAAAATAAGTGTTTGTTTTACTATTTACACATGTCTTAGTAGTTTTTAAACAGCATATATTTTAATGTTTACCATAACATACATAGTAAAATGACATACCTGCCACTGGCCAGTTTCTTCATTGCCGTAATAAGCACCGACGTTGGCAGATGTCTCCGGAATTTTCATAATTGCAACACTAAATTCACTCTTGGGATACTTTCCTCAATAAAAATGTCTCTTTTGAAAAGGTTTCCAAATTGCCAATTGAACTAGAGATGTTTTAACATAAAACTACTTGTTAAACTTTAAAAACAAAAAAATATATCACAACTTTATATTTTACCAACAAAAGTTTCTACTTTGGGCACTATGTTCACGAAACCTTTGATATTCCTTCGTAGAAAATTAACAATCTTCATTTCGAGGTCATAAGCTGAAATGAATTAAAAAAAAAAACATTTAAAAAATTGATTAACTTCCCACATTCCACTATGTGATATGGTTGTAATCGAAATAAGATTTTATTGTTCAAGTATCCATGAAACAAACTCGAATGAAAAATAATAACACGTCTACGTAAACACTACGATAGTTGTTATGAAACTAAATGTCAACAAATGAAAGGTGCTACTTGCTCCAATTAAAAATTCATAATTTATTCAACTTTCTAATCGGCGAGTTTCGGCCTACGAGATCCCGTTGTCAATTTACAATGTGTGTAAACGAAAAAAAAACTAATTTTGAAAATAGAATGGTGCATTCGGCCAAGACAGAAATAGACCATGCTGACCGCGATTTATTGAAGAATGTTCATTTACAAAATTTATTTATGGTTCGTTAAAAAAAATATATTAGTGCACGAACCACGTAATCTGCGTTTGGACATGCCAATCAAACTTTTAAAACGTTAATTATTGCAACTATGTGCACGTGTGACGAACACTACGTAATAATAACGAAATGAAAGGAATACTCACTGGTTACACGTATTCGACGCGTTTATGACATATCCAATCTTTTAAACACTGTTTTGTAGGTTTTTAAGGATAATTTTTAACGCTTTCAGCTGTTAATTTGCACTATAACCTATAATTTCACGGAAACACCACACATTAGCACGATACAGCGTTCGTGGCGCAAATGGCGACCGATCTGAACAAAGCACGTTTTGAGACACGTACGATTCGAAAGAACTTCGTGTTCGTGCGTCAGTAAATAAAATTTGGCTGTTTGGGTCAATTGGGTGAATGATTTTCATGAAATTCAAAAATACATAAACCAAATTTTGATTTAATAAAATTGAAACATCCTCTTGTTAATTTAGATTAGCCAAAAATGTCACTTATTTTGGTTTGTCAAAATATTTCAATATTTTTTTTCTCTAAGTAATATCAAAAAGTTTCTATTAGAATTTCAAAAAGTTTGTAATGTTGTGATATGGTTACATAACTTTTTTGGAGCGGTAAAGGATATCAAAACTAAAATTATGCTAACGACGTATACAAGAAAAACTTATATTTAAAAAGTATTTTAAGTAAAAATAAATGAATAGAAATGTAAATCATAAAAATATTCACAGCTTAATAAAATAAATCCTTTTGGTGGAAGGTGTTCTCTATATTGTTTCCTCGCATAGATACAACCCAGTTAGTTTCTTGTCGGATCTTTTCAATGGGTCGCAACCCAACTCTGATCTTGCGAAGCACTGCTCTTGCTAGGGCTAGTGTCAGCTAATTTTCTCAGGAATAGCCTCTTAGATTACTTACCAGCGAATAGGTAAGTGGGGAGTTGTTCTTGCCTCATAATTAAAAAACGACAAATATTACCTTTCTTAAAACCAAGTATACCCTAAATATGAGAATTTTAAAATAGTCCGCCAACCTCCTTGGGTTTAAATCTGCAGTAGTTTATTCATGGTAAGGTTTTTTCTGGGGTTACAGCTCACAGTATTACCGCAAATTATACAAATTTTTACCTAGCGAAATCATTTAAGCGTACGCTTTGATTTTTGCAATATGCACACCTATATTCAGTTCCAAAATTAATATTGTTTACCTGTGACGAGTACCCGAAAATCTGCTTATTATTTTCATATTAACCATCAAATGAACAGAAAATAATTCTAAAAATCTACGATATTATTGTTTTACAGAAACATCTGATTCTATTAATTTATGCAATGTACTGAAGTATTCGGTATAAAGTAAGATTTTTTTAAATTTCTTTAAACTACCTATGTAGTTTCCATACATTAGTGATAACCTATGTCACTGGGATTTTGTGGCGGGAATTCGAACTGTCAAATTACGTCAATTTGTTAACGAAGGACTTCTGGTTTCTACGTGTATTAATCTCAAATATTAAGTGTATCCATAATCTATGTGTATTAATGTACGGTGGCTTATTAGCCGAATCTGTGAAAGTACAGAAATAAATTTGTTAGACATCGTTTTTCGAGTTCTTCTATTGAACTCTCAAAAAATCTAATAATTTTATATAAATCCTTATCTGCCATAATTCATATCTGATGTCCTAATCTTAATTTTATTCAATTTAATTCCGTTCAATTTAACTTTCCCATAACAAATATAGCTAAGGCCACTGATGCAAAACATTTCGGTGTAAAAAAAATGAAGGCTGAAAGGTTGATTAGAAGAAAGGAAAAATTTTATAGATTTTATTTTAGATATTTGGGCTTAAAATATGTATATACGATAATTATCATGATGCATGGCTTGGAGTTACACTCCTTTCATGCATCATTGATTTAATAATAAAACTAAAAGTATTCCATGGGGCATCATAATCAAAAATGTCGAGTAGAGATTTATTTGAAGTCTTTTAATATGTTCGGCCTCGATCCCTTTGTCTAACCAATCGGGCGGTCTATTCTAAAACAATAGTCAAACGAAAATAAATAAATAAATAAATAAATAATTAAAAACTGTCTGTTCACTTAATATGAACCGAAGATGATACACCAAGAAGCTTAATATTTTAATTTACAAACTCAAATATGGCCGAGGGTGAGATACCTGGTGAGGCCGAAGTGGTCGAGCTTGGTGCGGAGGAGCCGCTGGTTTGTCGGGGGTGCCTCGCCAACGCCGGCGAAATGAAAAACATGTACGATTGGGGACTGAATGAGGAATTCTTCAAGATTACCGATATAAAGGTATGCTATACCATCTGGCATTGGCATGAACCCGACCGCTATGAAATTCCTCCCCGGCCTTGCAAAGAGAACTCACCGGTGGGCAGTGACTCGACTGTGCCCCTGGCATTGCTGATGTCCATAACCGACGGTAACTACCACAATCAGACTTGTGTTACGCCACATACGAAACCGCTTCTAACACACAGTAGGAGAAGTGTGAGAATAATTAATAAAAATCAGAGTAGTTATATCTAAAATGGCTTATTGAACAAGTTCAAAGTTAATATCATAAAAAAAAAGATTAATTAAAAACACGACCAAAATTAATATTATTTTTTAATTTTATTATTAACTTTTTTTTTAAGTCTTTGTTTGATGGATCAACATATGACCCACCTGCTGTTAAGTGGTTGTTGGAACTTCAATAGCTATCTGTGCAGGCTCACGAGATGCTCCACCACCCGTAAAAACTTTTACAATTTTATAGTCAGTACTTAATTATCTTGTGTAAATTTCTATAGCCTTTGCAGGCTTATTAATACTATTTCGATTATTATTAATAGTATTTCCCCTCTGAAAGTGATTGGTTCGTCTCTCATTGAAATCAGCAAGCCAAGCCGCTATCTAACTGATCTAATATCTCACAGTGAATGGGTGCGTTCACGATCATTAGTAGTACTTATAAACTATTATTGTTTTTGAAGAAATTCTGTACAGAATCTCATAAACAGGTCTTGAATGGTGTGCTCTTATTGAATTATGTGTTTAAGCCTTTGTTTACATCTACTCAACATCTTCCTGGTGTAAAAAGATAATCAGAGCCTGTGGACATTACGAGTATAACATGAAGGGGTTTATCTGGGACAAGTCTTAATTGTATTTTTTATTTATTTTTATTGCACAGATGGGTGGACGAGCTCACAGCCCACCTGGTGTTAAGTGGTTATTGGAGCCCATAGACATCTACAATGTAAATACTGAAACCCACCTTAAGATATGAGTTCTAAGGTCTCAGTACTATGCAACGGCTGCCCTGCCCTTCAAACCGAAATGCATTACTGCTTCACGGCAGAAATAGGCAGGGTGGTATTAAGGCTGGTGCAATCTTCAAACCGGTTCTGGCTTTGCATCAGATATATATAGAATGATGGTATTTAGCTGTGTTAGCCTACAATATACCACAAGTAATCACTTAGTTACCTTTTACAACATCAACAGGGTTGTGCTCTTGTAGGTAGAAACCGTACAGCTAATTCTGAATTAGTTATACTTGTTTTTCCTTACATGTAGTATCTAATCACTTTGTAAATACTTCAAAAGTATTAGTTATGTGAACTTCAGTTCACCTTTTGTTATGATAACCTCAAATAGAATATTATGTTGATTTTGAAAAAAATACACTATCATCATCATTATCATTCCTTCCTATTACCCTCTGCTGGGGTGTAGGGCTCGAATCGAATTTTTTCCATTTACATCGGTCTTGGGCATTCTGTTCTAAAATAAAAATACACTATAGTATTTGTTTTTTTTTTTCAAGGCTATCAGGACGGAGAACATCTCTGAATTCCTTTGTACGAACTGCGAGGATATGCTAATGATCTGCAAAAGATTTAAATCACAATGCCAGCAATCAAACAGCATCATGATGAACTGGATCAAGGTGTTTTGAAATATTTGTTTTGTACGGCTCATTTAAGTTTAAGATTAAGATAATCTTTAGTAACAATCTAATTTAAGTTACATTTTTATTTATTTTAATAACCAGAGCTATATATGTATGTAGGTCCTTAAAAAAAAACTAAAAGTGCAACAATGGAATAGTTTTATTTTATGCGTCACGTTCCCAATTCTAAATTTATTTTAATTTACGAATTAACTAAATTTGACTATTATTTTAATTTTGTCATTTAAAACCTGTCCAGCCCTTATTTAAATTTCATCAGCAGATAGTTTAATCTAAGCGTAATTTTCCACAGACAACGACATCGGATTCATCGGTTCCGCAGAATATAACTCGTCACATCCTGACCGAGAATAAGCTGACCGTAATCCTGCTGGCGCCGGACCGTCTGGCCAAAGTCTACATTACGTGTCCCTTGGACTGCAACGAGAAATATATAAAGAAACGGGATCTCCTAACGCATTTGAATAGAAAACACAACTACAGCAAGGACTTCGCTGTGGAATTGCAGTATTACTGTTCGTATGAAACGTGCACTTACAGCACGAAATTCGGCAGCAAATGGTTCGCCGAACGCAAGTTTCTGAATCAGCATTACAACAAAGTGCACAGCATTAAAGTCATTGAATGCGAGCGGTGCAACAAAGGCTTTCCTTCCGAGACGGATTACGCGAGACACGTACCTGCTTGCAGTAAAACATTTCAGTGTCCGTTGTGCAATAAAGAGTACGCTTCGAGAGATCGCTACACTGTGCACCTGCTAAGGAAACACCCGCAGATACATAAAGAGTTCAAGATTAATAATAAAGCGGAAAAACGCAAGTCCGCTGTGCTCGCGAAGAACAAGAAAAAGAAAAAGGAATCTTTCGAAGATTACATTTGTGATAGTCCGAAACGCAGTTCAGCGACTCAGACGCGGCTCGATGATAAAATTAAGAATGACGTCACGCTGCCGTCTTGGTCCGTGCCCGGCAGGAGCGACGGCCTCGAAATCAAAACAGACGAGATATCGACGCAGACTGTTTTCGAAGATCTGTTGTCTATAAAATCACAGACGAGCGAAGACGAATCGATATTTAGTTCGGAAACAGTATCGCTGTCTGATATACAAACTCAAACCTTTCCGATCGAATTTGGTTTAAGTCGTTCGAATAAGGAGACGGTCACGAGCGAGACCCAGTCACCGGATTTGAGTATTAAAGAGACCCAAACGTGTTTATGCTTATACGAAACACCAAAAAGTGGAGGTAGATATCAGGACGGCCTTTCATCAAGTCCGTGCAGCAACAATTTCATATCAACGGAGACTCAAACGGGCGACCTCAAGTGCTGCGTCAAATCGGATGTGCTTTTGAGCTTTAATTCGACCGAAACTCAAACTTGCTTCGACGATGACACCCAAGGAAGCGATAACATTATGTGATATTTGGAGTTACTGTAAGGTTTACCTTGATGATATACTTTTGATATATGTATTTTTATTTACGGAGTATTTAAAAGAACGAATCGTGATAGATCAATAATATTTGTGTGAAGCTGAAAAAGCATTATCTTTCTTGGCTGGAAATAAATCATTCAATGGATTCAGAACGGTGGAAAAGTTGAAAAGTATAATGTTAAACTAATCCTGCTGCTGCGATTAGATCCTCTAGTAGGGCAAACAATGATCAGCTCTTTCTCAAGTTCAAACTTATTTGTGTTAAATCATTTAATATAGTTCTGTTTTAGTGGCGGTAATGCGTCGGACAGCTGTAATATAAGTGTGAAAATGTTATGTACATGTCGGTGAATACGGTAGTTTTGAAATTTAAATGATTTTCATAGTACGAAGGCAGCATGAACCCTCAGACGCGATCGCTGGATCAGTTGCCTCAGATTGTAACTATTCAAATAGCTTCATAACTTATCTGATCGATTGAAGTGATTGCGAAGTGAATCATCAGTTGTGGTACTATATCAGTGCTTCTTACTATTCCCCCTCCCACATCACTTGCTTCTTAATATTCCCCCTCCCACACCACTTGCTTCTTACTATTCCCCCTCCCACATCATTTGCTTCTTACTATTCCCCCTCCTTTATAACTTGCATCTCGCTGCCTCATTAGCCAAAAAACTAGTGCTATTTTATTTATTGCCTTCTGTGAGATATCAAACCAATTCCTAAACGCATTCGATACCTGTCATTCTAAAATGTAGCTATCTCGCTCTTAACTCAACTTCCGTCCTGTCTTTTTCCTAAATGTTCGGTTAAGTGTGCGTAAGTTAAGTGTGTGTGTATTAATTAATTAAGTGTTTTAATCCATATATGAAATCTTCTATATATTGCGCATAAGTTTAAAAGTTGTTTACTTACATTCATTTGCATTGTACAGAATAGTATTTAAATAATTTTGAAAGTAAAAATTTGAGTATTGAGAATCGCTGCTCCAGATGCTGCGATCTTCCACTGTCCAGCTCTCGTGAATTGCGCCACGAAAACCCAATTTCTTGCATACGGAATCGTTGGTTAAAACGTTTATTTATGATTCGGAGATACTTAAATGTTCTTTGTTAGTATAAATCATCAATAATAAATATGTAAAGAATGTGCTTTGTTGTTTTTTTGTTACAAAACGGTGCCTTCTAAACCTTTTAGACCCTACTTACTGGTCTTTCTCTACACGGCGGAAACGTGCAACTCCTTCTCTCTTTCGTTACTATTAAGAGGCGTTTCTAATAAAACCTTCTGTGTGCTTAGTGCGGGTTTTTTAATGTTCTCGATAGCGTAAAAGTTAACTAGAATTTGTATGGAGTTGGCACAGCGCTCCTGGCGGCAAACGAAGGGAAATTCGCACTAAGCAATCACCTTTTTCCGGGTAATTGATGAGCTTGCCTCGCTTCTGCAGCGCTTCTGGAATATTCGCAGATGCATGTTTAAATTGCTTGCCCACTATGGAAAAGGCTTCCTTGATATCCAGGATATGGGGCAACTCAAAGGCTCTACTGAAAATGACCGCCAGTACGTTAGATAGTGTATATACGAACCGTTGTTTTTCTCATTGGGATGGTGCAGAAGCGATTTGCAAATTAATTTATGTATGCCGTCGTCGTGGCCTAAAGGATAAGACGTCCGGTGCATTCGTATGTAGCGATGCACCGGTGTTCGAATACCGCTGGCGAGTAACAATTTTTCTAATGAAATACGTACTTAACAAATTTTCACGATTGAGTTCTACGGTGAAGGAATAACATCGTGTAATCAAAATCAAACCTGCTAAATTATAATTGCGTAATTACTCGTGGTAGGACCTCTTGTGAATCCGCACTGGTAGGTAATGCGGTTCGGTTTGAAGGGTGAGGCAGCCGTTGTAATTATTCTGCGACTTTAGAACTCATATCTCAAGGTGGGTGGCAGCATTTATGTTGTACATGTCTATGGGCTCCGGTAAACACTTAACACCAGGTGGGCTGTGAGTTCGTCCACCCATCTAAGCAATAAAAAAATAAATGCTTTTAGGGATCTCAAGCACCGGTCACCGTTCTCGTCGCTGTCACTTTGATAAAAGGTTCGACGAGTGAAATTAACCCACAGACACAGCCCACTGAGTTTCTCGCCGGATCTTCTCAGTGGGTCGCGTTTCCGATCTGGTGGTAGATTCTGCGAAGCACGGCTCTCGCTAGGGCCAGTGTTAGCAACGTCCTCAGGTTAGAGCTTCGTGATCTCACTTACTCGCTTGGTTACGCTGGCATATCCTCTAAAGGCTACCACCAGCTTAGGTAGGAAAAAAAACCGTCACAACGTGAATTTGCGCATCAATGAAGTGTCAATTTAATTATGTAACGATAGAATGATACGGCAGTGGACTAAGGGATCCCGCGATTAAAGTATTTATAAAACTATATTTTTATGAATATCCTACGGTAAAATTTAATCTATAATGTTATTTAATTTTGACGCATCCGCTCAGTCGTGGGTGTGTTATGATAATTATATATACCTACGTGTTTCGATGACTATATAAAAATGAATCATCCGTGTCTGTCTGTTCCTAGTACCTATGTAGTACCTATTTATGTCAAAATTGAACTGTATCGATTACCCCTTCTGCGCAATCGCGCAAGCTTCGCTCTCAGAAATTGCTATTACATTTGTGCCAGGCGCTCGCTCGATACGACGAATGAACAAAATATATAATAATATATACAGAAATTTGATATTAATTTTAGCAGAATCAACTGTGATCTCATTCGAATATTGTTAAAAGAGAAAATGTTGGTTGTATTATCGCCGTAATTTAATTTAAAAAAAAGCAAGTTCCATAGCGTTTTTCGACATTATACGTGTTAGAAGAATATTTGTTTAAAAAAAGTCCAAATAAATTAGTTAAAACGGGTTCCGAAACAGTTAATCGTTATACAAAACCAATGTATAAGGCGGCAATAGCCGTTTTATTCAAGAAAAGAGTCGTCAAACTCGAATCTACGGAATCTGAAGACCACTTTCAGTACATTTCGTTACCTCCTGACATCCCAATAAGAAAATGTCACTACCCAGAACATTCAACTATAATCAGGTAAGATGTTTGCAGTGATATATCTAGGATTTATGGCACGCACATTTTTTATGATTCGCAAGCCGGAACGCACGGGTGGTGAACAAAAAAGAAGTAAGGGAGTCCTTAGAGAGTCCCTTCTTTATTTCGCGTGAAAATCTTGTTTCTGGATCACTCGTAATTAAGACCATAATTGACACAATAGGAGTTTTATTGTTGCAGCGGCTTACACAGTTTTAAGTTAAACACTTATTGTTTTTTTCGTCATATGTATTTTCGGCGGTAAAAAAAAACTCGTGTCACAGACTATCTTCTTTTTTTTCCACCTCTCATGCGTTCCGGCTTACGCATCATAAAAAAGGTGCGTTCTTAAACGCCACATATTAGAAGATATTATTAGAAAATAGGTCCTATATCGATAATATAATTAAGCTCTTCATATTGGCATACATGTCCATTATTACCAACACAATAGTAAAAATACAGACTAAAGCATTCCCGATGCATCGTCTACAATATTGAGGCAATTTATTACTAAAAACGCAATAAAACAGATTTGGCTTTAGCAGTGGAAACACATATAATTTGTACATACCAGTTCTTTTTTTATATTTCTATTTTAAATATATATTTTTTTCCCTACCTACCTATGCTGATAGACTTGAGAGGCTATATCAGCGTTACCCTAGCGTGTAGGTGAGCTCTCGGTGCTCAAACCGGAGGTGATGCTAACACTGGCCCTAGTAAGAGCAGTGCCTCGCAGAATCTACCACCAGATCGGAGACGCGACCCACTGAGAAGATCCGGCGAGAAACTCGGTGGGCAAATAAACTAAGTGTCAATCAAAGTTTCCATTTTATTAAAAAGAGCTCCTGGATCCGTCCCTTAAACAACAGTACCAAGAAATGAAGTTGGTGATATGAAGTAAATAGATGTGACATTTTTTATGAGATAAAATAAAGTCTAAAATAACAAAGACACGTTTATTATAATAGCTTAATTAGCCATTAATTTGGTTTTATTTATTTATATATTTGGTTTTATTTATTTGAATATTTTTTATTTCTTCGATGGGTGGACGAGCGCAGGGCCCACCTGATGTTAAGTGGTTACCGGAGCCCATAGACATTTACAACGCAAATGCTGCCAACCACCTCGAGACACGAGATGTAAGGTCTAACTTTTAACAGTACAACGGCTGCCCCGCCCTTCGAACTGAAACGCATTACTGCTTCACGGCGGAAATAGGCGGGGCGGTGGTACCTGCCCGTGCGGACTCACAAGAGGTCCTACCACCAGTAATTACGCAAATTATAATTTTGCGGATTTGAATTTAACTAAACGACTAGCGACCCGCCCTCGCTTCACTTCGGAAACTGTAATTTATTATTGATTTTTCCACTATTTAATGGATGTTATTATACATATAAACCTTCCTCTTCAATCACTCTATCTATTAAAAAGAACCGCATCAAAATCCGTTGCGTAGTTTTAAAGATTTAAGCATACATAGGGACAGACAGGAGAAAGCGACTTTGTTCTATACTATGTGGTGATGTTATTCCTTCACCGTGGAAGTCATTCGTGAACGATTACCTATTGCTCGCCTTGAAGCCTATTAATATTAGCATCTACAGTTCGATGTTTCAAATTGAACTTCAATTGAGTTTACTCCATTCGAATAGCTAAAGAAGTTGTTTTGTTATGATATTTTTTCTAGAACTTTAAATGGCTCGCCTGTAATATTGCAAAAATGTTGCTTAAATGAAAACTAGCTTTCTACCACTCGAAATATCCTTAAACACTAATTAATATTAAAACAATTTATAAATTTATATAAAATATAAATCCGACTATACTTATAATATCAAGACTGGTTTTTTTATTTATTTATTATTTATTAAAGCAAACCGAATTTAGAAGTAAATTAGGTTTTTTTTTGTTGTGAGTCTTTGTATATAAATTTAATTCAAACGTTTTCTCTTTATCTATATATATAAAAATGAAATGCTGTTCGTTAGTCTCGCTAAAACTCGAGAACGGCTGGACCGATTTGGCTAATTTTGGTCTTGAATTATTTGTCCAGGGAAGGTTTAAAAGGTTAGATAAATATGAAAATGTTCGGAATTAAATAAAAATAACAATTTTGTTTTTCCTTTGATGTGTCCCCCGTCGAACGGATTCCTTTTGTTTGTTTGAAGTTTATTTTATACAAAAGCTTAGGTCTTTTATTTATCGATTGAGGCACTACGAAGTCTGCCGGGTCAGCTAGTTCTGTATTAAAAAGTATAAATAAAAAACGTGTGCCTTAGTAATTTTAAATTCATTATAACACAGTGGTAATGAAATTTTAAATTAAATAACTTACCTTTTTTCCTCTGACCTATCTATTCGCGGATCGCGGCGTTATTGCAGCGAAGCCAACATACCTATAATCACAGCGCAACATAGGAAGTTGATGCGCTCTGTCTCTTTCTATCCTGTTTCATATTAGCAGAGCGTGACAGAGACGAATAACGTTTTGTTGCACTTTGCAAAATCCGTAGGTTGCGATATTTATAATGCTATTTACAATGATTTTTTATACAACAGATATGTTATCTTCATAGTAACTGACTTCAAATCTGATCGCGCCATATATATCTACATACCTACCGATATAGTGCACACACATGTTGACAAGTAGCATTAATGAAAAGTAGAAAATATGGGATAAGCGCGTGAGTAAAAAAGATAGCTATAATTGAAACGATTGCACTTGTTATATTATTATTGCATTTGTTTAGACGCGACTAAAGACGAAACGTCCCAATTGGCCTGTTTTCGAGTCTTCACTTGACGTGCGCTTGAAACATATCTGCTTCTTTTTACATATAAAATATCATTGGCTATTTATCAATTTTTGGTATCTGATAAATCGTCAAAACTTTTAAATTAACTTGAATTTTACTTAAAAACGTTAAATGTGTTTGTTCGTAAATTGATACTTTAGTGCATTTTCCGATCGATTTGAAACTTTGCACAGCATACTTAGCTGCGTTGTTATAGCAACGGGTTTTTTTTTTCAAAAATATGGCGCTTGTTTCACGGGCCTTTAATATTATTAGGTCATAGTGTAGTATCATTGGGTTCGCTCGTAGATAACACAACTCTACAAAAAAAATTCATTATTTGTCCTAACGTTTATACTAGGTTTTTCCGGTTAATTATTCACAAAAACGAAAATAAAATACCTTTTTTTGGTATAAAGTTTGCTTTTGTGATAGTTATAGTACTCAATACTATTTTTTTTTTTTATATATAGTAATTAATTTTAATACTTTCGAAAAAACCGCGCTATGAGAGTGGGGTGTTTACGTTTACACAGTGCCACTAGATGGCACTCGAGTCACTAACAAAGATCAGGTGTTTTGTACAAGCCCAGAAAAACTTAAAATGTCACGAAAGTGTAAATACGATGCTGATGCATTTTGTTTCATATGTGGTCAATTTATTAAAGTTCAAAAGCTAACTGTTTCATGCCATGTATTTTTTTTCTCGTCTAATTACGATCTAACATAACGAAATTTTAGGCTTTGTAATCAAAGTCAAATTTGGTGTTGACCTGTGTAATTAAATACTATTATCTTTTTTATACTTAACACGTATTATTTACTGCAGTAAAATTGTATATTTAACAATATATTAACCCTTAGACTGCCATGTAATAAACATTTTAAACTAATCACGTTATGTGGTTAAATACAATCCACTGAGTTTCTAGCGGGATCTTCTCAGTGGGTCGTGATTCCAATCCGGTGGTAGATTCAACAAAGCACTTTTCTTGCTAGGGCCAGTGTTGGCAAATTCTTTCAGTTTGAGCCCGTGAGCTCACGTACCGGTATCAACGTAGTTAAAATAGCCTCTTACCAGCAAATAGCTAGGTTTAAATGCGCTATTGTAATTGTCAGCTTTACATCAGGATTTTCACACAATAAGATCTATTACTATGAAAATACAATACAATCATGATTGTATAATAATATAATACACATTTTGTTATAGTTATGCAACTCACGCACTCCACAAAAATGCTTACGGGCCTCGGCCACTAGATGGCTTCGATTCGATTAGTTTCTCATTGCTCCTGTGGACGGATCCCATATTTTATTTTTAATGAAGTAATTTGGTAAATTTGCCTATAAAAATTAAGACTTATATGATTTATTATTATTTTTTATTTACTGTGTTTAGTTATACGATACTTAAATGCCTTTACTTTAACAACATATAAGCTTAAGGGCATCCGGTATAAGATGTCGGTAGTTGCTATACAAAAAAAGATTTGTCTTAAAGTTTCAGATGTCAAAATGTTTCAGTGCCCATATTACAATTCTAACGTTAACATGTTTATTACAAAAGCCACGTCTTAGTTTTTACACAATCAGCCATTTTGTTTTGGTTATAGCAACTACAACTTCTGTTAAACAAATAAATGGAATGACTGCGAAATAATACAATAAAATATAGCTTAATATTCACAATAAATATTTTAGCGATTTTTACATGACTCTTATATTAATTTATTTTGTATAAATTACTAAAAACACTACATAAATATCATAATTTAGCTAACATTAATATTATCCCGCCTAATAATAAGTGGCGCCAACAACATGACTTGCGTAACAATTACAATATTTAATCAAATTATTAAATTAATAATTAGATTAAGTATTGTAATTAAACATTAATAATTTATGTTAATTACAACATAATGTATTATTAATATTTATGCTTTATTAATATTTCATTATTTTAACAGTCATTTATGTTTTTAAACAATAATATAAAAATATTTAAACATATTCTGAGCATTACATGAAAAGAGTGTCCGCTAAATATTAAATATGGTAGATTAACAGTTTCATCTTGATAATAAATAATAAATAAATAATAACATAGAATAAACTAAAGTTTAAACAAGTAATGTTAATTATTGCAAACAGTCGCGTTTGCGCCCATATAACCTTAGTCGAGACAAATTGTGCCTTGAATTGTATTGGCGAGTAAGTATTTAGGTCAGCGGGGTCACTGACTGCAGACACTGCGGCTACGAGGCGACCATTGGAATTAATATAGACTGCATTTCTCGTGATTGTAGTATTGTAAATAGGCATTTTATAAACTCGCGCAATTATCCGAGGTCACGTGAAGAATTTCGTAAAAAAATTAAGTTTTTTTTTCCCTACCTAAGCTGATAGCCTTGAGAGGCTATATCAGCGTCGCCTTAACTAGTAGGTGAGCTCACGGGGATCAAACCTGATGACGTTGCTAACACGAACCCTAGCAAGAGCCGTACTTCGCAGAATCTACCACCGGATCGGAAACGCGACCCACTGAGAAGATCCGGCGAGAAACTCAGTGGGCTGTGTCTGAGAGTGTGTGATTGCAGTATTGTAAATAGGTGTTTTGTAAACTCGCGTAGTTATCCGAGGTCACGTGAGGATTTTTTTTATTGCTTACATGGGTGGACGAAATCACAGCCCACCTGGTGTTAAGTAAGTGGTTACTGGAGCCCATAGACATCTACAACTTAAATGCGCCACCCACCTTGAGATATAAGTTCTAAGATCTCAGTACAGTTACAACGGCTGCCCCACCCTTCAGACCGAAACGCATTACTGCTTCACGGCAGGAATAGGCAGGGCGGTGGTACCTACCCGCGCGGACTCAGAAAAGGTCCTACCACCAGTAATATCGTAATTTTTTTTAAGAATCACTGCCTTAGTTAATTTTGGAAGTTGTTTGACGGACAATGATATTATATCGAGGGGTTGAAGCGACATTTTTGCAATTTCACAGGAGAGTCACTTACTGATTAAAAATTGGAAAAAATATCTTTAAAAAAAACTTCCATAATTCGTTTCCAAATGATTCTTTTCCACCTGATGGTTGTCTGGATGGATCGCTCTTAGCGATAAGACCGCCAATTGTATTTTTTTTTGTATTTAATGTATCGCATTGTTTATTTGTTTTTTGGTGTACAATAAAGAATACTCTCTCTCTCTCTCTCTCTCTTCCTCTCTTTTATCTCTCTCTCTCTCTTCCTCTCTTTTATCTCTCTCTCTCTCTCTTCTTCAGCTATTCGAATGGGGTAAACTAATTGAAGTTCAATTAAAAACATCGAACTGTTGATGCTGATACTAAATAAAACGCATCTTTGATTATGAAGATAATTAATGTCGCGTGTTAAGCGAATTTTTGCTCAAAGCAAATGGTCTTTCACTCCTCGATATAATTAAGATGAGGATGTCGACAGGAGAAACCGGAATTTTCGTAACTTGAAAAACCTAAGTTTATTTATTATAAACGCGAAAGTTTGCAAGAATGTATGGATGTATGTTTGTTAGGTACTCTTTCACGCAAAAATTGCTGATTTACTGGTGGTAGGACCTCTTGTGAGTCCGCGCGGGTAGGTACCACCACTCTGCCTATTTCTGCCGTGAAGCAGTAATGCGTTTCGGTTTGAAGGGTGAGGCAGCCGTTGTAACTATACTGAGACCCTTAGAACTTATATCTCAAGGTGGGTGGCGCATTTACGTTGTAGATGTCTATGGGCTCCAGTAACCACTTAAGACCAGGTGGGCTGTGAGCTCGTCCACCCATTTAAGCAATAAAAAAAAAAAAGAATGGATTTTGATGAAACTTCACATTAATATATCTTACACATTAGAATAACATATAGGCTATAATTTATAAAGATATATTGTGAATTACTTGAAATAAAACCATAAGTGTCAAGCAAGAAGGAAAAAAAATCTGTCATTAAGGTTCAATAAGATCAGTGTGCTTAATGCGAGTTTTTTAACGTTCTCGTTAGCGTAAAAGTTAACTCAAATTTATATGGAATTGGAACAGCGCCCCTAGCGGCAAACGAAGAGAAACTGTTTCAACTCCATACAAATTTGAGTTAACTTTTACGCTAGCGAGAACGTTAAAAAGCTCGCCCTAAACACAAGCATTATGATCGCCAGAAACGTTATAACTAATTGCACCAATGGATTATTTTCTTTGTAATACAATTAACAATAAACTTCATGTCATATTCCAGGAGTTTTCGAACCTCGACGATCAGGTCCTGGGCTGCTCGGCGCCTCCCACGACCGCGCTGTCGTGCTCCATTGACCTTCCAACAGAGAATAATGTTGAGGTGAGCCGGAAAAACTAATTTATTAAGAAATGATTGGGAACAAATCTCACACATGAAGTCGTCGTGGCCTAATAAGACATCCGGTGCATTCGTATCTAGCGATGCACCGGTGTTCGAATCCTGCGGGCGGGTACCAATTTTTCTAATAAAATACACGTACTTAACAAAGGTTCACGATTGACTACCACAAGAATTATCTGAAATTAAATTTATGTGTTAACGTTAAGGTTATGTAAAACAGTGAAAACAGGAATATCGAAGGAGAAGGAAAAGATTTTTACTAGCGTTTACTTGTCAAAATTTAAATATTTTTTAAGCTATTGCATAGCTTTTATCGCGGGCTTTGAGCGCGGCGACCGAATCAAGAAATTCCGTAACGAAAATAAAACCTAACACCCCCAATCCGCCTACCATGTAGCTCGCGTTCAACACATTCACACGTTGCGCTTGTGTAGTGTTTGTGAATAAGCGCGCGGCGTGACGTCACACTGCATGCGCATCATGAAAAGTCTGCCCATCTCTCTCTCACGCGGTCTAGTTTATGAGTGTGAAGGGGACAGTTAATGTTTTGCTTTTATTAATGTTTATAAATATAGCGTTATTGTTTTAATATTAAATTATTATTGTCTAATTATAATTGCATAAGTTAATAAAAAATGCTATGCAATAGCCTTATCGCGACAGTCCCCGAGTGCCACACGTGTTTTTTCTAAAGTTCTTATTGTAGGGGCCCTCCGTTTGAGGAGGCCGCGGGTCTTTCGTTCCCAGTTGCCCTCCCTTAAATCTGGAACTGCAGCAGATGCTAGACGTGTAGGCTTGATAGAGTACAGGATTAATCGAAATATATTTTCATCTGCAGGCGACTCTGTCTTCAGACAAGGCCGGGTCGTTGCTCTCAGTGCGTTCGGCCCCAATCGAGAAGCAAAGACCTACCAGTCTGGTGTTGGAGCTGCCTTTAGCTACGGTACGTGTGCTTGCGAGTTTAGCTCAACCACCAAAGCATTGGAATCTGAATTCTAGACGTTTCTAGACATCATCATGTTTATGTTTTATGTTATTGGAACGAAGTTTTGGAACGAAGTTCCTTATGGGACGATGTGGAGGGGTACCCTAACCGGGAAAAAACGTCCGTAACGTAAGATTTTTTATTAGTAATGCACACAGTGTACGACTTAACTTTGTGATAACGTACAAAAATAAAATATTTTTTTTTCATTAATTTACAACGATCTCAGAGTGTTCGTTTGCGCAATACACTAACTCTTATGCAAACAACCGTGAATGAAGTGTACCACAATAAGTTCGCACGTTACTGAATGACCGTGAGTTGTTGCGAAACCTCCAGTTTTATTTTCTTTATACCTCGAATAGAACTTAAAATAAATATTTTTATAATAAGGAACTTCCTTCCTATCCGGTGTCCCGCGACACCACACATTTTTTCTGGAGATTAATTCTAACACGGTGGCGCAATAGTTAATGGTCTGGTCTAAAGGATCAAAGACTGGACTCCCAATGATTTCAGCTGGTGACAAAGAAGTTAGTGTCCTTAATGTTTGCAGGTCTAAGGTCTAAAGATAAAATGGAGTACGTAAAAATCTAACTCGCAATATTTGATTTTTACTGGTGGTAGGATCTCTTGTGAGTCCGCACGGGTAGGTACCACCACCCCGACTATTTTTGTCGTGAAACAGTAATGCGTTTCGGTTTGAAGGGTGGGGTAGCCGTTGTAACTATACTGAGACCTTACAACTTATATCTTAAGGTGGGTGGCGCATTTACGATGTAGATTCTACGGGCTCCAGTAACCACTTAACACTACGTGGGCTGTGGTCTCGTCCACCCATCTAAGCAATAAAAAATAAAAAATAAAAATTTGATCGGACCGTGTTGTCTATTTCTGCCACGAAGTCATGTCTTCTGGTTTGAAGGTTGGGTCAGGGTCTCTTAGAGCCAATTCAGACTTTTCGACCTCATGTGTAAAGGGCAGAGGGTGGGTGGCGAAGTTCAAGCTGTGAGCTCCGGTGATCACTCAACACCAGCGTTATACTCATGATGACAATACGTCATGATGACAATAGTTATTTGGTAACAGCAAGTCGGCGCGTATCTCTCAGCGATGTCTCCGACGGAGCAGGAGGAGGATTCCCTGCTGACGCTGTCTTCGGTGACGGCGAGGCCACTACTGGCCGCGTCCAGGAAGTTGAGACCTCCAGGGTCGAATGCCGAGTGAGTATACACGACAGGTGCGACGGTAGGCGGTCGGCGGTAATGACCGAAGCGCAATGGACTTTAAAAGAATTTGACTCACTAAAATGAAAGGTTGTTGCGAATTTCTTTTCCACACTTTTCATTACATGGAGTTTCCATTATGCGTAGAGTATGGGGAAACACAAAAACCTAAGAAGAAATGGATGGTTTGCGTGAAAGACGATATGTGTAAGAAGGGAGTGAGCGAAGAAACGGTATATGATAGAGGAGTATGGAAGGAGAAAACATGTTGCGCCAATCCCAAGTGATTGTAAGGAAAGGAGAATGATGAGGGAGAAACGCCAACAACGTCTTGAGGGTATTAGCAGAAGGACTGGATGGACCGCACCCTGGCTATAGTATTCTTTATTGTACACAAAAAACAGAAGCAGCAACAAAAGCAGTAAAAAGGATATCGAGAGCCCTGGTTTTATTTGTATATAGATGAAAACCGACTTCTCCCCTTACAGGAGCATCGTCCCTCCCGACGGCGGATACGGCTGGGTGGTGGTATTCGGCGCGTTCATGGTTCAGTTCTGGGTGGCCGGTCTCTTCAAGTCCTACGGGGTTCTGTACGTGGAGATAATGGAGACGTTTCCGGATTCGTCAGCTTCGGTCGCTTCGTGGATTCCGGCCGCTCTGTCGACGTTGTGCTTGGCTTTAGGTGAGTGGATATAATTTTTCGTGTATTATTTTCATAGATTAGTATGGTAATTGTGTTCATAATTCACCGGCGGGAGGCGAAGCAATGCGTTCTGGTTTCAAGGATGGTATTCACGCATCTGTGATACTAAGCATGTCGATCTTTGGATTACTGTATCCGTTTTAAAATTTTCGCCACCAGCCGTTGTACTGTAAAAACTGAAACCTTAGAACTCGTGTCTCAGAGTGGTGGTAGTGTCATTGTTTTCGGTGAGCACTTAACACTAGGTATACTGAGAGCTCCTCCATCCGTCCTTCTTTTTTTTATTGTTTAGATCCGTGGATGAGCTCACGGCCCACCTGATGCTAAGTGGCTACCGAAGCCCGTAGACATGTACAACGTAAATGTCGCTACCCACTTTGAGGTATGAGTTCTCAGGTCTCAGTTGTAACAATACAACGGCTGCCCCACCTTTCAAGCCGAAACGCATTGCTGCTTCATGGCAGAAATAGGCAGGGTGGTGGGTACTTACCCGCGTGGACTCATAAGAGGTCCGATACCACCAGTAAAATAATAATAAAACTGATAACACAGTTTCTGACTATGGTATTCGGTGTGGAGCTGACTACCAGCACCATGCTCTAATCCAGTGTTCTCCGCAGCGCCGCTGTCATCGGCTCTCTGCGAGAAGTACTCCTGCAGGCTGGTCGTGTTCATCGGGGGCCTGTTCTGCGCGAGTGGACTCGCTCTCTCGTTCTTCAGCACGGGACTGCTACATCTGCTGCTCAGTTTTGGGGTCATGACCGGTGAGTTGGGCGATGACCCAAGCGGCTGGTCTCTCGTTGTCCCCGAAGGCAGACGGAGCGCGTGTCCAATGATAATGGTTACCGTCTTTCACAGATGCCCGTCAAATAATGTAATAGCGTCACAAGAATTCACTTGGGGTGCCGTAGTTGTTTGCTAGTTTACAGGATCTTTCGGAACGCAATGAACGTCTTGCCTTTTAGGCCACGAACGCTATTTCCGTTTCAGCTCAGCATAAGCATCATGTACCATGTGACATACTTGTAGTGACGGGTAAAGTGGATGGAAAAATTGTGGTAGGACGTCTTGTGAGTCCGCACGGGTAGGTACGAACGCCCTGCTTTCTGCCGTGAAGCAGTAATGCGTTTCGGTTTGAAGGGTGGGGCAGCCGCTATAGCTATACTGAGACCTTAGAACTCATATCTCAGGGAGGGTGGGCGCATTTGCGTTATCAATGTCTATGGGCTCTAACCACTGAACGTCAGGTGGACCGTGAGTTCGTTCACTTAACAATGCAATAAATATATTTACAAAAAAACGATCCAAGGATCGGAGCCAGAAAAGATCTTATGATCAAAAGTCCTACCGATGGGCTTCACTGAGCTACTGTCCGATATAAGTGGCTAAAGATGGCACGCAGACCCCTCAGGCGCGTCGCGATGCTGAGCAATTGAGCTATGGTTCGGAGAAGGAGATGTGGCTCTGATACAATATCCTCTCGGTTCCAGGTATCGGCGGAGGACTGTCCACAACGCCAGGCATCGTCATTGTGTCGCAGTACTTCGACAAGCACAGGTGAGCATTGGATCCGGTATTCGACGGTCTAAAACTGATGGTAAGACGTCTTGTGAGTCTGCCCTGATAAGCACCACTGCCCTGCCTATTTCTGCCGTGGAGCAGTAATGCGTTTCGGTTTGACAAGTCTACAATTATCGAGAACATTCCAGATAGTAATGGTCGTTTCAAAAAGTTTTGCCGCTCTCAAATCGTGAAGCTTCAGGCCTGGGCCTAGGTGTAAATTCATCACTGGGCGTTTCTATATAACAACTAACACGGTTTCTCACAAAACGGAACTTTGTTGGAACGTATTTATCGCTTTATAGGAAGATTACCTGTACATGCCTGTATACGTTTAAATATATTGCAATATAACGTGCACACGAAACCTGTTCATCGCACGAATGGTTAGCCCACTGAGTTTCTCGCGGGATCTTCTCAGTGGGTCGCGTTTCCGATCCGGTGGTAGATTCTGCGAAGCACGGCTCTTGCTAGGGCCAGTGTTAGCAACTTCGCGAGGTTAGATCCCCGAGAATTCACCTACTCATTCGGTAACGCTGATATAGCTTCTCAAGGCTATCAGAATAGGTAGGAAAAAAACACGAATGTTTGCCCGATTTGGGAATCGAACGCACGACCCTGGGCCAGCAGTCAGCGCTGACCACTGCACTACCGAATCATTCGAATGTCGTGAACTTATCTTTTCCAGGGCGCTGGCTAATGGTATTTGCGTGAGTGGGACGGCTGCCGGTAGCTTCGTCTTTCCGATGTTGATCGAGAAACTGGTCGATGTATATGGACTGCACGGAACCGTTCTTCTGTTAGGTGAGGGTCTGAAGGGGCTGGCGCGGGGACTGCTCTCGGCGGGGGGACGAGTATAAGAGCCACTCTGAGAGAGTCTTGACATTAGTTTGAAGGGACCGTCGGTATGTTGGTTCCAACCAGCCCTTAACGGTTATACGTGTTTAATCGTCAACACATAAGATGCTATTTAATCCACTGTCGTCCACTCTTCAAGCCACACTCTTAAGCGAAGCACAGCTCCCAATGACTTTTAAAAAACGCTTCTATGTATAAGTTCTTCTAGGCAGATGGGCATACCCACCTGATAGTGAGTGTTTACCGTTGCACATGGACTTCAGCAATGCCAGAGGCAGAGCCGAGCCGCTGCCTACCGTAAGTACTCTCCACAAGCCTCCTATATAGAAGGACATGTCATAGCGCTCGGGAAACACCGTGGAGGGAGCTCATCCCGGATGGTACGTGACAAAAAAGATCTCTGGAAAGGCACTGTGAATGACCGCAGTGGCTCCAGGTAGTATGGATGAACTCTACTCTTGTGGCGGGCGGTGCGACGGTAAATACGAGAAAACTATATGACCCTCTGAACGCCAATCGAGTTGGTACTAGATTTTTAGGCGGTAGATTTTCCGAAATTTCGCTTTAACTACAAAAATGTGTACCCGCCTGCGGGATTCGAACACCGGTGCATCGTTGATACGAATGCACCGGACGTCTTATCCTTTAGGCCACGGTATTACGAGTGATGTTGAGAATAGAGCATATATAGCTATTTTACGAACGGCCTACAAGAAACAGCCTGGTCTGTGCGAGGACTAAGATTATCGTCATCAGCATTCGCACCCGTACGCAGGTGGGGGGATGCTGCACGTGTGCGTGGCGGCGACCTTATACCGTCCCCCGCCGGTGGCAGGCTGCGGGGAGCGGACCCCAGCGACCACCACCACGACCGAACACTCCACTCTACTCAACGACATCAACGATGGTGAGGTTCCGCCATAACACAGGTCCTCAGCTGGGGAACCATATAAAATTATCTGGCACACGCATTCAATCAACTTAGAGCCTAATGTTTATAGTAAGTGTTGGAGTGAGTCACAGATTTTATGAGGTCGGTTTGTTTTTAATGCTTAGTTGGGTGGACGAGCTCACAGCCCACCTGGTGTTAAGTGGTTACTGGAGCCCATAGACATCTACGACGTAAATGCGCCACCCACCTTGAGATGTAAGTTCTAAAGTCTCAAGTATAGTTACAACGGCTGCCCCACCCTTCAAACCGAAACGCATTACTGCTTCACGGCAGAAATAGGCGGGATGGTGATACCTACCCGCGCAGACTCTCAAGGGGTTCTACCACCAGTAATTACGCAAATTATAATTTTGCGGGTTTTTGATTCTTATTTTTTTCTGTCCACCGTTTTGGAAATCGCCCGCGAGATCTTTTGCCCTCGACTTTCCCTTGCACCGCCAACCGCTTAGTGGAGTCCTCATTACACTAATTGCATTAACAGGTGGCAAAATCGAGCCGCTCAAGGACAACTGCCTCCACAGCTTGTTCCACCACAACCCCGAACTGGCCCTGAACCAGAAGAACGTTTTGCTGCAAGAAGAAACGAAAAGAATGAACCTAATGACGGAGATAATGCATCCGAACTTAATACAAGTAAGCCGATAAGTAGTATAAGGTTTACCGACTTGTTGGTGCAACGGTTAGCGGCCCTGACTCTTTCATTCTTTCTTTCTTTCCTTCCTTCTTTCTTTCTTACTTTCTTTCCGCACTCCATGGTCAACGCCCTAATGAGCAGGTACTGTATCCGCCGATAAATACGGGGCATCAACTTTTAGAAAGAGGCAATCGGCTAATTCCGTCCTCACAGAGCATCTCTGTCGCACGTCGAAATCAAGTCTCTTTGTAACGGTCGATGTGCGATATTTATTTACCACTCGCTTAAGTCTTCATTTGTTGGGACAGTATTCAAATCAAATCAAATCAAAAAAAAATTATTCAACATAAATGAAAGTACATAGTTGTTGAACGTCAAAAGAACTACCGCCAATTCACAAGAACTAGCCTCCGTCCTGAGAAGAATTGGCAAGAAACTCAGCGGGCATGTCCTTTTTTTTTTAAAAATGTTTTTTTTTTAAATTTGTAATGAGAAAGTAACGTCCTGGCTGAGCCTTTGCTCGCCCACCTGTCCTGGTGAAACTGGAAACGCCTCCGGGCCACCAGTAATCCTTCAATCCTAAAAAAAAGTGACATATACGCTTAATTATTCTAACACGTTGTTCGAAGGTAGTGCGACAGTCCCAGCTGTCTGACTCTGAAGATTCCGAAGGGATGGACGTCCTCGGAGTGGTCGGTAAGTTGTTGCCTGGACTGGACTCTAAATATTTACCGGTGGTGGCACGTCTTGTTAGTCCGCACGGGTAGGTACTACCAATCTGCCCATTTCTGCCGTGAAGCAGGAATACTTAAAAGTAACGTGCTTAACGGTAACGGTAACGGTAACTAAACATCAGATGGGCCGTGACCTCTTCCACATACCTAAGCAATAAAAAAAATCTACTGTAAGCTGGTGGGTCTTCTCTTGACTTAACCTTGTCATCATGAAGGCCATCTAGTTTCAAAGGCATCTTGCAAGCAATCAGACTCAATCAAATTTGCCCTTTTGGACAGACGGGCATACGGTCTGATAATGGTGAGTGGTTTCCGTCGCCTATGGACTTTAGCATTGCAAGGGGCGGAGCCAAGCTGCTGCCTACCGAATATCGAAAACTACTGCTATTCACTCAGGTCTTCCGCGCGAGGTAGTGAGACTACGCCTCCGGCCGATCAGATCCTCGTCGATCCTTCATTCAGTTGAGGACCTGTCTACAGACAGCACTTGCGTCTACAAGGCTTCGAGAAGGAAATTGAGTCGGTGAGATGCTATGTCCCATTCAACGGTATTACTATATAACGGTGGAATGAAGTTCTGTGCAGGGTGGTGGAAGCCAAGGATCGTGCTCTTCTTCTTCATCGTTCCCTCACCGCTGAGGATCGCGACCACATGTGACTTTCCTCCACAGTGTCCAATCATGGGTGGCACAGACCATATGGTATAGACTACCACCAACCGCTCGCTTAACCAGATTTGACCCGAAATTATTAAATTATCGTGCTCAGTGGTGTTCGATTGGAGAGGCCTATGTCCAGCAGTGAGCTGCTATAGGCTGATGATGATGATGATGATGATTCAATGGGATTTTGTATACTTAATTAAATCGACTACAGTCACTTCGGTGATTATCCACTCCATACTAGATGGCGTTACTACGCTATCAGCCACATCATTCGTATCGCGCGAATGCTCACTGAGTTTCTTCTACGGATCTTCTCAGTGGGTCGCGTTTCCGATCCGCTGGTAGATTCTGCGAAGCACTACTCTTACTAGGGCCAGTATTAGTAAGTTCTCTCAGGTTGAGCCCGTGAACTCAACAGTTCGCACGTAACTAGAATAGCCCCTTAAACTACCTATGATTAATTAGGGGCAGAAAAACGGATTATCGGCTTAAACTTGTTCTCGCGTCATACCACGATTGAATTGATTGTAGGTCCTATTGAGCTGTCTTTATCAGCTATTTTTGCGTGATTCAGTAATATACAAATGCATTATGATTTTTACGACAGCTCTCTGTATATTCGTCCACCCGTGACCAGCCGCTTGACACAGAGTAAGCTCGCCGACCAGGTCATCAGGAAAGAAGTTGAAATTAAGTCCGAAGAACCCGAGAAGAAACCGAGCAAGGGTTGCGTTGAAAAGATATCCAGGTATATTTCCCTTGATTATTCCCGCAACAAAATGAAATATTATATTAAGACATAAAATGCGTATTTTCACGTATACATAATTATATTATCTTTTATATATGTCGGCGCAACGTGACTGTTTAGGTAACTAAAAATAGTTAAAGTTAACTATTTCATTAATGTTACATACACATTTGAACAACTGTTTAAGACGATATTTAAGAGAATTCACGACTAAGCTACCCCCACTATTCTACTATGAATACGAGTGACTATTGTTGCACAAAATATTCCGGCTCGAGCAGTCGAACGGAGCGGAGCTCTCTGTTGAAATCGCTGTACACTTGAAATGCAATAAACGGATTTCATTGGAAAAGTGATTCTTAATTACTGTCACTATGGAAGGCAATCATAATGATGAAGAGAATGACGTCAGCGACGCTGACGTCATCATTTTAAAAACCCCTCGGAACCAGCCAACTCCGTCATATATATAGATTTCATAAAATTCGACCTGCTACGTTCGTCGGAACTCGTTAAGCTTTATATGTACATACAAACATACACATACATTCTCTTTTATTCTGTCACTGAGGAATAGTTCCTGATGATCCCTTCAACTTGATTTTACCATGGCACCGTCCGCCAGCAGTGAAAAGTTCATCCATACTACCTAGAACCACTGCGTTCACCCACAGTGCCATTCCAGAGATCTTTTCTTCCATGTACCATCCGGCTCTGTAATGAACTACCCTCCACGGCGTTTCCTAAGCGCTACGACAGGTTCTTCCATAGACGAAGAACAAGGGGAAAAAGGCATTTCATTTTTCTTAGTCCTCGAGTCGCGACCCTGCGCTCTAAGACGTTGCGTAAAGCCTCCCATGAGGCGGACCGACCTGCTAAGAGATCGAGGGAATCCGTTGGATGCGGCCCCAGACCGATCGTTATGGCGATTGTTAAAATTTGAAATATTATGTATGTACAACACACAACGGTCGTGTTTGTAAAATTGACTAAGTTATAGTCGCGGTGAAGTAGAGAGGTTGAACGGGCGGGGACAGGGGTGATGACCTGCAATGACCTCAGCACGACCTGATAGTGACTGGCTCCAGCTTAATCTGAACTCTGACCTCGTGCATTCATACTTTACTATACTAGTTGTTGTGGCGAACCATGACAAAAAGGCTATGTACCGCGGTGGAAGCATTTTTTATAGTAAAACTTTTATTACATCGTCTCAAACTTTTTCGTTTGTGTGTTGCATGTCGCGTGACGGTCGGCCGCGGAGTAGGGATAAAGTGAAAGGCGCTCGTAAGAGCAGCCAAGGCCAATATGGCGGCGCCTATAGTTCGCAGCAGCTGACCGTGTAGTGTATAGACCATTACTCAATTGTTTGTTGTCCACGCTGTTTGTTTGTTTTAGTCAGTGCTTAATGTAAAAATGTTGTTTGTCAGAGTTAAATGTCTATAATGTAAAAAAAAAATTCACTTTTGCTGTGGTTTCATAAAACCACACAATCCTTTTTTAAGATACTTGGACGTTTCGCTGTTGAAGTCGTGGCGATTCGGTTTGCTTTGTACGTCTGTGGCGCTGATGTCCTGTGGCTCCCCTTACGCGCTTTACTACTTGCCGGCGTACACGGTCGCCATAGGGCACACGAAGGCAGCCGCCGGTGAGTACTGTAGTTTTTATACCCGTCCTTACGGATCCATCAGATCCAATAACCTTTGCATTAGACGCCCTCAGCTCTAACACTAGAAGCAGGCTTAGGGACCCCGGAAACCGTACTCGTCGTACTCGGCAAAGAGTTCGACGAGCAACCTAACCCATGAATCAGCTGGCTGAGTTTTTCGCCGGATCTTCTCAGCGGGTCGCGATTCCGATCCGGTAGTAGATTCATTCGCGAAACAGCTGCTCTTAAATTGTTAGGTCTCCTTCGGAGGCGCTCGGGCAGCTGTTAGCAAATCCCGCCTCTCCTGGGTGAGCCTTTGCTCGCCCACCTGTCCTTGTGAAACTGAAAAGGCATCCGGGCCAATCCTAATCTTCCTTCAACCCAAAAAAATAATAATTGTATAATCGAATAATAGATGGCGTTGTTTTGACGTTTGAATGTTTACATAATGTAATAATAGATGGCGCTGTTTCGTTTCTGAAAGGTTGTTTGGTTTAAGCGTCATTATTGGAACTTTACAGGAGAGCCATCAAGTTTAATATTTGGAAAAAATATCATAATGAAACAGAAACTTCTTCAGCTATTGAATGGAGTAAACTTAATTGAAGTTCAATTAGGAACATCGAACTGTTGATATTGATACCAAATAAACCGCACATTTAATTACAAAGATAAATGTCGCGTACCTATTAAGCGAATTTCCTTTTCACCCGTCGATTTAATGCTGTGGATTTTTTGATTGATTTTTTATAACGCTTTATTAAATGGCTAATCGATGAATACCTTGATCAGTGAAGTTGGTTGAGATAGTTGCAACAAACAAAAGTTTAAAACGATTTGTATATCTACCAGGTCGGTTGGTAGCCATCAGCGCTGTACTGGATCTGTGCGGGAGGCTGGGGCTGGGCTGGCTGTGCGACCTACACTTGTTCTGCAGACGGAAAGCTTACATCATCAGGTAAGCTATAGAACAGAGAGAGAGAGAGAGAGAGACAGAGAAACAGAGAAACAGAGAGAGAGAGAGACAGAGAGAGAGAGAGAGAGAGAGACAGAGAGAGACAGAGAGAGACAGAGAGAGAGACAGAGAGAGAGAGAGAGACAGAGAGAGAGAGAGAGAGTACTTTCTTCCACACCAAAACACAATAACATTAGAATATAGTAAACAAGCTTCCGAAAACTATGTGCGTCATGAAATTTTTCACCGATTTAAAAAAAAGAAAGAGGTTCTCAATTCGACTTCTATATGTATCGCAGAGCCTTTGTTTCTAAGTGAACCGATTTTGATGATACCTTTTTGTATTTGAAAGTTTGCGATTCCCGGCATGACCCATTTAAATTTATATCCGACCAGTGGTTTTTGATCCTACCAGTGGTTGGTATCCTTAATAATGCACATTTAATATGACTTCATTGACTACATTGATATAGCGCACTGAGTTTCTTAGTGCGAGTTTTTTAACGTTCTCGATAACGTAAAAGTTAACTTAACTTTGTATGGAGTTGGAACAGCGCCCCTAGCGACAAAGCGACCTCACTTAGCTCGGCGAATCTAGAATAACCCCTTGAGGCTACTAGAATAAAGAAAAAAAGGTTAAAACCTTACAACTCATGTCTCGAGGTGGGTGGCGGCACTTACGTCGTAGGTGTCTATGGGCTGCGGTTACCATTCAACGCCAAATGGACCGTGAGCTCGTACATCTGTCAAAGCAATAGAAAACACTCAGTGGATAGAGAGTAGATTAATGTCAATTTATTTGTTTCGCAGTATCTTCGTGGCTGGAGCGGCTGTGCTGACGCTGCCGAGTCTAACTTCCTGGTGGTCCCTCGCTATAGTCTCAGGTTTGAGGATCCAACATACATTTATACTGTCTCAGTGGTCCAGCAGTCAGCGCTCCTGATTGTGGGGCCGAGGGTCGTAGATTCGATTCCCGCGTCGGGCAAGTTTTGTATAGAGGAATACCGTAAATTTTGACGCGCAAATACCGTAAATTTAGTTTCCGCTTATGCTAATAGATGGCGCTTGTATATATACAAAAGTTACGTCCCAATTCGGCCAATAGATGGCGCTGTATTCAAAACTAGTTTTTAGTATACATTGCTCTCCGTGTGTAACTCAGGAGCGTACGGCCTCTGCCTCGGCTGCTGGTTCCTGCTGGTTCCCGTGCTGCTGGCGGACGCCTTCGGCACCGCGCGCATCGCATCCTCGTACGGGCTCGTCAGAATGTTCCAGAGCGTAGCGGCCGTCTCTGTACCACCAACTGCAGGTATAGTCTTGTTGGGCGTCGTACTAAAGTTAAGTTCTCAATCGCGTATTCCGAACTGGCAGGTTGGTACTGACCCAGCAGGGTATCCCGGAACACCAGCGGCATCGCCCGGGCGGCTTGGTAGGGCCGCGGTATCGCGGAGACCTGCGTGGTTGGTCGTCGACTATCGCCTCGACGACCCGTCGGTCGGGCGTCCTCGGGGTGGCGCCGCGTGTCTGGTTGTGTAGTGTTGACCGCGGGAACCCCCTTATTCTGACCAAGTTCTGACCCCGGTTGGAGATCGGATGTCGGGTATAAGAGTGCAGGGCAGTCGCTTAATGCGATAGGACTCTAAAATTCCTTGGGCCCGCAGTCTGCTCCAACATCTGCAGATCGTCAGGTCCCACATACCCCGCGCGCCCTCTAGGCACGGGGACCTCGTAGGAGGTTCGGCAACCGGTCCGAAAGAAAGAAAAAACAAGTTCTCGATTCGATTAGTAAACTTAATTGCTTGCGTTCGCCGCTAGGGGCGCTGTTCCAACTTAATACAAATTTGAGTTAACTTTTACGCGATCGAGAACGATAAAAAACTCGCACTAAGGGCACTGAAGCGCCACAGGTTAAATTTTAACTGGTTTTCTATTCATTCATTTCCAGGGTACATTAGAGACTTGACCGGAGGCTTCTCCTGGTGCTTCTACGGGATGGGATCCTGCATGGTCCTGGGCACGATCCCGGTCATAGCGTTCCACGTCAGCACCAAGAACGACGACAATGGCTCCACGGTGGACTGAGTTTGCTCAGCCGGATTGTAATATCAGTGTGTTTAGTGCGAGTTCTCTAACGTTCTCGATATCGAAAAAGTTAACTCAAGTATGGCGTTGGAACGTTTGCCTACGTTTGCCGCTAGGGACGCTGTTCCAATTGCATTCGAGTTAACTTTTTCGATATCGAGAACGTTAGAAAAACTCGCACTGAGCACAAAGTATGGTACAGTGCCAGACGATAAATATCGCACATCGAACTTTAGAAAGAGAGAATCGGCTAGCTTCGTAGAGCGTTGTCTCTCTCGCACACAATGAACGATTACCAAACGTCCGTACGTAGGAAGTGTGCGAGAGAGACGACGCTATATGAAAGCTAAAATAGCCGAATATCTCTTTCTAAAAGTCGATGGGAAAATTCTTATAGCGGGATACGGTAGAAGCTCTTTATTCGCTTGGTTCATGTTCCGTGAATACGCCGCGAATGCAGAAACCGAAGTGAATGTGGAATGATAATTTACATATATGGGACGATCATAGGGGATACGTTCCGTACGTGACAAAATAATAACATACTTTAAGCGTAGTAGTAATAAGGTCTGTTTTACGTTTTTTATTAGTTAGTTTGACGACGCATCTACAAAGGACATTCGGTTGGATACTTAAGTAAATATTAATATCCTTTTTATCAATGTGCATGTACCGATTTAACGATTAGAATCAGATCAGCGAATAAAGAGATCTTTAGACGAGAATATAGGAATTGGGTCGTTTTTAATTTGAAATCCGCGAATAGTGAAAACGCGAATGAAGGAAGCTCGACTAAGGAGCTTTTACTGGACTATACGAATATTTTAAGGCGAATGTTTGAGGGAAGCCGCCGAATCGAGCCGGTTCATATCCGGATCCTTTGCGATTGAGCTTCTTAAGCTATCGTTAGCGCGATTCAAGTATTTTGCGTTGGCTCTCTGTCATTGTTCATTTCCGCTACAAGAATTAACGTATCGTTTTTTTTTTCAAAGAAGATAATTTTTTACTGCGCGCAGTGGAATACGAACTAAACATGGTCGGGGTCAACGACCTGATGTGGTACGTTCAAACAAAATATTGCCGGACTACTGAACACCTACCTTCTTTTTTTATATTGCTTACATGGACCGACGAGCTCATAGCCCACCTGGTGTTAAGTGATTACTGAAGCCCATAGACATCTACAACGTTAATGCGTCACCCACCTTGAGATATAAGTTCTAAGGTCTCAAGTTAATAGTCGATTACTCTTGGCCCGAAGAAGACATGGATGGAGTGTGCGAATGACGATATGAGAGAGAGAGGAGTGAGTGTTGAGATAACGGCTGATAGAAAATAGAATGGGATAGAAAAATTCGCTGTGCCGACCCCACCTAGTGTGATGATAAGGTGGAGACAAAGAAGAGACAGCTGCTCCATAATTCTCGAACTGCGACTTAACGCATGTATTCATTAGTGGGGTTTTGAAGAGATTCTTAACTTGATCAGTCCAGCGCATGGCGATTCGTCCACCAGTTCTTTTACTATTGACCCTACCCTGAACAATTCCTCGATAGACTCTGCTGGCTAGGTCCTATCTCCTCCTTGCGTCATGTTCCTCAGTGCTTAGGGTCGTGACCCTTACGGAACACTTTTATTAGGATCATGTTCCTGGAACATTTTGCCATAGATACGCGACACATTGCGATTCGCATTTCTTATCTATTTCAGTTAATTTACTAAATGAATAATCCTACTAGCGTATTGTTTACGACTGCAAGTTTTTAATAGCACAAACACTTGCTATTATTAGGTAGGTATGTGCGAAGATAAATGTCATCTAAAAATTTTACATCTAAAGTGTTTTCTAGGCACTACGACATCTATATGAGAATTTATTATGTTCGATCGATGTTTGTACATAAGAATATGTAACATTAAGATTGTGAAAATTGATAATTTATGTAAACGAAAAATATCACTGTGTTGTGTGAAATGAAATAAACTGATTAATGTCCTAAGTATATTTTGGTTTTCTTACGTAGGTACAGACGTATCTACTTCAGTGTGGGTAGTGCGAGTTTTTTAACGTTCTCGCTAGCGTAAAAGTTAACTCAAATTTGTATGGAGTTGGAACGTTTGCCGCTAGGGGCGCTGTTAAAAAACTCGCACTAAGCACACAGCCATATTGCTTAGTTCGTGAGGAACGTTGACCTACACAACCTGGACCTCGAACCGATCCGAAAACACATGAAGTCAGCGTCGGAACTGCATTACGATAAAGCTATGCGTCACGATAATCGCCTTATCGTGACCGCCACTAACTTCTTCTCGATTCCTGATTACGCCGAAGCCAGTGACCGTCGACACCCTAGACACGTTCTTACGGATCCATCAGACCCAATAACCCTTGCATTAGACGCCTTTAGCTCTAACATTAGCAGCAGGTTTAGGGGCTCTGGTAACTGCGCAACCTAATCCATATCCATACACCAGCCCAGCTGAGTTTCTCGCTGAATATTTTGAGCGGGTCGCGATTCCGATCCGGTAGTAGATGCATTCGCGGAGCAGTTGCTCTTGAGTTGTTAGGTCTCCTTCGGAGGCGCTCGGGCAACTTTTTATTAATTTATTGCTTAGGTGGGTGTACGAGCTCACGGCCCACCTGGTGTTAAGTGGTTACCGGAGCGGTAAATGTCGCCACCTATCTTGAGATATAAGTTCTAAGGTCTCAAGTATAGTTACAACGGCTGCCCCACCCTTCAAACTGAAACGCATTACAGCTGCACGGCAGAAATAGGCAGGGTGGTGGTGCCTACCCGCGCGGACTCACAAGAGATCCTACCACCAGTATTTTTCGTAATTGTTCACATAAAGTATAAGCCAAAATTATCCGAAATAACATACTATACTATAACCCTAGACATTGGGCGCGATCGAAATTTTATTCCTGAACGCGCAGGTGTCACCTGACGTCAGTCATTATGATTCTTGCGCCGATTTAGCATTTAAAACATAGACCTATATAGTAGGGACACGACATATTGTTCTATACGTACAATTGCTTATATAAATAGCACCCATTTTGAAGGCACATACATAAACATATATCTATCTCGTTCTTACTCAGCACTTTAACTCGCAGGAAAACAATATAACAGTATTTCAGTGCGTACATAAAATGAAACATGATTATACGTAAATATCTCCGTCTCCGTCTAATGAGGCCGAAAATCCGCCATGTTTAGCGCGCCAAATGTCATTGTCACGTCAGTTCGGCCGTCTGTTTTGGGTTGTACATTATTTATTGACTTTGATATCGATTTAATATGATTGATTATATAAAATTTCATAATTTATCATGCTTAAAACATACAAAAATAATAATTAAAACGTATTTTATAGGATCTCAAGAAAGTCGATGCCCTAAAACTATTATCTATATGTATTTAAATTCATTATGGAGCCCTCATCCGAAAAATCCATTTTTCGGTCGGAATCTATTGATCATGACACTAATCATAAATACCACTTTAAAATATGTCATCAAAACATATTTAGACATTCTGTTTAGATATTTCGGGAAAAAGGCTACCGACAAAATCTCTTCGGAACTATTTAAATAAAATAGTTTTATTCCGCAGTGAGTAAAACACTATTGTAAATTTGTTAAATATTTAATAATTAAGTGATTTTAGAGAGGAAGTCACAAGGAATGACGTTTGTAATTAATGAATAAATGTTCTGTAGGTGTTTTTTTTTTCACGCGGTCCCTTGATAAGTTTAAAATTTGAATCACTCTCAAGCGAAAGTGATTCAAATGGTGCGGCGCACCTTCCTTGGGGTGCGCTGCGGTAGTATGTTACGGACTTTAGAGTCAGCAAAACAATTAAAATAGATTGTAATAGTCTAAGAAAAACACGTACTCAAAATACGATAACATTTAGCATGCTAGAAATGGGCTGATGGCTTTGAACTACGCCATATCTTTATGTTTTGCGACAAACGACAACTTTATAAAATCAGTGTAGCAACTTTTAAAAATCATCATATCGTTTACTTGGCAAATTCGAAGGACGAACTTGTCTTAGATTTCACCCATCTAAATCATATCATATTTGCACATAACAATATACCTACTTACTTCCCATTAAAGTATAAATTCTACAAATAAATAATACTCAACAATATTTAAAATAAAATGAGCCAAGAACGTTTATCGATAAAACCTGATAACATTGAAATCTTTTGTACAGCACTAAAGCCGCCATGTTTTGTGGCCAGATGACGTCACAGTGGCACGAAATTTTGGTTGACGTTTCATTTCCATAGGTTTCCTACTTCATTGATTTAAAATAACAAGAATATCTTCGTATACATAATATTAATATAATTAGTATCGTCTAGTGCAGGGGTTCTCAAACATATTTTGTCTACAGTACACTTTGAGAACAAATTATTTTTTAGCGCCCCCTTTTTTTCACCTACTTAACCACTATAGAAAGACCTCGGTCGTTGTCTAAGTCCTCCAAGACGAAATTACAAATCGCTTCCCAAGCCTCTACACAACGCCCCCTTTTTTTTTTGGGTCTCTTACCACCCTTTAGGCCTGCAGCGACAAGCGGGCGTTATCGCCCACTTTGAGAAAAGCTGGTCTAGTGCCTAGCTTAGTTTTCTCAGTTTTCTTGGTAAAATCCGAATACTATATACTACAAAAACATTTTAAGTGTTTATAAAATAAGTGTGTTTGACTTAATTGAGTGCAAATTTCCCGCGAATGCGAGAAGTAAATAACAAACCACATACATAAGTTTTTTATTTATTAACTATAAAAAATATTTTTACATAAATTCACTAAAAATATACATTTTTTAAGCTATTGCATAGCTTTTATCGCGGGCCTTGAGCGCGGCGACCGAATCATGAAATTGCGTAACGAAAAAAACCTTACACCCCTCACTCCGCCTACCATGTAGCTCGCGTTCAACACATTCACACGTTGCGCTTGTGTAGTGTTTGTGAATAAGCGCGTGACGTGACCTCACACTGCATGCGCATCATGAAAAGTCTGCCATCTCTCTCTCGCGCGGTCTAGCTTATGAGTGTGAAGGGGACAGTTAAGGTTTTGCTTTTATTAATGTGTAATATAGCGTGGTCTTGTTTTATTATTGTTTTAATATTAAATTATCATTATCTAATTATAATTGCGTAAGTTAATAAAAAATGCTATGCAATAGCTTTACCGCTGCAGTTCCCGAGTGCCACACGTTTGTTTTTCTTGAGGCTAACAACTTATGTTATCCAGTAAACAGATATCAGAGCTCTAATCGTCAAATGAAATGAATACTGGAGGTAGGACGTCTTGCGAGCCTAGATCACTGCCTATTTCTGATGTGAAGCAGTAATGAATTTCACTTTGACACGTGGTACATTGACGTTGATTTCCCTGGGCTCTAGTGACAGATTAAACACCAGAGCCAGTGAGTTTGACCCATATAAGCGCAATAAATTAATATAAAATATAAAAAGCCTTTTATTTACTGCTAATTTACAAAGTTAATAGGTATTTAATGATTATCTTCACTGGTGTTTGGCAGGAACCCATTAAGCATGGTGAAGATCTCCTCCAAGTATATATACGCAATAATAAATAATATTAGCTGTCTCCTCCAAACGCGTACCAGCAAGTGACCAATGAAGTCATAGCCATCATACTTTAAGATCGATAATTGAATGATAAGTCTATAACTTCAAATGTATATCAACGCTTGAAAGGCAAACGTGACTAAGCGACAATAACTGATTTGTACATAAATGATAGGCAATAACCATATTCGATGCGCAAAAAAAATATATTTCTAGGTCTATTAAAATCATTTCAATCCTACAACTACTACCTAGATTCTACTACAGCTGGATTTGTTAAAATTTTTTTTTTTAGGTATTTCAACTTTAAATTCGTCTACTGTAAAGTTCATGCATTGTCGCTTAGTCACGTTTGCCTTTCAAGCGTCTATATGCAAGTGAATCAGATGCCGTACTAGTATTCTTCAGATCGAAGCTCTTTTTTATTGCATATATGTGAGGACGAGCTCACAGCTCACCTGGTGTTAAGTGGTTACTGGAACCCATAGACATCTACAACGTAAATGCGCCACACACCTTAAAATATAAGTTCTAAGATCTCAGTATAGTTACAACGGCTGCCCCACCCTTCAAACCGAAATGCATTACTGCTTCACGGCAGAAATAGGTAGGGCCACTGATAATCTGGCTTATAAATAAATTTATCCCTATGAATTAAACAGCTATGCATTGATTGATGATTTGCAGTAGATTATTGTTCTCCAAAGCTGCGGCTACTCTTTCTTTGTCGGCTAACTGTTTGTTGACCGCATGTTCAGAAGCGTGAGAGCCCTCCGATACTTGTACGGTCACTTTGAAACGGCTTGGCAGAGCACGGAGTAGTTGAACTCGTATTGAAAGACCTGAAATAAAAATCAAATCTCATTAATCAAGCTTGCAGTACTTTTTTCCGGAAGCTTCATAACTTTAATTAGAACTATAACAGAACAGATTGCCTACAAAAGTCTTTAACTGCACTAGCCATTACAGATGTCCGTGGACATCACATTGGGACAACTGCCACCTATCTTGAGTCCTGAACTCAAAGTTTGAGTCCTATTTTACTCTCTCTTAAACAAAAAAAGAATGATGGTTCAAATTGGGAATAGGCTAGACAGTAGTGACTATTCCGTGGACATAATATCAGACTAACTCATCCATATTAAAGCAGTTCAATATCCAAAGGCTTTCTATCGTCTGCTTCAGGAGGATATTTGAGTTCTTCGGTCATATTGGCCGAAAGAGAGGTGACAATCTTGAAATATAACTGACGAGATCTTTTCAACTTCCTAAGATGAGAGATGAGAGATAAGAGTTTACGGTAACCCATTATCAATCCATTGAAAATGGTCAGCGGTAAACTGCACTTTAGTTGCACTCCTGAAATTGCTACCTTCCATGAGGGACTGTAGCTACTCCTCACCAAGCGGGCTGTATGATCGTCTACCCACGCAATTCAAAAAAGGAAGCTGTTGGTTGGCTGGGCATGAATGTTTATTTGCTTGCCAATAAAAAAACATTAGTATGATAATATTAATTTAGAAATATTGGCTGTTCCACCATTATCGGTGTGCGTTGGTTATGTGTGTGATTTACTCTCTCATTAACTATAGGTTTTAATGCTAAAAAAAAGTACGTACCTATCAGAGTCGCCATACTGCAATGGGGAATTGTCGGTGTAAAATTGACTAATACAGTACTATCATCGTTATTAACGATTATATTCTTCTCTTCCACCACCCTGAGCTCCTCGAGTGTCAACGGATGTTCAGGATCATTTATATTGCGTATTAAATCAAATATTTCGCGATCATCAAACTCATCTTGCAAGTCTTCATCGCGTTCCGAAGAAGTGATCTCCCGTTCTGAACCCTTCTCGTAAATGTGAGGGTTGATGTTATCCGCTGTTTTGGTCATTTTATAAATTCGAATTTTTAACTAATATCAATTCATGTTGTTCTACTCAAAATATATTTCTTGGTAAAATTTTTCCTTATTAGGAAAGGCAAGGGGATCTAAGCCCATACAGCCTTTCTACTCAAAATAATAATTCACTTCTATCTCTATCTTTTTTTTTAGGAATTTTATGACATGGTAACTAAGATCTTTAAGTCATATCTTATTTTAATTTATATTCTTAATTTTATGAAAAATGACAAACGCTGCTAATTTAATTCATATCTACTTACACAGAATAATAATGGCCAACATAGACAGTTTCCTTCGTTTTTTATTATTCATAAACGACCAAAGAATTAATAATTGACAATGGTTAATGCACAAACCGAGCGAGCCACAATAAAAAAATGAACTGCCAAAATCAAAATTTCGATTTTGACAGTTGCACCCAATCAAAAAATCAATACTTTATCTAGAACTTTGAGGGGTTTTACTCGATCCTTTTTCAGGAGGATCAGTCTTAAATCTATTCTCTTAGGTCAAACAACAGTTAAAGTAAGTAATACATTATGTAATTCCCTAGAATTTAATTCCTAAATATTTGTTTTAGCTCGCAGACACACCCCCTGCCTGTTGGTACCAAAAGGGGAATACTTATTATAAATTTATTGAACAACGTTGATTTTAACAAAAAAATGTATTGAATATTAGTGCTTAAGGTATCTTTAAACTTTATCCGGGTCACGGAGTTATAAAACAACGAATTAGCAATATTAATAAAATTAAGAACAATATCTTGAACTGCTCTGCCAATTGTAGTATTCTAATACTTATTGTATGTTGAGTTACTTATTGTATGTGACACACGTCTGTACGTCGAGCAAATATTTTAAATAGAACTTAGGTACATCTTTAATAGATTTAGAGAAGTGATAAAATATAGGAAAAATTTAGAAGTCTAGTTTTCTCTTGAATATTCAAGGCTTTTTCGTACTTTATCATGACCTACCATATTGGAGACATTCTATTCATACAATTTGGTCAAAGACACCACTCTGAATCGTTGAGAAAAAATTAACAAAATCATGTTACTATGAATTGTATCAAATCAAACCATTTTTTTTTAACCGCAATACAAACCTTAAACCATGATATGCATTTTTTTTTTAAATTTGTTAGACCAATATATGCAGAAACATGCTCATAATAAGATATTATCTGATGGCCTATCAAGTTCAATATTATAACTTAGTATAGAGATATATTCACCTGTTCTAATATTAACTTCCCAAAGGAAGCATTCTCGTTTGATTTCCAAAGAATAACATTAAATATACAGTGCCAAATTAACACGTTGCCTGTCCGTGCATTATATATAATGCATTTTTGGTCCAGCTGTGACGTTCGTGTATTATAAGTAATGCACGGTATTCTAGCTGACATGTCTGTGCATTAAAACTAATGCATGTATGAAATTCAGTATTTTAGTTGTTTTTGAAAGTGTTTTTTGAAAAGCACTTACATGTAATTCATAAGTACATAAAATGAAATAGTTAAGCCGGAAAAAAAAATGGGCGTCACGGGTACTTAACCAAAATACTCTGGACAGGCAACGTGTTAAAATATAGTCAAAAATACTCCATTAGTGCCAATCAAAATGTTGAAAATTAAACAACGAAAAAGGATTAGGATTTTTTAATGATTATAAATTTAGGTTTCCTGTAATGAAAACTGCATACATACTAAGAGGTATATCTTTTTCTAGGTTCAAAGAAAGGTCTTTAATTAAGAAATGATGGCGGACCCGTGGACTATACAAGCACACGAGCATGCGAAGTTCTCGGAGCACTTTAGAAACCTTGGACCTGTCAATGGAAATTTGACGGGCGAACAAGCCAAAAGATTCATGTTACAGGTTAGTTAATTTGCGAATTTGTGATAAATCTATAACCATTTTTTTTGTACTTGTAGGCAGACTACGGCATACGGCCGGCATGATGGTGAGTGGTTACCGTCGTCCATGGAGTTCTAGCCTAGTGGCAAATCTAAGCAAACGTTTCAACTCCATACAAATTTGATTTAACTTTTACGCGATCGAGAACGTTAAAAAATTCGCACTACTCGCACACTGATTGATTAAGGAGTAAATTAGGTTACTTCTATTTTAGAGAAATTCTAAAATTATCGTTACGCACTGGGGCTCGGAATAAATAAAATCTCCACTAAAGTACAAATTAAAACTGTATTAAACACTTAGAACACCTCATAATTCGCTTCTTCCGCTTCGCTTCAGGTGATCCGTTTGCTGTTTCGCTTCGAGTAGTTCCGATTACTGACTGCCTTCGCGTTGTCTGCAACGCTTTTGTAGTCGATACGATATCCCTAGAATTATCTAGAACATTCCTCACAAGTTGAGTAGGTTCGATGTGTGTTTCTGTTATCTGACAATAGATGGAGTTGTACTTCCCAAACGTTCTCGAGTTTACTAGTTTACCAAGTTTATCTGCAGTCGAATGACGTTGCTCTTAACGGCGTAACATTATTATAGAATAAAGTAATGTTTTGTTAAATTTCACGCGGACGAAGTAGCGGGCACAGCTAGTTTAAAATAAGTTTTGTTTGTCTTTCTGTTCACAGTCTCAGCTTCCTCCACCGGTCTTGGGACAAATATGGTCACTGGCGGACACGAACGCCGACGGTAAGCTGGATTTGAAGGAGTTCTCTATAGCTTGCAAGGTGAGTTTCTGTGTAGTCTTTATAATTTGCGAATGTGCCAGCGTCCTTAGGGTTGAAACATCGCTCATTAAAAATAACGATGTTAGGATATCGATGTTTTCAAAAGTGAAACATCGATCTTTATGATCTACATATATATATATATAGAAGTTTTTTTTCGATTTTTCGCAAATAACATAACCTTTTTCGATAGTATACAAACATAGGGCGCCATCTTACGATCTATCCGTGATCTTTTTTGGAACGTTCCTTATGGGACGATGCGGAGGGGTACCCTAACCGGGAAAAAACGTCCGTAACTTAAGATTTTTATTAGTAATGCACACAGTGTACGACTTAAAGGGGATTGCCCACTCTCCATAGTGTGCTAGGCCCAAGATGGACATCAAATATTACTATAAAAATGTACTGATTCAAATTCTTAAATGTATTGGATATCTAAAAAATATATTGAAATTGACGCCACTATTATAAAAAATTTAATAAAAATAAAAACTCGTTTTGAGGTTAATTTTCTATATAAATAAGTGTCAGATTGTGAGATACTTCAAGAACTTTTCTTTTCTTAATGTTTAAGATGTTCCTAATGTATTTTTATCCAATAGGGTATAAAAACACACTTAATTCTTTAAATATCTATATTTTCTTCATCTTCATACACAATTAGTATCATCTAAAAATAGCAAAGGAGAGCATATACACGGTTTTAAATCTCGGTCAGGGTAAAACCACAATTCACACAATGTTTTTTAGTCGTAGTATGAAACGTTATTGATAAAAGTAAAATAAATCGAAGAAAAATCAAAACACATCCATTTTGTACGCAAGCACAACACCACAAGCAGCAAGCGAAGTGTCAGTCAGTCAGATTAAATTCAGTGTTGTCAGTATAAAGAAAAATAATTACATGAAATTCATATATCGATTATTTTTTTAAATAACCGATAATTGATTTATATCTTAATCTTTTTTTTACGAGTACACATTATTTTTTATGTTTTTGTTTTAGTTGTACATATTTAAATAACAATACTAGTAAAGTTTTTTTTATTGCTTAGATGGGTGGGCGAGCTCACAGCCACCCTGGTGTTGCTAAGTGGTTACTCGAGCCCACATACATCTACAACGTAAATGCGCCACCCACCTTGAGATATAAGTTCTAAGGTCTCAAGTATAGTTACAAGTTAAAGTCCAATGGGTATGTCTTCGATGTTATTTTATGTGCATAAAATCCATTAAAATCGATTGATTAATGATAATACTTAAAATGATTTATTTATATGTTTTATTTATATACTCAAAATATTTACTTCATACGTAAAAGGTTTTGAAGCTGGCAATATTTTTCCCGCAAAAATAAAAATCCTTGTTTTTTCAATAGAGTTACTTTTTTTAAACTACTTATTGTAAACTGTAGTGGCGCTTATTTGCAAGAAAGTAAATGCATATTTATTAATGACAAAATTAATGCACTAAGTATTTTTTCTATAATCTATTGTCCGCTTTGGGCCTAAAATGGGCCATCCCCTTTGTAATAACGTACAAAAAATAACATATTTTTTATCATTCATTGACCACGATCTCAGAGCGTTCGTTTGCGCAATACACTAACTCTTATGCAAACAACCGTGAATGAAGTGTACCACAATAAGTTCGCACGTTACCGAATGACCTTGGGTTGTTGCGAAACCTCCAGTTCTATTTTCTTTATACCTAGAATAGAACTTAAAATTAATATTTTTATAATAAGGAACTTCGTTCCTATGCGATGTCCCACGACACCACACATCATTTTTTTTTTATTGTTTAGATGGGTCGACGAGCCCACGGCTCGCCTGGTGTTGAGTGGTTACCGAAGCCCATAGACATCTATAACGTAAATGCGCCACCCAGTTTGAGATATTAGTTCTAAGGTCTCTGTATAGTTACAACGGCTGCCTTCAAACCGAAACACATTGCTGCTTCACGGCAGAAATAGGCGGGGCGGTGGTGCTCACCCGAGCGGACTCACAAGACCACCAGTAAAATTGTGTGTTCATTACAGATAATAAACTTGAAACTCCGCGGCTTAGAGGTGCCAAAGATGCTTCCACCATCTCTGATCGCCTCTTTAAGCCCCACAGGTGAGTCTCAAGTCTCGTTCACCCGGTGGAATGTGACCGGGATCCCCTTGGGTTAATCACGGGTATTTATGTAATGATACGGAATATTCCAGAATTAATGAACAGTAAAATACCTAATTACCTTTCCTGTAATAATACTAAGAAATATTAATACGTGAAGCAAAAACTTTGTACCCATTTTTACGAAAAACACGCGGACGGAGGAGTTTTCAAATTACCCATACTTATAGAGAATATAGAGAAGGAGTGCAGAATGTTAATATTTTTTTTAAAAATTATGCATAAAAATACACTAAATCAATAAATAAAACATTACACACACTACCATGTATTTGACACAACACATATTATATATGTTTATTGCTTAAAGTCTGTGGTCTAATTGAGAATAGATTAATATTTTTTGTCTATAGTATAGTCTTGGCGAAATCTGTGATTAGAAGTATAATAAATAGTCATTGACAATAGAACCATAATAATTTTCAAACTTATAATTTTAATTAATTATAATCGAATTTCGACTACTGGGGGACCACTAGTAAACAACATATAAAGAATAACTAAGATAAATAAGCATATATAAATAAGATAAAGAAGAACTAAGAAAACAACATATAAAGCTCTTAATCTCTTGTTAAATTTAATATTTTAAACATTATTATTATATTGTGCAAAACTTAAGTTTAACTAACTTTTTAAAACTTAAAGACTAAAGGAATTAAACTACAGTAAAACTAAAGTAACCTTTTTAAACTTAAAGAGTTTTAAAAAGGTTTTAAGTAATAAAGGCTTTTTTTACATGTGGGGGCGCGTCCATGTATCTATGTGTGTGTGTATGTAACGATTGGGTCTATTGTGCAATAAAAACAGTGGGGTTGTGATGTGTGATAATAATGTTATTCCATTGCGCAGTCCGTTATGTTGGAGACTTCGCCCCCGTGTTCCGAGGTGGACGTCAAAATTCACCCATTCAGAAAACTTAAAAGAATAAGCGCAGAAAAATAACATTTCATTAATGTCGCCTGTATTGTACGTAATGTAATGCAAAGTTCATTGGGGGTCAACGTCCTCGCGCGTCGCGGGGGCGTTTCGTGAATGTGTTCGTCTCCATCGAAACATTAATGATATCGACAAGTGTATCTGAGCTTTTAAGTAAAAGATGTTAGTTTATTACGATAAATGTCAAGTAGAGGAATTACAGAGACTAGTTAGCTTAAGGAGTCGTGTTCAGTCATAGATGTAGTCCATGGACCGCAATCGAAATGACGTCTTATCCTCGTTTGCATTATAAAGACGGCTATTCTGGTCATCTTTTTTTCTCTTTCATTGCTGTACAACCAGACCTCGTCTCATCTGGTATTAAGTTGTTATCGTAACTCGTAGACGTCGTGTTGTATCAGCGACCTTGAGACATGAGGTTTGAGTCTCGATTGTATTGTGTAACGGATCCCAAATGAAGCGCGTGGTCTCTATAAGCACGATGGTGGTGCCTATTCATGCGGCTTCACAATTCCTACAAACGTTTCCTTGCATTTGAGCTTTCCACGCGATTTCTCAAGAGTATAATGGCTTTCGCGATCCCGGTGAGACCTCACCACCAGCTGACCTGTGCTGTCTGCCAATCCGATGAAACGAAATGTTCCAGGAGGCCAATCGCAACAGATCGTTCCGCCGACGAAACCAGCCATCCCGCCCCTGCCCAACATACCTCCCCAACCTCTGATCTCCGGTCTATCGCCCACTCAACCGTCCAACCAGTCGTTGCTGGGTGATTTCGGTTCCGGGCAGCCGCTGATCCAACCTTTGGTCCAGCCCGTCAAACCGCCCGTCAGTACGGTGCCGGATCTGATCTCCGGCGTGAAGCCGTTGTCGCAATCCTTGCTAGACTCCCCGCCCATGGCCCCCACTGTTCAGCCTTTGATAGGCACCGTCCAGCCATTAATCGGTCCAGATCCACTGATGGGTAGCGTCCAGCCCCTGATCGGCTCCCAGCCAATGGCCGGACCCACGCCCCTAGTGAGCTCACCCCAATCTCTAGTCAATTCATCACCATTGGTTTCGTCGCAACCGATTATGTCCAGTCAACCATTAATTAGTGCGTCTACGATCTCCGCACAACCTCTTGGAACAATGCAGCCCCTGATAGGGACCGCTCCACCTATAATGGGAGCGACTCAGGCCCTGATCCAGTCTCCCCCCCTGTCTGGTCCGCCCCCGGCCTCGTCGCTCGGAGGCAGTCCCCCGCACCCGGTGGTCGCAGCTTCGGTTCCCGGACAGCCGGTGACGTCTACGCCGATCGCGGCTCTGAACAAAGAGGTCATATCGAAACCAGGTAATCAAATAATCATAATTGTAGTTTGAAAACTAAAAAAATAAACATGCTTTAACATCTAATCGAACTAACAGTTGGTGTCATAATTTTGTTTGTCCTGTCGATAATGGTAGTGATATCAGAGGGTAGTTATAAAACTGTTGTGTCGTCAGCGGTCATTGACCCGCGGGTGGGTGTTCAAGTTGATGCAGTCAGTCCGGTTGATTGGTGTTACGGGTTTTTCTCTGGACTGTGACTCGTCGGGCCGAGTTCGTATGGCATGGACCCTGAATAATGATGTTACATGTGGAAGGGTGAAAGTTTGTTTGGTCTAAGCGACATTTATCTTTATAATTAAAGGTCCGTTTCATTTGGTATCAGCATCGACAGTTCGATGTTTTTAATTGAACGTCAATTAAGTTTACTCCATTTGAATAGCTGAAGAAAAGGTTTTTTTTTTGATATTTTTTTCTAAATTTTAAACGTTCTATGGCTCTTTTGTAAAGTTGCAAAAATGTCGCGTAAACCCAACAACCTTTCACCCGTCGATGTGATCTCAGTAGGAAGAAATTATTTTGAATTTAGCGTGATTCCTGCTGTTCTTCCAGGATCCGTAGTGACGAGTCCCGAAGTCCCGATGGGAGTGATGAGCCCCCCTCCCATGGAGTGGGGGGTGCCGCAGCCACAGAAACTCAAGTGTGTATCGTCGACTGCTGCTTAAGCGATACCTGACCCTAGAGGGTTACCAGGCCACTTTCAGACTTGACCTTCGTGCCTCAGTGCTATAGTACAACAACCGCCCCAACCTTCAAACCGGAACGCATACTGCTTCGTGGCAAAAATAGGTGAAGCGGCTGTGCCTATCCGTGACAATCAAAAGACGCCCTGCTACTAATCGCTTCTGAATAATAATATTAAAAAACGAAGGAGCTGATCTGCGGACCCTGGACCGCAACGGAACTCCTGAACGGCCACTGGTAACCCAATCGAGTTTGGGCTCGTTAGATCTGTCCCAACGAGCCCTATTCACAGGGTGTGTTCAATTCAGTACAATGTTAAGAAGTTGAGAAGTGCGCGTTTGGAATGGTATGGACATGTGGTGAGATGAAATGACAATGAGATTGTCAAGAGAGTTTTAACTACGAATGTAGAAGGCTTTAGAGGAAGAGGTAGACCTAAAAAAATGGATGGATTGCGTGAAAGACGATATGTGTCAGAGGGGAGTGAGCTAAATGGTGTATAATAGAGGAGTATGGAAGGAGAAAACATGTTGCGCCGATCCCAGACGACTGGGAGAAGGGCAGGATAATGATGATGATGTACTCCCTAGGTACACGCAGCTGTTCAACGCCACTGACCGCGCGAAGACCGGATCCGTTTCCGGGACGCAGGCGAGGTCCATCATGCTGCAGTCCAGACTCCCGCAGCAAAGCCTGGCCCAGATCTGGGCGCTGGCCGATCTGGACGCCGATGGGAAACTGGGTGTGCTATTGAATCTGTTTTTTCGTTGAGACATGGTCACCCCTTAGTTGCCACCTGTCTTGAGGCATGAGATCGAAGGTATAAAGGCTGTTCCGTGCTTCAAACCTAAACGTGTAACTGCTTAGCGACAAAGACGATTAAGATGGCGGTACCTACTCGTACGGGCTGACCATATTTTCTACAAGTGTATTTTCTTAATTCAAGCGAAAAACGTAATCACTGAACCCAGATTAAATATCAAAACAATGCTCTAAATCCAAGTGCCCTAAAACTGAAATTTCATACCAAAATTAATTTGATGTTTTAAGTAATAAAAAATTACCACGGGAAAATCTTCAGCTGCTCCCAACGGCAACATTTGAAGTAATGAATTAGGTATGATTCGAGAATCTGCAATATTAGAAATGTGTAGAGGACTTGTACTTGTACTTGGACTCGGGACCCGGGTGAGGATGTGACGGTTGTCTCTCGCGTCCAGGCTGCGAAGAGTTCGTCCTGGCGATGTACCTATGCGAGAAGGCGACGCAGGGCGAGCCGGTGCCGGCCAGGCTGCCCCCAGAGCTGGTCCCGCCTTCCTTCAGGTAGACCGACTTTGGATCCACTTAAAAGTTAACTTAGCCGCAGGTTTCCACCTGGTCACTGTTCATGAGTTATTGGTGAAGTCTTGTGAGCCCGCACGGATAGGCACCAGCGCCCGGCCGTAAAGCTATAGCGGTAGGCAGCGGCTTGACTCTGCCCCTGGCATTGCTGAAGTCCATGGGCAACGGTAACCACTCACCATCAGGTGGGCCGTATGCTCGTCTGCCTACAAGGGCAATAAAATAAAAAGAAGCTAAATTGCGATCCAGTTTGAAGAGCTAGTCCGTCTGCTTTTTTTTATTGTTTAGATTTGTGGACGATCTCAGAGCTCACCTGGTTTTAAGTGGTTACTGGAGCCCATGGACGTCTACGACACAAAAGCCGCCAACCACCTTGAGTTATAAGTTCTAAGGTTACATAGTTCTATAGTTACAACGGCTGCCCCACCCTTCAAATCGAAACGCACTACTGCTTCACGGCAGAAATAGGCAGGGTGGTGGTACCTACCCGCGCGGACTCACAAGAGGTCCTACCGCCAGTAATGATAATCTCTAGAAAAAAGAGTGCATGTACTTATGTACGCGCGTAAGAAGTTATACTTTATTTTTATTCAAATAGAAACTGAAAGCATGTGGATAAATATTATAAATATAATATAAAAATACACAGTGAACAGAGGCGGCGTGCGTGCCAACATGCTCCACTAACAGAGGTTCCATTTCTGTTTTGTTGGTAGCATTTTTTACGAGTGTACATGCGCGAAAGTTCAACTGCGGCTATATTCAGACTCGCCAAGTTACGTCGGTCGTATTGTAATGAGCGATTTAGTGGGCAACTTCATTTCTGTTAATTTTGTGTCACGGTGCGCGCGCATCGTAAAATTTCACTATCATCAATTTTTCATAACGCGCCTAAAGAAGTATAACTTCAAAAAGTCAGTGTTGGTCTCGCAGGAGGGAATCGGTTTCGTCCACGAGCAGCGCCAAGTCGTACGAGGAGCGGCGGCGGGAGAACATGGCGCGCGGACAGGCCGAGCTCGAGCGCCGACGGACGCAGCTGGCCGACGCACAGATGAAGGAGAAGGTGAGAGGACGGGGTTTGAATCACAGCCAGTGAAGAAGGGGTTCAACGGGGGACCACTCAACCAATCGTTTTAAAACATATCAGCGGCGTCGGTCACAGCTGGCCGACGTCCAGGTGAAGAAGTTAAGGGGACGGGGTCTGAACAGAGCCAGTCGAGGGGGTCAACAGAGGACCATGGAACCAATCGTTTTAAACCGTGTCAGTGGCGTCGGTCGCAGCTGGCCGACGCCCAGATGAAGGAGATAGTAAGGGGACGGGGTCTGAACCAGAGCCAGTGAAGGGGGACGACAGGGGACCATTGAACCAATCGTTTTAAACCTTCACGCCCATCTCCATCTGTATCTGTGTGTGCGTGCGTGCGTGTCAACAAATTTGAACAGCCATTATTGTCAGTGTCATTGTCATTGAATTTGATTGAATTTTCGTTTTTGTATTTCACGCCTTCAAGGAAGCAGAGGTACATATGAACTGTTGCAATTAATATTTAGAATTAATTAAGCATTTCTGAACTTTATCAAACAAGTCTTATATAAATGTAATGTGTAGTGTAGTCATATGCGGTAGACTGGATCCGGTCCTCCGACGGTCCGCGCCTTTTTTTTTATAGCATAGATGGGTGGGCGAGCTCACAGCCCACCTAGTGAGAAGTGGTTACCAGACCCCATAGACTTCTACAACGTAAATGCCGCCACCCGCCTTGAGATATAAGTTCTAAGGTCTCAGTAAAGTTACAACGGCTGCCCCGTCCTTCAAACCGAAACGCATTACCGCTTCACGGCAGAAACAGGCAGGGTGGTGGTACCTACTCACGCGGACTCACAAGTTCGGTCAGATAAGCCTCACCGGTGAACATGGTGTTCAACGTGTTAAGCATATATTAGTTTTTATATCACTCTCTGCTTCCCATAGTGGGGGGATTCGCAGTTAGAACTAACCGATAGATAGACCGTTAGATAACCCGACCTCCTTCTATTCCGTGGCATGCGTCATCCTTCTAACAGGCAGAGAGGGAGAGGAAAGAGCGAGAGGAAGCCGAGAAGAGAGAAAAACTCCGTCTGGAAGCCCAGCAGAGGGAGCAGGAGGAGTTGCTCCGTAAACAGAAGGAGGAACAGGTACGGACCATTGGACCTCCCCCCACCGAACGCTGGTTACCAGTTTAAGAGCCGAGGTGATGGTACAAACTGCAGCCTCGTGGGTTTTAGGCGTTGTCCCCCATAGTTCATAAGGTCGGAGTATGGTTTCCATAAAAATTAGGGCTATAGTGGCTACGTGTTACAAAATACCCCGTAAAAAATATAATTAATTATCGAAGACATAAATTTTGTCAACCCTAGTGAGCTGTCATGTCAGGGAACCCAGATTATTTAACAGAAAGCCCTAGGCACGTATTTTACTTAATAATAGTCTACTTTATTAGTTTTTCTATTTTTCATTCATAATTGTTTGCTACCTCAATACAAGGATGTTCATATACTCAAGTATTGCTGGCTTAAAAAAATGTTATTATAATTAGGTCTTTCTAAAAATTTTGTCGTTCCGCGAATTAGGTAGAAATGTATGTCATGTACATTCTACGTAGTTTACTTTTTAATTTTACTGAAATAGGGTTTGCACATCAGTGAAAATAATAATATTTATATGTTTTTTTTTAAAAAAATTATTGCTTAGATGGGTGGACGAGCTTTAAGCTCACCTGGCGTAAATTGGTTACCGGAGCCCATATACATATACAACGTAAATGCTGCCACCCACCTTGAGATATGAGTTCTAAGGTCTTACTATAGTTACAACGGCTGCCCCACCCTTCAAACCGAAAAGCATTACTGCTTCACGGCAGAAGTAGGCGGGGTGGTGGTACCTACCCGGACTCACAAGAGGTGTCGCCTTGACGAGTAAAGCTCACAGATAATGAGCCTATTTCAAAGACTTATCCATAACATTGATCCCTCCAGAAGCAAGATCCATTGTATACCCTAGTCTATTGTAGGTTCAACCCCCTCCAAACTGGGTCTTTGCGAAAGAGAATACGAGAGTTTAGTGATGTACATATATTTTCAGGAAAAACGCGAAGCTGCACGCAAAGAGATGGAGAGGCAGTGCCAGCTGGAGTGGGAGAAGAAACGGTGAGAGTGATGTTAATGATTAGCCAATCTCATTAGGGGCGCACATGGAGAGAACAGGGCTTGATGGAATAATCACCAGGGACAAATCACGACTGGACATCTATCCCTGAACTAGCATTTCCTGTACTGTGGGAGCCACCATCCGCCAAAGACCGCTCTCTTGACTTTTTAGACCTTCTTCTTTTTCTCCACCTTATCCCACTAGATGGGGTCGGCACAGTTAATTTTACCATTTCATTCTCTTCTATTAGCCCTATTAGCCGTCATCTCAACACTCACTCCTCTCTCTCTTATATCGTCATTCACACACTCCATCATCTCTTCTTCGGTCGCCTTTTCCTCCTCTACCTTGCACTACCATTTCCATACATCTCCTAGTCACTATTTAGATCTTACATGCATATTTTTGGAGTGGACCATTCATTGAGATGCTGGATACTGACCCCTGGTTATGGAGCGTTAGGGGCCCGACTGGCGATGACAGGTTGGACCTCACGACCAGGGTATAGCACCCCCCTCTCTTAAACTTCACAGAATAGGTCCCAGCCTTCAGTAACAAACAGTACGGACGCGCGTCCCGTCGTCTGGCTGCAAGCTCTGAGCTTTCATTCCAGGACCAGGGAACTGGAAGCGCTGAGGAGCGAGGAGCAGAGCAAGGTGTTGAGTCTGAAGGCCAAGTGCCAGTCGCTGAGCGCGCAGCTCGGCGCCGAGAGCGTCCGCTGCAGCACCCTGGCCGCCAGCATCCGGGACACCAGGACCGCCGTCGCCGCCGACAAGCGGACCATAGACGGCATGAGGTGAGCCGCCCCCGCACACGCGCTCGACACGTCGTGATGTCCATGGACTCCGACCATTTATCATCTATATATTAATACGTGAAGCAAAAACTTTGTATCCCTTTTTACGAAAATTGAGTATGAAATTTTCCACACTTATAGAGAATATAGAGAAGAACTGCACAATGCTAATATTTTTTTAAAATAATTCATAAAAGATACATTAAATCGATAAAGAAAACATTACACACACTGCATACCATGTATTTGTCACAACACATACTTTTAAATATACTCTTTGTAAATTGTCAATTGTGAAAATGTTGTTATTCTTTAAAGTCTGTGGTCATTGAGAATAGATCAATATTGTTTGTCTTTACCATTATTTGTCTATAGTGTAGTCTTGACGAAATCTGTGATTATAGAAGTGTAAATGGTCGTTAATAATAGATCCAATAAGAATGTTCAAACTTATAATTTAAATTAATTATAGTCGAATTTCGAGTACTGCGGGGACCACAAGTGAGTATTCAACTAAATGTGAAAGTAACTGAACCTCGTTAATTGGTCCAGGTCCGACCGGGACTCCAGCATGGCGGAGATGCAGCAGCTGAAGGCGCGAGTCAAGGAGCTGAACGCGAAGCAGATCGCTTTGAACAAGGAGAAGGCGGAGTTGGACGCCAAGGTGCGTGTGTTGCGCTCCTGACAGGTGTCAGAACTGACAGCTGTCAAAACTGTCCACCTATCTTTCACGGAGCGATAAGACAAGACATGGCTTCGGCCTTACGATCAAGAACAATGAAGACGTGGTTTCGGCCTTTAAAACTACCAATATTCTCCAATTATTACCAAGACAAGAACAAGACCTGGCTATATGGACTTAAGTCCTTTGCCTTTCCCATTAGGGATAAATTATTATCATCATTATCATCCTTCACGAAGCGAGGGTGCTTAACGCTCTTTATATGGTTTAGGCTAAAGCCGCAGAGGGCGCTGGCGAGGATGGGAAGCTCAGCATGATGGAGGTCACGCTCAAGCAACTCCGGGAGAAGGTGAGCTGTGTGACACTAACTGGTATCTATTGCGTCATTGTCCCACTTGGCTGTTGACCCGTGGACTCGTCAGCACAGGAGTCCATAGCAGGCGTAGGACTCCAAGAAACGTTGAGATATGCAGATGGTAGTGTTGACCATGGACCACTGTGGTTATACAGACGGTTAATTCGCTTAAACAATCACGGATTGTAATAATAATTAGTGATTTAGATTTAAAGATAGAATGGATTTTGACGTTCGTCCGCCATGATGAATGGAACCATGTTAGGTGTTACCCGCTCTCGATTAAATTTACCATTTAGTAAAAAATACAAAACATATAAATCGTCATGAAAATAACACGAGTAATTATTTGTCAGCAATTAAAATAATAACAATACAAAATTATGACTTTCACTAGGTGTTTTATAGACAAAATTGATTAAATTTTATAAATTTTTGATTTCTAAAAAATTTACAAGATCCTTCATCACTTCATTACGACTACTTAGAGACCACACCGATCACCGTCCTCGTCGAACCCGTCGCTTGCGACGAAGAGTTCGACGAGCGAACTAACTCACAGACACAGCCCACTGAGTTTCTTGCCGGGTCTTCTCAGTGGGTCGCGTTTCCGATCCGGTGGTAGATTCTGCGAAGCACGGCTCTTGCTAGGGCCAGTGTTAGCAACACTCCCGGTTTGAACCCCGTGAGCTCACCTACACGTCAAGGAGAAGCAGAAATAGCCTCTCAAGGCTATCAACATAGGTAGGGAAAAAAAGGAACCACTGGTTCACACAATATTTTTTTTGTGGTTCACACTAAAACAATTATCGCAGCGCCCGGTAATGTACGACGAAGTTCATTCCGTAGTCGAGGTCGACGACCTCGCGCGATGTTCTCTTACATTGCGCGCTCGCTTCATCGCTGTACCCGCTACGCCGCAGGTGGAGACCGCCAAAGCTATCGTGGAATCGAAGACCGCGGACCTGCAGCACAACGAGGCCCAGCTGGCGGAGCTGAACGCGACGGTGGCGACGCTCAGCGACAAGTGCGAGAAGGTCTGGAAGCTGTACGAGGAGAAACGCAACGAGTACATCGAGCGGAGGAACACGGCGCCCGCGGAGGGGACCTGGGGCAGCAGCGGTGAGGGACCCCATCACTCACTAACACTTTTTATTTTATTACTTAGATGGTTGGACGAGCTCACAGCCACAACGTAAATGCGCCACCCAACTTGAGATATAAGTTCTGAGGTCTCAGTATAGTTACAACGGCTACCCCACCCTTCAAACCGAAACTCATTACTGCTTCACGGCAGAATTAGGCAGGCAGGCAGCATTTTTTTACACGATCAGCCCACTCGGTGTTAAATGCGTACCCGATTCTGCGGACAGAATAGAAAGCAGTCGACGTCGCTCCAAACACGTCATTTCGGATCCTTGCTTTTAGGTTCCTCAAGAACCGGTCAACGTTCGGTAAATTAACCCCCAGACACAGCCCACTGAGTTTCTCGCCGGATCTTCTCAGTGGGTCGCGTTTCCGATCCGGTGGTAGATTCTGCAAACCACGGCTCTTGCTAGGGCCAGTGTTAGCAACGTCGTCAGCCCCGTGAGCTCACCTACTAATTAAGGTTACGCTAAAATAGCCTCTCAAGGCTATCAGTTTAGGTAAGAAAAAAAATGTTAAATGGTCACCGAAGCCTATAAACATCTACAACGTAAATCCGCCACCCACCTTGAGATATAAGTTCTAAGGTCTCAGTATAGTTACAACGACTGCTCCGCCCTTTAAACCGAAACGCATTACTGCTTCACGGCAGAAATAGGCAGGACTCTACCAGTGACTTGAATATACACAAGGGTAGAGTTGTAAGGCTTAACGCCTAACGTACCCTCCGCCAGTCCACCGAGGCTGGTGCAGACAGAGCCGCGGTGGCACACAAACAAATATTACATACAACACTATATGTATCGAGGGGTGAAATGCTATCTGATTCAAGCGACATTTATCTTTGTAATTAAAGATCCATTTTATTTGGTATCAGCATCAACGGTTCGATGTTTTTATAATTGAACTTCAATTGAGTTTACACCATTCGAATAGAGAGAGAGAGAGAGAGGGAAATTGAGCGAGGGAGAGAGAGAAAGAGAGAGAGTATTATTTATTGTAGACCAACAAAAGAAACAATGCAAAACATTAAATACCAAAGAAATACAATTGACGGTGTTATCGCTAGGAGCGATCTCTTCCAGACAGCCCTCAATACAAATACACAATGTAACGTTATAATAATTTTGCTTCTTTACACATAAATGAGAATAAACAATTCAAATAATATAAAACATGATTGATGATTATGATATTTTTACCAAATGCTTAAACTTTAAATAGTCCTGTGTTGTTGCAAAAATGTCGCTTAACCCAAATACCCTTTCACCTGTCGAATTATTGTAGTAAAATAGAATTCAATTGGAGGGTAGTTTGTTATTAATTTATATGAATGTGCAGACGCGGACTGGGGCGCCGCGGACGCCGCGTGGAGCTCCCCCCCGGCCGAGGACGCGTGGGGCGACGCGCCCACCACCACCGGTACGGTCCATGGGCGCACGGACCACGTGCAGAAGCCGCTATTAACCTTAATGAAGTGAAACTTCTTTAGACGGAGTGAGAGAATAGACAGCGCGTCTCGCGAACCACTCGACCGTATTGAGAGGAGAAAGTGAGCTAGGTCGTTTTTCTTATACACATTTTGTTGACGGGCGTTTCTCATTCCTCCTATAGATGACAGTAACATAATTTTAGCGACATCTATTGGATTTCATATAAACCGCTATATTGACAACGGTGTGTATTAGATTCTAAAAAAAATATCATAATACTACATACCGCACAAAGCTGCGCACACCATTTTTTTAATGATTTTTTTAGAGCGCGTAATGTAATAAACATTCTCACGAGGTCAACGACCTCTAATCATACGTCGTACATTGCGGGCCCGCTGAATGAGCGTCTGCGCTCGACCTAGTGTAACTTCAGATGCTGTTTATGTTCATATTTATGTATCTGGTCTGCTGAAAAATCTATTTTTAAAATTTTAAATCGGTGGATGAACCCGCGGTTCGACGGTGAGATGTTTATGGGGCCCACGGACGTCACATATGACATTTCGATTGTATTTTAAAAGCTGACGTAATTTGGCTGGAAAAATAAGCGGGTGGGATCTAACCTAGCTACGGGTTTTCACTAGCTTTTTGTAACGAATAGTTTCGTTCTTCCAGCCACAGAGACGGTGCAGGCCGCAGCCCCCGGGGGCGAGGGCCCGCAGCCGCCGCGGTGGCGCTGCGTGTACCCGTTCGTGGGGCGCAGCGCCGACGAGCTGAGCGTGCAGCCCGGGGACCTCATCGTGCCGCGCGCGCCCCCCGCCGCGCCAGAGCCCGGCTGGGCCTGGGGCAGCGCCAGGGGTACGGGGACCGCATCAATAATAAACTTCTTTAGAATTGTTGTGATCTCAAACTCGATGAAACGAAATGAAACGAAACGAAAAAATAAGTGTGCCGCGATTGGCTGCCGAAACGGCTCCGAGCGGCGCTGACGAATCACGAAGCGCTCCACACGGTTTCGCATTTTTTTATTGCTTAGATGGGTGGACGAGCTCATAGCCCACCTGGTATTGAGTGGTTACTGGAGCCCACAGACATCTACAACGTAAATGTGCCACCCACCTTGAAATATAAGTTTTAAAGTCTCAAGTATAGTTACAACGGCTGTCCCGCCCTTCAAACCGAAACGCATTACTGCTTCACAGCAGAAATAGGCAGGGCGGTGGTGCCTACCCGCACGGACTCTCAAGAGGTCCTACCACCTACCTAATGTTATGTGTTTACCGGAGTCTATGGACGTCGCCGCTACAACACTCCGCTATCAGCTACATTTGAGGTCAATGAATATGAGGTCAAAATATCAGTTTCACAGCAACCTTCAAACTAGAAAGCGTTACTGCTTCACGGCACTAATGAGCTTGATGTTAGCATAACCTTTTTTTTTTGGGCGTGATCAATCCCCCCTCGGAGCACACACGTGGGGGGGGGCGTTGTATATGCGACCACTCAGGTCGCGGTCACCTTTAAACGACTCCCCTCCACTCTCGCCCAAGAGTCCGGTCCCCCCTCGAGACAAAATCCGGGAGAGGCAGGGGGGGGACGGAAGTCCCTACAGGTTGTACGCACAAGATGTCAGAATGAAGGTTGAACTCGGTCCCAGGTCAGAGCGGCTGGTTCCCGGAATCGTACGTGGAGGACCTCAACGCTCCCACCGCCTTCGTCACCGAGGTCATCGAAACCCTCGAGCCGAAGACGCAGCTTGAAGGTAACGAGACTGACCTTAGGGTCGGGGGCCCTTTAAAGATGTTTTTAATCGTATATAAGTATGTATTAATCAGGCTCCAGTTCCCATAGGGGGGTCCAGGAGCCAGTTGTCCGGGTGTGACTTGTACCCGGTTATTATTATAGAGGCGTCCGCGGCCTGATGTGTACGATGCCCGAGCTTTCGAATCTCCCAAGGAAGTACTGTTTAAAAAAACATACTGTTGTTACGCGCTGGGGCTCGTCGTAAATAAAACTTCCACTGAAGTACAAATCAAAACTATATAACACTCAGAACACTTTACAAATCGCAATTGGCTGCTTCCGCTTCGCTTCAGGTGATCCGATTACTGACAAAACAAATCAAAAATTTTTTATTCAACATAAATGAAAGTACATACTTGTTGAACGTCAAAAGAACTACCGCCAATTCACAAGAACTAGCCTCCGTCCTGAGAAGAATTGGCAAGAAACTCAGCGGGCATGTCTTTTTTTTTTTTAAATATGAAATAATTATTTATTTATTTTTTAATATTAGATTATTTTTTAAATATGAATTTTTTACAATGAGTATTATAACGTAACAATTACTACAATATTGAAATGCCCGGAGCGAGCAACTCATTCCCACTTTGTGCAATCTTCTAGATAATCATTGACTTTATAGTAAGCTTTATTGCACAGATGTTCTTTAATAGTTTTCTTAAACCTATGTATATGTAGGTTCTGAACATCTTGTGGGATTTTGTTGTACAGGCGCACAGACAAACACCCGAATGAGTTTCGTATCTTATGTAACCTACTCATCGGCACAACAAGCTTGTGTTTGTTCCTAGTATTTCTATTATGTATGTCAACAGCCTTCGCGTCATCTCTGTAACGCTTTTATAGTCGATACAATATCCCTAGAATTATCAAGAACATTCCCGATAAGTCGAGTCGTTTTGATATGTGTTTCCGCTGCTTGATAATAGATGGCGTTGCACTTCTCAAGCGTTCTCGGTATTGCTATCTCTTTCTCCTAGCCGACGATAGATGGCGTTACTCTTACCCGGCGTAACAGTACATAGTATGCGTGACCCTAGATCTTAATACATACACATTGATATAAAAGTGTTGTAACGTACGTACGTCACTTTTGGAGAAGAGTTTGAGTTTCTCGAGGACTTCTCCAGCCGTGACGGCTGATAAAGTGTACTCGAATAAACCTTACTCGAACATTCCACAGGGATAGCGGAGGTACCCGAACAGGAGGCCACCAGCGACCTCGGGGGCGCGCTGCCGGCAGTAGGTCAGTGAACATACACTAAAAAACGCACACCCTGTGTATAGGGCTGGTCGAGACAGATCTAACGTGCCCAAACTCGATGGGCTTACCAGTGGCCGTTCAGGAGTTCCGCTGTGGTCGAGGGTCCGGAGACCAGCTCTGCAGTGCCAACATATAGGAACGTTTTCTTTTTTGATCGTATTTTACTTATAAATGATCGCAGTAGATCCCGGCCGGACGGTAAGCGAGCCCGTTTCTGTTGAAGACGACGGCGAGTTCTACATAGCGTCGTACCCGTACAGCTCCTCGGAGCCCGGCGACCTGGTGTTCGAGGCCGGCGAGAGGATCGAGGTGGTGCGGCGCGACGGCGACTGGTGGACCGGCAGGATCGGGGCCAGGTCAGTGGGGGGACGGGGGGGCGGTACCGTGCTGTGTGTGCTTCTAGCAAACTAAGAACGAAACGAATTTAAATGTCGGACTTGATAAATTGGAGACGCCGACATCCAACCTAATGGCTCTTATTTTTTTGTTTAAGTAAGTAGGGCTTATTAATATTTCAAGCAGAAACAGTTAAAAAAATTAAAATCGTAACGACTTTATAAATATCGGTAACGATTTTCGGAATCATTTTAGCGTCCTTCGATATCCGAGATAAACCACAGCTTCCTTTATGACGTACGAAGTTTAGATTTATATAAAAAAAAAATTCAATTTCCTCACACAGGACCGGCATATTCCCCTCGAACTACGTGTCCCGGGAGGCAGCGCCCGCGGCCACCTCGGAGCCCCAGGACTCCGCCCCGGCCGAGGCGTCCCCCGCACCCCCCGCCGCGCCAGAGCAGGAGGACACGTCGCCCCCCAACACAACCCCACCGATACCTGCCTCTCAGGTCAGCCCCAAAATATCAAATTACCCCCCCACCTTTTTTTGAACTAGGGAAGGTAGATTTTGGCGGGAACGCGAGGAGTGAAGTTGTGTGATTTGCTTTATTTTGTCTATTTAGTGCTTCTTCAGGTTTAAATGTGTAATAACGGTGGCTTATTAACTATTTAATATCTGTGAAAGTGCACAAATGTGTGAAAATGAAACAAAGCCGTTGGGCGTAACTTCTCGGGATCCTCCAAAAAGTCCACTGAAAAAATCTCAGTAAATGACCACCATTTTACTGAGATTATATTTCATCCCATTTCATCTAATCTCATTTCATTTAATTTCATCCCAGTTGATTAATGTCTCAAACTTATCGTCTTCATTTCATTTCACTCCATAATAACATTTTTCATAAAAATATGAATATAAGTTAAAATAAGACATGACTTAAAGGTCTTAGTTACCATGCCCTAAAATCCCTTAAAAAAAGTTCTACTGCAACTACAGATTCAGACCGCGGTCTAGTAAATTTCTGCAGTCTTATTTAGAGAGGCAACGAGATCTTCCACCGAGCTCAGCGGTCGGAGAACTTTTTTAATTATTGCCCCAAAATATTTTTGTGTAAGTTGATATTCAAGATGGGTGGCGTATTTACGTTATAGATGTCTATGGGCTCCAGTAACCACTTAACACCAGGTGGGCTGTGAGTTCGTCCACCCATCTAAGCAATAAAAAAAATAAAATAAAAAAATTACCCCGCTTCCCCGACTGCTGACCTAGCTGATGGACCTCTAACGAACTCGCATATACATCAGTGACGTTTCTGTTGGCACAGGACCAGAAGTCCTCGACGCCGATATCGTCGGAGGTGGCCATGTTCACGGACCCCGCGCGGCCCCCCTCCGCCGCCGGGGCGCGCCGCGACTCCGGGCGCGACTCCGTCACCGGCCGCCGCAAGCACGAGATAGTGCAGGCGCTCGCCAACTACACCGCCACCAGGTACCGCACCCGCCGGGGGACCCTCACCATTACTGCTGCAGCCGTTGTACTGTTAAAACTAAGACTTAAAACTCAGGGTGGGGGTCGGCATTGACATGGTTAATGTCTACGGGCTCTGATGATCAGTGAACAGCAGGTAGACAGTGCGTTTCCAGAGTTCTTTTTTGCCGCGTACCATCCGGCTTTGGAATGAGCTCCCCTCCACGGTGTTTCCCGAGCGCTATGACATGTCCTTCTTCAAACAAGGCTTATGGAGAGTACTTGACGGTAGGTTTGGCTCTGCCCCTGGTATTGCTGAAGTCCATGGGCGACGGTAACCACTCACCATTAAGTGGGCCGTATGCTCGTCCGCCTACATTGGCAATAAAAATAAATAAAAGACCGTCAGCTCGACTACCTACCTAAGCAATAAATAAAAATATCCAGTGTTCCATTCCCGGCATATGAGTGTTGTCCAGTGACCGCAGCCGTACTCGATATCCGATGCTATTGTCGTGTCTGCCCCCAGCCCGGAGCAGCTGAGTCTGATGAAGGGACAGCTGCTGGTGGTGCGCAAGAAGGCCGACAGCGGCTGGTGGGAGGGTGAGCTGCAGGCTAAGGGCAGGAACCGGCAGGTCGGCTGGTTCCCCGCTTCGTACGTCAAGGTGAGGCGCGCCACTCGAATATAGCTCTTATTGCAATGGAGTAAAGGCGATTTTTTGTTTTCGTCAAAAAACTGGTATTCATGTTTACCCCCATGGAAGATAGGGGTTTGTGTTGCGTCATAGATGCGCAGTGTGTCATCGAGTATCGGTTCGAGGGTTGTGGATTCAACGTGAGGGACAGATGTGTATAATCTCTATATACATACGTCAGGTGCTGCAGTCGTCGGGGCGGACCTCGGGCCGCACCACTCCCGTGCTCTCCTCGAAGATGGACGCTCTACCCACGGAGACGGTCATCGACAAGGTACACTCTCCTCTCTCTCTCTTTCTCTCTCTTCCTCTCGACTCTCTCTTCCTCTCGACTCTCTCTTCCTCTCTTTCTCTTCCTCTCTCCTTCTCTCTCCCTCTCTCTAACTCAACAAGCGATCGCGTTATAAATGACGTAACGCACTGACAATAATAACATTAACAGCAGAACATGTTTGAAGGGGCTGTCTTTGTCTGTTGGTTACCACAGTAGGGTCAACGAATATCTGACAGCCTCCTTATCGCGACACCCCCCCCCCCCTCCGAACTCCCGATCCGGCTCTGGTATAGACCAGCTTGTTAGACCACAAAAATAACGGATGAAAGTCGATTGTATGCAGCAGAGATGCGAATGTTGCCATGGATGTGGAATACGGAATGAATATGTTAGAGGACCTGTGACAGAATCTGAGAACTATGAATGTGAAAGGATATAGAAGACGAGGTAGACCTAAGAAGAAATACCTAAGAAGGATACTGAGCCTGATCCGATCAATTGGCAGGTGGTGGCGCTGTATCCGTACACGGCTCAAAACGCGGACGAGCTCAGCTTCGAGAAGGACGACATCATAGCCGTCACCGACCGCAGCCAGGACCCGGCGTGGTGGCAAGGTAAAGGCAAATTACAAGCTTAAAAAAATATATCGTGACGATTTTCTTTTAAACCGTGACGATTTTTAAAAAATCGTGGCGAATTGTTTTGAATTAAATCGTGACGACTTTTTTAACCGTGACGAATTTTATTTAAATCGTGACGACTTTTTGCGAATATAAACGCGTCACGTACAGCGAAAGATTTTAAAAAATCGCAATAACGACAAAACGTGTATTGTAAATGTGAGGTTTTTTTTTTGTTTTGCATTTCCGCAGGCGAACTTCGTGGCATGGTCGGCCTCTTCCCCAGCAATTACGTTACGAAATTAGTTAATTAATTTAAATTTAATGATGTTTGTTCTGTACCGAACTGAGAGAATGTCTTCGTTTTAAAGTATGCAGGGTAGATGTAAGGAGCGCCATCTTGTATAGGGGACAAGTTGAAGTGTGCCTGTAAACAGTGAGTTGTTGTTGGAAGTCTCACTGAAATGACGCTAGTGTAGCAAGCGGGAATGATGTCAATATAGCAGTTTTAAACAGAGCGAAGTGTGCTAGGTTGAAAAAAAAATATTTTTCGTGACTTGCATAGTTACAAAAAAATAATAGTTTAAAAAAAGAAAAAAATATTTTATTGTAAAAAAAAAAGCGTGGGGTGCATGGTATCAGTAGTTATAAATATTTTATGAACAGATATACTATGAGTAGAAGGGTTATTTTGTTAATATCCTGAAAAGCACCCCACGCTTTTTTTTACAACCACATAATTTTTTCTTACACTACTTTTAATTCAAATTTATTTTCTATTTTTAAGTTGGATTTTCTATAAAAGCGTATTTTGTTAGTTTTTTTAGACTATTATTTATTTTTCATTTTTTACTTAATTTAATTTCAATTTTCTCTAATTATTTTTAAATATTGAATTGTCATCGGCCCTTTAATAAGTATGCAAAGTTTTGAATTAATCCGAAGTTTTGAAGGAAGTCAAAATCATGTTCAAAGATTCCGTTACATACTAACATACATACGTCTGAAGCTAATAAAAGCGTAAGCAGTATTTAAAATCTGAACTATTAATTTTTTTATTACTCTTCACGTAAGAAGTGTTTCTTTCCTTCTTAATTTAGTATCTTACTCTAGTTATGTAGTTTAATAATTAACAGTTTATAGCGCTGTTTGTAAAATCCTTCCACTAGCTACTGTGGCGCCATCTTTATTGGTTCTCTTTCAGCGGACATTTTTAGGTAGCTAACTGCTCGGCTCTGCCCCTGGCATTGCTGATTTCCATGGGCGACACTAACCACTCACCATCAGGTGGGCCGTATGCTCGTCTGCATACAAGGGCAATAAAAAAAAATTAATACACTGATATGGCGCTCCTTAATTCTACACTCTATGGTTTATTATCATAAATAAAACATGCCTGTGTATGTTTTTTTTCTTCGTTTTGATTTTCTTTCATACAGCCTTGAATGAAAAATTTTCAAGTACCTAAGATATATATATATATGTAGCTATAAAATTTAAAGGACTTACAGAGTTGTCTAGTTTCTTTGTAACAAAAAATGATAACTTCCACATTTCTCGGAAATAAATATTATATGTAACTCAGTGATGTTACTAACATATAATTTATTGAACTAAATATAATATATTGAATAATGGTATATGTGCGAAAACAATATTTGTTACGTTTGACGTATCGTAAGCGACCTCAAACATGAGCTTGTCCGTCTTGAGACGCTATGAGGCGTGTCTCAATAATTTACGTCAGCGTTTTATAAAGATTATACCAATGATACCAACTATGCGGTCTAAAAGCTAATTCCACTAATGAACCACAACCTCTTCCTTGCAATCTATCTTATTTTGATGTTATTGTTGCTAGTATCTAAAGTGGCTTAAAAGTAGAGTTACTAATGGTAAATAGGTTAAAAAATAAAAAAAATATCACCTAAATTATCACCATTATTATAATTATATTAGAAGTTGGCGTTTAAAATGTTTATTAGAATTATTAACTGCAATGTTTTATAATATTGCATATTCCGCTTATTGTATCGAGAGGTGAACGGTTTCAAAATTTGGAAAAAAAAAAACTTCAACTATGTATAAGAATGGTATAAACTTAATTGAAGTTCAATTATAAACATTGAACTGTTGATGCTTGTACCAAATAAAACAAACCTTTAATTGAGGCCTATAAAATCAAAGGCAGCTAAATCCAAGTTTGTCAAATATTCAGTTACCTGAAGTAGACTACAAAACTACAAACTACAAAAATCGGCCCTAAACACGTCATTACGGATCCTACCGATCCATCGAAGTACTGCCTTGATAGGGCCAGTGTTAGCAACACTCCCGGTTTGAGAATCTGAAATAACTTTGTTCGGATAGCTACGATATTCTTTATTTTAAAGCAGATTTATACAGAATGAGAATATTACTAACAATCTGAATTTTAAATGATAAAACTTCGTTTATTAGTACTTAGTACGGAGTAAAAATAAAATTTTTGAACTGAATTTGTTAGAGATCTAGCTGCATTTGTTATAACATGAAAACACTAAAGCGTGTCTAACTAAGTAAACAAGATAGCGCCATTCTTAATCCATTTTACGACATTATGGCGTTTAGCTGCCTTTGATTTTATAGGCCTCAATTACAAAGATAAATGTAGCTTAAATCAAATAGCCTTTCACCCTTCGAATTATTATCGTGCGTTATAAATGAAATATTTCATGTTGGTTTGTTGTTTGTTCACTAGCGCGGGAAGGGAACTGCGAAGTCTTGCAGATTTTTTTTTAAAACTGAACAATAAATGTCAAAGAAATAGTATTTCACAACTTTGTATATTATTATTGTGTTATATTTTACGGTATGAGGATTGCAAAGTGAAACAAATGGTTTTGTTATAATCTGTTTAATTTTGTTTATTGTTTCATTCTTCGATCGATTTGTTGAAATTTTAGGTTATATCCTAACGACTTAGAAATTTTTATTACCTACATTCCAGTCGTCACTGAAATAAAGGTTTGATTGATGGTTTTAAGAAGCACAAATCGAAAGTCGGATGATGACACAGTGTTGAATAGAAACACAATGTGTATATTAGTTTAATAAGTACAATATTATTAACTCGTTATAGTCATGACGACAAGTTACATAGTTGCAATTTGTTTAGTGAGCGTACCAATTTGCTTGTATGTATTCGTTAAGATTTTGTCTCGAATATAATCTAGTTCGGTTTTTTTGTAGTAAATAAATGTTTACAGCTTAAACTGTGGTTTTATTTACGTAAAGTGATAAAAATTTGGTTGTTAAATGCGAATATTATTGTGGAACTGCGCGTGTCATGGCGCAACCCCTTCGTAAGTTTCGCGCGTTATTGAAGTGAAACTTCCTTATCGGCGTTGGAAAAAAATTTACCGTCACATTTTTCGGTTACGCGTCACTTTTTTCCGTTACGCGCCATCTGTTTTGTATTCATGTCTATGATAATAAAATCCTTTTGTTTAAACTTTATCTAATTTAACTTTTTTGTATTCATGTCTATGATAATAAAATCCTTTTGTTTAAACTTTATCTAATTTAACTTTATTTAACCAATTTCTAGAAAGTTGCATGTAGATCATTTTTCGAAAAATAAGGCCATAAACAAGTTTCACTTCTTACGTGTGTACACTAGTACACGCACACATTTTTTTTTTTTTAAGGGACTTTATGACCTGGTTACTAAGACCTTTAAGTCATGTCTTATTTTAATTTATATAATCTTATTTTTATGAAAAATGACAATATGGAGTGAAATGAAATGAAGATGATTAATTTGAGACATTAATCAACTGGGATGAAATTAAATGAAATGAGATTAGATGATATGGGATGAAATGTTACAAAGGCAATAAAAAAAAAAATGCAATCTCAGTAAAATGGTGGTCATTTAGTACTGAGATTTTTTCAGTGGGCTTTTTGGAGGATCCCGAGAAGTTACGCCCAGCGGCTTTGTTTCGTTTTCCCACATTTGTGCACTTTCACAGATATTAAACAGTTAATAAGCCACTGTGAAATTATTGAGTTGAAACCGTTGTGAAATTATTGGTATTTAAAAAAAAAGTGTGGTAACTCTTCTTGCCGTGTTGAATTTGTATTTAATTTCAGCTCCTTACAACAACTGTATTACATTTTAAACATATCCTGATTCATCAGGGTGAAGACAGGGAGGGCTAGTTTCTTGGCGGCACCCAGGCTCCACACACAGCCCCTAGATTGCCCCCGCGTTAATCGTGAAATAAAACACAACATCCATACTTCATAATTTTGATTTTTTTTCTTTTTTTTTTGGTATATATAATAATTATAATATAATAAAGTTTCTATGTATGTACGGTTTATTGTTGGGGCGCAGGCGTGGGACGATCGCGCCAGTGTCTTTCTACGAATTTCTTAATATAATTATACGACTGGGAATCCTTTTCGCCTATGACGTCATCGACCTGCGAACAATAAACTTTATGACGTCACAGCAATATTGAATCACAGGTTATTCGAAAATGTAACTGGAGTGGATTAGTGCAGCTTATTTCTCTTTTTCGTAAAAATAAATTACAAGTGAGGTATGGTAAGCAGTCGACGTCGCCCAAAACACGTCATTTCGGATCCTCCCGATCCACTGACGGTGGTTTTAAGTACCTCAAGCACCGGTCATCGTTCTCGTCGAACCCATCGTTCGTGAGGAAGGGTTTCTACTTTGCAGAAATCACTTGTGAAAATGTGGTAGATCACTCGATACAAAACCAGGCCTCTAAGCCGTGATACTGTGGATGGATCGGAATAACTAGGCTGTAAACATTAGCATGCCCGGCAGATGTATTTATATATGATGGTGTGACTACTTTTGAGAATGATGACAGTGTTACTGACTTCATTATTGTCATTGTCTTTTTTTTATTGCCCTTGTAGGCAGACGAGCATACGGCCCACCTGATGATGTGTGGTTACCGTTGCCCATAGACTTCAGCAATGCCATGGGCAGAGCCAAACTGCTGTCTACCAAAATGTCTTCTATGGTGACAGTAATTAAGGCTTTCCAATAAATTCCATTTAATAAATTTCAAGTGTACGTACAATAACAACAGAGCTCCGCATCGGTCGACTGCTCGAACCGGAATGTATTGTTTTTTTTTATGATTGAGAGATTACTGGTGGCCCGAAGGCCTTTCCAGTTTCACCAGGACAGGTGGGCGAGCAAAGGCTCAGCCAGGAGGGGTGGGATTTGCTAACAGCTGCCCGAGCGCCTCCGAAGGAGACCAAACAACTCAAGAGCAATTGCTTCGCGAATGAATCTACTACCGGATCGGAATCGCGACCCGCTGAGAAGATCCGGCGAGAAAAGGAATGTATTGTGCGATAAGTCACTCGTATTTATAGTAAGAAGGGGGGGGGGGGGTTAGTTCACTTCATGTTTTTGAATACCGTCTTAAGCAATTGTTTACATTCGTTTTTTTTTTATTGCTTAGATGGGTGGACGAGCTCACAGCCCACCTGGTGTTAAGTGGTTACTGGAGCCTCTAGACATCTACAACGTAAATACGCCACCCACCTTGACATATAAATTCTAAGATCTCAGTATAGTTACAATGGCTACCATACCCTTCAGAACAAAACACATTACTGCTTTATGGCAGAAATAGACAGGGTGGTAGTACCTACCCGTGCGGACACACAAGAGGTCCTACCACCAGTAATTACGCAAATTATAATTTTGCAGGTTTCATTTTTATTACATGATGTTATTCCTTCAGTACGCATTTCATTAGAAAAATTTGTACCCGCCTGGGATTCGAACATCGGTGCATCACTCAACACAAATGCACCGGATGTCTTATTCTTAAGGCCACGACGACTTCAGAAATTGGACTTATAATAATTAACCAACAATTTCCACATTAAGGAAGCAGTTAACTTTAACTAATTTTTGTTAATACAGTCCAAATCTGTTATAACGACATCGAAGGGACTGCTCATATTCAGTCGTAAAAACCGATAGTCGTAACAACCGGTGATGTTTAATGTGTATCGTGCAAGTACAAACAAATCGATAGGGAATTATTGGAAAAATATATTTATTCAACTATGTACATTTTGTTTATTACAAATAAGTGCAATGTATATTATTTTTCTGTAAAATTATTGTCATAAAGCGTTTGAATTTTTTCTCGCTCTTTTCAAATGGTTGAAATATGTCGAGTATGATACACCATACTCCTTTGCTAAGTCTTTATTTGAAATTCCGTTCTCTAAATTGGATATAATACGCGATTTTTCTTCAATATTAATTTGTTTTCTTTTTCTTTGCGACATTTTAAAAGTTTCACGAATAACTCCACAAAGTTTTGGTGCGTCTTGTGTATAGATAAATAACAAACTAACTGAAGAGATATGAAGAAGCAGGCTTTGGCTCTACTGCATGCAAGTGTTTTGTTTCTAAGAACTAGAAAAGACCCTACACTAAACTAAATCCTATTGTTTTCTTTCCCGATTTTAATAGCCATTGAAGACAAATGTGGATACCTATTCAAATTGTTTACAATACAGCTTAGCCGGTCGTTCTAACAGATCGAATTCTCGAAAATATTAGTTAAATGTGGTCGTTTTATGAGGTATGTCGTTATTAGCAATGTCGCATAAAGCAATGTTTTTAATAAGGCGGTCATATAGCATTCAGCCAGGACCTTTGTTCTAGGTTATTATAACCGGCATGTTGTTCTAAACGATGTGGCAGTAAATGGTTTTGACTGTAGAAGTGTTGTGCCAATATATTTCAGAACCTTTACCTTATATGGAGGTGTGATCATTACTTGGTGTATTTTGTTATTATATACTCGGATGCTCTGTCCGGCCCAGGACACGTCGTCAATCACTCTAGCTATCGCCATGAACAGTCTTTGTCCTTCAGGATCTAGGCATGCGGATAATGCTGATACCTGAACAAAGAAGTTTTTTTTTTAATCATTGGACAGAGCTGATAGTCTTGACAGTGTCAATGCCAAGTCGATATGAAGACATGAAGTCAGCTGTTCTACTCTTCAAACTAAAATGATGATAATTACAAACTAAGATTGATTTTACCATTTTATTAATTGTACTCTATAAGAATAAAATATGTGTGCATTTCATGTCTGATAGTTTTTTTTATTGCTTAGATTGGTTGACGAGCTCACAGCCCACCTGGTGTTATGTGTTCAGCAGTCCATAGACATCTTTAACGTAAAATATGCTACCCTTCTTGAGATATGAGTTCAGTCTATGTTCTAAAGCTTAATGGCTGCCCAACCACCTTTCAAGCCTAAGCACTTAACAGAAATGCTCAGGGCGGTGGTATATACCCAAGCAGGCCCATAAGAAGTCCCAATCCCAGGAATTTATGTCAAACAGATCTGATGATAAATAGTTGCTCAAATTCATAGATTCAAGTCCACAGCCCACAAACTTTTGGACAAACATTCATTTTATTACATCAGCAGACAGCCTATTGTTAATTCCGCACTGGGTTGCATAGATAGCAGATACAGGCACGACTTTATCACTAGGCTCCAAAATAACTCCAGTATATTTACTTACCGTCAATTGAGTTTTATTATGTTCGCGATTTCATAAAATTAATGTTGTAACCAACTTGATAATTGAAGTATCATTCCATGAAAGTATAGGTCATTAAAATTGATCGTTAATATTTTCAGATGCTATTGCAATGTAGAATGTGGGTCACCCTAATTACAGTTAGTAGATTTTTTCATACAATAAATACTGTTTGCCGTAACAATGACTGGGCGACGTATACGTACCAATCTTCGTTTGTTTTCAATAGAATTTCTAACTCTTGTGTTCAATCTGTGCAAGTTCAATGATTGGGGGGGCTCTGGTACCGTTGATACTTCCTTCTTGATTTGAACGTCGCTGACGAGGGACAGGTTCACGATGTTGACGTCGTGCCGTTTCGGATTGCCGCTGGACGATTGGCATTTCAGAATCAACATTTTTGTTTGAGGATCGAAAGCTAGGACCTCTCCTTCGATGTTTTCGTTGTAACAGGTGCGCGTGGCGACTATACTGCCGATCGTGAAGCAGTCCGAAACGACGGCCGACATGTTTACGGGTTAATAAACGTTTATGTTTCAATTGATTAATGTATGGTTATATTTTGGTGAGTTTTTCTGTTTTGCTCCGATGTGCGATCCGCCATTGAATTTGACGGAACTTTTGACGTTTTTATTTATTGAGGTTAGTAGGTAAAAGGTTTGAACGAAACGTACAGCCTAGATTAGAGGTGTTTTGTTTCAAAGTGTTCGATTTATTATCAATATGTAAGGTGAGAACGAGATTTATTCCCAGGAGTCTAATATCAACTTTGTCCAGAAGAATCTTAATGTACAGCTGTTTAGGTTAAGGATATTTTAATTTTTTTTCCCTTCATTCTTTAGTTGAGGCTTAAACAATATTCTATTAATTAATTCTTACCCGTGTAATTATACCTTTATTCACTGCATTACTATTTTTGCAAAAAACAGCCTATAATTAGGCAGAATTACTGTTGTGTCTTAAACATTGTCAGCCACAATAACATTAATAAACCTTATGTACTTAAGAAGCGAGCCATAACAAAATTGTTCAAATGAAATGATAGTTTTTTTTTTTGTTTTAATTTGGTCAAGCTATAAATAATAGCATTTAATTTTTACTCCACTAAATTTTGCATGACCGTTATGGAAGGCAGAAGTAAGGAGTAGGCAGCGAATTAAGATAGCGCCATAGTAGCAAGTGGAAAGATTTAAAAAACAGCGCCATAAACTTATTAGAGTAGGATACTTCATTAAGAACGAGACAAACACTTCGTAAATAGTAAAAATAATAATTATATACTGCATGTTTTAAACGGAAAAATAAATTTATCAACCTTTTTTTTTTCTTCCTACCTATGCTGATAGCTTTGAGAGGCTATTTCAGCTTCGCCCTAACGTTTGTAAGTGAGCTCACGGGGCTCAACCGGAGAGTTGCTGACACTGACCCTAGCAAGAGCAGTGCTTCGCAGAATCTACCACCGGATCGGAAACGCGACCCACTGAGAAGATCCGGCGAGAAACTCAGTGGGCTGTGTCTATGAGTTAGTTCGCTCGTCGAGCCCTTCGTCGCAAGCGACGGGTTCGACGAGGACGGTGACCGGTGCTTGTGGTGCCTAAAAGCACCGTTAATGGATCAGACCTTATCAACCAAACACACTTCGCTCTGTTTAAAACTGCTCTCTTGACATCGTTTCCACTTCCTACACTAGCGCTATTTCGGTGAGTCTTCCAAAAACAACTCGCTGTTTACAGGCGGAATTCAACTTGTCCCCTATACAAGATGACGCTCCTTACATCTACCCTTCAAACACAAGATGAACAATTCTGAATAAACATCTTTCAACTGTCAAATGTCAAGCACAATCAAAAAATTTAAATGGGGGATGAAAAATAAAACCACTATAATAATTAAAATGCATTCTTATATTTAAGCACTTAGTATATTACGGTGATAATGTGAACGCAATATTATATTTACACACAAAGTTTATAATAATGACAAGACGAATTTGAATGAAAAAACAGCAGCCATTTTGTTTAATTTTACCGCGCGTAGCTTCAGTGCCTTCGCCGTGGAAATATACATTTGGAACAAATTTCGATATGTTAAAAAATTACACAGTAGAACAATGTTTTTAGATTTCAAAATAAAAGACTATCCAATAATGCTTCTCTGTCGGGAAACACCGAATCTGAGACTAAATAATTAATATTGCACCTTCAGAACTGAAGTGGCTTATCTAAAAATTTTAAGAAAATAGTTTTATACTTCCGACTTATAAACATGTATTCAGAGTTTATTAAAATAAAACTTATAGCTTTTTTTTTCAGGGTCTCAATCCAACAAACTCTATAGTCTTCTTAGCCCCCCAAATCAATTGAGTTACTTTGTTTATTCACGATGTTATGTAGTTTAATTACATTTTTCTTATGCATCCACTAACTTAACTGTTTCTTCATTGGTTCATTTAAACTCGTTTCATTACATATTACCTGGATTCGCATTGGATTGCAATTAAATATCCAATAAACATTTTTCTGTTTAGCTGCTCAATTTCTAACCAAACATCTGTCATATTATTAACATTGTATGTCACGCGGATCGGCAAAGACCTCTTAAACGGAGAAGCATTCTTATTTTTTATATTTATATTAATAATAGACATATATAAAATTTTGTATTTTTTTCTAGGCCTCACCTAGTGGTCGTAAAATTGCTAGTCAGTTAACTGATTGCAGTGATAAATTTAAAAAAATATTCTATGACTATATCGCAAGTTTTTTTTCCAGCATGCCATGTGTGACATGTTATTATTAGGCAATTAACAAATAACCATTTTCAATCCCAAATATATTCGTTTGTATGGCAATTACTAGCAAAAAGTCTGCGCCAATCCACGAGATACATTCTTAGTAACAAAAATAGAAAAAGAAACAAACTAGCGATTTTATACTATGAAAAATTTAACCTAAGACTTTCTATACATATTATTACATTATTATGACGAAAACAATTATGGACTCCTTATTCATTTAATAAAATTAATTTACATTCGTGAAATTCCGTTGCCTAAAAAAATATAACACAACTGACGTTCCGTAGGTAGGTATTCCGCCAATTTCTTAAATTTTAAGAAATCCATAAATCATTTGATATAAATATATATAACGCCGATGCTTAATATTAAAAAAAAATCGAGTAATTAAAAAACACAGTACGATCGATTACACGCATGTAATAGTAAATTTAAAGAGGCAATGAAATGTGTCAAAACAGGAAAATGGCGCCAATTTTCGAATAAATAAAATATTAGTCTTGAAGCGCGACCGACTAAGCGAATAATAATAATGAAATATGATACTTTTAACTAGTACATTTTGTAAGCTGATATTGTGTAAGCCGGTATATGTGTCACACGATGACAATGCCAACTGTCGCAGAACAAACACTGCCGCACATTGTGAGACGTGTATATCAGAAAATTACTTGCCTAGCAAAGGTGCCTTTTACACTTACACGATTGTCGTCGAACTCGTTTTCTCTATCTCTTTCTAACGCTCCAGCTAGAAGAGTATGAATGATCGATCGGGTATCCGGCTGCTATATCCGGGACAGACATTGTGCCAGAACTAAAGCTGGTTTAGCAACATTTCTCACGCGACAATCGTGTACGCGTTAAGGAACTATGAAATATCCGTCTTTCTTGGAGTCTGCGGGGTCTCGGACAGAGAACATTTCCGACAATCAATTCTTAAGTGTGCGGCCGACGCAATTCTGCTGACAGTCTACAAAATCAAAACTTATACACGCAAGAATCCGCCTTATAACAATGGACGTAAACACTACGTTCGCTTCAAGCCGAAATCAAACTACCTATCAAGACCAAATATATAAAAAATTCAGTCAACATTGAAAAAAATTGCAGTTTCCAGTAAAAAAATTACTATATTTATTATATTTCTATATTAACTTAAGTACTAAACTAGTTTATTATAATAGATAGGAAACATACATTATGTATGTACCTACAACGATCGAATGCAAATTGTCAATTTAATACGAAAATGGAGGGAAATAGCGGCCATCTTTTTTCTTTACTTATTTAATTTACCAAAAAAAACGAACATATTACTTCCTCGGAACCTTGCCTAAAGGTTAAGTTGCCTAAAGCCATTTAATAAAATATTTTAGTTATTATATTCGTTTTTTTAGTTTTAGGTTCATTTTTGTTTAATTTTCAATAATAATTGATATTTTTTCAATGGTAACTTGATAGCCTAATTCACTGTATCTCTTTGATGTTTTTATTTGATTATATTTAAGTAAATAATGAAAACAGCTTCAAATATTAATATCTGGATAATGTTTATTTATTAAATTTGTATTAAATTGACAATTCAATAACATACGATCGTGTATTACGAGAAGGCATGTATATTGTGTATTTAGACGCATTTTATTTTAAACTAACTGAGTCCCGCCATGTTACCCGCGGTTATTGTCGTACCACGGGTGAAGTCGCGGGGCGAAGCTAGTGTAAAAAAAGTAGCCTAAGTTACTCCTTATATTATCAGCTAGCTATCAGTGAAAGTCCCGTCAAAATCGGTCCAGCCGTTCCAGAGATTAGCCGGAACAAACAGACAGACAGACAAAAATTGTAAAAAATGTTATTTTGGTGTATTTACCGTGTATATATATTCATATTTATGTAGTAAAAAGCGGTTTTTTCAATATCACAAACAGACACTCCAATTTTATTTATATGTATAGATTACAAATTAAACTAGAATTATTATTGCGCGCCCGATAGAGGGAGACGGCGATATGTCCTCACCCGTTCTCATGGCCTTGGCAATACGAATTCTGATTCCGTATTACATTTATTGTAATGGCCATTTAATTTATACATCGGAATGGTGAAAGGTTATTTGGCTTGAGCGACATTTTTGCAATTTAACACGAGAAGCCATTTAATGTTTAAAATTTGGAAACATATTATTTAATCAAAAAAAAAACTTCTTTAGCTATTTGAATGGAGTAAACTCAATTGAAGTTCAATTATAAAAACATCGAACTGTTGATGCTGATACCAAATGAAAAGGACTTTTAATTAAAAAGATAAATGTCGCTTAAACCAAATAGTCTTTCACCTCTGGATTTAAATTTTATGTAATATATTTTTTAATGTTTTCAGACATTGCGATCATGTTTCAAGCCAAAATTAGTTTTATTAGCCTTAAAAAACAGTGTATATCACGATATTACTATATAATATACAATTTATATATATATATCAAACTTATATTAAATGTTCTTACAACGCCAAGTTATTGTGTATTGCGTATAATCGCGAACAAAAGTGATATTACAAATTTAATTTACATATTATTATTATTATGTTACCATTCGAATGTGTGTGTCAATAAAAGGAATTTATTTTATATTATTAACTTAAACATAACGTTTTTTTTGTTAATAAACATCCGCATCAGCGTCTGCGGCCCAAGGACATCGGCGAAGCGCGACATTTTTTCAAGTTTTAGCGACCACCGATGCGTAGCGTTCTAAACTAAAACACGCAATGCATCGGCGGCCCGAGCATGTCCGCGCGCATGCTCGCCAACATGTCAGTCTTAACGTTCAGTTGATCACGATCAGTCTGGGCGGGAGCATTCCCTTCTTGCTTAGCCAGACGCTGGAAGAAGGTAACATGTATTTATAAGTCGTCATGGCCTAGTGAGGAAGACGCACTTCGCTTTAGGTTACAAACGAAAAAAATAAAATAGGCGCGCGTGCAACTTGGTGCAAGTGAAAGAAGTGAAACTTCTTTTGCGGTGTGCAGTATTATTAAATCAAATTTGTCTCATATTATGGAATGCTGTGTACAAGAGAGACGACTTAGCTCGCTTTCTCCCTCTCTCCGCGGTCAAGTGGTTCGCGTGACGCTCTATCTATTCTCTCACTCTCGCTCGTCCTAAAATTGTATCTTTTCTCTCTAGCCGTAACGAATCTGAAGCGAGTTACATTTTACTCTCAAAGCCCCTAAAGAAGTTTCACTTCAAAAAACGTGCAATACAAATTCGCTTTATTACTGCTGATGGTTGGGCAAACTGTGACTTCTCGCCCGTTACTACTCCGAACCACTACTGAATACAATTGAGGAACCGACCTCACGCCTCAATATGGGCGACGACGACCGCTACCACCCATAGAAACACTAAAAAACTTTCATCTGGCATTTGCTATTCTGTCGATACTGGTAATGGTATTAAGAGGGTAGTTATAAAACAGTTGTATCGTCAGCGGTCATTGACCCGCGGTCTAATGTTCCAATTGAACGGACGACTTAGAGGCGGTGGAAGTTCCTGTCACATATATATATATTTATCGAAGGGTGAAAGGTTTATATATCGTTTAAGCGACATTTATCTTTGTAATTAAAGCTCCATTTCATTTGGTATCAGCATCGACAATTCAATGTTCTTAATTAAGCTTTCTATTAAGTTTACCCAATTCGAATAACTGAAGAAGTTTTTTTGGTTTTGTACGAAATTTCAAACTTTAAATGGCTCTCCTGTGAAGTCGCTAAAATGTCGCTTAAACCACTCAGCCTTTCGCCCGTCGATTTATCGCCTACAAAACTCACCCTATTCCGGCGCCGAGCAATAACGAGACGATGTTGGTGGCTAGCACCGCCACTATGGCGCCGCGACTGAACAGACAAGTGCGACGTACGGACAGACAGTGGCTCTGTAAATTTATATATATACATCGATATTTATAGTTTGATGAAGCGTATGTTCTTTCTTTTATTTCCTAAGCTGATAGCCTTGAGAGGCTATATCAGCGTAACCCTAACGTGAGGTGAGCTCACGGGGCTCAAACCTGACGACGTTGCTAACACTAGCCTTAGCAAGAGTCGTGCTTCGCAGAATCTACCACCAGATCGGAAACGCAACCCACTGAGAAGATCCGGCTAGAAACTCAGTGGGCTGTGTGTGAGGGTTAATTTATTCGTCGAGCCCTACGTCGTAAGCGACGGGTTCGACGAGAACGGTGACCAGTGCTTGAGGTACCTCAAAGCACCGTTAGTGGATCGGGAGAATCCGAAAAGACGTGTTTGGGGCGACGTCGACTGCTTACCATTCTGTCCGCAGGATCGGGAATGACCTTCAGCCTGCAGCAGTCCACAGCTGGACATATGCCTGTCCAATTGCCCGCCACTGAGCACGACCCTCAGCTCCCCTCATCCAGCTCTTGATGCTGTATTTATGTGGGATTTACTGGTGGTAGGACCTCTTGTGAGTCCGCGCGGGTAGGTACCACCATCCTGCTTATTTCTGCGGTGAAGCAGTAATGCGTTTCGGTTTGAAGGGTGGGGCAGCCCTTGTAACTATATTGAGACCTTAGAACTTATATCTCAAGGTGGGTCGCGCATTTACGTTGTAGATGTCTATGGGCTCCAGTAACCACTTAACACCAGGTGGGCTGTGAGCTCGTAAAAAACATGTGCCTTTCCAATTGCCCGTCACTGAGCACGGCCCTCAGCTCTTGTCATCCAGCTCTTGATGCTCCCCTGCATGGGGACCAACACTCAACCAGGTAGACTTTTTTCTACCTTCGATGCTATATAAAATCTCACTCACCTGCTGCATAACGGGCGGCGCTAGCTGCTGCTCCAGCACCTCGATCGAGGAGGTGGCCGAGGGAGGACCGCGGACGCTCTGAGGATGTTTGAACCTCCAGTCCTTGGGCGGCAGCTGATCGGGACGGCTGCTCCACTCCCAGACCCAATCGTTGGAGTCATCCTGACGACAACAACAACAAAAAAATGCTATAAATTTAATTTCGTTAAAATGCTTAAAAAGCACATTATAAGCACAACGATGCTGTAAAAAGCATTTGAACAACAAAAAAAATTATAAATTTAATTTCGTTAAATTTTAAAAAGCCGCTATTATAAGCACAACGTTGCTGTTAAAAGCATTCAAGTTATATATTCACTATGCAAAATAATTTGAATTGATTGATTGACAACTATTTTTGTATGTTTTTATTTTTTTTAAGTTTATAAGGAACGTTTTTAAAATAAAATAAAACTTTATTAATTTCTACAAAATAACCTGAAAATAAACTCAGCAAGAAAGCACTAAAAGTGTATTAAAAACTAAAACTTGAATGCATTTAATTTTTGTTTAATTATGATTAGGTTATATTTAGTTGGGAAATGATCCGCTCCAGATTTTTGCTGTATTTTGTAATATCATCAACAACACATAAGGAGTTTTTTTTTAAAAGAATTTTGTGACCTGGTATCTAAGACCTTTAAGTCGTGTCTTATTTTAATTTATATTCTTATTTTCATGAAAAATAATAATACGGAGTGAAATGAAATGAAGATGATTACTTTGAGACATTAATCAACTGGGATGAAATTAAATGAAATGAGATGATATGGGATGTAATATAATCTCAGTAAAATGGTGGTCATTTACTGAGATTTTTTCAGTGGACTTCTTGGAGGATCCCGAGAAGTCACGTCCAGGGGCTTTGTTTCATTTTCCCACATTTGTGCACTTTCACAGATATTAAACAGTTAATAAACCACAATTATTACTAATTTAAACCTGAAGAAACACTAAATAGACAGAATAAAACAAATCACACAACTTCACTCCTCGCGTTCCCGCCAAAAAGTCCTTATGGAATTGAGAAGAAGCTATTATAGTCGAATTATGATGACGACCAAACAGACTTCTGTTTGTTACGAGATATGACCATATTATGGCTCACCCTCCAGCAGTTAATGTAGACACCTTTGAGCTCATCCTCGGTGGAGGGCTCCAGGTTCGGGCTGTTCGGAGGAGACTTCGGGCTGAAAACAAAAACGAAACATATCGTGGCCTGAAAGATAAGACGCCCGGTGCGTTCAGAGTATCCAACGACGCGACCTCGCCAAGGTTCGAATCCCGCTGACGGTTAAAAAAAAATTTGTAATTAAATACGTACTTAACAAATCTTCAAGATTGACTTCCACGGTGAAGGAATAACATCATGTAACACAGTATCTCCCCTGTAACGCGGTACATTTCGCGTTATAGTAAAACGCGTTATAGGGGTATTCACGTATAACGCGTTACGTATAAATAATTCATTACGTTTAACTTTTAATGGTTTAATTTTTATTTTGAATAAAATTTAATCTACACCTTTTAATACACAAATCTAATAAAATTATTTAATTTTGTAATAACACAATTGACACACGTGCAAAGGTACGCGACTGTACACGTGAAAGGTATACAACTGTACAAATCATTATAATATATTATTATATCACAGTACAGAAATATGTATGTGGGAAATCGCCGCGTTAGATGGGGGAATGCCCGTGTTATACGGGGATTGAAATCGCGTAATACGAAAACGCGTTATAAGGGTAACGCGTTATACGGGGATTACTGCACTTAAATAATCAAACACGTAAAAATTATAATTTGCGTAATTACTTGTGAGCGAGCCCGGATAAGCAACACCGCCCTGCCCATTACTGCCGCAAAGCAGTAAAGAGTTTCGACTTGAAAACGCAGGGAAACCGTTGTACTGAGACCTTAGAACTCATATCTCGAGGCTGGCGGTACTTACATTGTTGATGTCCATGGGCTCCGGTGGCCAATAAAAACCATAAGTACTTGTGAGCACTTAATAGATTCGTATGCTCTTTTCCATTCAGGCTTATCATACGCCATCCACGCAAGTTTCATACGAGTCTTTTCGGCCTTCCCTCCTATCTGCCGTTCCACTGGTCGTTAATGATCGGCTTTTTTATTTATTTATTTAAGTGGTTACTGGAGCCCATAGACATTTACAACGTAAATGCGCCACCCACCTTGAGATATAAGTTCTAAGATCTCAGTATAGTTACAACGGCTGCCCCGCCCTTCAAACCGAAACGCATTACTGCTTCACGGCAGAAATAGGCAGGGCGGTGGTACCTACCCGCCTGGACTCCCAAGAAGAGGTCCTACCGCTGCTTCCACTCACCTTCCCTTCACGCTGGATGCTCTCGAGTGCCTGACGGAGGAGTCTCGACTCTCGCGTTGGGCCTCCCTCAGGAGTCGTATGTACTCATTCTCGACAGCAGCCAGGCCGCCGCCAGAGTTCAGCTCGACCCATGATTCTGTGAAGAGATTTGACACTAAAGACTTGGCCCATCAGCAATGGATGAGCGGGTTTGCGATAGTGGTGACGTAAGAGGAGCTAATTGCTTTGCGATAGAAATAGGAAGGACTACGGTAGCTTCTGACAATACGTAGTCAATATGACAATACGTAGTCTCTTTAAAACGTCTTTTTGAACTTTCAGGAATATAAAATTCACACTAGGTCCAAGAACCCGCGGTAGACCCAAGAAACGCTGGTTGGATGTGATAAAGGCGGATATGGAGGAGAATAACCTCACCCAGAAGGACACCGAAGACCGGGCAAAGTCGAAAGAGTTTAAATAGAAAAGTGGACCTTGGAATTATACCGGGGAAAACCTAAGAAGACAATATAGACAATTATACTAAAGAAGAAAAACAGATTTCGACAAAACACTATTAAGGAATATCATCGATGCAGCCAATTAGTCAATTAAATATGCGTTATTAAGAATAACTTCGTAAGCTGCTGGTCGTATTTTGATGTGATTCAAACATGGTTCACACGAGATACGCCGATTTTGAAATAAAAAATTTACGTCTCGAGTCCGCCCGACAGAAGTGATGACTTAAACTAATCTAAGTTGAACTATTTAATATTGAAATTGTTTAACTCGAGACAAAGCCTAAGTTATTACTTAAATTTTATGTATAATACATTAATATGATAATGTAAGAAAAATTGTAAAAGAAATATAAATGGTTAGGAGTCACATACTCAGTGCCGTTGTCGTGTGCGTGAGAGAAAGAGACGCCAGACAGAATGGCGCCGTAACGCGTCACGTAACGAAGCGGTTTACCCTCCCATAGGAAGTTATCACTTCAATAATAAAAAGCCCACTGAGTTTCTCATCATCTCAGTGGGTCGCGATTCCGATCCGGTGATAGATTCTGCGAAGCACTGCTCTAGCTAGGGCCAGTATTAGCAAATAATCTCAGTATGAACCCGTGAGCTCACCTACCCGTCAGGGCGTTGTCGAAATAGCCTTATAGACTACCAGCGTATAAGGTAGGGACAAAATACAAAAAAAAAGATTTGTTATAAGGCACTTCAAGTTATGACGGTATTTCTAAAGGACTCTCCCAAATAAATCGGAAATCTGTTGGGATAAAAGTCTCAGTTAAATGGTGGTTATCTGCTGAGGGTTCTGTGGAGTTTTTGGACGAACCCTAGCAAGTGAAGCCATGTCCAGCGGCTTCGTTTCACTTCCCCACATTAGTGCAATTTCACACAGGCCAAGCGGCCAACAAACCACCCAGAGTTTTGACAACTTTAAGATCTGAAGAGAATTTTAATATATCTATCTACGCTGGAGAAACCCTGAATTAACAAAAACAAAAACAATTCACACAACTTCGCGCCAAACGTTCCCGCCAAAAACTCTTATTGAATTTCTAATGCGACCTCTTTGGGAGTCATAATACCCTGGTACTTTAAAATTATTATTTTTCCTACATATTATGACTACTTTAAGTAGTTATAATTTAATGGCGTCAAATGAAGACGATAAACATATTCAAAGAATATACATATTTAAAGTTAAATATCATCGAATATACTTTTTAAATGTCAGAGCACGTCTCCTAGACCGGTTCAAATAAAATAAAAAAAAGAAGTATATATTTTTTTGTAATAGCAACTATAAACTCTGGATTCGAAATATTATTATACTAACTTAACCTCTTCTAAATTCATTTTGTCCTAGTACTTGAGAGAATGAATTTATTATTATGTAAGAACGATGACCGTCCTTAAACTAATTCTACCACTACCATATTTGGTTACACAACATACTGTGATTAATAGATAATTGAAATGTAATAGATAATTAAAACAAACACAAAAGTTTGTTTGTTTGTCGCACAATCACGCAAAATTATCATACAAAGACAGTTTAGTTTTTGGTTTACAAACAAACATACATTTAACTATATTACGGCCTTTATCTTTACAAACGACATGATCCGGACAACGCGGGCTATATCTGCTGTAATAAATAAGACGGTGTTTGTTTGTTTGGGTATTTACATCGATTGGCATGAAGAACCAGAAATCGATTGGCATGATCATCCGGGTTCAATCTCGGTGCTTTTAGGATATTCAAGCACCGGTCACCGTCCAAGAGTTCGACGAGCAAACAAACCCATTGAGTTTCTCGGCGGATCTTCTCAGTGGATCGCGATTCCGATCCGGTGGTAGTTTCAGCGAAGCAATGCTCTTGCTAAGGCTCGGGTTAGCACATTCTCTTAGGTTGAGCCCGGTGAGCTCAACTACCAGTTTCAGCGTAGCTAGAATAGACCCTTAGACAAGCCCAGCGAAAAAAAACATATCGACTGACAGTTTATGGATCGGACAGTGTCAATAAATAGCAACTCTTAATCCCCTGTAAATGGATGATGGGTCATCCTTACCAAATTCAATATTTAACTCGGACGAGCCCGTTGACTAAAACTAGTTTTATTTTTACTTCAAAACGATCTCGATTTCCATCTACAATTCTGCCTTTTTAAAACACGTCCAGAGATATACTCGACCTCGGCATTATTGACACTGGCAATGCCAGTGCCCCCGACCGAATATCACAAGCAAATAAATCGCTCAAGTTCAAGTCACGTCTCGAAAGCGAATCTGTCGGATTGCGTTTGTTTATATTTTTATCTCGATGTTGTTGATCCCAAGGTAAGCCGCCTAGTGAATCATGAGCGCCTGGTACTTGACGCTCGCGAAACGTCTTCTTTCTACGCATTTCACACCACATGTTTATCGATGTTAAGCGGCCTCCTACTGCGCATCAGTCAATGATGACGGTAAGTGGTCGTTTAATAAACAAATAAAATTAGATCGAAAATAAATGAGCGCGAAAGTAAACATGCCGCGACCTTGGCGTTCAATTATTTATTTTTGGCGGGCAGCGTGGGCGTCTTAATTGTAATCAATCGAAGACGCATGTTTGCACATCAATTTAACTATTCACACTAAGATTGAGGGTAAGTGGGCCAAAATTAAAACGTCTCACGAATAACACAAAAACAATGAAAGTGGCAAACTTGGTGTTGTGTCCAACGAAAAAAAAAAAACACATAAAATGTGTAACACAATTCACAATTAAAAAAAAACTTCGTATAAACATTTGATTTACAAAAAGTACACATTAACAATACCTAAATCGTCAGCTTGTAGACTTTTCGATTCATTCATTTTCAATTAGCACCAAACTTTATTTGTTTCGCACAAAAATAGAAACACACTTTTATGTATGTGCTTTCTCGAAATGTTTATTTTTCTGTTTTGTTTAAACCGCGACACGTCTCACCTCGACGAAAACAAAACGAATACTGAAATCCAAACAAATTGGTGCATGCATACGTGCCGCCACGCGCGCGGCCGCTCTAGTAAACAAAGCGTGGCGTAGGCGACTGGGGAACGACACGTAGGCAGATGCCTTTGTTTACAAATATATGGCTTCTCAACTCGGGCGCATTATTTACGCCGGCCGGATATCTCCGTCTCTTTCTATAAACACGACTGCGAATCACAATGCAAACAATTTAAAGAAAAGTCGCTCTGACAAACATGTTATTATATCACTATTTTTGTAAAAACAAAAAACCTTATAAAAATCTAAGGTAATTTAATTGTTACATTTAGCGCGTATTGCGTGAGTGAGTAATGAAGGTTTTTTCTTTTCTTTTTTTAGGGCATTGAACCTTTCAATTCAAGTTATAATGGCAGACACTTTAACAAAAAAAAAGGAGTTTTTAAATCTTACATTTTCGGCGAACAATACAAAAGAAGACTTTTAAGGATAATCATGTTCCAGGAATTCCGGCATACGTGACACCGAGCAAGTACGTAAACCAATTAATTATTTAATGCAAATATACCAAAATAAATACGAACAAAGGTGATAATATTAACTATTGTCAAGTGATTCCAAATGAACAGGGTCACTCCGAGAGGACGCATTTAGGTGTCAATTTAACCATTTGAGCGCGAACCGTCGACAGATCGACCCTCAATTAACGCGTATAAAGTGCGGAGCGTCGGAATACCGACCATTGCACGGTTCGATTATAGGTGTTATGTATCGACCTGTACAGACGTGTCTGAGCGCGTGAAAATATAAAGTTTTTAATAAGTTAATTAACATAAATGAATAACCATTTCAAGTTTTTTTTTATTGCCCTTGTAGGCAGACGAGCATACGGCCCACCTGATGGAGAGTGGTTACCGTCGCCCATGGACTTCAGCAATGCTAGGGACAGAGCCAAGCCGCTGCCTACCGCTTAAGTACTCACCACAAGCCTCGTTTGAAGAAGGTCATGTCATAGCGCTCGGGAAAGACCGTGGAGGGAGCTCATTCCAAAGCCAGATGGTACGTGGTAAAAAAGATCTCTGGAAACGCACTGTGGATGAACGCAGTGGCTCTAGGTAATATCGATGAACTCTACTTCTATTTTTCTACTATCTGGCTGATAGCCTTGAGAGGCTATGTCAGCATAACCCTGACGTGTAGGTGAGCTCACGGGGCTGAAACCTGACGACGTTGCTAACCCTAGCCTTAGCAAGAGCAGTGCTTCGCAGAATCTACTACCGGATCGGACCAACTAAGAAGACCCGGCGAGAAACTCAGTGGGCTGTATCTGTGGGTTAGTTTACTCGCCGAGCCCTTCGTCGCGAGCGACGGGTTCGACGAGAACGACGACCGGTGCTTGTGGTACCTAAAAGCACCGTTTGTGGATCTGGAGGATCCGAAATGACGTGTGTCTTATTAAAACTTTGATGGCAGTTACAGAAAAAAATAATAGTTAGTTGCTGATGCTTGTGGACTCCCGTGAGCGCTGAACACCACAAAAACATTCGGAGCGTCGCTTTTTTTTAATTGCATAGATGGGTGGAAGAGCTCACAGCCTGCCTGATGTTAAGTGGATACCGGATCCCATAGACATCTACAACATAAATGCCGCCACCCACCTTG